CCTGATGCACTCGAGCGTCTTGCGTGACCGGTATAAGTGCCTTCCACATCGTGACAAGGTGAGACTTCGGTCGCTACCTCAAAATCCTCGGTTAGTTCCGAAGCAAACGTGCATGCTTCCTCCTCGCGAACTAGCGTCGATTCGCTTTCACGACGGCGTTTTCGTCGCAAAAACTTATACCATGGCTTACTTGGTTGCGAAACGCCATGTGTTGATGTGTTCGAGTTCTCTAGGGTCGGGCTTCGAAAATTCCCCGCTTTTACATCCGATTCTGAGGTCCTGTCGCAGTGTAGTTGAGAATCGCTACAGCTCAATAATACATATCGACCTCGTCGTCTCCTTAGAGACATGTGTCTGGAAAACTTTCGCATCATGTTGACCTCGCTTTCTTATAAATCCCAACAGGGTTTCAAATCTTGTATTTACAAAGTGTCTTGCTGTATAGAACCAACGGTTACGTGATAATATTTCTCACTCACTTTTCAAACATTAACATATCGCAAACTGTTTACTATATAAAATCTTGTCTATTATAAGCATACGAAAAGCCAAATCGTTGAAAAACTTGTGTTCAACTCCGCGATACGAAGCATCAACGCATATTTGCCATAATATAATCATTGAACACCATTAATTCGCATTTCACGCTGTAGTCTTTGTACAATTTGCGAAGGACATTCCCAGTTGTAACGGCGATATACACAGAGCTAGACACGGACTGCGAAGCCACGTTTATCGTTTCGCATACCTCTCCCAAGTAATATATGTCGACTTTTCACTGTGTGAATGCGAAATGATATTTTGAAGAGCTTTCGTCTGTGCAATTGCGATCTTAGTTATTTAAGCCGTGTGACAGTGTAACGCGATATCTTTGATTCATATTCAAAGCACCCGCTGTGTACGAACGGGTCAGAGTTGAGAAGAAATTAAGAAAGCAATTCGAATTATGATAAAACTTGAGCACTAGCCATCTTTAGGTGCTTTTGAGAGCTAAACAGACTTTAACGAATACATTACTAACGGTCTTTCTGTATTTCATCAGTCTACAAAATAAAGTGCTTTTGATATTTTTCAACACAGATGTAAGTCATGTAACTATGGTGTTAAGAAACTACGACGTTTTAAGAAAAGACGCTCATTTGCGCAGAAATCATCTTCAACTCGGCCATTTAGTTTTCAATTCGGAGAAATTCTCAGAATATGAAGTTAAAAGTTATATTGCCTATTTGGGTTGCTAATCGTCACGCGATTTTAGACTAAAAACTAAAAAGGAAAATTTCAATATATTGGGTATTGATATTGCAGTCAGCCTTGCTCGAAATGTACAAGATCTCAAGGATCGAGGCTTCAATCATTTCATAGAAGGTTTAGGTAAATATCAGGCGAAATTCTCATAAATCACTACAGTGAGAATGTTTTCCCACGGATGATGCTACAGTGCAGCAGGGTTAATATATTCCTATATGCCATGACGTACTTTCGCAAAGACATGTTGAATGTTGATGAGGCTATTAAATCGCTTTTGCTGACTGAAATATTCATATTTTTTGCCTGCATTGTAACAAGATGAAATTATATACCCTGACATATTACGAAAATGTTACACCTGGAATGCTTAATAAATCGCTTTCTGTAAAGAATTAGCCTTATTATAGTTAAAAACTAACTAGGTTACAACAATTTTCATAAGAAAATGGAAAAGCATATTCCCACAACCATTATTGGGCAACTAAAACGTGCTCCAAGTGAAGCCTATGACGATAGTTCTTTTGCACAAGTGGATAATAATTTTTTTTAAATATCACAATTCAACGTGATGTATCGCAATGCAAAAGTATAAAGAAAGCAGTTCTGACGATGTTAGAAGTTACTGCGTATGTTAAACCCCAGAAAGGATACGTTGTAATCGTACTAAATACTTTAAATCAGGAAGCGTTTTGCCGAAAAGATTTGTGTATGCTTTAAAACGCCTGTAATCCGAGCTGCACTTGACCTCATGGGCTTTGTCACGAAGCTTAACAGCCATCACAGGGTATTTTATCAATGCGTCATTTTGCTTGTAATTTATTGCGTAATGCGGGAGAGTTTTTAGCTAATGGGTCGTTGAATTGTGACATAAATGCCATAGACGACCGAGCCAACTCCAAGTTTGGTACGCTGTAGATAAGTGCCACCTCAGACATGTGTAAAAACTTAGATGGCGCAATCCTTCCACGCGACCACCGGAAATAGCGAATTTCGAACACCAAAATGGCGGCAAATCTAGTTTCCAGGATTATGCATGAGTCACTGGCAATATTGGCCTGAGAAAACAACGAGACAACCAACAGACAACTGGTTGTCTAGCCTAGAAATATAGATGCATTAAGCCCAGGAAACCTGCATCCCGCAATCTTGGCGGTACTCCAAACTCGCCTTTCCGAATTCCGATTCCGATGCCTCAATGAACGCGCTACTGCCTGCACCGCGCGTATTATGGCGTCGTAATGTTGATAAACAGGATTTACTGGTATTCACCTTTAATGCGATTCAATAATGCACCGGAAACGGAAGGAAAGACGGAAATTGATTTGCATAAAATGCGAATTGGGTAATACACGATTATCGTATCAAATAAACTATCGTATTGAGATAAACCGTTGATTGAAAGGTGAATTATATATGATGTTGCGGCGTTGGAGGTTTTTTGCTCGGAAATTTTTAAAGCTTTTTTTCCAGATTAGTTCTCAAAAACGCGGTCAAAAAGAGCAATTTTTCTTTCGCTTGCAACATTAACATACATTCCATGATGGCGTTTACAGTTGGTGACACAATACGCCTCTTCACCACCGGTGTAGTAATCTTTACTTGATCAATAAGCTATAAGAGATGATCCTTACTCGAACTCTAGGAAGTACAGTTTAAAAATGATTAGTTTAGTTCAGGTTTCCTCCTGTAGTAACACTGGATCAATAAGAGATGATCCTTACTGAACCTCATTTTAAAGTACCTTTAATTGATTATATATTTACGACAGTGCGTGAAAATTAGATTTAATGAGCCTCACATACTAATTAACAGACTAATTAGCAGACATATGATAAAAGCAGACACCATTTGTCCCCCGAGGGACAGGTTTTATTTAATAACGCGAGTTTACGACAAATTGTCGTACCCCAGTCTCTGGAAGCCATCAAATCTTACAAGCGTGCGACAGTGCCAATCAATATTACCACATATCGCCTTAGGCATGAATGTGTCAAACTAAACTGACTTTATATTGCTCCTAATCCAAAGCCGTTCTCCTTGAGGTCCAGTAAGGATCATCTCTTATTGCTACAGGAGGAAACCTAAACTAAACTATCTTTATTTATACTGGATAACTCTATCAGTTCTAAACTGTTCTTCCTAGAGGTCCAGTAAGGATCATCTCTTATTGATCCAGTGTTACTACAGGAGGAAACCTAAACTAAACTAATTTCATTTCTACTGGATAGTTCTATCAGTTCTAAACTGTTTTCCTAGAGGTCCAGTAAGGATCATCTCTTATTGCTACAGGAGGAAGCCTAAACTAAACTAACTTTATTCATACTGGATAACTCTATCAGTTCTAAACTGTTTTCCTAGAGGTCCAGTAAGGATCATCTCTTATTGATCCAATGTTACTACAGGAGGAAACTTAAATTAAAGTTTATCCTTGTCAACTGACTCGACAGTTCGACCCAATTGGGCTTCGTCGGGGCATTTCGAGTTGTGTTGTCACTCCTTTCTTAGGTCGAAACCTGCGAAATTATTTTCGGCTATTACATGGTATACCACATTTATACACAGATTTGTCTGTCAGTACCAAATTGTTCTTCTTTAAAGGAATAATAAGGATCTCTCTCACAGATCCAGTGTTGATCCTCATTGGTGCAGGGGAAAAGCCAATCCAAACCAACAATATTTATACCACTTACTAAAGAAGCCTAACCTAGCTTAATATCTACTGCAAAGCTCTAATAGGGTCAGTTAAAGTGTTCCTCGTATAATCATCATTTTATCTCCCGTGACTAGGGATAGGAACTTCATCCAGTGTCAAGTGAAATGTACATAGCGGTTTTGTCAGCCCCTTCACGACTTCCGTCATCTTTCAGTGCAGTATTTATCTTTACAGCGAGTGTCTTTCATCTTCTTGTAAACAAGAACCACTTGAAATATTGATTGACATGCATTGCGGTCGGGCAAATACCGAAGATGACCGATATAAGAGACCTTTAGTTTGACGTTTACCGCAAACGCCAAACCGCCAACAATGTTTGTGTTTTAACTCCACTGTCTTTAAGTGTGCGGCAATTTCGCTAAATTACAAACGTTCTGCATAAATCTTGTGATGTTCAGCAGTAATGTAAGAAAGCAATAGGCTATTTCTGATGTATTTAGAAAAGCAGCAAATTCAGCTTTGCCGTATGTGTTTCACGTTCGCCGTATAAAATTTAATGCTTGAACGACTGCATACACCCTCAGCCGTTCAAGCATTAAATTTTATACGGCGAACGTGAAACATATACGGCAAAGCTGAGTTTGCTGCTTTTCTAAATACATCAGAAATAGTCTATTGCTTTCTTACATTACTGCTGAACATCACAAGTTTTATGTAGAACGTTTGCCAGTTTAGCGAAATTGCCGCTTACTTAAGGAGAGTGAAGTTAAAACACAAACTTTGTTAGCGGTTTGGCGTTTGCCGTAAACGTCAAGCTAAAGGTCTCTATACTCACGTCCCGTGGTGGCCAAGCCGCGTGACACGAAAAACAGGATTGGGTCCGAGCGATAAAATATTGGACTATAAATTTTGACAAGTAAAAAAACTTGTAGTTAACACTAACATTGGCCAATTCCTTCGCTAAATACAGTCTAAAGCTAGCTATAGCATTCTATATACCTTCCCCGGTGGTCCCTCTAAGGGACTAGATGCCATATTATTTCACTATCATGACTAATGTTGTCAAGGCTTGCTTAATCTTATTTATCCTTTTATACAGAATTGCGCAACGGTTTGATGACAATATATATGGTTGAAGAGGGAGAGGCTTTGTATATCCGGAGTATGTAATCTCTGTATGACGTTGTCGTTGATAAAATGACAGGTAAGCAGAAACGGTTTCGTTTTTAATTTCCTCTCCAAAGTTTCACTTGAACTTTTATCCCGACACGACTTCCTCTGACGCTTCCACGTTTGATCCCCACATTTGGATACATTTTAATATTCATCTTGATCAATTGTGAATGCAATGTTGCTGCATTTAATATATTGCAGTTCTGAAGGCTCGTATCAGCTTGGCTCCTCAGACAAGCGTCGCGCCATCTTAGTTGATTTTCATCGAGACAAACCATTTTTCATCATGGCTGTATTTCAAAACCGTTTTAAACTGTCATATATGTCGGACAGTGACAAAATAAACATAGAAAAAGAAGAAGATCAACTGAGCTTGTTCTCTTGAATAGCAAAAGTAAACACTAAAAAATTTCACCAAAATCTCGTAAGCAAACGAAGGATAACTAGGAATATTCAAAGGGGGAACTGTTTTATTTTTCAAGCGAGATAGAGTTTTGTTTATTTTTGATATTATCACTAGAGCCGTAGCATCGTTTCTCCTGACAGTAATGTGTAAAAAGCATAGTCTATAAATTCAATTAGCCATAACGTTCCGCATAACTTGTCGAACTAAATTCTACACTTATTGGCTTAGAATGTGACCAATTTGAATTTTGCAAACTATGCTTTTTTTTACACACTTTGACTGAATGAATCATTCTGGAATCTTTCATCAATTTAGGCCGCTTTGTTGATATTAATCAAGCTGGTTAAAAAAATCTTGTCCTAGCATGACGTTGTACGACTTTTTCGGCGTTGTTTGAGTTTGATATTCTAGCTCGCTTAAGACCCTCTGGTTTGAGAGTGATTTGTAACTGAGTTAGCGATAGTATGTTTATCTTAAGGTCTGTTCACACGATCCAATTTTGTTGGATCCAATTCACTTCTGAGGTATGAAATACAGTCGGTTATTGGTGAAGCCGTAGTACTGACATTGGCTTCAGTGGATTTACTGCTGATATACATCACAGGACAACAGACTATAAAACATCCATCAGAAGTGAATTGGATCCAACAAAATTGGATCGTGTGAACAGACCATTAGTTCTTCCTTTTAGGGATATAGCGATTCCGTTGCATCACAGGAAGACATTGATTCATCATGTGAAAGTGCACACGCCGGAAAAACAGAGGTCAGCTAAATTAGACGCTTCCCCCGTCAAGTAAAACGGTGAGTAACAAGTGTACGATTGTTATTTCGCTCAATGTAACTGCTATTGTATTAAGCGCAACATTGAGTGGTACCCAGCACTCGTTTCATCATACTGAGCTAGGTCGACGAATCATTTTGAACTGCAGCAAGCGAAAATGCTTATATTGACAGGCAATATAGCGGCGATGTTCGGCTGTAAGTGCAAAGAAAGCACATTACAAACATCACTACGTCTGCCAGCAACGCCTTTTCCGGATTGAATATTCGGGTTGATAATAAACATGGCAAGTTGCCTATCACACACTTCAGAGATTTGATATATCGCACATTTTAACATGCATATCTAAAACACGATTTAAGAGTTCACCCAACACAATCTTAATCCCTGTTGTAATACTACGTGGGTGCTAGATCCTTGTGTTCGTTGCTGATAACCAGCTAATTACAGCTTGCAGTCAAACGTGAAAGCGAAAATCGAAATTGACAACGCCATACTACCATTTGCGTTCAAGCTTGCGGCGTGCGATTTTAAAACGTACGTTTCACGTTTCAAAACGTAGGTTTAACGTTTCAAAACGTTACGTTTGCCATTTCAAAACGTACGTTTTGTTACGCCCCCTGCCATGTTTAGACAATGAAATTGACATGTTTTTGAAGTTCAAACGAACTTAGCTAATATCCAAAAATAGGTTTATTACATTTGTAACGTTTGCGGAAGTGTTTTACAAGAATTACAAATGGAACCTTATTCTGTGAGAAAAGTAAACTTATATATGCGCAATTTTCTCTTTTCAAATAGCTGCATTCAGTATTTTAAAACCGTATTTACAAATAACCCAAACATGAAAGGGGGCGTGACAAAACGTACGTTTTGAAACGGCAAACCTACGTTTTGAAACGTGAAACGTACGTTTTAAAATCGCACGCCGCAAGCTTGAACGCAAATGGTAGTAATATGCCGATTTGAGCAACCTTACATTGTAATGAGATTGGATGCGGTTTGGAAGTGACGAATACTGGTCAATTGCAGTTTCGTTTCAAGTACACGTGACGTTCCATGGAAAAACGGCACCCCTCCGTCCTATTATCCAGCTTAAGTTGCATTAAATTTTGATGTATACGTGATGTAGTGGGTGGACACACATTTGAGGATTTTATTTCGTTTTAGAAACGCTTTAGACTTTGTTTACAAACTAGACACTATATCATTTTCATTCATGTATGACTCGGTGCTGTGAAACAGTCGTGGATAACGATAGATTTTCCTCCAGAAGTCCGCATTGTAAAACTTGACACATTCTAAGTTCACTAATGTCAGTAGAACGAATGATATCTCAAAAGGGCGATGACTAAGTGAGTCTGTGGGAGAGAGTCACTAAGTCGTTGATTAGCCAACGTTGTCAGTGATAAAAGTGTCAATGTTTTTCTTCTTGTGACACCCACGAGCAGACAGGGTAGGGTCTTCGGTGATAACATCACGAACAAACTGTGTCAATTTCCAGGAAAAATATTTAAAAACATGAATGATTCTGCCTGTGTAATTAATCTTGACTCTTGAAAAACAATGAATTTCTCGCCTTTATCTCTACGACGGAATGCGGAAATCATTTCACGTTCTCTCCACAAGAAGTAAGCTAATGGAATGCCCGAATCACGGATTGAATACAGATCTTGTCTAAATTGTCTTGAACTCTATGTTATGACATGTAGCTAATATATTGTTTGCTTCGGGATATTCAACTGACAGTTTCCTAGTTCCTTATATGGTTTCTGATTTCTAGCAGGTTGCAACATAAAATGCCAATAATTGGGAATAATGATCACCGTTTAGCCCGAATTCTTGGTATGGGTACGCCGTGAATGATATATATTACCTTTTAAACAACATCTCTATGGCTACACCCTCGCGCATGGCTCATTCCAAGATTATACATAGACAAACATGCGTGTTTTGGGAATTGCACGGTGAATTATCTGGTTTGTGTCTTAGATGTCCTAGTGTAGTTGGAATTACCTGGAAAGAAGAAAGCCCAGATTGTGTTGTGAACAGCCATTCACGGCAGACATGAAATTAAGACAAGTTAAGGTAGTAACTCTAGTGAAAATTTAAAAGGAATTCTCATGTCGTATTCTGAAATCCGGGAGGTATATTGCCAGTGACAATCGTGAGATAAGTTTATACCCTTTTATGGCTACGGGGTTCGCGTGTCAGGACACAATAGCAGTCAAAATGTAGACAGAATTCTGTTTTCCACTTCGAAATGCCCAAATATTTTGCGGTTGGATTTTGGTGACAATCTTCGAAGATAAGCTAGCGGCGAAAGACCCTTCTATGGTTAAACCTCTTTCATATTTAATATAGCACTTGTGTAAGACCTCCTACAATAAACGAAAGGAAGAAAGCCTTGAAACGAACGAAGAATTTTCTATATTTTGGAGCGTAATATTTTCTGCTTTTTTACATTATCCGTCACATGCTCGCGTTCAGCTTTCAGCTGAGAATCTGATCATTTTAAAGAACGATTTCCATAAGTCCGCTGGCCGCATCATTACTTCCGCGCGGGCGAATGATTCATGGCTGTAATATCAACTTATCAAGTGGCTCTCACGTCTGACGGGGCGAAATTGTCATAATCATAATGTGTTTTCGCTTTCATTAGGTGTTAAGTGCGAATGTCGTTGGCCAAACAACACAAGTGTGCGAACAAACATTGCCCATTCTCCTCGCGTCGACCGTACCTTTGAATATTTAATGGCAGTTAGCCCACTTGCCAAAATCAATTTCCCAAAGCTGTTAAAAGTATCAAAACGCCTCCGAGCTCGTTATTCAAAACCCAAACAGATCTAGACAAACTCGTCGGGGCAAACGAAAGATTACAGTACGAAATTTGACTCGTGTTTCGGGAATTAATGATATCTTTCTAACAAAAACAATCTTATCTTGTCGATTGACTCGCAGCAGGTGATCTTTCAAGGAGCTCCCCCCGGAATTCACACGTAGCTTCACAACCGGTGAGAATAATAATCCGGTCGTATCTAATGAATATATAACAAAATATTTGCATTTAGTTCCCAGTAGGGTTACGCTTCAGACTCGAAAACAACATGACATGAAATCTAATGTTACAGCTCGTTCGTGCAGATTGCTTAGACGAATTTTTCGTGCGATTAAAATGAGATTGGCGACGCACGTTGCTTGCTGAAGGAGCGATAGACAACTAGAAGCGAATATATTTCCTTATCCGGTGCCGTTGCGTTCAGTATATATTGCCAAGCTCGTGTTTATTACCTCAAACCTTCATTGAGGGCTGAGATGTCCACAAAGGTGCACACAAACATTATGGTTCGTCCGAATAAAATACCGTTTCACGTACTGGCGAACGACGAGGAATACGAGACGAATGCTAAAAGTCAAAATTCGCCGCGTTTAAAAAATGTTGTCGATCGATTGGTGGGCAATTGGAGGAGACAACGACGTTACCTCAATCAAGACGGCGAATACAGACATCGTAGACTCGCAGGTTCGACGACAAGCATTGAAAGCGACCAGTGTTTTACTCCTACGGCTACGAACGAAAGAAAGCCGCCGAAAATTTCCGAGCGATCTTCAAGCTTGGAGAAGATTAATGGACTTGTTGTGCGAAATGAGTACTTAGACTTCAAACCACCTTCAGAGGCATTTATGGGCCGCAGACGTTCAAGATCAGACTCCGATCTTTTAGTATCGTGCGAAACTTTCGCCCGACGTAGAGCCGCCATTTGCGAGGAAATGGAACGTAATCTTTTAATGGAAAACGGAGTGACTCTGCGAAAATGTCGCAAGAATTTGGTCCTTAATCAGATATTGGAGAATCTGTCGCTGTTGTAGAAATGTGTTTTGTAAATAGGCATGTACATAAATTAATCCAAGTAGGATATATATTTATTTGATAAGAGCGTTGTATTTTAACAAATGCATGCATGTGTGTGTGAACGTACTGAACTTGAAACGATTCTGCTAGTTTCTTAAGTTAAATTCAGACGAATACAATAGATTTCTGGCAGGTTCGGGGAATCTATCTTTTTATTTGAACGAAGTATTATAAATTGATCGCCTTAACGTGTTTTAATTTCACATGAGTTCATATATTATAGGTCTCAAATATGTACGAATATATATATAGTATATAAAGGCTTGTGTTCACTATGTCTATCGGATATAAGAATGATAAGAATTGTGTATATATGATTAATGTTTTGGTCATAACAAGATATGAATCGTTTATGATGTGTTAACTTCACTTCAAATAACTCTATAAAGCGTAGGAAAGATTAAATATCCTAGTGTTGGGTTTTGATAAATACATCTGAACGTGCGACATTAATTCGATTATTTCTTTGGCATATTTCTCTACCATTTGCTTATTTCATCCTGTGCAAAACACAATAATTCTTTCAACATGCAGACAGTCCACTTGATTAATGATAAAGTGTATTCCTTTATTCATCGACAATTTATGGTTTATTAAGGTTCTGTTTTGCCGGTATTATAGCATTACGTAAACGATACGAACGAGCATGTTCCGGGGCTTGACTGTACTTAACACTCAGATCCGTTTACACTTTACATTATCGACATATCGCGATATATAATGTAGGCTTTGCGTATGGATTAGGATCGTTTAAACCGTTGAAACGTGGTAATATATCGTCAGAATAATATGGGGAGAAAGTGGCTCGTATATATATATAATAGAAGTGCCTTTTGATATCAGCCGTTTGATAAAAGACTGTCGTATAGACAAGGCTAAACTAAAGTCAAGACACGCACTTGAAGATATGGATTATACTTTAGCAGCGTCATCTGTTTTCGCTGAACATCAACCTTCACGGTAAACATAAAACATAGGGCGAGACGCATTAGGGAAAAACGCTTAATCCTATGCAAATGCTTTTGTCAGCAATTTGGGTCGGATTCGTGGCTATATAAAATGCGCTCGTCTATAAACGCGATTCAAACAATCTTTTCCTGCGAGTTTGAATGTAATGAAACGAGCGAATAGTTTTCTCCGATGCTTTAAGTCTTTTGTATTTGAACACCCGTCGCCGTGTAATTTGTCTATTCGGTCAGATCGATTAAAAGAAAAAAAAAGCGTCTAAAATCGCGGATAAAATTATAGATGTAAACGGGTTCTAAATACGCAACTATATTTGTGTACACAGACCTTAAAAGATGAAGCAGTTACAATGCATGGGGTCGGAATTAATCCTAGAAATGTACGTATTTCGGCGTTGTGAGTGGTTTCGCTAATGCGATGGGGTTTTTTAAACGAGGGATTGTCTTATACATGAATTGTCACCTTTGACAAAGACGAGCTGTTATAGTATACTAAGTATAGGCCATAAAATGAGACAACGTAATCTAATTTCTGCCGACCAATTTATCTCGGAGTAATTTTCAAACTCAACTATTTACAACTAGTTCAAACACTTGTGAAGAAAAAAAATGGGCTCGAAATGACTTTGAATTGGATTCGTAATATCATCTTGAATTTCGTCTGGTTTTGAACAGCTGGACGGAATATTGCAAGATGTTTATTTATTTTTTATCTCACGTTCGAAGCCCTTTGAACATGCATGGGGGCATTTTGAGCATCTATACGATATAGTAAGGAACAAGAGCATTTTGCCATGAAGGGACTGTTTGTGATATCCAGGATCCAAAACACAGGAGTCTATACATAAAAGAGCTACATGCATGCATACGCGAGATTGGTGTTCTGCTGTTCCTATATATATAGGTATACACAAAGACGGTAATACTATCTGTCAGGGCGAGAGAAATATAGATTTGGCGAGATTTTCAGGTGCATAAATGCTTTCAATTTCCTGGCCATCTAGATGATTAACCTCCCCTAATATAAACAGCGTATTTCTGCCCTTGGAAATGGCTCACTATTTCTCTAATGTCTTCCTGGTCTTCACTATAGCAGCTTATATCGGATTATATCATTTGTATATGGGCTTAACATATATTGTCTGTGTTTTGCGTAGGCAGTTGCACGTGGACTTGTTTCTCTGTGGCCGTGTTTCATACCGTGAGGTTATCGAATGTTCGTTAAGCCAAATAAGGTTTTATCGCCAACAGACCAACACTCCTAAACTGTCAGGGCCTACGTAAGTGCATAGTATGATTTCATGTAAAAAAACCTCAATTATTTCAACCGCTCAGGACAGCTATAACCTATATCAACAATGCATGGATAATATGTAATCCCACGATGATCTTGCGATATACACCTCTCTCTCTTTCTCTGGATAAACCTGTTGTTTTGTGTCTGTTCAGGAAATGTAACATTCAACATTTCACCGAGCTGATTATGATGAGATATAAACAAATGTCTGTTAAACCACTCGTGTTATAACAAGGAGCACGGCCGGGGAAAACAGATTAAATTTTTAAAAAAATACTCAATATTCGTCATGCAAATAAAGCAAGTTTTTTAACCCATTTTTTCGAATAAGTTTGCGTTTTACCAAGGTATATAACGGACCAAACAGACTGCCAAAGATATGATGGACCACAACGCTATGCTCCACTGCGGATATCCCAGACAGTCATGGTTAGCATCTACAGAAAGCTTGGTTAACGCTACCAACTGTGCATGGGTTTAATATCAACCGTTTGTTTATATATGTGATTGCATAGCTTTCCTGCTTAGTACTTAAGAAAATAAGACCTCTGAAGCAGAAACGATTGATGGAAAAATGGAAAATCTATTTTACTTGATAAACAAGTTGTTTGAGAATTTTATTTGTATAGTCTATAGATTGGCGCTGATCCAAGTCAAAGCTAATAGGCTTTCGAACAACCAGCCCCTGAGTATTTTGAATTCCTCATTCCAAACAATTCGTGAGTTCTTCTGAATTGCTGAATACATATTGGTATGCGAGCAATGAACGTCCGATATATAGACTTTCCGAAATAGGTGTTCATATGTAGAACTGCACGTTTTTTAAAAAATTATCAAGAGAATTTGATACGAGAGAGAGAGTGATTAATGGCGAGTGCCTTGAGGCTTTAAAAATGACGCTACACCGCAACTCCTTTCAGTTTTAAACTGACAGTCTGCATGGCACAAACATTTCCTGAAGGGTCATCACTCAAAGAAGTTAAGCAGAGTTCGGGATCATATTGTGGTCCAGCTGGTTCGTCACGTGTGACATTTGAGGGTTGTTTACCTGAGGTAGGGTGGGCGAGGGTACACTCACAGCTGCCACCGCAGTTCTTCCTATGCACCGAATTCTTCCTCAATTTGTCCGCAATTTTGGTAATTTGATTTCTTTAGTAAACATTTTTAACATATGGATCCATCAGTTGGTAACACTAGATATTACGTGTCTCAAAAAAAAGGAATTCGCGCAGACCAGTTTCCTAAACAAATACACATGTTTGTCATAATATCCGCCTATAACGAACTATCGAACCAGTTTTAGTCAACATAATGTGTTAGTGCAATTGGCGTTAACCAACAAATTTCGAGATAGATGACTTTGTTTTGAAAGACAGCTGCATAACTACCCCAGCATTGTGGCTACTACACCCCCCTGATGAAGCTTTCCGACCATTAAAACCGGGTTTTTACAGATCAATTAGCGGCAACCCTTGGTTCAATTCTCACTTCCTTATATGTTCAAGACAACGATGACTTTTGTTTCAAAATCGTAGAAAACAGACGCATGCTTACGCAAGAGATCTAGAAAAGATTTCTGGACACAATATGTTCGCCATATTATAAACATCGGAGTTGCCGGGTGTAAATTTGGTGTGAAGATTTAGGAACCATGCAGGATTAGCCTTGTATCTTCCGGGCCCTGGTGATGGTTCGGTAAACAATAAGTACTTGAATTAGCTGGAAGATATATCACAATGTAAGAGACAAACAACTGAATATTTTGATACACTGAAGTCTTTGGGTTGGTTCTTTGGGCAATCTTTCAAAATAAGTAGACACTTTTGTCTTTCAAATCTCGATGCGCATTTGAGAGCGCTACACATTGATATTGAGCTTGTACGACTTCGAAATTTGTAAACAATGTGTTTGTCAGAACGCTTGTAATCCCACCCTAATTTACGTTTTTCTCTCTCGTTGAATTTGTGCTCAGACTTTGTTATGAAAAATCGATTTTTGCGCCTCTTTTGGAGCTATAACCCAAGACAAAACATAGAAAAGACTGCTACTTTAGCGAATACACCAAACATATTATTTTGCGTTTTAAATTTTAGATGACTGCAAAGCACAACGTTTTCTAACTCGCATTCGGTCTGGTCTTTGATGACAGAGCCTGCGGTGCGCTAAGCTTCTCTACTTTTCTACCATTCGTCGACAAGGGAACGGCAAAGACGACATTCCTTGCAGGCACGGCACAATTTCTTTATGTTTCCCACGCTGGTATGCATACGTGATACACCGTAGCGATCTCATACCACGCATAATAAAACCGTACATTAATAAACACTTATTTTATATGTTTTACGTTAATTGCCTCATACCAGGACTGCTTCGCCATGACGTCGCAGACACACACTGAGATCTCGAAGAATCCATAAAAACATGTTTACGATTAGGAAAATAGCTTTACGAGGCAACGAGAGTGTTAAAATCCAGCTCTCATTAAGACTTTTACAACCGAGCACTCGAGAGGATTTAGACATCGAGAATGTAAATTCTGCTACACTGAAACGACCATATGCAATTTTCTAAGCTATGCGGACGTAAACACGAATTAACTGGATAAATAACTTGATATAATCTTTTAAACACTGCAGAATCAGCGAGGGGCAGCGGGGGGCCAAAACGATAGCTTATATAAGCCATTAGAAATGGATACATCCTGCAAGACTCCTGTGAAGATATTTCCCTCGTATTGTATTGAATTGAGACTTAAAACTTTATAGCGATTTCCGGCTGAGATTTTTCCAGAAGGAAGCAAGACATCTATGGTATTACATTAAACGTCTTTGTTTCAACACCTATTTACCCTAAAACGTTTCTTTTTCTAACGTTTTCAGTAGCTAATGATGTAATGACATTTGAGTTTGCTAGATTCTAGAAAGGCTGGCCAAAGGTTTGCGCTTTTGAGACGTATAAATTGCAGTGTAATAACTAGACCATATATTTAAAAAGATTACTGATTCGTAAGTGGGTTTATTATTATTCAAATTACGTTTATCTAATTGTCCAGTCGTATTAGTTATTAAAGTATTTGACACCAGCTCCACCATCCCCCCTCACTGTCGCAGTCTGTTGCATCATTTTTTGCTCCGTGAGATCCCAATTGTTCCTCGTTGGCACAACATTTTGTTACCATGGTTTCGTAGTTCTGACGAAGAAACTCGCGAGACCGAATGTCAGCCTGCAGTGAAAAAAAATCAGTTATCAGTTTTTCACCATTTCATCGGCCATGTCAAATTTGTTCTTCCTAGAGGTCCAGTAAGGATCAACTCTTATTGATCCAGTGTTACTACAGGAGGAAACCTAAACTAAACTAACTTTATTTATAGTGGATAGTTCTATCAGTTTTAAACTGTTCTTCCTAGAGGTCCAGTAAGGATCATCTCTTATTGATCCAGTGTTACTGTAGGAGGAAACCTAAACTAAACTAACTTTATTTATACTGGATAGCTCTATCAGTTCTAAACTGTTCTTCCTAGAGGTCCAGTAAGGATCATCTCTTATTGATCCATTGTTACTACAGGAGGAAACCTAAACTAAACTAACTTTATTTACACTGGATAGCTCTATCAGTTCTAAACTGTTCTTCCTGGAGGTCCAGTAAGGATCATCTCTTATTGATCCAGTGTTACTACAGGAGGAAACCTAAACTAAACTAACTTTATTTACACTGGATAACTCTATCAGTTCTAAACTGTTCTTCCTGGAGGTCCAGTAAGGATCATATCTTATTGATCCAGCGTTACTACAGGAGGAAACTAAACTAAAAGATAGCAAAAATTGACAGAGGGAACCAGAAACCTGACCTGTCTTATAGGCTCTGGAACGCGATGCTTGCAACACAGCCCACATATTCTCAGTGCACTTCCTAAACTTATTTTATGACCAATTGAAATATATATTGGATTTCTTGAAGCATCCGTACTTTTAAACGCCTGAAAGATTCAAGTGAGCTTACGTAAGCATTATCTAGTCTTCAACATCCTGTCTGCATAAACTCTCTCATTCCGTAGGAAACTCGCTTTTGTGACTTCAGTAATATGTTTATATAAGGTTAGTAAATAGTAATGTATTTTCTTTTTATCCTTATATAGAAACCTATTAACCTAACCGCTCCAAATGTCTTCCCGGAGTTACCGACAAGCTTGAAAGAGTCGCCAGCCCTTTGTAATTGGTTGATCTAAAAGGTAGACACGGAATGAGGTATTTTCTAATATAACCAAGGGCAAGAAGGAACGACGTCGCAGCATCTTTGAGTAACTTCTAATGGAAGTTCATCACAGCCCACGTTTTCTCACGGAAGACGTGAGTTGCATTTTTAGTAACGTTCAAGCGTTTAGCAGCGCAAAGTTAAAGTTTTGTCTTCGTTATTAAAAGCCTATGTGTTCACGAGCGTCGTTTTCGAGCGTTTTGTCTCGGTTTTGATGCCTGTTTTAGGACGAAACGGGGTAAAATGTCCAATATATTAAATTATTTCTAATTTCTATACCCTAAACTGATGGTGTTTGCAACCGTTTTGCCGCGAAAACATAAACAAAAACGCTCAAAACGACAAAAGCGTTGCCATTTTCACATAGCCTAATTTATATTGAAACAAGACGCCGTTCTGGCGTTAACTCCGGCGCACGTGCCAGTCTTCAATATAGAGCTTCTGAACATAAACAATACAGTTCGCGTATTGTTTCGCATACATATTCGCATTTAGATGCCTTGCGAACCTAAATGTTCGATCGCGAAATTCAGAAGCACATCGCAGTATAGAAGTTCAATTGTTCAAAAATGTAAATAAACCGCATGATACATTCGCTTCGTCTTACACTTTGCCTTTGGAATTCGCGCTTATATAGTTGTATTAAATCTTCGATCCTGTGCAAACTACGCGACGTGTCAACGCGCCCATACACGACCACATCATCTTGTTAAACGGCGAAATAGCAGCGATATTATTAAAATAGGACCGAGTCTACATGTATTAAATATATTCTTACCCCAATTCAATCTAAACTTAATCGAACAGCATGAAAAGAACGGTTTATTTGTTCCTCTTGGAGGAATTGCCATATCATGCGAGCGAAATCGAATCGCGCATTGGAAAATTAGCCAAAGCTGTGCACCACAACTCTTGGGAGATAAGACTGGGACGTAGATAAATACGGTCACATACACATTTTAAATACTAGTATATTTCGCGCCATTACACACTTGCGACGACGAAAAATAATAAAAAAAAAAATAAAAAAAAAAAAAACAAAAACAAAACAAAACCGGGGCGAATTTTCAACTCCGTCGCTGACGCCGGAGTAATAATCGACGTCGAGGAAAGCAACTACAAAATGTAGTTAGGAGTTTTAAAGAACCGGCAACTATGAAGGGAGATAACGGAAGATTATGTGGGTTCTTTTCATTTGTAACTATGGCGTGACTTTCAGCGTACTTTTTCTAAGTGTTTCCGATTCTTCTCAATTCCGTCAACATGAAACAACGTCTTCCCAACTCCAATCGTACACGTATTTGAAATAACGCCAAGATGACTTGCCACGCCAAATCCTGTAGGTTTAAAGTCGATTTCCTGTTGGTTCGAGCATTTGAAGCATTGAAAAAATCTTTAGAATAAAACCTGGATGGTTTCCTAACTCCTAAACTTCAAGTTGTGTATACCTCTTGGATGCAAAATTCCATTTCCATCAACAAATATGACCTAAATACAAGATAATAATTATTGCATGTAAGGTTACATAAGAACATCTCAGTCTATTTAGTAAAAAGCTAACATGCTACCTCAGGCAGTAGTTCTGGTTTGTTCTTCTTCAGTTTTGTTATAAGGTCATTCAAAAATGATGCCTCACGAAACGCCAGAAATTGTGGTATGTAGGGTGAGGTTAAGTGAACAAAATCATATTCCTCATACACAATCTGGAGAACCAAGAGGATAAATTTGTTTATAAATTGAGAAAGATATAACTTTTTAAGATTATATAAATATCCGATCTAGTTTAATTGATTAATCAACTGTTAAATAGCAATGGAAAGTCCAGGCTTTTGTCAAATATGGTCAAGTAAATCATATAACCAGTTCTTTGGGAATAAGGCTTAGATATTTGGGAGGATGATTGTAATCAAAGGGGGTTATTTATTTCAAATTTCCAGTTGGTATCTTACTTCAAGTTTTGGGTATGACAAAATCACTAATGCAGCACAAGCATGTTTTTCATCGCCTTTCACAAAGGAAATATCAACACCACCAACATAATTCAGCAAAATTTCCTCTTCACCGTTGGGATCTTTTTGAAACCAGTTATATGTATCTTCCTCGATTAGATTCTTCTTCAATTCACACTGTTCCCTAATTTTATACGAAACAACTGAAGTCAAGTGTACCTCATGTGTGTGTCTGTGCAGGGGACATTGCTTGAGGGTGTGGCAGACCCCTGGGGTAGTTTGGGTAATTTGTGCGGTAAGCAACCCCCCACCCCAGTAACCCCACCTACCCTAGGCTACAGATTTGGTTTAATTGCAAAAAAAATAGATTACATGACATTTATAATGATACCTAATCCATTGCTGTTTGATTACGTTTAGATCGTCTTCATTTTCCATGTATATTAAGAAATATTGTTAAAAAATATAAAACCTAATTGTTACAAATGAGACATCCATTACAAGAAACTTTACATGACTTTCACGCAAGCGCTAACAGCTGACTGACATGAAATGCTGACGCCGCTACCATAACAACGACTGGTCGCTATGACAACGACCGTCGCCATCTTGAAAAAATTTTATGTGAAAAGAAGGGAATGAAAATATTATTTTTTTAACAAATAAATATATTTGTAAACTTTGGAAATTGGTGTGAAAGATGGGCGAAGCTGTAGAGGGAAGTACAACAGCAACTGATACAGGCGGATACGACTATAAACGATTGCACAGTTATCCTCTGATCAGGGTGAGTTCTTTCGTTCATTCGTTGGCCGTTGCTAGTCGTCAATATCAACTTGATTTTGTTGCTTTAGCTACAGCATTTGTAGTTTATTATAAGTTTTATTCGTCTCCTAGCATTCGGATATGAACGAGGAAATGAGGACAGAGGCAATGGAGCTTTGTGTAACAGCTTGTGAAAAGTTTTCAACAAACAACGAGGTAGGTCATTTTAACGGGGATTAATACTGATTTATACTGAACTACTGAAGCACAGCTATTTGGTGCTGTTTTGGTGAATACTCGTCTACCCTTGCCGGGTCATCAACTTGTTTTATTTTTCAGGCAGCTGCAAAGATGATCAAGGATAGTCTGGACAAGAAGTTCGGATCATCTTGGCATGCCGTAGTCGGGGAAGGCTATGGCTTTGAAATAACACACGAAGTTAAAAACTTATTGTATTTGTTTTTCGGAGGTTCAACTGCAATCTTGGTGTGGAAATCCTCGTAGTTACAAGCGAAGGTTTTCCAGACTTGATGGATAATGTTGAATCACATATGAAAAGAGTTTGCAATCTCAATTCAAGAGTCATAGCATAGTAGCATGGTTTTCTTAAGTGATTTTATTGCTATCTAAAGTACATGTATATAATATAATAATACTTTGTATAAATCCAATATCAATACGTACTAAAATATACAAGGTATCTGCATATATGTTAAACCAGTATCAATATGAGTTGCATCAAAAACATGGTCTATGAAAGTCGTCCAACTACAAGAACGCAGAATGCTACCGAAAACTAGAAACCTGAAGCAAAGCTTTCCAAAACCAAGTTCTTTCAAACAGCCTGAACAGCTAAACAAGATATACCATGTCATTTCTGTAACGAGTGACTTTGACCTGGGTTGCATGCGCCTCCAGAGGTCAGATTCGGCAGGATTTCAACAGATGAACATAATCATATCTAAAGATTTTACAAAAAAGTTGTCCAGATATGGATCTATTTAGCTCACTCAAGAATCAAAGCAGAAATCCTCAGATATATTTGTTTTTTGCATAATATTTGGAATAAAAATGAAGAAAACCCCAACGTGAATTCAGGCAACAGAAAGGATCGACATTTACAGCTGAACCGCAATTCATTTCAGTCTCGCAGCACGAAGAATGCACGCAATCTCCTGAAGTGTTATTATTAGCCCATTAACTGCCATTATTTGGCTACTTGCGGCTTTGCAAGATAAGTCATCTAAAAGGTAGATTCTTCTGCCAACTAAAAATAACAAAAGCAAGCAGCTGTCCAGCTCTTTTTATATCCAATTACTTAAAAACCGACCGACATGAATTGACAAGTTATTGCTGAATGAGACAACGTCTCGATTTTGTTTGGTGGAATTTGGCTGCACGCAAGACAATCATCTGAAGATTAGCCACAGCAAAGCCTAGTAAAAATATTTGTCATTCAGTATGTCATGTTAAATAAAGTCCGGAAAATCACAACAAAAAAACGATGTGTCTACGCGAGTTGTAATTGTGATGATAACACCTCGGCGTACGTCTGAGACAAACAATAAAAATCTCATTTGCGGTACAATTATTGAAACGTTACTTGGAAACCACGTCGAAACCTTCGTATTTAAATATTCAACAATTCCTTCAACTCTTTGTGAGACGGGATTAAGGCTTGCGTTTACACACCAAAGTGATTTTAATTACTTGTGAGCACAGTGCGTTTTTTTCAAGCCAAGGTTTGAGAAGTCAGACTGAAGCCTTCATCATCTGGTTACTTGAAAACACACAAAAACAGCTTGTTAAATTGAACCCTATTACAGTTTGATTCTCAATTTACACCTTAGTAGCTCCGGAGACAGACGGTTGAGCGTGTGGACTGCAGCTATCGAATTTTCAATTCGTGAAAGTTCAATTCGTGAAAGTTCAATTCGTGAAAGTTTACAGTATTTTTAAAGGAAACAAAAGAGAGTTCGCTGGATGGAAAGGGACAATGGATTGCAGAAACCAGTGGTTTTTCCATTTTTGATCGAGGAGCCAAAAGCGAGTCACCAAGATGCAACGAATCGCTCATTCCTGAATGGGATGATGACTAAGTGGTCTCGTAATCATAACAGACGAACACCAATGGTAAAGGACGCATTCCCTCCTAGCAAAACCGTCCTCCACGGCAGGGAACGATATTCAAAAGGATTTCACAGCCCAAGTCATAAAGAGATGATCTGCAAGAGTTATTCATGTCCGAAAATCATCGACATGAGTAACATCGACTTCTACCAGGATCGCGTTAGCCAACGGCAACCAAGGCGAATATTCAATGGTTTCTTCCCGAACAAGATTTTGACCACTCAAGGCTGCATTGGCAATGATCACGGAGCAGCTCATTCGACTAGAGGTCGAACGCTCCAGCCTCAGGTAAACTAGTTACTGATATATTTATTGCCGTACGAACTACGAAATGGTTTAAATTGTATCCCTCTTGCTAAGTCAAGCTAAACTTGCTTTGACATGAAGAGCGACGTTTGGGCGAAAAACGTTTAGCAGAGGGTCGAAAAAGTCAATTTCGTTCCTGACTACGACAATCACCACATAAAATGATGTCGTGTTTGCATCTGGTATTCGTTTACTCAGGTGGTTCAGTACGAACAGTATTGATCTTATGTATGCCCCAAACTTAATTAACCGCATGAGATGTTTTGTAAAAGCACCGAACGAGTTTCCTTTTCTTGGGCTTATCCCATATTTGAATGTTAACCCTTGTGCCAACAAAACTGAGACAGTTGTTTGTTTTGTACTAAACGCTATTTGTTCTCTACGAACAGTCAAATCTTTCCCAAACATAATTAACCACACTATATGCCAATATAGTATCGGTGTTTCCATTTTTCTGTTCCAATAGGCAATGAATAGTTATCGGGATTGAATGTATTGTACTTGTAAAGATTATGACAGCTGTTAAGTAAAGTAAAGATTGCTTTTTGTTTTAATAGGTTGGAATGTGTTTGCAAAGGAAAGATTCGGCAAATTTCACAGGTCTCAGCTCAAGTCGTGAGTTGCATTCCTCAGGAAATTTTCACCGACCAAGTTATCAGTCTACCGACCCTAATGTTGGACACTTCGGTTGTCGCCGCTCAGATTCGTCGTGGCCCGTGAGGAATGGTTCGCCATCACCATGGTTACAACGGTATAAACTTAAGAAGAGAGCTACCACATCTTATGCCTTGAAGACTGGTCCGAGTGGTCAGGACTACTGTGAACCAGGTGATCATGAGATCAGGCCGAAACGAAGCCAGAAATATGTAAATATATCAACAGCTGTAATCTTGGATGCTTTTTGAGCATAGGAAATGTTTTGGCTTGATTGGGTCACACATTTAAATATTGGTAGTGTCTTAACAGGGCACCATTACATGGATTTAAGAAATGAAAAAGAAATGGTGATTTCAGAAGAATAAAAAGAGATAGAAATTAGCGAAAATGAAAATATTAATCTTTAGCAAGAGATGAATGTATATATTTATGTACAGAATGCATTGTGTTGTTTTATTATTGATAAACATCTCTATTCATAGCATGATAAGCCTCGTCTACTTTACTTTTGAGAAGTTTGTCTTCCTGGGTTAATTTTTTTATCTCATCCGAGTTGATTTCTAATAACATTCCAGTCAACTTAGCAGCCATTTCGTCATCTGGGTACCACTGTTGAATTCTGTCAAATATCTTGTCACCCATTTCTGCCTTGGTCAGTGGTTCGTCAGTGGTCTCGCTAAACAAAATAACATGCTGAGCATATTACAGTATCCTTTCTTTTTGGTACTTGAGGTTAGGCTAAGATTAGGATTAGATTAGATCAAGATTTTTGGTTGATTTAAAGTTAACTCCTAAACCCAATCTCAAACTAGTCTCAAGGACTAGATTTATTAAGCATGGATTTATTTCCATCTAATCTTTGCATAATCCATCTCTAATCCTAAAACTAACCTTGATTCTAAATTTAATCTTAATCCTTAATTGTCACTTAGGAATAAAGACACTTTAAATAAAATGACTAAACACCACACCTTGCATGAAGTGCAGTATTTTTATGTCTTTGCAGTGCCTCAAAGGCCTCACGAATTTTAACCAATAAGTCATTTTTATTTTGCATCAATCTCTCGATATCTTCCAATCGTAACTCGAGCAACATTCCAGTAATTTTCTCAGCAATGTCGTGTTCTGAATACACAGCTTCAACTTCAGAATACAAGGCATCGCCTAGCAATTCCCGTTTGTCTTTTTCCGTCTCCTTCTCCAGAACCTTGATCGCCTCGTAGATTTGTGACATGAGTTTGCTATCATCCGAAAAAATGTTTTTGAGATCGTCAGCTGGCATTTCCAGCAGCATTCCAGTGATTTTCGCCGCGTTTTCCTCATGAAATGAACGTACTTTTTCAAACAATGCAATGCCAATGTCTTCCTCGTTTGAATTCACCTCCGAACTAGCCTCGTTTCCCATTTATTCACTTTTATTTGAAACATTTATTAATGTAATTGTAACAGTGCCATTGTTGTTTGTTTTCGTAATGAACCCCCCCCGCTGATAATTATTTATTCTCCCCCCTGATTTAATGACATCTCGCCCAAGAGTAGCAATAATTGCAACAAAAACGTCCGCATATTATTCTAAATTATCTAATTGTTTTTACCGATGTTGGTGATATATGTATATACAGCTAAATTCGTTGCGTATTCAAATGTATTGCTTGTGATGTTTACGCGGAACAACTTTCAACGCCATCTCGCAATAAAATTTAGGGAAAATTTGATTGACATGGAACTCGCTTTGCAATTGAACGTCAAGTTGTCCCAGCGTGGTGGTGCATTTAGAAACACCAAATAGAAGACACAATCACAGTGACTTAAGATAACATAATTACAATGCTATTAAAATCAATTCGTCATCAGCATGACTATATATGTAAACACTATATACTAATCATTTAAAGTTAATGTTTCATTTGGCTTTTTCTTCACCGTGGCTAAAACTGACCTCCCTGCCTGCGAAAGTATATCATTAGTTGTCATTTCTGTCTGCTCCTGTGGCATATCCAAAAATATTGAATTTCGATTCGGCTTTGACTCGACTGGCAATGCAAAGCGCATGCTGCATACAGCATTGCCTAAACGATCCAGAAGAACAGGCAATTTGGAGCGTTCACCCTTCACTTGAGTGAGAAAACTCTCAACAATTACAATTGCTTCCTGTTGCTGCGATTTTGCAGTATTAATCTTTTCCAACCTTCCTGAAACCTTGTTGAGATCTGGCATGGAAAATGTCATCGTGTCTTTGGATCCTTTCCCAATCTTTAGTGTGTTGAAACCAAACGAACCGTCGAGGAGTATTTTTCCCCCATACGATGTATCACGTATAATCTTGCTCACCTCGCTAAACAAAGCGTTGTATTCAATTGTCTGCGAATCATCGAGGTCGCTATCGCCAGCTAAAATTTCTTTAACACGATCGAGGATGCGTGTGATTTCAAGCAATGCACCATCTGCAGCTTGTGTCATTGAAATGATATCAGTGATATTTCTATTTATGTCACTTGAATTAGGATCTTTTTCCTCGACATTTTTGGATTCCATCTTGGATATTGTAAATGGTGTTGGTGTGATATCTCTGCTCCTTCAATTAGTTCAATATGACCGTATTAGTCTAGTTTTCCAGCTATGTTGAGCAACATTAGCATCAATAGCGGTCTGCCTTGTTGTCTCAAAATAAACTTATCAAACTAGAAAATAAACGTATAAACTGGTCAGTCTATGACTCTATGTAAAAGCATAAACAATTCTAAAAAGTTTCTTTTAATATTTTGGTGTCTAATTGTCTATATGCTATCTTTCAACACAATCAGAGAATAATGGTTAATTACTGTAAACTATTTCAGGAATCCTTTGCTTATGACCGCCTTAATCACCATTGTAAGCTAATAATCCCGAAAAATTAATCTTAATCTCATAGATAATCTCCGGATCATCCTATCTGGCATGTGTGATCTGCACTCATATATTCCACGCTCCACGCGTGGAGATTGCTTTTTCAAAATGGCGCGGGATACCGCGGTATGTCAAATTTTCGAAGCAAAAATTTGAAACGTCTGGTTGTCTTTTTACTTCGTTTTCTCACCTCAAATTCACTGAAACTCAAAGCTACCTTGTTTATTTTAAGGACATGCAAGTTGAACAAATTCCCTCGATCATCAAAGATATTTTACTTGGAAATAATTTATCAAGAGATAGTGATCATGTTTTTGACAACGTCTTGCAAAGATGTTCCAGCCAAAGTTGCACGGATATTCCTCCGATCGTGGTACGTATTACGAGATTATTATATTTATCTCTGCTAGAAATACATGCATTCCCCATATATTTAATAAAGGTTCAATTTTCAAAATGCTCTTTCGGTAAAAATGTAGCAATATTTGTAAATATTGGCTTCGGTGTTTTGAAATGAAATTTAACCATTTCGATAAAAGGACAGTTTTATAGTTTGTACATGCGAATGCCGTCAATTTAATTCCCATTTAATAAGTGAGACTTTTCTTTAATTGTGTTGTGTGATTAGAGAAATAAGTGATTTTATTGTTCATCAAGAATAATAAAACGTCCATTAATGATCAATCTAATATCACAACTCATTGTTCTAATTATTGATTGAATAATGTAACCCTCATTAAACTTGGATGACCAAGCTAACAACATCACAAAGTTCACAGCATAGAGACCCTTCTCTATGAGACTTCAACAAAATGACTATCAGGAAAAATTGTTTTACTCAACTATTTTTCAGAGATTCAATTCTGGAATTCAATTTTGACCTAACTTCTCAGTGTCTTAGTCCAGTGGATCCAGCCTTGTTTAAATTGATGTCTGAATAGTGTAAAATGTTCAAAATAGTGTAAAATGTTACAGTAGAAACAGTCATTAGTGAATATACTTTATCATTCCAATAGCTCACCAAAGAAGATCGTTTGATTTTGCAAAAAGATCGTGAAGATGCGATGAAATGTGAAAAGTTGATAGCAAAAAGAAAACAGGAAAAGTACTTTGATCTGGTTGATCAAATTCAAAATGTTTTACAAAGAATTGAGGTATATACAAATGTTAATTTTTTATTTTTGCAAGTTTGAGTTTACTATGCAAACTCTTGTTTGACTAAAGTGGGTTTTCTTAGAAAAAGAATTCACGAAAACCTGACAGTTCCCAGAATGAAGATGTTCACAAGTCCACTGTTGAGAATTCAAGTGATTTCAACAACAATCCTTTCTCAAATCACTCTGAAGTCTACACTGAAAACATGGAGCCATGGTCACCTCAATATTTCAGCAGAGATTTGGACGGTTCAAGGCAACATACTCAACAACAGCACAGACCTGGACGGTATTCCTTACCAGCAAATTTCGAGACAATGTACCATTCTGTTCCCTTGGCTAGGAATTTTGAACACAGTAGTCACATTGAAGAAAACCATTCCCCCAGGCAAAGACCATTATCCGCATATTCTCTTCATGATGTCGTGAATAATAACCAAGGTGACAGATTTTATGGTGGTGGTGATGGTCGTCAGCTACAAAACAACTACCATACAATGTATTCACATGAAAGACCACCACCAGTGTCATCACATAACAAACACTCCTATTCTGGTAATAATGGCTATCATTCTATACCAGTCTACGAAGAAAGACCATACCATACGAATATAGGCAAGCAAGATGAGTTTCCTCCAAGGCCTGTTGATTCTTCCTGGAAAACTGGCCCATCCAAGTCTAAAACCACTCCTGGTCTTCCCAACTCTGATGGCATAAACCATTCCTCGATGATCACTAACTCACCCATATCACAGGCAAGTGAAAGTCATTCCTTCATCTCCAAGCAAAGAGAGCTTCTAGCTTTGGAACAAGTGCAACTTGAGAATCATTACGCAGCTCTACAGGGACAGCTTTTAGCGGACTTTCAACAACGACAAGAAGAGTTGATAGAAGTTTACAATAAAAGTTTGGAGACACAGTCCGGCACTGGTCAAACTAGTCAGTCAATTTTGGAAAGATCTTTTGAGTCTGATTCTGAAGTAACCCTGACGTCAAGCACCAGAGAACAGGAGCATTTCACGTTGGTCAGAACGGAGGAATTACCCCAGAGTCCGTTTGGGATAACTGTAAAGAGAGGAGTGTCTCAGAATTCAGGCCAGAGAAACGATACAAGATCATTAGGGAATTCTCGTGCAGAAAGACGAAAACAAAGTCCGATTCTTCTCCAGAACGAAGGGTCGAAGTCGAGAAACAATTCAAGATCGCTTCAAAAGAGAGCCTCGCCTATAACCAACTCAATTTTGCCTGATAATGCGAGATTTACGAAAGAGTCTAGTCCTTTTCAGAACCAGATTTCTCCAGATCTTTGGCTTACCAAAAGTTCTGCTGCTTCTCAGAGTCAATCATCGCGGCAACATGATGGTACACGAAACGTCCCTGGGAATTTATCCAAGGATCAGTTATCTTCGCCAGCTTCGACGGGAAAGAGTTTTAATTCAGAAGTAAGCGCTCAGGATTATTATGAAATGCCGTATTTCAGGGAGTCTGAATCTGTTGCAAAAGGCAAAATTGGGGACGTTGATGCTGGAAATCGTAAAGGTTATGTTGGGAAAACCAGTAGAAACTCGACGAAGAATTTTGCAGTTGTTACGTCGCCTAAACGAACCCCACTGAGCAGTTTTGAATCAAAGGTAAGCTCAAGGGTAAGAATTTCTTCTCGAAGAGCTTCTGAACTTTCTTAGAGGCTGTTTACATGATCCCGCTTAGCCGAGGTTAAATACAGCTTGAGATGACTTTGATGTATTGAAATGAGTTAATAACACGTTCCTGGCAGTGCTGTAGTCATCCCAACAATAGCAAGTGCTTGTTTGGTTTCATAAAGACTCATTTCAATACCTCAAAATCAATCACTCCTCGTTGAATCTCAGGAAACCCAGCTCATGTACACAAACAGCCCCTTGGTTTTCTCAGTTCTAAATATTTCTTCATATTATTGTTTACACCTTTATATATCAGACTCCCTGCTAGAAAGTACATTTAATCTCAGCATTGTTTCGTTTTGTGTCACTCTAGACTGTCAAAAATCTTGAAATTACCAAGAGTCGCAAGTTTTACGTGATGTCTGCTGTGGCTAAAGGCTTCCTCGCTCGATTGCTCTTTCAAACTGCAAAGATTACTGGACTAATAACCACGATTAAGGTATTGCCTGAGGTCTAAACATTCTCTTTATTTCCTGTTCATCCCGAATACCATACCATGCCACGCTATGTACCCTAGAATTGATGAGCTTTGTTGAGCGTTTCATTCGGTGATTCGAGTGGTGCTGAAGCTGAAATATTTCGACGATTTTGAAAGCACAGAATTGAGCGATTGATATACGAAATTGAATATATTTACAACCAAGCCCAAAGCCAAAACAAACAGTGTAGAACTGACTCGTTCCGATTGCTTAGCTTTGAGTTTATCACCACTGGAACCTTATGATGAACGTATAACAGGAAGCCTCTCTCTTGTCACTGTAAGCCGCTCCATACTGGGCTAAAACGCATATACCTCTGTTCGTATTTACTGTAGGATGCCAAAAGTGTTTTAGCTGAAATGAGCTCGGAATCCAGCCAGTCCCTAACGGATCGTTCGTTCAAAGAAAGAGTCAGAACACAGGTGAAAATTTGCACCAACAACGAGCTGTATTTTATTTCATTCCTCTATCGCAGATGTTAACGTTTCATTGCGAAGGTTTTAACATCGTTTCGTGATGACGTTCCGTCTTCATTTCAAATTCTCAATCGTTTTCCCAGCTCCACTCCGCTCAAAGTGAACTGCGAAGAATATTCGTGGATTCTCCTCCAAGCGAACGAATGAAAATACTAGAAAATCATCGAAGGCTCGTGCGAGAAAAAGAGTCTAGGAACGTAAACAAGGTAATATATTCACCTGGAGCCGGTTGTGTGAAAGCTGGATAGCGCAATCCACAGGATTGTGGTTTTAAAATCGCCCGTTGTTGGGATTAAACTTTGATTAAATCTCAGTATTCCTAAATTGAGGATCCTCTTTAACAATTGTTAGTTCCAAAGCAGAAATTTGAAAAAGCATTTTTAGAACGGTTGAAAACATCACTATCCGGTGGAAAGCGCTGTCCAGCCCCTACAAACGACGCATGTAACCTCTCAAACCGCATATTATCATTTGGTAAGCCTTGAATATTGTTGTTCAAACGTTCGGGCTCGTGAGAGACGCAGCTTCGAGGCAAGACCTAAAATTTTTTATTCATTTTGCTTGGCACACTCTTGATTTCGTAGGCCCACTCTGCCAGCGAGGCACCTCCACAGCGGCCGAAATTATCAAACGTCACGATGAAGAAACGACTTTCCAGACAACAAACGTATCCTTCAATTTACATCCACTGAAATAATACCGACTCTTGAAAAACCGAATCAATAATTTACATCACGTAAAACCACAGATCCCGTCTTTCTGAGAAACTGTCAATAGAGCTGCTGTGTTTACAACTGGGTTAAAATCATATCTGGTTTTACATCCTGAAGTTGTGCGTTGGTAATCTCACGCGCATAAGGTTGTAACTATTTATATATCCAGTAACACTATCTCTGTTATATGTATATCCAGTATAACATTAGATCAGTAAGAACGCCGTTTCTGCCCTGTTTGAAATCCACTGCTAAGTAGTTTATTGTACTTCTGGTGAGATTTCGACATCTGTGGTTTGTGGCTTTAACTAAAATATAGCCAGGAAAGGACACCCAAGTCTGAAAATGAAGCCACTCCGAACTCTTCCAAAGCCTCTCGAAGCGCCAGCAAAAACACTCCTAAGAGCTCGACTAGGAACACACCAACGGCAACAAAGGCTAAATCTTCAACGAAAAGCAAAACTAGAGGTGGCCAAGAGACTCCTAAAACCTCACACCCCGATGCTGTAAGCAAACAAGTAACAAGAACTACTCACCCAACTGGTGCTACCACTGCGTGTGACCCCGTCGCTACAGCAGAGACCGCTGTTCAACGCAACAAGACAACGGAAAATAAACGAGATGATGGGAAGATGGACAGGAACAAGTCATCGATGAAGTCGAGTAAAACAAACTCCAGGGTGACTCAAACCACGAAGAATAGACGAAGGACATGGGATACGACGTATGTCAAGGGACGAGGGGGGGGGGTTGTGAGCGAGGGGATCGTGAGGGAATTGTGCGTGCAACGGTGGGTGATACGCAAGGGTGATACGCAAGGGTGACTCAAGCCACGAAGAATAGACGAAGGACATGGGATACGACGTATGTCAGGGGACGAGAGGGGGGGGGTTGTGAGTGAGGGGATCGTGAGGGAATTGAGCGTGCAACGGTGGGTGATTGTCAGAGGGAAAAGTTAACCGTAGGGAATGTGTTGTGTGTGTAGGGGGTGATTGTTGGAGTGTGTTTGTTATAGAGGGGTTGGGGTGGTAATCGTGCATGAGGAGTGTGTTTGTGAGAGGAGAGGGCGTGATTCTGAGGGGTGTGTTTGTGAGAGAGAGGGGTCATTGTGGGGAGTGGGTTTGAGAAGGAGAGGGGGTCATTGTGGACTTCTCAGATTTTTTACATTTTCTATTCATCCTTCTGTAGTGTACCAAAACCAATCCAAGGACGAATATCCCCAACGAGACCAACAGAAAAGACGAGGTGAGATGAATTTGCCAGACCTCGAGGAATGAATATATTTAGACACTAAAATATTCAAATTGAACCATAATGCTGTAACTCGTACAATCTTCGTAGGTTGTCAAACGAAAAACGACAATCGACATTGTCGACCGCTCGCAAGGCCGGTCAGAAGCTTCTTGGAGACTATCAGGCGAAGGATCTGTCTGGACAGTCCAGCAAATGCGAGGTATCTGGGATAGACATGAGTAAAACATATAAAGTAACTAATACTGAGCAAGCAGTAAAAAAGACTGGAGCGAGACGTTCTCTGGCGGCAAACCTGACACATAAAAAACCTTAGTACATGAAGTAGTCAGTCGGCTTTGGGGTTGATTGAAATAACAGGGATACAGCCACTTCAAGTTAATCCTTTGACATCAATGAACCTTGGTCTCAGATGCAAATTAAATACTGTCTATTTAGGGATTTACCTGTGTTAAATACCTAGGACGAGCTTAGACTTGAAATTCGAGTTTAAACTCAGGAAAAAGACGTGCAGTTCAGCTTATTCACTCTTTGTATGCCCAGCGTTCATGTTTTAGGGTCTTAATTAAATGACAACCTAAACGAGTTAAGATATGCTTGTTCATCCACGTATTTTCGAAGCTCACAGACGCTACTGTGCGTGTTATAACAGTTGATTACAGTGCGATTTGATTTTGATTAGAATGCGTCAAACGCCTGTAATCGTTTATAGACCCAGTCACGTTTATGAGATTATTATGAGTCTTTTAAAACGAGGACGTATTTTTATTATTTGTGTTCGATAATTAAAATACTGACGTTCAACCATCACCCTCGTCACGCACAAGTGCACGTTCTTGAAATACACAATGCTTCTTTATACTATCTGTGCATTTAAAGTGCCCGTAATTCGTAATGCTTCTAAATTGCAACCTTGAATATGCCGAGGATAATTATGCTGTTGAGTGTAGTCGTGTAGGGATAAAACCGTAACCACATATTGCGTCAGCGGTGAAGAAACAAAAAGAAAGATTACGATTCTACGGAGAGAATAATGAGATAAGAGTTCAGCGAATATCGGATGGAATCATAGAAACACGAAGGTACTAGAGAAAGCGAATGTTTACTATCTGTTATGCATTTGCATGCTTAATTTTAACGGGCAAGATCACGAAGCCGATTCCTTAATTATTTGTGATCTACAATTACGTTCATCTACATATGCTTGCTTGTCAGATATAATAGACGAACTAATCTAATTGTATATATTATAATATCGTCAAGCCATGGAGCTAAATTTGTTTTTAAATCCGAGTGGGAGGTACCAGCTGGGTTCTGCTTATCTAAAGATCTATTTAGTGGTTCGAAGCCAAACCCACTCGATGCATTTCAAATTATTTCACGAATTCTTGGGCGGATTAAGTTCTGTACGTGTATACTTTGCGTTTTGCCCTCTGACCGATAAACAATAGGGTAACGTGAAGTTGCTTTGACAACCTGGAGACTTAAAGCTGTAAAAACATACAAGTTCGTTTGTAATATATTTAGACAAACAACTTTACATGTCTTGTCAAGCTCCGGCGAATCTCGAAGTGAAGAGCTGTTTTTGAATGACTTGTTGTGTGATGCTCCAGGATATTTCACCTTGATTAAGGTAAGTCAAGTGTTTTAGACGTTTTGTCTATATATTATCAGATCAACGCTTGGCTTTTAACGAATTTATAATTGGTTCTGTATTGGGGAAAAAGATGTCGTTGACTCGCTCATGTATGGACGTAACAACGGAGTGATTGTATTCACAATAGCGAGCCGCGGTTAATTTCACCAGACAAGGGCTATCCTGTATAGTTTAGTTCCGGTTTCCTACTGTAGCATCACAAGAGTTGATTCTTACTAGAAAGATCCTCAAGAATCCTTTGATCCCATAAAGGAGAGTTCAGAACAAATAGAGCTATAGCCAGTATACAGTGTAGATAAAGTTAGTTTAGTGTAGGTTTCCTCCTGTAGTAACGCTAGACCTCTAGATCTAGGAAGAACAGATTAGAACTGATAGAGCTATCTAGTATAAATAAAGTTAGTTTAGTTTAGGTTTCCTCCTGTAGTAACACTGGATCAATAAGAGATGATCCTCACTAGACCTCTAGGAAGAACAGTTTAGAACTGACAGAGCTATCCAATATAAATAAAGTTAGTTTAGTTTAGGTTTCCTCCTGTAGTAACACTGGATTAATAAGAGATGATCTTTACTGGACCTCTAGGAAGAACAGTTTAGAACTGACAGAGCTATCCAATATAGATAAAGTTAGTTTAGTTTAGGTTTCCTCCTGTAGTAACACTGGATCAATAAGAGATGATCTTTACTGGACCTCTAGGAAGAACAGTTTAGAACTGACAGAGCTATCCAGTATAAATAGAGTCAAATGTACATAAAACAATGTAGGAAATACGAAGTTTATTTTTGGCATTCCTTCATGAACGCACGTCAATCGTCAATAGCTCTTGATGAGAGTTTTACTTTCAAGTGCAAGGCTTCCTACGCTGATTCTGTTATTTTACGTAGACCTTCTCATATCCGCGACGTACGTCTATTGCCGCGCGCGCTCATCAATACTTAAACAATTGTGGGAATCTACAAACGCACCTGTGCTATCCAGCATCGTGCGTGCATATGCCCCCGTAAATAACTTTCAAGAATAACATTTTTTAAACTATTATTATATAACTAAATGCCTGCCTTTTGCGTTCAAATTTTCGTTAGCCCTTTAGTGCATATATTAATGTTATATGCATACCGTGATTAAATTTGATTGTATGTAAGACTGTGTCAAAGCAATAAATATTTTATGATTGTCAATAGACAATAGAAAACTGCCAAGAGGTATCTAGGTAATAAGTTTTCGTATGTATTACGCATATTACCCCTTTTTTGTCTAGCAGGTGTATTTGCAACGGGTATTTCAACGACGCGCTTCGGCTTGTCCAAGTTATTTTGAATGATAACGTTGAACGCTGAATATTCTACGGAACTGAACGAGCTTTTTTGGATCGCTGCCGGTGAAAAGGAGAAAAGGTGAGAAAAATTTTAATCGGCAGTGATGCGTGCATGCATGTATTTAGGTATTTTTCATCGTTTACTTTACTTGCCGCCCCTGGGTTCGGTGACATGCAGTTTTGACATTTCCAAACTAGAAATCGAAACACGAAGTCACGTATCGCAAACAGACCTCCGCGTGGTGACTCACGAATTTGTCTTCGACATTTTCTTTGTTGAAAAACCGGTCAATGATTTCATTCGGTAAAGCCAGCCAACGTCTGTCTATCCATCTGATGCATGGCGATTCCTTTAACTGTTGTATAAAATTTTGAAAGCATTTGAAACTTCTGACAGAAATATTAAGCTGACTCGGCTAACGTCATTAATGAGGAAGTTCTTTTCTGGGAACATGATGGTTTCAATATCAGTTTCTAAATTACCGGAAATGCATGTCAGGGCGATTTTAGTTATTTTTAAATTCAAAAGTGTTTGAATTTAATAGTGTTTTAATAGTGTGAAACACTTAAATAGTTTGGAGTCCTTTTAGTCATCAATGTATGTATCCCACGCTTTCGAACGTGAGAAACGAACCGTCAAGTTCAGATAAATAACATCAGAATCCGGTATAAACCCTAGATTAACCGAAACCTCTTCCTTTCCCGAGCTCAGTGGCAAAGGTGTTCCTCTAGGAAGTTGAATGCTGTTTATTATTGATTTAAAATTGTGATTGAGTGAACATTACATCACAATACCGCGCATTTTTTTGGATTTATACTTCAATTTTCTCAATTTACTGTGTAAGTAAAGGTAGACGCATGTAATTGTTCTAGCTATCTCAGAACCCTTGTCGACGTCGTGGTTTGTGTCTGGACGTCCAGAAAAAAATATTTCAAACGTGGTGGTCCAGTATAGGTATAGTATTTGACGATAAGCTGTCGCGGTTTGTGTCTGAACTACCTGCATGAGAAAGATATCTCAAACGTGGCGGTCCAGTATAGGTAGTATTCTACAATAAGCTGTCGCGGTTTGTGTCTGAACTACCTGCATGAGAAAGATATCTCAAACGTGGTGGTCTAGTGTAGGTAGTATTCTACAATAAGCTGTCGTGGTTTGTGCCTGAATTATCTGAGAAAGATATCTCAAACGTGGTGGTCCAGTGTAGGTAGTATTCTACAATAAGCTGTCGTGGTTTATGTCTGAATTACCTGAGAAAGATATCTCAAACGTGGTGGTCTAGTGTAGGTAGTATTCTACAATAAGCTGTCGTGGTTTGTGTCTGAATTACTTGAGAAAGATCTCTCAAACGTGGTGGTTCAGTGTAGGTAGTATTCTACAATAAGCTGTCGTGGTTTGTGTCTTAACTACCTGAGAAAGATATCTCAAACGTGGCGGTTCAGTGTAGGTAGTATTCTACAATAAGCTGTCGTGGTTTGTGTCTGAACTACCTGAGAAAGATATCTCAAACGTTTGTGTCTGAACTACCTGAAAAAGATATTTCTATTCACGGGGAGACTATCAAACCCCAGATTGTAGTTAAGATTTGAATGTACACATGTGCCGAATGCCGACTGAATTCATGAATAATTTCATGTTTAAAAGTAATCTTTCATCAATTTGCAAGTTTCATTCCAAAAAATTATAGGGCATATATAGCATTATATCAGGTGAACAAGTGAACTAGAAAAGTAAATTAAAAAAAAAATGTAGCCATAAAAAATCGTGTATTTATGTTATCAGATTACTCGGGTGATAAATACACACTCTCTCGTTCATGTCTCATTACAACATATATCTCATCTCTTTCGTTTTAACAGATTCTGCGCTGCGGAAAACTTGAAGAATCTCTGCTCGTGAAACTCGTCGGGAAAGTACATATCCTCACGAACTTGCTGACGAAAAGGTTTGTGAAAATATTGCAATCAAATACATTTCCAACGACCACTTAAACGCTGATATTGAGAGGGCCTCGTTCATCAGTCGCGACGACTTGATCAAAATCTGCCTTGATCAAGTCGTCTGCCACGACAGCTTATTGTAGAATACTACCTACACTGGACCTCACGTTTGAGATATCTTTCTGAAGTAATTCAGACACAAACCGCGACAGCTTATTGTAGAATACTACCTACACTGAACCACCACGTTTGAGATATCTTTCTCAGGTAGTTCCGAGAGTGATATTAGAAAGCTTTAGCAGTGATTGCGAGCACGCCAGGAGTACAAGATTCGTCATCGGCCAAAACTCGGTGTCGAACGTGATGCAGATAGCGTATAGGCAAATGCACCGAATTTGACGCGAAAATAACGAAACGTAGTCACGTCTAAAGCCCCCCATTTTCTTCCGCAGTCCATTTCGAACCGATATCTCGTTTCCAGAAATCCAAGTATCCAGTTTAAATATGCTTCATTTTAATAGAATTGAATTGCGCGGAATTAAGGTGAAGTTTTTTGAAACTAAAATAACTTAACGGCAGGTGCCTTTCGCCGGCAAACTTTGACATCATTTTATATAATGCGGTGAGAGAGTAATTTGTCAATCTTCAACTGAGCATCAGCGCGGTCTTGTAATATTATATATACGCAATGTACCCAGGTTTTAATTATTGATTTTTTTCAGCGAATTGGGATAATACAAAACGATATACTCGACTGAAAAATTGTATTAAATCTTGATGGGCATGCATGTAGATTCAGTAATCGTGTTTTTTTATCAAACGTGTGTCCTATTTACTAGGGTATTATTTTTATTATTTTTATTATTATTATTGTTATTATTCGGTTCACCACTGCTGCCACCTAAAAAAAAACAAAACATCAGTCGGAGTTTTTCATAACATACATATATAGCACACGACAATTTAAAGCCTTTAATATATAGGTCATAAAACACTCTATACTCTGTATTTTTAATCTATGCTCGTATTTTAAATAGCTTATAAATCGCATATTTATAACATGTGCGTGCGTGTCAGCACAATTTTAGGCAATAGCGACGTCTTATTTGAAAAAAATCGCGGTATAAAAAAGTCCGCGTAAATAAAGAGGAATTTTTATCACACCCATCAGCGAGCTGATTAAAAATGTATTTCTTTTCAAATTTCCTTATGAATTAGTAATGTTGTTATTATTTAAAAGTCTTATATGGAATGATTAATGCATGGAGATTAATAACTAGGATGTGGTATCTTGTATGATGTAAATAACGATGGACGGATATTCTCACGAAGATTTATACAGCTCGTGAGAAGTTGGGTAGGGAAAAATCCAACCTTTCACATAGCATGCATATGGCGTTTTCCTGCGCACCTGCCTTTGCAATTCCGACTTAATACGCCTCCAATTTTATGTAAAAAAGTTTTAATGCGTATATATATGGCGTTAATTTTGTTCGCTACTCTTAATTAACGTATCTGAACATCGTAACAAGTCAGATGAATATGAATATGACTTCATAAAGTCCAATTACTAAGTGTCGAAATTTGATGGATACAAATTCATTCAGACCGACACGCGAGCGTGCATGCTTGTGGTTTTATCAGATTTCACGCCACAACATTTGAAGAAGCGTGTGGCTTTGCTTTGCCTTTGGTCTAATTGTTGTAAAGTAAGTGCTATTCACGAAATCTTTCCTTCTTTTCGACAGTAAATATTGATATTTGGATATTTTGCATTTGTGTGATTTTGCTCATGTTACGAGCGTATTGGACGTAGAAAAAAAGTGAAAAAAGTGCATGCGTTGTTTTGATTTGAAGTCCTTTGCTTTGTATGTTTTTGATTTTATCTTCTGTTTATCATTTCACATGTTGAAATGTCTGCGGGATTTTATGAGGATTAAACAGTTAAAGAATGATGTTTTTGACCGAGGATTTTAAGTTTACTATCTTTTAGAATAATTGAGCAATAGAACAACAAAATATAGAAGTATACTACCACTAAACAAAATTATCAGTTCTAAATTGACTGTTCTTCTTAGAGGTCCAGTAAGGATCATCTCTTATTGATCCATTGTTACTACAGGAGGAAACCTAAACTAAACTAAATTTATTTACACTGGATAACTCTATCAGTTCTAAACTGTTCTTCTTAGAGGTCCAGTAAGGATCATCTCTTATTGATCCAGTGTTACTACAGGAGGAAACCTAAACTAAACTAACTTTATTTATACTGGATAACTCTATCAGTTCTAAACTGTTCTTCCTAGAGGTCCAGTAAGGATCATCTCTTATTGATCCAGTGTTACTACAGGAGGAAACCTAAACTAAACTAACTTTATTTATACTGAATAACTCTATCAGTTCTAAACTGTTCTTCCTAGAGGTCCAGTAAGGATCATCTCATATTGTTCTCCATGTAGTAGTATAACAACATATATCAGTCTGATCTAGAATCTCTTGTCTCCCAATTGAAACGAATTTATTTTCGGGACAGCTGCGTGTAAATAAAGAAACTAGACACTATCGTCGCTAGATTAATGTTTATTTATTTCTTCACAGGATCGAAATTGACTTCTAATCGTACAACAGAAAGCGTGATATAATTGGAAACTGTGAGTACTCCTAGTTGCCCCGTAGTCACATCCTTTATCCAGTATTCACACCCGTTATCCCGTGTTTCCACCTGTCATCCCTTGTTCACCCCTGTTATCCCGTGTTCACCCCTGTCATCCTGTGTTCACACCTGCTATCAAGCGTTCACACAGTACTCACTAAGACATGGATTGGCCTTGGCATGACGTATTGATATCCCTGCTTTTCCTCGCTATCCCCATCTGCTTGTTCAACTTGATCTTTGTTATCCTAATATGCAACCGCGGGAATTTGGGGAGGCTTCAGAATGTGTTGTTCCTCAGTCTCGGGTGTTCGGATTTTTGTGCGGGGTTTTTGGCGATTCCCTGCATACTCATGTGTAACCTTGTCAACAACGTCACTCTCAGTTGTCGTCTATGCATCGTGAGTTATCTGCTGAACCGTTTCATTCTGACTCTATCGTTCCTTAATCTCTCGGCGGTAATCTACGAACGATATTTAAAGATTGTTCATCCGTTCTGGTTTCGAAATCGGGAATACACTTTGCTCAAAGGCAGCCGAGTGATGATCGGTATTTGGCTGACAAGCCTCGTGATTTGCTTAACTCCGCTCACATTCTGGCCGTTAGATAAGCCGTGCTCAAGCGACAAGACTTTCGACATAAATCTACAATTCTTCGACATCGCATGTTTTGCTCTGTTTATTATTTTATTATTGTTCATGATTTACGCGTTTGTTCGGATCTTTCTGGTCGTTCGAAGCCATCTTCTGGACATCAATACAACCGCAGTCCAGTTGAGAGCTAGCATGAACAACATCCTAGACGAGTCTGGCAGCGCTGCCTCGAACGAGAATTCACGCCAATCTAATTCGGAGACAAACAACAACCGATCACGCACTCATCCTGGGAAAAGGGAATCCGAATCATCACGTTTGTCCGCGCAAAGTCTGCATCGACAATTTCTTCTGAAAGAAGTGAAAATTGTTCTAAGATTTGCAGCAATGGTATTCATGTTCGTTGTGACCTGGGGTTCCTATTATTTCCTTTCGTTTTACGAGCGAAACAAGGAGGATGTTCCAATAATCGCACAGGAGATTGTCTTTGTGATTCGCTTCATGAACCCGCTTTTTGATCCTTTCATACTGACTGTCAATAACAGCGATTTTAGATTCGGTATTTTCAACAAAATTATTTCTCGTGTGCGGTCAAGTTTCGTTCGACGGCAATCCACTACGAATCAGCATTCCTCTGAGGACTTCTCAACAGTGTGAGAATGAGAATAACATTAACTAATGATTCGCTTTTGATTCCGGTGAAGATTTCTTCACAGCATAAAGAGAGGATTTGTCGTGTATGAAGCCATATTGTAGAGATGTTGAAAACTGGATGCAATCTAACCAGGTTCTCAGATTCCTGTCTGCGATTATCATCAGTGCGCCTTTTATCTGCAATTTACCCTCCTTCACCTCTCCAAACCCCATTTTCTCCTTTGTCACCCTACCGTCCATATACGGGAACAATTTACCTGTTTCTAGCAGTGAATTTAGAAAAAGACTGGAACGATAACTCCGACGCCATCTTAAAGCCCAATTGAAGACCGCCATTTCACGTCACCATGGTTCGAAAATACACTCTATTTTCTTTGCATATAGTCCCTAGTCCTTTTGAAAGTGTTTACTTGTGCACGGTTCCCGCCTTAATCGGTGATTGGTTGATATGGATCATATTAGAATAAGTTTCATCCAATCATGGGATTTTAGGCTTTATCATTGGAGTAATCGTTCCAGTTGTATTAGAGTTAGCTGGTTCCTAGTGACCAAATTCATGTGAAGTCATAAAATTTTGAAATACATTTCATGACGATTGGATCTGTAGCGGTTTTCTTTAATTGCTCAAAGCGTTTGCGGTTTTAAATGCTTACGATTTTATCATTCAAAGCAGAATTTTTAAAAATAGGAAACGACAGCCAATCAGCTTTCTATTTGCAATTCAAAAAGATGACGACAGGGTAGGCTTAGTGTCTCCGGCATAGTTTTGATAAAATTTTGTCAAAATCTCGAAAAACATTTGCTATTTTAGCATCCTTAAAATTAACGTTTGAAGTTAAAACCTCGGGAGAATGTAGTTAAACTACCGGCGTTTAAACCGATGTAATTTTTTTATTATTTTTATTTGTAATTTGCGAGATATTCACGCCGTAGCAAACGTTGTAGTAAATAGTATATATATTTTAGTAAAAATACTTGTCAACCTTGTCATAATAATAGACCGATTAGACTCCTGTACACGCGTGCAAACGCTACGGGAACGAAAACATTTCTGGGCCGCCTATGGCTATGGTAATATTGCTATATATTCAGTGTTTGGCAAAGACAGAATGGGATTTTTAGATCGCCTTATTTTATAATCGAGAAGCTTTTCTGCAAGTAATATCCTACAATGCACGTATGAGAGCCCATTTGCGGTAAATTAATCCTGTATGTATCGACACTGAATCTCAAATATTGACAACTCTTTGACTGACGCGCATGCGCGCAGGAATTGATAAAACATATCCAATGACACTAACATCGTTTTAGGGCTACTTAAATCACCCAAAAGAGACGACCACTTAGGAAAACCGCACCCATTTTTATTGAATTGCTTGAATTTAGGGCATTCCAGTTGAAATGTAATTGACAAACCAAAGGTAATGGCTTTCGAGGGGTCCACATAGCGTGCATAATATAATTTAAAACTGGTTTTTTTTCTATGATTGCTATCAGTTAGGAAATTAGTTTTTTTTACTGAACCGTAAACTAAGAACAATGAGAACCGGTCGGTCTCTGTAGGGTGCCGGGTTTTGAAGTGTCTGGGAATTTATTAGATTCTATAGAATTAGTTTTTAATTCTTTATATTATATATAAATACTTACTAGAAAGATCGCAAGTCTTTGGGCAGGAAGGGCAGAGATATTTCATCCCATTTGATTGACCTTTCTATTGAAAATACATGCATGCAGGACGCTATTACTTGGCGGATTTTATGCCTTGAGAGTATATACCTTATTAATCAACAACACACCGGTAATGTTTGAAATTTTATATCGGCTTAACGCTATATATACCCGAGTCGGTCGAATATGAACCACGCAGGGTTCAACTATAATCTGACACAGGTGCTATAAGATGGCTGGTATTGTTAGCATAATCATCTCAACTTAGATCTAAGTATATATCTGCCTGGATAATTCAATCGTTTTTTTCGTTGGGATATTCGATGCTATACGAATGCCATGCACTGGGCAATGCTAAAATCGTTCATAATTTAACAGGTTGTAATCTTAGCATGTTTTGTCTGAGTGATCAACAGGAGTTCAGTCAGACGCGGGTGAAAAGTGCTTCAGGTGAGCGACTACTAAAGAGAATTCTGTCAGTTTTCGTCATTTGTTTTCATATTCCAGATTGATCGCGTAAGCCTCTTAACTATATATATATTAAGCGTTGAGAAATGAATTCAAACCACTAACGCAACTTTAATTTGCATGCAAATGGAAAACTCTTGCACTGATTATGATATGTGGGAAATTTTTCTCCGGTCGTTTTTTAATAACCACAGCGTCGATTATGTTTTGGGGGGAAATTTGTTAGAGCAAAGTCAAAGACGTGATTCAATTTCAAGCATTGAAGTAATCGCAATTTAGGTCATGATAAACGACGGTCTCTCGGAATTTCTGATCGGTATATTTCAAAAGGTAGAACAAAGCGATTATGATGGTGGCAACATCGTGATCTGTTGTAAGCTGTGTTGATAATCGCTTCCCAAACCGGTGCTCGTTATGCAAGGCATATTACATGTTTTCATGTTCATAAATAGCTGCAAATGTCGTCATTTCAATGCGTAACAAAGGATTAACACACACGATCTGCAGCACCGATATTTTTATCCATATACGCGCTCTCTAGTCTGCGTAGGATATACGTTGTTCAAAGCGGAGATTTTGCGTCGGGTCCTGTGAGATATACATTCGCGGCGTTCAACCGAACGTGATCGAAATCTGTTGTTTGCTCGCTTCCGCGCGCCTTCTTGGCGTGAATCGCAAATCATCGTTTATTAGAGATACGGTAACATTTGAAAACATTATTGTCCATCTTAGTCTAAACAAAACAACATATGCCCGCACCACTAACGCGCGTGCGTAATCTTCGCGCGCCTATATCAAGAAACGAAATCAAACCACTTCAAAGTTCATATTCTGCGAACCGTTGAAGTGATAGGAGAAAATATCGACGATCGGGAAAATTTTATTATTTCTTCCAAATGAATTCCACGACTCGTAACGGAACATTTGATCTGTTGTTGGGAAACGTTCCCTTTAAGTCATACGATGTTATTCTAATAGTTATCGCGGGTCTAATAATACTGTTTAATGGCGTGGTTTTGTTCGTCATGAGGAAACACAAGAGTTTAAGGAATGCGCAGAATGGTCTGCTCGCAAGCCTCGCAATCAGCGATCTCAGTTCGGGCTTGATCGGCATCCCGTTGGTCTTCGCCTGTAGCTTCGTTCCGCCACGATTTTGTGCGTTGTGTTCTGTGTGTTACTACTTCTTCAAGTTCATCTCAATATCAACCGTGCTTCATATATTGGCGATCATCGGCGAGCGTTGTTTCACTGTTGTGGATCCGTTTCTTCACCGCCGGCTGAGGGCTGCGCCTGGTCGTTCAAACCTGATCCTCATCGGCGCCATTTGGTTAATCAGTCTCATTGCATCGTGCGTTCCATGGTTATGGGTGTCCCAAATCGTTAACGACTGCTACGGAATGGAAACGTCGCACGAAGGAACGTGGAATCCTGACTCAATTTACGAGCTGAGCTGTTTCATACTGTTCTTTATCCTTCCCTTGTTGCTGATTAGTGTTTTCCTCGCGAAAATCTTCATCGCAGTTCACCAGTTCACACGTCGTAAAAGCAGGCGCTGTGTGGATAATTTGAGAGAGCAAACTCGATTGCGCACAACCGAAAAGCGTATTTTCGTCGTTCTCTTCTCCGTGTTCGTCTTGTTTATCGTGTGCTGGCTCCCGTACTTCGCTGTGACACTTGTGCATGTCATCAACACGCAACTCCCATATTGGGTCGAAGAAACTGTGCCGTATTTACGGAGCCTTACAAGCCTTTTAAATCCCTTTGTCTACGCGTTCTACAAAGATGATTTCTACCAGGCTCTGAGACGGAAACTTGGTAACGTGAGGTGCTGGACAAGGCCCAGAAACAGCGATATTTTTACCACCAAAACCAAGGCTCAAGTACCTTTGGTTCAGATAGCAACAACAATTTAATTTCGATATTTCCATATCCAATTTGTGGTCGCACGTTACTTTGTTTTCCTGATAACTAAGCAACATTATCCTTGAAGAAAGCTCGCTGAACTAAACCACGGTCACTAAACGTGTAGAAAACTATTTTCGTGGGAAACGCAAGGGGAATGTTTACAAAACGGCCACACGAGGCTTTTTAGACGTTTTTCTCATTAGATACGAATGTCTACGATAATTACCTGCTCAAGTTTTGTGTTATGTTTTATCAAATTTAGTAGTATACAGAGAAAAGTTGTATACATTTGTGAGGCTATTTATATCAAAGGTTGTTATCGTTTCATGGCTAGACCGCTCAAACTAATTTCATTTCCAAATTGTCTCGCTGAAGTTGACCTTCTTTTGAACCAATATAAATTTTTCATTCATAAATTCCAAATCATGTTATGGCTATATAGCCTATAAGCGGTTCGTCTTTCACCGGATTAACAAAAAAACTGTATAGTTCTCGGATCGTGTGAATTTTCTTGCAATAAGATCCATTGGATCGTGTGAATTTTCTTGCAATAAGAAGGATTTTTTATTGGAATAATCTGGATTTGTTTAAATACCCCCCTTTTGCGACACGCCCTTTGCGAGGCAATAAATTTTATCACCCGAAGGTTTGTTGCTGTGCAATTTCATAAGTTTGGGGAAATTGAAAAAAAACACGATAAACTGATACAATCAGCAAAACTAATTTCAATACACTTTAATCATCAAAGATGCGTTAGATATTTTTCTCGCCTTGGTCACGATCTATCGAGAAGCGCTTTTGTTTCCCGGCTTCTCAAAAAAAAGTCGAGTTCTGTTTGTGCGATTTAGTAAAACTGCGGGTGCCGACAAAGACACATTAAGATAGAATGATCTATGAGCTTTACAAGCTCGGACACCCTTATATAGATCAGTGTAGGATAAGGGCTTTATGTGTCGGAGAAAGATCTTGTGAAGAACAAAAATATCTAGGTGAAGACTTCGTTCATTTCTTCTTGCAATGGTTAGCAGAGAACCTTTGGCAAACATTTATTCTCACAAATGTTAAACGATCTTGGCAAACGCCACACAGATTTCACCAGAACGCTTTTAAACATTTGTTTTTATTAAAGGAATGACGTCTTTTGAAATGACAGGCAAAAATAGTTCTTTGTTATTGTAAACACTTGCGTCTCCAAGTGCTTATATTTTCTAGTCATTTATGCTGGCAAAATAAGTGCATCCGTTTTATTTCCGGTGAAATCGTGGATTTCTTTTAAGAATAGCTGAAGGACTTGTTGTGATGTGACGAAAGAGACGCTTGTGTGATTTTCAACGATATTACATTCTTATTAAATCTTTGAAATCCATGTCCGGTTTGATCAAAACTTAATCCTGCGCTATGCAATTTTACAAAATCAAATTTATCAACAAGTTACATCAAGTTGAGTAAGACTTTCTTGGATCAATAGGAGGTATATTATTTCGAACATTCGGGCGCATATCAATAATTAAAGTTCATCAGAAATCAGAATCCTGCCATCATTTATCCTTCCATCCGGCGTACGTTCTCGCTCCAGCACTATAAATGTATATGGAGCTCAGCTGTTCCATCAAATCGTGCTCAGTTGCGTGATCAAACCGTGGTTCCCAGGCTCCAGCAAATTCTGCGCGACATTGCTGCGTAATTGTACCTCTTCCCTCCTCCCACTGCACCTGCTACCGTCGTACGGCACACAACACCCCCTTGAGATGAAACGAGCGCAGCCCACCTCCTGACAAAAATCTTTCTTGAAAACACTGTACATAATGGGGTTCAAGAGCGATGTGAGATATCTCAACACGTTTGTAGCGTCGAATAGCCTATCAGATATTTCCACTTGCACTTCAAGTTCCTCTAACACGTTTACTACAAAATACGGCGCCCAGCATATGACAAATGTTGCCCACATGATCACAAAAATGACGGCCACTCTCGCCTCCTTGTGGTAGGTGCCTTTTGATTTTGTGTCTGACCGTCGTCTTAATTGTTGCATCAATTGCTGCTGCCGGCGCATATGAAGTCGAGCGACTGTGTACATTGAGACGAATGCAAAAATGAAGAGGAACATTGGAATTACAAAGAATATAACTAGCGTTATCAACGTGTATAACAGCCATTGTTCTGCATTGTCTCTGTTCAGACACTCCTCGAGTTTTATCCATGTGAATGGCACGAAAGCGACAGCAAAACTGATAAGCCATATGGCAGCCAAGAGCAACTTGAAGCGCACTTGCGTCGTGCTTAGTCGTTCGTGGTGGAATGGATAGACAATGTACATAAACCTCTCGTACGTTACCGTTAATAGATGAAGGATAGTTGATATTGAAATAAATTTGGTGAAGATATAGGCGACTGAGCACAAAATACAACCGGTGCTCTCTGACTTTGCCAACGTACACAGCAGGGAAAGTGGCAATCCAAACAAGCCCGTACTCAAATCAGAACACGCCAAACTCACGAGCAGATAATTCTGCCATTTATGAAGAATTCTCTTTCGCCAAACTGTTGTGATAACGAACAGGTTGACAAGCACGATAAGGGCTGCCAAGACGATGTAATGAACTTCTTGGATTATGTATTTTCCGTCCTTCCAGCCAGTTTGAGAGCTGCTGTTGTTAGACATGTTACCTCGCTGTTTAGGATTCTAATTTGCATGTCTTTAAATTTGAGGTCAAATTGATGTTTAATTAAACGTCGAATTCCGTCAATGTTTCCATTGGAAAAATAATAATAAGTCTCTTAATGGATTTCTGCTGTCATAGCTTCGTAATGCCTTTATTGCCTTACGAAATCTGAGTAAATATCAACAAATCTCATTTTTTGAAGCAATATAAATATCTGATTACATGAGAGCTCGAAGCGGAACTGATCGCAACGCGGAAGAGGTACGCATGACCGAAAGTTATTGCTATAATTGCTGAATTTTAGTGGTTTTATAAAGCTAACTTAGGCCGGAATTAAAGTTCTTATCGGAGAAATTGTCTTAATTGCTATTACCTCAGCACAAGATATCTCATTATTTTCTTGACAGAGCCCGGTTGGAAATACATGAAATTTTGATTGACATTGTGTTTATATTTTGAGAAATGTTTACTAGCGGGCAATTTAGTAGAAATGCTGCTTAGAATTATTTCGGGGATTGCATATTTTTTCGAAAAAATTCAAGCTTGATGTTTGCACTGTTGAGATGGCAGAAATGCCAATGTAATATTAGCTATACAGATCAATTTAACAATTTTCGTCTTCGGTTTTCAATTACGCCTGTCAAAAAGTATAATTTCAGGTGGCTTCCATTTAACATGCAAATGAAGGCATTTCCTTTCGTGTGCTAATTTACCTCTTCACACGAGTGAGCAAAAAAAGCTTCGATTAACTTCGGGGCCTTTTCCGTACGATAAAATACGCAATTTGTACTTTCCAATCACACCTGCATCTCTTCTTATTATTAATTTCCTTTGTCAATCGATGTTATCAATTTAATTTTGCGATTTGCCTAACCACACAACATTATCTTAACTGCCATCTAAAATAAACAGTCACAGTTTCTAACTGTGTTCTAACTATTCGAATGTTCCGGGTATCAAATTTCATCATGCGCTCTAGCAAAGTGCTTTAAATTAATGTGCAAAGGTGTTCGAATGGAACCACACGAAATTTTTATGCTTTTTTGTTTCCGTTCCAAGATTTCATTGTTGGAAATGGCACAGCCTTGAAATGGCAAAGCCCGGGTAGTGTAGTGTCGCAGCTCCTCGCAAGAATGATTTTCATTGGCTGAACTTTACAATACATTTCTGTTTCAACAAATAGCATAACGTCGTTCTTTAGAAAGCATAGAAAAGCATTATCCAATTGGACGAAAGCTTTCGAGAGCTGTGTCCCTGGCAGAGAAGAGTAATTCTACATAATAACATTCACGTGATTTGGCTGATAAGGCCTGGTCCCTTATGCGACCAATCAGCTTGCGATGCTCTTGGACGTACGCAGTGAACCTACCTTTTTACGCACAGTTCGCCAAACCTGATTTCAACGCATGATAATTTGTGTTCAATAAAATCTTTCCCACTAATTCCTCATGTTTCCTTCGGTCAGGAAGCCGAGTTTTTGCTTAACATGCGTTGAAGTTCGTTTTATTGCATCCTCTTCTTTTTACCACAAGTGTATTTAAAAATTTTATCTTCTAATCCATGAGCAAACAAAACAAGCTTCGCAGTGCAAACAGAACGCTCTGAAACAAAATCAAAAATCGACAGAGGTTGCCGAAAAGTTAAACTTTTACCCTATTAATAGATTTTGTAATGAGACATTGCTGTAAATGCATCCAATTCGCATAGTTTTGGACAGCATACCTTCATTTCAAGTGAGATATTGACGGATTTGGATAAATATTAACTTTTTGGTGCACTTTAGTAAATGATAACGCCTGATTTCACCGGACAACGCGTCCGAAACCAACCTGTGCACGACCAAAGTGTCGACCATGTTCATGGCTTACAAAAACATCGCCCAAATCATGTTGAAAAGCTACCAGGGACTCCAGAAAGTAAAAGAAACGCAAAGACCAGGCAAAAGGGACATATTTTGATAGAGAAACATGCTCACGAGAAACGGTCACACGGAGAAAGATCTCCACATGCAGACGTAGGGAAAATCATTCTCACGACGAAAGACAATCATCTTCCGCAAAACATTTTGAACTGGCGCAGGAACTTCGTAATGTCGGCAGGAAAGTAGATTTATGTTATGAAGAGTTGAAAAGCAGCTACATGACGGAAATTTCGAGAATTGGCTTTGAGAATGTAAACTCAGGTAATATGTTTTTGTTTAGTGACATAAACAACGAATGCAAAATAGTACTATAAAGAATGTCTATTACCACGACTGTAATCGACTTTCCAGATAACCTACTCGCTTTGAAAGACTTATTTGAACAATTGATGATGGAGTTGGCCAATATAAAAAGGATACTATCGAACAACAATGTCTCGAAAAACAGTCAACTTAAATCTGGTGAAGACACACAGAATATTCCAGGTAAAAATATTGGAGGGTCTATTTTCATAGAGGAATTGATACAGAGATTTGGAATACAACCCAGTAAAATGGTACAATATTAACTGTTTGTTTTATAGTTCCAGGAATTCCTGGTCCAAATGATTTAGTTCATTTGAAAGGACCATTAACAGAAGATACAATCATTGCAACTCTTGAAGCAAGGTTTAATGCAAAGTGTTATCATGTAAGTTAATTAATGTTATATATTAACACAGTGTCTCTTGGTCAAATATATGCCCACACAATAGTCACTCTTAAATAAATTTACTTTCTTTTGCATTCAGACAATGGTTGGTCCAGTTCAATTGATCCTAAACCCCTTCAACTCTGAAACTAAAGACGCCATAAACTGCAATTCAAAGAAGTCCACATGTTTTAGACCTCTTATAATGAAATCGCTGGAACAACTGAATGAGACAAGGATGCCTCAAATAATGATTTTAAGGTTGGTTGAACATAATCTCATTAACGCTACCACTAACTCGAATGACAAGGAAAAGGAGATAGTGTTTTCCTCAAAGGGATGGGATTTAGATGATGGGGTTTAGATGATAGTTTGGTTGCACAAGATCACTGCATGGTCAGGTCAAAAAAACAGGCCAAAATAGCAAATTTGGGGATGGTATGGATAAAGGGGTGGCATATGATGGGCGTGGTTGACCACACCCTTATTTAATATAATTATTTAATGTAATTTATATATAATTATTTCAAAGTATCTGAAGGTGTGCAACTGTAGATGATTTTTATTTATCATATATAACAAATTGTGGTCATGATCCCAAGCTACATAAAATTTGTAAAACAGATATGCAAGGGGCATAGCAAAGGAGGGTGTGGGGGCTGCTTTACCTCCCCCTCTTCCCACAAGTAGAGCTGTCAGTAATGACAACTTCTGACTACAATAAACAATACCCAATTATGTCAGCAAAACTTAGATTTTTACCCTCCCAAGTACCATGTGTTTGCTCTGACCCTGACAATATGTTACATATGGTGGTTGAGGCAGGTGAATCAAGGCCCAATATTAATTGGCCTATACATACATGCTGGTAGTGAAGTGTGGGTTCATCCTTGCATTTTCCAGTGGTGAATCAGGAAGTGGCAAATCATATACAGCCCAGATGATAATCAAAGAATTGATGAATATTACATGTGGAACAGCTCAAAGTGATCTCTTAAGAGTATGTTGTATAACTTGTATTCTACTATTTTCATATCATTAGTGACTTTTAGTGTAGTAGTTGTAATTTTAAAACTCAGCCACACTTCAAATACTTTGGATAATCTGCTTCCAGTGGGAAAACAGAAGTGCTCTGTGCATGTGGAAAAGGATAACGCGACCTTTGCTTTGCTTAGCGGGACGATTCAAACAAACTAAGTTGACTAATGTAAACACTAAAACAGTGTGTTTTCATTGAGTAAGGACATTCAATGATTCAATATTTTTCTTTCACGTAGCAATTGGATGCCTCAATAACAGTCTTGGATATTTTAGGAAAAGCAAGAACAACGAACAGTCCTGAATCATCTAACGTGGTTTGTTTTTCTTTCATTTTATCGTCCTTCTTAAAACGGGATATAATATTTCAGTATGTATGGTACGACTCATTTAAAATATCAGCGATTCTCCCCCCCCCCCTCTTCCACAGAACTAAACTATTGAAGTAGCCTCACATTAATGCTTTCGCTCTCCCCTTGTACAGGTTATAAAAAGATAAAATAGACGCTTATCGATAAAATTTATCTAAAAGTTTGTGTTCTTCCAGGCATTTTTGTATCAATTTCATTTTCATAACAATTTACTTCAAAAGACGAGAATCAAGTATATTCCATTGTGTATGGTAGGTTAATTTTCCTGTGCAACCTCTCATTTTGACCGCACAAAAACGTGTGCTTTCCTCTCATTTTGTTCTCGTTCACAGGCTCGGATCGTTCATCCAAGAAAAGATGAAAGCAATTTTCGAATTTTTTACCAACTGTTTGCTGGTCTCTGTCCGAATGATCGAGGTAGACAGTGGAATGGAAGAACTTATGCTTAATGCATTACACCTAGCACAGCCAAAACAATGTTATCTTCAATTTTTTCACAGCTAAACTGCAATTGCAGACACACAGCGCCAATGAACTACGATATTTATACAATTATCCATCTCATCAACAATCCGAAATTGAACTTCTAAAGGAACAGTTTCAAACGTGGAAGGTTTGCCTAAAAACTTTTTTTTCATTGTCCATAGTGGACTCTTTCCGTTCTCATATCAAACGCGGTATTAAAGATCAATTACACACATTTTTAAAGACTCTGTGTTATAATAGAGGAGTCGACCAGTTAAATTTCGGTATTGCGATGTTTTCCCGCGTTTGACGTCATAAGAATGATCAGTTTAGTGTGAGATCGTGTTTCTAGTGTGGTTTGCTGTCATCAAAGTGAATTTTCCTGGATTGTCTAAACTAATCTCATATAACAAAAATTTGATAAAAATTTTAGTCGTCTCTTCACGTCCTTGGTATTCCATTTGCTGACGTCACCAAACTTCTCGCCGCCATCTTGCTTCTTGGAAATGTTCATTTCACGGAAAAGTCACCGCGTGTCTTGGAAGTACAAGGCGGGGATTATGGTTGGTAACTGTGATCATTTTGAGAACTGTCAGTGTGTGACTGGGTTGTATTTGAGAGATCTGAAGCATAATTTCTTTATAGAGTTGAAGGCGGTGGCAGTTTTACTTGGTGTTGCCTACACGACTTTGTTTCGTGGTCTCACTAAGAAACTGAAAGTTATGAAAAGTGATGCAACCATACAGTCATGCACCGCGAAACAGGTATGGTGTGGCTGTGGTTTGGTATGGTATGGTGTGGTGTGGCTGTGGTTTGGTATGGTATGGTATGGTATGGTATGGTATGGTATGGTATGGTATGGTATGGTATGGTATGGTATGGTATGGTATGGTATGGTATGGTATGGTATGGTATGGTATGGTATTGTATGGTATGGTATTGTATGGTATGGTATGGTATGGTATGGTATGGTATGGTATGGTATGGTATGGTATGGTATGGTATGGTATGGTGTGGTGGTTGTGGGTGTGGTGTGGTGTGGTGTGGTGTGGTATGGTATGGTATGGTATAGTATGGTATGGTATGGTATATGGTATGGTATGGTATGGTATGTGGTATGGTATTTGGTATAGTATGGTGTGGTGTGGTATGGTATGGTATGGTATGTTGGTATGGTAGGTATGGTATGTGGTATGGTATGTGGTATATTGTTTGACAGTAACTCATGTTTATCTTCACAGGCAAATGCCAATCGCGATGCTCTTGCAAAGACGTTGTATTTGCGCATGCTCTCAGCAATCGTACGTCGATGTAACTGCTCAAGAAAATCAACCACCGAATATCACCATCTGGACGTCTCAAGTGCTGAATCTTTCACAAAATCTCACGATAGCTTGAGAGAAAACAGGAGTCTAGGACCGGAGGAGATTGAAATAAGCGAGAAATTTGCTTTCTTAGACGATGAAGAAAGTTGGTTTGGGATTGCAGATGTGTTTGGCTTTGATACTTCCAGTGTAAGAATCTTCGATCTATTTCTTTTTACTTCTCTTACCGTCCAGTTTAACTGTTGTAACATGGCGTTCTCGTGTTTTTATTAGTGCAATCGTATGGAACAACTCGCCAGCAATCTTTGCTCGGAAACCATTCAACATTTTTACACCACGCATATTTTCAAGAGCGCCGAAGGATTTTGTAGGTAAGTCTTTACATTGGGAATAACTGACTTCTCTTTTGATTACATATTGTTACCTCCAACTAGTTTTTTATCACCTTGGTCGAGCATACCATATTCCAGTATATTCGGCCACCACTAGTTTTTTTATTACCAAGGTCGAATATACCACATTCCGGTATATTTCGGAGTGATTTAGGGTTAGGGTTATTTTCTTGTAAGGAAAAATTACTATCGTTATTTACATATATAATAAGGATTATCCTCTCCTATGGCTAGGGAAGAGGACATTCAGAATGAGGCTGACGTGGATTATTTCGACAATTCGCAGTGTATCGAACTTTTGACATGTCAGGTGCGTATACGGTATACTGAGATGAATACACGAGATTGATGCGATAGAGCGAATAGGTATGAATAGGTATCAAAGGTTTAAGTACCCTTATTTGAACATTCTGTACTCATCAACTCGTTCACATTCCTCAAAAGAAGAAAATTGTAAAGCTAGAGCAATCATCTTATGTCAGAACATTGCAGAGAGTTTGCAAGTTATTGTGACATTAAAACGACATGTATATTGTTTCAGGAAACGGGAATATTAACCTATTTGGATCAGGAAAGTTTGAAGTAGGTAGATAATGTATGACTGTCTGTAAGCTCGAATGATTAGGAAAATAAGATTGGGTTTTTGACAAAATGAGTATGCGAAACATCTGATCTTCTGTTGTGTAGAGATGGCGCTGCTGAGGATTTTGTCGAGAAACTTCGGGCCAAACATGTTGGTCATGAAAAGTAAGATATGAACAATGCAGTGTCTCAGATTTTTGAGATATTGAGCGTAAATACGAACCATCTCATGTGCACTTAGGTTTTTTTCAACGAACTGCAAATCGCATGAATTTGGCGTCTGTCATTATAATGCTAAGGTGAGTTAGTCTTGTAGGAATGTCCATCTGGTACAAATGACCTATTTATGATTGGTGCTCTGCGTTTAGTATATACGTCATCGCCTTTTACTGCGGATTGCGTCGACTTTTCTTAGGTTATTTACGATGCGGGTGAGTTGTTGCGTGGAAACATCGATTCAGTGACTGATGATGTCATACAGATGTTCTCCGCTGAGGTAATCCTTGATGTCCATTATGAATCGTTTCTCATTGATTCAGTGTTGTTGCTAAAGCAATTATGAACTCTATTTATACTGGATGGTTCTATCAGTTCTAAACTGTTCTTCCTAGAGGTCCAGTAAGGATCATCTCTTATTGATCCAGTGTTACTACAGGAGGAAACCTAAACTAAACTGACTTTATTTATACTGGATAGCTCTATCAGTTCTAAACTGTTCTTCCTAGAGGTCCAGTAAGGATCATCTCTTATTGATCCAGTGTTACTACAGGAGGAAACCTAAACTAAACTGACTTTATTTATACTGGATAGCTCTATCAGTTCTAAACTGTTCTTCCTAGAGGTCCAGTAAGGATCATCTCTTATTGATCCAGTGTTACTACAGGAGGAAACCTAAACTAAACTGACTTTATTTATACTGGATAGCTCTATCAGTTCTAAACTGTTCTTCCTATAGAGGTTCAGTAAGGATCATCTCTTATTCATCCAGTTTAATCTGCAAGCTCTGTATTTTTCTTCAGCAATGTAGTTTTGGTTTTGTGGTTCATTTGTTTATCTCTGATCTAAAGACGAACATTTCTGACGATTTAGCAACAGACAGAGTGAGAAGGTATGTCACTCAAGATATAAAATATTTTTACATTTGTGCCAAAAACTGGTCCCAGAAATATTTTCCTGTTTTGTTTCAGTTTCACTTCCTCCCCAGTGCAATCATTCGCCCGCGAATTTCAGGTAGGCGATAAGAAATTCTTGTTTTTTGTACGAAGTCCTATACTAACATTAAAACACTGGACAAGATTGTAATTCTGATCTACTTTAATCGGTTTTATAGGAAAGATTAGATGAGCTTTTAAAGGCATTAATCCACGCTGACCCATGGTTTATTTTTTGCTTAAAAGTAAGCTGGTTGATCTAAATGAGATAATCCCTTGTCTGTTCTTCATATCTTGCCTTTTTTCTCTGAAGGAAACGTTATCATCGCCCTCTTTCCCATTATAGTCAAACACGAATGGACGTCCGTATCAATTTGATGCCGGAATAGTATCCAGACAAATTAAATCGCTCCAGATTTTCGAAACAGTCCATTTGCTGAGATCAGGTAAAATAATCCTTGACCCTTGAAATCTATTTGGGACTTTTTCAACTTAACAAAGTCGAATGACTATAAAGATTGCTCGATGTAAGTGGGTTTATACATGTTTGGTTTTTTTACGACACCATACATTTGCCAAATACGACCGGAATTCATAAAATTTTCATGAGGTTGAGATTATCAATCAAAAACCTTTTTTAAAAGTTCCATAATAGCTTTGAAGATCACCTACAGTTCTTGAAAAGTTGAAAAAAATTCTACGAAATCCATAAAAAATCTTCACAAATCTTTAAAACCCCTAAAGATCTTTCGACATTCATATCCTCTGAAACAGCAGAGTGTAGGCGTGAGAAACACCAGAGCTTTTCTAGGCTTCCTCCGTGAATCATTTTTCATTCATTGTTAAAAAGTACTTTAAAAGACACTGGTTTGTGTTTCCACGTTGCTTATGTAAAGCTACATTCATTCGCCCGTGTTTCGTCATGGCTTAGGTAAAGCTACATCCACCCATCCATCCATCCATCCATCCATCCATCCATCCATCCATCCATCCATCCATTCATTCATTCATACCAACTATTCCCACAGGTTACACTCATAGGATGCGTCATATTCCGTTCGCTCAAAGATATTTCGTTCACGACAAGCAAATGGATGAGAAAGACGCGCTAGAAATAGCTCAGAGTTATCAAATGATGTTGACTGATGCGGGGAAAGAGAATTCTGGCAAGATTATGCATATTGGAAGAAAACACGTCTTTTTTAGGTAAGGACTTTGTTAAGACATGCAATCCGATTATGGTGCAAAAAATTATGAAAATCTACGTTGAAAACCTCTGAATATTTTTGACATACCTTCGTATTGTCAAACTTCGTTTCTCTCAGTCCTTATTTTACCCAGTTTGACCATAAGCAGCCCAATAGCGAATTGTTTTTTAAGATAATATTCTACCATGACATTGAATATACGAATAAAACTTTTTTCACCTCTGAAAATGAGATATGTCATTAATTTTACACCCGAGAATTTCCTATAATCCTGCTACGTCGCTAACCATGCAACGTTCATGCAAGTTATTACTTATTACTGTAGTATATATTACTTTAGTATATATTTAAAATGTTATCACATGCAGGGTAGATTACAGATATTACTAGCTTATTTCCTTTGCGATTATAGACTGTCTATATGGTTTGACTCTAAGTTCTATGTTTTCTTGTTAGTGAAATATTGTGGCAAGATCTAGAAAAGAGCCGTCCAAGAGGTTCCCAACATTCAAGAAGCAAAACAAATCTTGTTTCCTCCTCAGAAGTAAAGGAACAACGGTAATGATACAGATCACACTAAGACATGCCTGGAAACAAAAGAATTCATTTGTATTATTTCATAAATAACTGTTAGTGCCTTTTTATTGCAGCAAAACAGAGCACTCTTCAGTCTCTTCTCCTGTTTTCCGAAATGAAATGGACGGAAAAAAGCATTCACCGGTTAGTTGTTTTAATGGCAGATGATTTCACAATGAATTCCGTCCTCAGACGAAGGATTAACGAGTGAGGTTTACAATCAACAACATATATAATGCTTCCTGTATATTCAGAACACCCCTCCAGCAATTCCTAAGCGACGTGGTTACACAGTCATCGACAACAAAAAGATTGCTTTTCCTCAAACGCGTATCATGACAAACAATTACAGAGGTAAATTAAACATTGGGTGTTTCCTTTTATCATAGCCAAATTGGACTCTCAAGAGGGGAACTACAATGCAACAAATACACAGGGTGTCCCAAAAAAATCCCCTGTATTGAAATCAAGCCTTTGATAGAATCTGATTGCCTTAATATTATGATAAACCCAATTGAAAGCAAGACGCTTTATTTGAATGCCTCAACCTAATAACTTTGCTATTTACACACTACTGCGTTGATCATGCATTCAAATTCCAATGCCTTATTTCTGAACTGATTCTTATTTAGACACGACAAATGGTCAAGATGTTTCGTTCAGTTCCGGAGAGAGTGTTAGAGTGGTCGGTGCTTCACCAAAAGCCGGTTACCTCGCTGTAGAGGCGAGGCATAAAACTGGTTGGGTTCCTTACAATTTGACAACATTAATGGTGAGAAAAGTGCAACTACATTTAGTACACAATAGTTCAACTACAAAACCATATTGACTCAATGTTACCAAGTGAAGATGATATATTTAATCAGTTGTCTTTCTATTTGATCCATTTAGACTGACGATGTGATCTGAAAAGGATGAGGAAGCTTTTATAAAGGCAAGTGAATGAATATGATAGCGGTATATCCACTCGAAAATGTACCGAGACACATTTATACAATGATGTACATACAGCCTGCGATACGCAGGTCATGTGATCATTTTGGTGGGTGCATGTATGTACCCCGAGGGGTTGAGGGGGATTGATAGGGATATATAAGTGTGTGAACACATGCGGTGAAACTTGTTTTATGTTCTGACAAATTTTTGTCTTCGCGATAACCCGAATTCGCCGTTCAATAATACTGTCGTATTTGTAAACGTCGATAGACTTTTGTATACTCTTCAAATTTTTAAAAAGATATGCAATAATTGTCGAATACACGTTTGTTTCTCTTGCAAAGGCAGGCCTGTTATCCTATATAAATTGCATTTTGCAAAATACATTAACCACGAAAGCGCGCTGAGATTTAATCCTTGTTTGGAATAACAAAGAATAATACGCGCATTTTTTTCCCATGAAGTTCAATTCGTGCACTCGAGATTGACTTGACCTTTTAGATTTTAAACAAACACTAGCACAATCACAATCAGGGAAAACAAATATTCTGACAGAGCAAAAAATCACCGATGATAAATCTCTTTGCAAATATATTTATTTAGAGCACGTCTGTGTCGTGTTGATAAAACTCTACACACGCTGCTAATGAACTTTTTATCTCGAAAATCTTGCAGTCTAAACAAAATAACCCTGTGTAAAATAGTTCAGATGTTTTTATTGCTATTATACACTCGAATTTTCTGCGTTTTACATAATTACATTGTGAGAATGTTTGTCGTGAGTTGATTGAACTTAATATTTTGTTTTTATATTATAAATTGACGAGCCATTCATCACGGAACAAGATGCAAATGCGTTAGGGTTTTTTATGAAAAATTTGATCGGTTATCGACAGTGATAAATAGATTACCAATGATACACACCTATTTGATTAAATAAATGCCTACTATTCAAGTATAAGTTCTCGTCAATAGCGGTACGTCTAAAATATACCAAAAAAACTTCACATATATTTAATCCGTACCCGCGCTACACAAATTTGTTTTCTTTCATTCATCAAGAAACAAGTAAGATGGTTGTCACTCCAATATGCTCTAAATCTTTATCGAATGAGGTCTATTTACTAGGTCTATTGAGTCAAGATCTGAAATTACATGCGCATTCTTCTTTTTTTTCTCCAAATATCCGGCAATTGTTTAAATACTATGATATTCAGTTAATTACCTTGCACTTACAGAACACTACGTTATCTTAAGATGAAATGATGAAAAAAGACCCCAAATTACTGCGTTGAGACGACACATATGTGAAATATCAATAGCATAATGTTATCTATCTCACGTGGTATATTATGCATGCCTACAGTGGAGTTTTAGCTCAGCTTCCCAGCATGCCTCGCGAGCAGGATTTCCGGCCATTAAACGCCTGCTATGCAGGCTAGGCCGGGTGCCCGCCATGCGGGCAAGGCTAACCGACCACCCAGTTTGAGATGGTATCTGTGTCTCAATTATAGGCGTTTGTCAATTTTAAATACGTTCACAGACGTTCGTTATTTATATAAACAAACTTCGAAGCCCCGAAAGTGTTTTTATAAGAAGCTTATTTCAACATTTACCTTCCCACTCAATAACGACTTCAGGGCAAAGAAACACAACACTTAATTGCTATCCAATTGTTTATCTTGAGTCTTTTCAATGGTTTTTTCTATTTTGAGATTGTCAAACGGCTAGCTTGCATTCGATTGGGAAAATCCTGTCTAAACCGATGCAAACCCGTTGGCAATGATTTCCTTTCTGTTTAAACACAGCAGTTTTCAATGTAAAAAGTTATCTTTTCTTTCGCTGATATAAGATATAAACATTCAGCCAGTGTGCGCCGCAGTTAACGCCATTTTTCTACCTACATGATCTCGTAAAAGTGTAATTTCGTTCTTGTTTTCTGCTACAACTTGCCCTCGATCAAAATACACAGCGTTTTTATCCGGCCAACCCGATGCAATAGGTTCGTTTGTGTTTACACAAGCGATGCTTTTAAACTGCGTGATAAGTCAACAAGAATAATCAAAATGTAAACATTCGGTACTTCTCTCAAACGAAATGTGTTTTATATCATTCCAAGTGATCTAATACACATTGATTTTATGTAGTTAAGATTAGGTAACGTTTTACAATATAGCCGCTACATATGTTCTAAATACGTGGTAACTGTGAGATATATCTTGAAATGGAACCTCCTCCGTTTTTCGTTTCGTTATCCTGCCCTGCTATGATCAATCATTTGTGAACAAATTAGCCAATCACGTTGCTTGATTTTAGTCACATGATGATATTGGATAGGACTTCGTGTTTGTGAGTTGCAAAACAATTGCTACACTGCTGTGCATGGCCTCGCAACTGCTGTGGCCTCGCGAAACAACGGTGCGACTAATTGAGAAGTCCACAACCGTACGAGTTGCATTTTCACATCGTGTGCTAACTGCTTAATCCTTTCGCTTGTATATCCGAAGTTATTTTACAGGATTCGTTAAGATAGCATTAAAGATAATTAATTGGTCGACTTACAAGTTCGCATGACAGTTGAAAATATATGATAGTTGTTCTTCTCTGTTATTTTCCAAGACAGTTTAACATATGCTCACCTCTGCCAAGAAGCTAAGATTAAGATCACAAAACACTTCTCTTTTAAAACGTTTTTTATACAGTTCATTCAATGGCGAAGGTTATAAGTCTTTTTAAATCCCTCTTATGCCTGGAAAATAATCAAATTTGGATCAAGCGAGGGACAACAAAATGTCACAATATCATAAATCATTATCGTTGGACAGAAACCTGATACAAAATTTGATCAGAACAGTGCAAGCACATGATGCACAGGGTCATTTGGTCAGGAACGACTTGAGCTTTTCCTTGCTTATTTTCGAATCCCATGTTTATGTCTGTGTGATTGTGCAGTCAACTATGAACTGTATCGCTAAGCGATATATTACATGTTCTGGAATAAGCGAATATATTTCATGGCGTAGCCTGGTAACTCTGCTATTCACTGGGTAGCATAGGGTTGTGTATGTATGATATTCGAATGAACAGCTAAATCGCATATTAGAAAGTAATTGAGGTATTTCACGCTGGAAACCTCTCTCGTTTTTGATTACTATATAAACACCAGCAACCTCATGCCTCTTAATTGAATTAGTGATGCTGATTGGGTAGGAATTGTGATCGATTTTCCAAATGTAAATGTTTACTTGCAAATTACTCCCAGCCGACCCTTACAGCTCGTTCACGATTATGATAGCCATGTTAAATTAGAATAAATTGCGCGTCGATGTTTAATATGACCTAATTAGAATATCTGGCTCACTTTGTGCTGTCTTGCTCAATCGAATCTGAAATTAGGGAACGTATTTTGAGGATTAAGGTATTGGACAATGCATCGTTATTTGTTAAAATGATGCTAAATTGATATGCGAATTTGCGAGTTGATTTAGTAAACAGTGAAACTAATTTGCAAATTATGCGCAAGTAGCAAACTAAACGAAATTGAAACTGCGCCAAGCAATCAATCAATGATATTCCTTGTTTTGTTTTAATTGCAAAGAAAACGTATTCACACCTTTAATTGGTTTTGGCTCTTATTGTTGTCTTGCGATTTCATAGACTTCCATACAGCTACATCGAAAAATTCCTCCGTCGAGGCGTATTTACACGTTTTTAAGCTTTTATCAATGCAAGGTATGGCCTAGAGAATGTTCGCGATTTTTTATCTAGAATTCCTTTACTATAGATACCACTGTTTACAATGTAAGTCTAAATTCATAAGTAACAAATACTGTCTCACAAATACTTCTAGTTCTACGACCGAGATTTAGACTTAGACTTAGTTTCACTTGCCGAACCAAATTCTGATCTCACTGATCAAGGCTTATACCAGTATAGATATACTTTTTTTAAAAATATTATACCTGCTATGCATAAAACTCATAACAGTGGAAACTAACTCACACGAAGATCAAGACTATTGTCATTAGATTGAAATATTGGCAGGAAATAACAACCTCCAATGTAAACGGTATTATTTTGAAATAATGATCGCCGTGTTTCGATTCCATTTCCCGCAGTCAACAGATCTAGATTAACCGTATATCGCGCGCTGTAAATGGCCTTGAAATGGCTACTGAATTAAGTAAGTAAGCAAAACTAAGAAATTTTAACAACATTCAAACCGCTAAAGATCGTAGCCTTTGCACTTGATAAAACAGGCAAGGTGAAAGCCATAACCTGTATATGCGATATCAAAACATATTTATTTTGATTTGAAAAATATATCAGTCCATCATCTGGACAGAAACCAGAGCCATATAGAGATCACATATTTACATAAATACTGTTTATATTACAAAGACGGTACTTCGTGCAAGATTAATACCTTTGGCAATTACTAGAATAAAGGCTAGCGTAGAGTCCTCCGTTGTATAAGTTTTTCATAAAGTCTGAAGGTGAAAATTGATTTACAGAAGCAGCGTCGAGATTATTTCTAAGATTAGTCTGCACCGGATTACCTGCCCGTTCAAGAACGTTATTTAAGCCGAAAATCGCTGAGGGAATAGTCTCGAGTTGTTTAGTCTGTTCAATCTCATTCCTCTTGGTTTCATCGATTTGAAGCGCCTTTGCTTCGGACTTTTTCTGTTGCGATAGTAAGTTCCTGATGCTAAACGCATGTTCAGAGTTTATTTTCTTGTGTGCGTTTTGTTTGGTCTTGTTCGGACTGCTTGGCGGGGTAAGCAAAGTGGTCGATAGTTTTTTGGTTGTTCTGTTTTGCCGTTTCTCGTCGTCAATCGCGTCTCTTTTCTCCTCGCAGCTTTGCGAGTCTCCATCGATGTCTATTTCAGAATCATCCTTCTCCGAGGTCTCTTCAGAGAGAGGTTTATCATCTTTGCCTGTCGTATTCACCTTGTTTGCTCGTCTCCTGCGACGCCGATAGTTGCCATTGTCAAACATGTTCTCACAATCGGACTTCAAAGACCAATAGCATCCCTTACCAGGATCAGCTTTATCCCTCTGAACTTTCACAAAGCATTCGTTCAAGGACAAGTTATGCCTGATGCTGTTCTGCCAACCCCGCTTGTTGTAGCGATAGTACGGAAAGTTCTTCATGATAAACTGATAGATTGCGTTCAACGTGATCTTTTGTTCAGGAGCCTGTTTTATAGCCATTGAAATGAGCGCTATGTAGGAATATGGTGGTTTAGGATAAGGTTGAACATCTCCAAAGCAAATCGGCGTGGAAAGGTTCGCGCATGTATTCCCAAATTGCGCTGTTAAGTACGGATGATACATCGAGCTTCGAAGACAGTGATCCACGTTTGTGTTTGCCGGGTAGTAGCCCCAGTACGACGCTTGCGTAAGATTGTACATTGTGTGTACTTTGAATTTTCGCGAGACACCAAGATTTAATCCGGTTTTTACCTTTCCTAGAGGTACACTTGTCACGGAAACTCGGGCATTCACAATGCACTTGAGAAACGGCTATCTCGTTATATACGCGCGATCATCAGCATAAAACGCGCCCTGCGTGTGACGCACCCCGGCCACCCAGCTCGATGACATGTTTGAGTTGATAGATTTCCTAAACGATATCGTTATTAAGCTATGTTTATACATACGGACAACGAATTGCCCTCTGACCACACAAGAATGTCTCTCTTTGTCAACGCTGTTTAATGAAACCCTCTACTGAAATCATCAAGAAAACATCAAGCGCGCACGAGCGCAAAATGTAACTCATTCGCATACCGTGCGCAACTTTGAGAAATTTGAATGATTTGCGCAAACTTTTGAGATTTGCGTAAAATGCGCGCCCCGCGCCATCGCGGAGGACGACATAGAGAAACATTTTGTTTATCTTAAGGATTGTATTGTCGTATTGTCTTAGCCCTGGTTGGTTCCGACGGGAAACACAGCAAGTCTTATCATTCCCTACCAGTTTTCTAAATATTTATATTATTCTCCAGCTATCCCTCAGCCACTTTGACACGTTTGTTTATTTTAATCATTTAGCGATAGCATGCGAGTTTGCGCGCGTTTATCCAATTATAAGTGCGCAAATCATACAAGAGGAAATCGCACTGACTGCGCAAAAAAACCTCGCCTCGAAGGTAACCGAGATCGAAGTCAATTCGTTGTCGAAAATCACAGACGAGATCAAACCCGATCATTTCGAGCTTTCAAAACAGGTCCAAAAGGGTCAAGGGTGTCGTTTTTTATTATGGAAAATAAACAGTATGGTTTAGGCGATAATATACAATAGCCTGTACACGATACAAGTGGCTCTATAATAATAAATCGCATTTTGGCATGTGAAAAGTGCGTCAATAAACCGTTTATGATATTCGCGCTCTCTCTCTCTCCACAATAGTCGACAGTGAAAATTACCGCGCGTTTTAGCGCATTAGCGAGCTTGATAAGTATTTAACTTGGCATATTTTAGCTGATAGTGGGACAAGGTCGATATTGGGTATCTCTTTTTGACATGTATGCTAAAGCGCGTTGCACAAGGGTATTGTGTTCAGGGTTAATTTAATTGTTTTCGGTGGCGGAAATTCAACCATCATGTTATACGCGCAAGCGAAAGTGCGTCTTGTAAATGCACATAAATCCGCCGTGAACAATCCAGCCGAGCGTTTAATATTGTATATCAATGCATGCGTTATTAGACTTTTAATGATGAACAAATATGCTACTGGAATTCTTTCCTTTGCGCCTATTCAAAAAGTGGTCTCAAGAATTTGTGACGGGAATTCTAGCCTTCGATTATAATGTCCAGGTATTTTAGGGTATGACAATCCTGGGCACTGCAGGGTGCTCGGGATAGCGTGTCCCACATGGACCAAAGGTTTGTTTCCTTAGTAAACTATGGTTGAACAGGCGTTGCCCAAATACAGCAAGACATTTCTTTTTGTATCGCTCGCCGCCAAAATACTGGGCGATGTTTACAAGATAACAAAACATCCAGCAATTAATTTCCCCTCGTGTGACTGATAATAAGCGTCGCTGACAATGCGTCAGGCTCGTTCCACATCTGGCACTAATTCAGGACAGCGTTTATACAGAGTTAAATAAGCGAGTAGCCCCTATTAAAGATCTATTTTCGTATAGAGTACTTCCACGGTAGGTTAGTTTGTACTTAGTTCTACACTGAGGTGTAACATCCGTTGTTTGTTTTGACTTTTAAACTAGCAGGCCAGACCATACCGCTCTCTGGGCAATCACAGCTTTCAAATTCAGAAGCACCAACCTGAGTTCAGCCACACATCACGAAAAGCCTTGATAGAGCGTTTGATATGAATCAGCGCAGTACTGACGCCTTCCTGAACTAATAACAGCGCATACACATGGCGCATTTTACGCAAATATTGGGTAAAATCATGGCTCAGGATTTTAGGCGCGTAGGAAGGAAGCCTTGCGCGCATCTGATGCGCAGATCTTTGCGCCTTGAAACCTATTTGCATATAATGCGCCACCATATCGCGCATGAAAGGTGAAGTGGTAAATATCTGGGGGAAAATCGCGCACAGAAATGAGCTTTTAATATATTGAAATCATATGAATACTCGCATGGTTTATTTCAGCAAATCATAGGCCAAGTCTGAAAATAGTTAAATTCATAGATTTTTTATTACCATGCAAAATTATAAGAATATTACGAATTAAATTTGATATCCATTACGTTGTTTGGAAAAGGCAAAGAATTCTTTTTGATAACTATGAGGATATTTGCTAACTTATTTACACTACATCGTGATGAACATAGAAAGTGTGTAGCCCATTTGCTAAACTTTTAACAACATTGTTCCATTTTGAAACGACTCGATCAGGAGTGAAGTTCCGAGATGTTTTAATTTGATAGAATTTCCAAAAGCCCGAGGCGAAACGGTTGTATTTGGTTTGCGATTGAGGTGATTTTTCTCAAATCACGATGCCAGACAAAATGATATCGCACAAGTGTTACCAGGATACCAGGATTATCCAGGGTCATTTAGCGCGCGGACCTACTTGGATGAACTCCAATTTGGCTGCGAGAATTCAATTGTCCCGTGAAGGTCTGCTACACAATCGAATTTCGTCGGATCTAATTGACTTTTGATGAATGTATTGTAGTCAGTTGACGTGAAATGTTTATAGAGACAACGGACGAAATCAACTGCATTACTTGTCTATCAATAGACAGACTGTATTCCATACGCCAGAAGTGAATCTGACAAAATTCTGGATCGTGTAAATATATCTATTGTACCATTCTAGAAACCACTCAAGAATGTACGTACAACTCTACAGACGTTTACAGTAATCACACACGCTATATTCTTCCCCTTAGAGCATTAATTCTTTATCATCATTCACATGTTCATTTCGGCCAAGGGCTTGATGACAGCATCCAAGTAAATTGTAGGTGTGAGATACACTTTCAACATGAACGGTGATGTTGGCTAATATTTTCAATCACTAAACTTGACGTTCTTTCAAAACATACGTATATTTCATTACATTTTTTCTGTCTGATCATAATTCTCAGATATCGAAGGCTGAAACTATTGAAGACTAAAAGTCTGTTGCAATTTTTACGGATCTAGCTACAGTCAAAGGCAGGAACTGGTAGAAGCATTTGAGTTATAACTGTTGGCTCTCGTAAGGCAAGCTATGTTTGTGTGCTCGAAAGGGATACGTGTGGATATCACGATATGCAGAAAATCTTGTTTTTCGCATTAGCCTCGCGAGCCATGTGTGTTGGCAAGATAAAAGATTTGTTGTTTTTCTACATGAGGGTGATGTCAAACGACCAAAACCTGTCAAAAACCAAACGAGATAAACGAAATATAGCTAAATTCTGCGATAAATATAGAATTATGAATTCTCGTGAAGAATCGCGATTCCTGCTTGCATTTCATGCACGGAGGAACAGTAAAACAGTTGCACTGTCTCGATAAAAATTAGGCAGTTTCAAATGGACGACAAAGAGTCGACAAAGTTACATCTGGATGTTTGTAAGGGGTATCATGGAGGCTTGGTAGAGCACGGTTTCTCCTCAAGTTGCCCACAACCCTTAATTCAGTAGTTTCCCATTGAATTTGAACGCCATCTCGTTTTGGTTCAACATCGTAGCTCCGTCAGTGCCAAATGAAAAGCCTTTCCGCCAGACGGAATTAACGGGCAGCCGCCTAATGGATTCTGGCGTTAAGCCGTAAGCTCGCCACTGCGTGAAAAGCATCTTAAACTCTCTTCACACTTAATAGCGTTGGCATGTATAAATATGTAATCCTGTTTTTGGTAACTTCTGGATAAAAGCAGCTCAGGGCAATAGGCGATCGCTAAGTCCATCTAATCCGCTTAAATTCCTCGCAGGAAATGTTGCAAGATCGCGCATGCGTAAGCGTCCAGCGCATGCGTGGATGACCCGGTGATACTCTCTTGAGTATTTTCACCGTGTCTTAAGTAATTTAAGTAACAAATGTAATATTTCCCCGGGTATACTACAGTTTCTGCCCTTGCCTGTTTACCTTTGGGAGTGAACGCTGGTATAGAGAGTAATTAGCTCACGCGCTTGCCAATCAAAGCTAATGTAAATTAAAATAAAAAAAGTTAAGAAAGCTAAGAGTATGTAGGCAAAACAACGTTCTAGGCCGAAGCCATATAACCGCAAATACCATTGGAATTGTCCGATGTCTCAGAGGTTAATGGGGCGAAGATCCCGCAGTGTAGAACTAACATTTCCCATGCGAAATTTCAGTAAATTCCCCATGCGAAATTTTAGTTCATAACTATGTACTTTGTAGTTCATGCAGTCAACTTTAATTTAATTTCTCAGTAATAAATTTCCGTTTTTGGCCGGCTGGGATGCGCATGCAATCATACAGGTTTCAATTAAGTATTAATATGTAGGGATATACTTTTACACCACAGTGCTCTGATTAAGCTTAACAAGTTATGAGTTTACAAATGATGATAAATTTCAGTAAGTCGTTTGAATGAATGCACTTTATAGTAGGTTGTTATGACTAAACATATACTTTATCACCCTAAAATGTTTAAAAAATGTTCCTGTACACAAGATTTTGAACAGAAAAAAAAATATTGACCTAAGCTATCGCGATGGTCAGCTTGATACATCGTATTTTAAGTTTACATTACTGATTAATTTGCCGAATTAGCTGTTTACTCGCGGTATTAGAATAACACGGTCTGATGTGAAGATAAATTACGAATGTTTGAGCCATCAGCGTAAAAACGAACCTTATATAGTTTTCATTATAGATGTTGTACTGAAATCACCCCTAAAATGGACACGAAATATTTTGGTAGTTTCGAAGCAAGTGAGGAAGGCCCTCAGGTCGAAACGTCGAGAAGTGTTTCTGTCTACTTTAGGCAGTTGTTATGCCACTTTTGGGAATGTTATTGGATGCAACAAGGCTGTTCTATGACCATGGTTATAATTGAACATTTATAGCTGTCCATACTTATAAATAGATCGTATGGTTGCAGACAGGCTGGACTCTCACTGACCATTAATCATCTCTGATTTCGTCGGGTTCCGCTTAGAAAGCTTGCAATATTTGTCATTCATATTTCAAGAGTGAAAAAGCGTACGAAAATCTATGCTGTCAAACAATTAACATGTTCGAAATCTATAAACCTAAACTGTTTGTGTTGGGTTATAATGTTTTTTATTTTTCACAATCAAAATAATGGTGATAAGATTATGTTATTTTGCTTTGTTTGAGAGTTGTTATTTTAGGAAAGTATAGATTGTAGATCGCGTCCCGATAGAGATAACAGTTTGAGTTATAGCCAGGCATGTTTTAGTTCTCCCCATGACGTGTCGAGTGGATCCTCTCCTAGCGAGTTTTACGGATGCAGTAAAAACACATTCTCTGAGGTGTTACATTGATGGCTTTGCGACACTTGTCTGGTCGTGCAAGTATCGTCCAGCCTGATTGATCGCCGACAGTCGGCGACGGCCGGCCGGCCAGTCAGCGACGTCAGAATGATACGATGGCAAAGGGGCATAAATTTGTAAAAGGACTCTCTGTGACGGTTTCCAAATGATTTCGGTGACTGAGAATTTTCCACCAGACGCTTGTGCTTTTAAAACTCGTTTGTTGCACCCCTACTTCAAGATACAGAACCCCCCCCTTGATACATGGAAGGCAACAACCCCCCTTCCCCTGCCTTGTGAATGTCGATGTATAAACTGCAAGAAAATAATACATTTCGTCTATCCAGTTCATTGTCAGATCAGCGGTCGGTCTTTATGCTGATTTGAAGGTGAAGATTTTTCAACTCTTGGTGTATGTGAATTTATCAGCTAATCTGCATAAAGTTGTTTACCAGCTTGTACAGTTCTATTTAAATGCTTTCTATTGAAAATTATAAAGGCAAAATGCAAATTGTTTGAGTTCATTTAGTCCAATTGGACCAATTGGAAAGGTGACGTCACTCATGCATTCGCCACGCGCGCGGGGGAATTCAAACTGGTGATAAAGCTTGAGGTTTCAAGAAGATACAACGTTGTATTCAAGAAATCTTCGAGGAAGAATGGTTTTCGAGGAAAAAATGTAAGTATCGGAGGATTCAAAGAGCTTTGAGATGACAGAAGTCGAGTGAGCTTTCTTGTAGAATCATAACTACGAAAGCAAGTGGTTTTATAGATTCTTTTCCTTGCTTGAATTTCTATTAATTCATTGTGTATCGAAATCAATTAGCCAGCGTCAAACGGCTGAGTTTTTGTCGAATTCTAGGCTCCGAGTCTTGTGATTTTGTTTTTATATTTTCATGATTATGGTTAGACGTTACTAGTGTTGATATTCTCCTGTATTTTAGAGCGAATATCGTCGAGGAAAAGTGGCTAATCTTGGAACGACTGGTGCTTCTCGCCCGGTCTTAATTGCTTTGAATTGAACAAAGGTATTCAAACAACTTGCATTAATTTTTTTACTGGCATGAATTTCGCAATAATCGGCGGTCTTTCGTTAAACAACCAGCCCTGGTATAAAACTCGATCCTATAATCTCCAGAGAGACCCAAATTAACCTGTAATTCAAATTAAATAACCCAGATTCTAATGATCTTATTCCTTTTCTGTAGATGATTTGATCAGTTGTACAAGTCATTCGCCGAATGTGCGCAAATACTAAACCAATCCTAAAAAACTAGTATAAATATGGACTTGCACTCATAAATCTTTTCAATGTTTAAAATTTTTTCACGTTTGGCTCTAGCTTAAAACACGAAAATTATTCATGAATCATCAACGTGTCCACCGTTATACACTCTCTGGTTCAATCCTTATTTTTCGATTTTTGCATGCTTACGTTTGGAATGCATGTTTTGAGCACGGATAATACAGATGAAAGGGGCCCCTCATTTGTATTTTCTGTGTTCACCTAAAATAAGCGGTGTAGTCAAAATGTCGCTTTAAAAGGGCTCAATATTTCACTCGAGATGCACGAGAAATTAAAGGAACGAGTTTTTGAGTGTTGTTGTTGGTCGACACGATTGTTTCAAATGAACAAAAATGAAGCATGTACGTAAAGCTTGCAAGTAAAAGTTAAACTAATTTGGCTGCATGAGCCCAAATTGGCAAACATTATCAATGTTGGATTACGATTTCAGATTTCGATAAAATACTTTCGTCAAAGAAGGAACAAGAGCTTTTTAAATTCAAAAGGAACTGAAATTTGTCTTTTTCGATGAGTTTTAATATTTCTTGATTGATTTGTTTATTTACTGATTTATTTTATTTGGCAATATGAGAAATTAGAAAGAACGTTTTAGTGCATGTTATTGCATGTGATTAGATCTGTTTTCGATGGTCAAAAATGAACTGAGCGTGCATGTAAATTCTTACAATTAAAACATCGCTAATTTGGATGCATGGCAAGAATTCATGAAAAGAGTTGCGAAAGTCAAGATAACGTTTTTCGAGATAGGATATTTTCACCGTAAAAGGTATACAAGAACATTTTGTATTTGCGTACGACATGGGAATGACTTTACGAGCACTGGACCGCCTCAGCTGGAGCCTACGAAGTGGATGGGGCGATTTGCATCGAAGACTCGTGACGACTTGGGGGCCTGCGTCAGCGCGAACTTTGGAATATGATCTACGCGTGAACATTGGGCTATGAAGACACGATAAGAGAGATGCGCCGACAGTGGGCACTGGCCGTGTCCCATGAAGAGGAAGCTGATACAGGTTTATACTATAGGTACTATAGGGGCATGGATGTCGACTTCAGAACTTGTGAAGAAGTTAGTGCATGTTTGCATGATATAATTAGTTGTTCTGGAGTCGAGATCGCTGGTGGTCTAACTAGAATGTATTAACGAGAGTATATCCTCGTGTAGTTTGCATGCTTGCATGATGATTTGCCAAGCTGAAACGCAATTCGAAGGTAGACGCGATGCGCGTGCGCGATAAAGTCAGACCTTTTTTCATAACTAAAATATTGAATTACATGAATCACAATTCTATAGTCTAGCACATGATTTTGTTATAACATGATTATTGATATAAGATACATTCATTACATTGAGCTTCTTGAATCCTTCCAATCAGATTGTAAGACATTGCATGACCTTATTTTAGGACATTAAAGAGTTTCGATGTAGTTTTGTTTGGCTTTCTTCATAACGAAAATTATTCCTGAATTATTTGACGCAATAGACTCGATACACTCTTGCATGTTATTCTCCTCTTCTTACTGTTTCCGTTCTTCTTTCCACCCTGTGATTTAAACTGGTTGTTTTGAACATTGAAGAATATAGACCCTCCACTTGTGGGGTTTGGGTGCGGCCTAGGGTGGGGGGGAGGTCTGGGGGTCTCTGCATGTTTGAAAACAACACGACTGTATAAACAAGCACGAAGACGAACGAACAATAACAAACGATACCTGACTGGGTGCACGATACAGAACAAGTCAAAACAAGTGACAACTCGAAACAAGAACTTGACAGTTTGACACTGCCCAATTGAACATACTAAACTTTCTTTGAATAATTTAGTTCCGAGTCTTGGTAGGTTTCCAAGGTCGAAGTGATGGCTCTGGCAGCTCTCCTTCGCCGTATTTAATCAGACGAAAATCAAGAACTGTTGGTTGGGGAAGTGATCACGGAATCAAGAATACGACCCAAGTGTTAAAGCTAAGTATCTATCTTCTTCTTTGTAACAGAACGGGAATACTTTAAATATATTTTGGGTGTTACCTTTAATGTTCAAAGCAACCCAACTCAGGGTAAAATTTGTTCCGTGCATGACTTTCTCGAGGAGATTTGGAGTGATTTTGTCTACACGCGTCCGTTTCAAATAAAAAAAAGATGCAAACCAATTCATGTCTAAATAACTTGCTTGATAGTACCACACACGCACACACACCCAGAATATTGGGCTGCAGATTTTCATTAAATCGTCACTTTCGCTTTGCAATTCACGAAACACGTTGTAATTTGAACAATTTTGTTAATTTTCAATCAAAATTGTCTTTGCTCAAAATTACACACAATATTGAAGCATAATTGATTATATATTATCGAGCACTAGTGAAGTAATCATGAATATAGATGCATCACATTATTCCAGCATTAAGACATGTTCCTCATAGTGGGGTTTATAGAAGCGCGCGCAATGCTAAGTCAAAAAGCAGCAAGTAAGATCATTAAATCAACCTAAAAACGTCTGTTTTTAGACCACCAGAATCGTCTGACAAACCCAAGAATTCATGCTATAAGTTGAAAAATATCGACCAGTTTCTGCATGGCTTTTTGCATGATGTATTGCATGACTTTCTCACGAAAATGGCATAGATATTCAAGGGATTTGTCAGACGAATATTATAACCAAAATATGAAATATAAACGCCGAAATTCACTCAAAACTGAAGCGGAAGGCGGCGCGCGAACTCTGTCCCATTTGACCATTTCATCTCGTGATTTCGGAATTTCAAAATGAATGATTCTAAATTCGAACCGCCGTGTGGTGGTTTGCGTTACAGCCTTGGCTATGCCGCAGACTACCTGGAGGGTTTTTCACCGGGCACTCCGGTTTCCCTCCTTTTCGTTTGGCTTTAAAAAACAGTGTCCATGTCTGGGGCCAAACAAAGATATGAAAATTGCCTACAACTTTTTACACGAAGTACAACTGATTTTATAGTTGTCTTTCATCGACTTTCAAGGCGAGACATGCCGCAGGTGATGACGAAGTTCTGAAGCATGTCCTATCTTTAAACTGCAAATAACATTTGAATGATTGTTTGGCTTCTGGGTTCAAATCCCGGAACACTGTTCATTGTTCAATACCAGAAAGTATATAATCTGTTATCAAGCTAGCCTACGATATAGACGTATGTATGTAAAATATACCTATTTCCCGCCTGGCTTTTCAGGGCGTCTGCGCGCAGGCTTATTATCAAGCGAACTCGCCTTTGCTTTTGATAGTTTGCCTTGATGATGCAATTGAAACCGACCGTTTATCGATTATCGTATTTGTATTATATTCTGTTAATATCGATAAATTTGATTACAATTTTGCATATTTTGCGATCTTTGCTATTGATTACGACCCAGTTTCCCTGTTCTGGTTGCGCGGTCATGGACGCCATGTTGTTTGCGTTGCTTAGAGAATTCAAACAAAAAGTTGTTTATAAATTTATATCATGCAGCTTGTAACGTTTTATTGATCTACGAGGGCTATTTGTCATGCAATTGATAATAAATGGCATTTATACTTGAATGAGTATTTAAAAAACGGATTCTATCATACAGAACTTGAGATTTCTATTATGCAAGCGCCACAGAGAAGGGGGAAAACGGTAGTTGATAAAGATGAAATTCACTCGATAAGAAACGGCAAAGACGGGCCAAAGAGGACAGGCTTCGCCGCATGGGAAGGCGTCCTTTCATCCACGAGTCCAATCAACCGTGGACGAAGCTTTGAAAATTTAGCAAACAACTGGCGAAGTTCATCTCGAAAAGATGTTTACGAAAGTGACAGTGAAGATGAGTTGGATGGACGACGGTCATTGGCGTTGAATAGATCGTCCATGTCCGTTGGTTTAAACAAGTCCTTTCCTTGGGGTAATAAAAGCGAGATGAATATACCAGAAAGGGAACCAACACGATCTCCAAGCCCACTTCGTTCCTACTCAAAATTTGATCAAAGTTATAATGATTTCCTCAAATCGAGCAGATTAGTCCACAATGCTTCCAATTCGGATCAATCTGCAATGTCTGAACTACTCGTTGAAAAAATCAAAAGTGGGCATTATGTTGACTTTGCTAGTTTTCTGCCGCATAATATTCTAGAGTATACAGCTTGGGATAACAAACATGTTTCTCGGACGGTTGACGGATCTTCTGTGCCCAAAGTAACCGAGTTTGCCGAATGGGTACAATGCATGATGGTGTACATTTCGATTTTATCTCAAGAGTATCCTGAGCGAATGCTGGACTTACTGGGTTATGTCACGAATATTGCCATGTTGTATCAAGAATGTGACGAGAAAGGGGCGTGGTTAAGGTACGACAAAGCATTTAGAAGAAAGGCATCGTTAAGGAGGCTAACGACTTGGTCTAAATGGGATAAGGAGTTATGGGTGCTAGCCTCGTCAAGCGAAGCCAGACGTAATATCACTTGCAAGTCCTGCCTCACATCCATGCACGACGACAAGAGCTGTCCGTTCTCCCCTCAAGCTGTGGAGTTTGACCAACTTAGAAAGAGTCAAGAAGTTGAAAGGTGGTTGTTTTATTAATTTTATAAAAACCGGTTCAATATTCTGGCATACATTCTAATAGATATTATTTCACAATTTCTGAATGAAAAATCATCCATTCTTGTTTTCTTTACAGGAAAGAACCTTTAAGTCCTAAACAGTCCATCAGCAATACAAGACTTAGTCAAAGAATACCTAAGGAGACTTTGGAACTAAAATTTGCATTTGGGTAAGATTTAGAAAGTGTAGAGTGATGCTGCTTATAATACCCTTTGAAACTAGGAAAATAGAATTTATTCTAGTGTTTGTTAAATGGTAAACCTGATTTCAATGTCTAATAAAATATGTTTCTCGTCTTTTCTAGTTACCATGGTTATGATGCGTGCAATAATGTATTTTACACCGCATCGGATGAGATCGTATTCCATACTGCGGCATTAGGGATTTGTTACAATCGCAAGACGCACGAGCAACGTTTCTACAAAGGTCATACAGATGATATACTCTGTCTCACTGTCCATGATGATAAAGATTATGTTGCAACAGGACAGGTACTGTATGCTGGGCAAAAATGGAAATAGCTTAGCTTCAAATAACATACCAATGCTTTCTGAATATTGATTCAAATCTAGGTTGGCAAGACTCCCGAAACTCATGTCTGGGACACAAAGACGATGAGCACTGTCTCTGTTTTGAAAGGTTTTCACAGAAGAGGTGTCATATGCGTTGACTTCTCAGGTATAACTTACATCTTAAAGGAACATTGTTGAGCAGTGTAACCATATATGCAAGTTTAGTTAGAGATGTTCCCCTTCTGGTCTGAATCTGGTAATTATTTGGGCTGGCTTGTTGTAGCCAACTGAATCTGGTAAAAAAAATTAGGGAATTTCTCTTCATGTTGAGGGAATTGTTTTTCATAAATACAGCAGCATATCACATACCACTCATCAAGTAACCATGCAGATACCTCTATGGTTTTGTAGCTGGCTGCATCATTGTAGCTTTGCTTTCAATTTTGAGTAGGCACTTGTTTTCAATGCAGTCAAGCTATGGGGTAACACAAACCTTACTTCCTCAACAGGTGATGGTAAGAAGCTAGCTGATATAGGGCTGGATGACGACCATTGTATCTGCATCTGGGACTGGAGGAAGGCGGAAAAACTGGCCACAACCCGCGGTCACAAAGATAAGATTTACGTTCTGGAATGGAATCCTTTTAATAACAACTACCTTGTGACTGTTGGAGAGAAACACATCAAGTTCTGGACACATAATGGTAACACTTTTGTGGCCTGTTTTCACTCATAATATCTCGTTTGATTTTCTCCTTTTCGCGGATGTGAAAGAGTGGGTAGTTATGAAAGCTCTGATATATAAATCTTCTTATTTGAGCATTATTAACTGAGCACTCGTTCACATCCATCCTAAGACCTAATCTCAACCTTAATCCTAATCAGTTAGAGGATAATCTATTGATTTGTTACTATATCCCAGGCTCTAAGATTGAGAAGCGTCCAGTGACGTATGGCAAAGCAGGACAAGTCTCCTCCATGCTCTGTGTATGTCACAGTCCCCACGATGATCTCTGTTTTGCTGGAGCGGATAACGGCGAGATCTACGTCTGGCAGGGAACAACGTTACGACGGACTATCAAAGGCCACAAAGGAGCTGTCTATGCGATGTATGCTCTAAGAAACACAGCCAAAGAGGTAAGGATTGTGTGAAAACTCCTTGAAATCCAAGGCCTTGGAAACTCTTTAACCGGTTACATCGTATTTCCAGGGTTTCGTTACAGGAGGCAAGGATGGGGTTGTAGTGATTTGGGATATGTTCTTTGAACATTGTTTGAAAGCGTTCAGAGTCGAGCGTACCGTCATGAACTATGGTTCTATTCTACTCGATGACTGTCCACCAATACGATCTATACATACGAATGCAACGAGAATTTTGATTGGCACTGGAAATGACGAGGTAATCTAACGAAAGAATGTTGTAGTAGTTTAGTCTAAAAGAACACATTGAATAATCAATTTCACTCTCAGATAAACAAGAACAGTGGATATAAACGATACTATAGGGTTACGGACGGGAAAGATTTAATTGTTTTAAATATTTCAGGTGATTGAAATCGAGGAAGATGGAAAAATGACTATCATTGTTCAGGTATATTGAAAGGGTGCATTTAACGTGCGTTAGATACGTCTCAGGTTTAACATATATTCACTATTGGTCGGGCTTATTATGTTCACGCATATGAAATGGTAGGCTGTGATGATTGAAAGAAAAATGCCAAGTTTTTGAGAGAATTTATTTCTAGTAGAAATGAATCTCGAAGTTCGTCGTTTTCGCGCCAAACTGGGTGCTGTTTGCTTACGTCATCCGACGAAGCTCGTAGTCGTCATCCGAGCAATCTACGAGTTTCGTCAGATGGCGTGAGCAAGCAACACGCGAAATATCGTACTCGTCATCATTGCTAAGGCTCTCCATTTTCTTCAGGGTCACGGTGAGGGCGAAGTCTGGGGCCTAGCTGTACATCCTTATAAGGAAGAATGCGTGACCGTTAGCGACGATAAAACACTTAGGGTCTGGGACCTGAAGAACGTACGACTCAAGCAAGTGAAGAAACTGAAGCGAGGCTCGCGTTGTGTGGCTTACTCGCCCGGCAGCGATACCATGGCTGTCGGTCACAATGATGGAAGCTTGACTATCTTTGATGCCCAGACATTGACACCTATTGTCAACTTCAAAGACAGAAAAGAAGAAATCTCGGATGTTAAATTTTCACCGGGTAAGAAAGCATTTCCCAAGGACACCTTCAAGTTGAAAAAAAACTAAGCCACATCAGTTACATTCATTCACATCTGTTCCTTATTCATATTAAGATCAACTTTTTATTTCAAATCATAAATGTCTGTCTTCTTCATTCGTTTCACCTGATTCTCCACGCTAAATTTCGATTGTTAAAATATTTTCTAGATGGGAAATTCCTGGCGGTCGCTTCACATGATAACTTCGTGGATATCTACAGCGTGAAGCGAGGGAGGCGCGTGGGTTTGTGCAAAGGACACTCCAGTTATATAACGCACGTTGATTGGGATGTTAAAGGTATTTAACTATATCGATAGCCTACTAACTTTTCTGCCTGAATAAACTTTTGCAAGTAGTGAGAATTTAGTTCTAATTGCTAACACTGTGGATGTACATATGAGTGAATTAAAGTCTCATTTTTGACAAAATTTGACTTAGGCAGAAAAGCTAGTAAGCTATCGATATGCACTGGTGCAGATCGTTTATTCAAAATTATTATTGACTGTAGTTGCAGTATTATCACTGTTATTTAAATTGTTAGCTTCTTTAAATGTGAGAAGAAACCTTAGCAATTTCCGTATTGACAACCAAAACTCATGAAAACCCAGCTATAATCACTTGCATTTACTGAAAATGATCGATGAATGTAAGATATTTTTGACCATTGACAGACAAGGACCATAAAGCAAGCGAGCGTGTGGTAGCTATTGTAATCAGTGTGTATTTGAATTATTTCTTCAGGTAAACTGCTGCTGACCAACTCTGGTGCCCGCGAGTATCTCCTCTTCGAGGCTCCCAAAGCGATGAGAAAGACTATGAACGATACAGCGTTAATGAGAGTCGAGTGGGAGACTGTTACCGGTGTCCTGGGTCCGAACTTGAGGGGAATTTTTCCGCCAGCTACTGACGTCACCGATGTGAACGCGTCATGTCGGAGCAAGGATCAACGCGTTTTGGCGACTGGGGATGACTTTGGTCACGTGAAACTGTTCAACTACCCCGTCGCGGTATGTTCGCCGCAAAAATTGCAAGCGTCTTAAACGGAACTCACGACGTTCGATCTTATCTTTTTTGTAGGTTAATGCAGCCAAATTTCGACAATTTAATGGCCATTCCTCGCACGTGACGAACGTTCGTTGGACGAGCGATGACAAGATGTTGGTGACAACAGGAGGAATGGATACTAGTGTTCTGGTATGGGAGAGACGGCGTGCGGAACGTGGGGAAACGGGTGAGTGGTGGACGGGGGGAGACCTTTCCGTCAAGATGTGCTTAATGTTCTGCACAAAAGCATAACCCTATCCCTTCAGATCCTAGGATGACCATAACCTATCCCTTTATTCCTGGCCAGATCTTTACTGAGCATTTTATAAGCAGTCGTTTTTGTTTTTGTTCTACAGACGCCATCGTTAACTAATTCTTAATTCGTATAATGCGGACTTTTTTCGATGTACAAACAGTTTAGAAATTATTGCTTTTCATTTCAGAGGAGGATAATGCCGCTGAGCCCGTCCTTGTGCAACCGAAGTTTATCCCAACTGGGCCAATAAAGAACCCAGTGGCTCGAGGGAAACCTCAGCTGTAGTCCTGGCATCCAGGCAAATCGCGGTATAGATTATAACTCTGAAAGTATCATCAGCTGTTTTGAATAGCAATTTAAACCGGGATGGTTTTATGGTTTTAAAAAGATGCAAGGAATGTGCTTTTTATCTGTACGTTCGCCTGTACGCATTGCCACAATGGCTCAAAACGACATACGTAACTCACATCAGCAAACCCGTTTAAGAAATATCGTAAAAATCATATGAATGTAATATAAGGAAATGTGGGGGAAGATATTTATGTAAAATAATACATTTAAAGGCCGATCTACACGATGCGATTAGTCGTACATGATTTATATACTGTTGAATAAATGCGTGTAATGATGTCACATTTTAAACTTCGTTACAAACTGATGAACTGAACTGAGAGAGTCGTCAGTGGCAGCAATCTTTTTCATACGCCAGGATAAGAATCGTATTCGACTAATCGCATCGTGTAGATATGCCTATGTATCGTATCAATTGTTTTGTTAATCTTTTCACTGTTACAAGGCATTAAATATAAACAAATATATAAATTACAATTACACTGAACGCCCTGAGAAGGCAAGTCTGATTCCTGGTTAATTTCCAATAAATTTCCTCGAAAAATTGATTGCACTATAGTCAGTACTGATTTGTAAGAAAAGATTAGATTGATTAGTTGGAAACTATTTGTCAGGAACATGTCGCTACGAGGTGTGAAGTTGCACCGGTCACAGTGAAATTCACTGAGTTGGAATCGCAACGAGGTCCAAGCGCACAACAAAGTATCCATAGTCACAATGGTATATCACTGTGGAAGATTGAAGGACATCAAAGAAAACGTTAGGATGCTATTAATGGAGTGAAGACCCCCTGTTGAGCTTCATGAATCGAAATATTTCTCATTCATATCACTGGAAACAGAAAGATTATTACTCTCACATTGAGATCACCACTTCTAACATTTACTAAAACATTGAACGTTTCTTCAAAGGTGTTTAAGATGCCCTTCACACCTGGCCATTTCAGAAGAAAATAACCATGATGCTCTTGGATCAAGGTAACGGTGATCACATGGTCGATGCGTTTCATCCTGATCCTCAATGTTCCTCTTTTCAACGCCCGAGGTCTGATATGAACATCGCCAGTGGTTCCCCATTGTTTATGCCGATTGATCATTTGAATAATCGTCAGTATATCAAAGATGACGTGATTTTTATTAAAATCATCGTAGAATAATAAGGCCTCTCTTTAACGTGATTGGCCAGTCATAGAGGTAGCCTGTCCTTTTTCACTGTTTCTTTTACAAAATATATAATACGATAATATATATATAATAAACATATATATTAACTTCATATATATACCTCATATATATACCGTGTATATATGTATACTGTGTATATATGGATATATAGATATATAGATATAGAAAAAGGTTGCTTGTCAACTAGAGATATACTATTCAAACATAACCACTGCTTTGTATTTTTTAATATCACTTTATTCACAAACGTTTTCGCTCTCTTAGCTCTTCAGGTGATAACCATTTATCATTTATCACCTGAAGAAGAGCAAAGAGAGCGAAAACGTTTGTGAGTAAAGTGATATTAAAAAATACAAAGCAGTGGTTATATATATATATATATATATATATATATATATATATATATATATATATATATATATATATATATATATATAAACCACATATTATCCAAATTTCCCTTACCGTGACGTGAACTGAACTCTGATTGGTTCTGACTGGTGATGTATTTACGGCCATTTTTGTCCTTAAATCAACACTTTTTAGCCGAGGTCAAGCGCAATCTTTATTTGTAGCGAAGGTATTTTTGTTGAAACTTTTTTTTTCTCAAGAATTCATGCGAAAGGTAACAGCAAATTAGATCGTTTATGTATTTATAGTTGTTAGTCTGAGTTTAGTATTTTAGATGTTAGTGCTAAAAAATCTAAAAATTGAACGACGCTTATTAATGTCTCAGCGGAACAAGATCGATCGAGAACGTGAAATTGCTGTTAAAACTCAAATAATTTGTAATTTGGTTTAACTCAACTGAGTTTCATTCAAATGATTAGTAATTCGGTTTAAATATAGTCAGAGAGTTCAGACCATGCAGCTAAGGTTCAAATAATGCACGTATATGTGTGAAAATAATAAAGTCTGTGTCTGTATAAGTGTCCGTACAGACTATGCATGGTACGCACGAGATTCGTTGACATTAAACCTAAAGTATAGCTATGGCATGCGTACAAACGATATTTTATTTAAGTTTATGTCACTGGAAACTTTATTAGAATCAACTTATTGTTTTTAAAGATAAAGATATAGCACGATTTTGTTTTAAAATCTTTGTTCAAATCGACTCATGCAGGAACTCACCACCTTGTCGATGCACTGCTGTCATCTCCGCGGATGCCATGCATGCATGCTTGACGACGACGATTTTAGAATAAGATCTTACGAAACGGAAGATTTTCGAGTAAGATCTTACATTAGAGAGTATATACACCTTTTATGACTTATTATTTAATACTTAACACATTCAACCATTTAGTTCACAATACATGATGTATAGAAATTGAGTCAAATCGTCATTGAGTCACGAGTCGTCATCATGCATGAGGCAAATCTTCGATTAAAGAACGATTAGTTTATATAGCTTTAAAAATTGAACCTAAAAACAGTGTACTTAGCTCTAAGGGCCGTGTGGGATAACTCAAAAAGATTTGAAGAGAAATAGAAAAAGAAAATAAGAAACATTGCTCTTGAGATCAAGTTTATATATATATATTAATGACAGATATATACGCGGAAACCATAACTGAGCGTGTTAAGACGTTGTAAAATGTTGATTCAGCGATGCGTAAAATATGTTACTGCACTGAGTTATGCCCCAGTTTAAACGGCCTACTTCCATTATCCGTTGTCCCACAATCTGTCTATAAAGAAGATATTTTTAATGTCTTTCTTATGATATCGTCATTACAGTAACATTGTTACGATAAAGAAAAGGCATTTTTTCAGAAGCGGCTTGGTTTCGTCAGCCATCACATGGGGCGACAGCGTTCAGTTTTACTTTCAAACGTTGGGATAAATGTTTCCTTGTTTCGTTTATTTCCTAGCTCAGGAATATCGTGTAATAATTGTTGCTAAATAAAAACATTTCTTTGGACTTTTTATCAGTAGAATGCCAGGAACGAAAATCACAGAAGGAGACCGAGATAAAATCGACTCGAATAAGTTCATTTGCATTATTTGTCATTTGCTACTGTTGGAACCCGTGCAAACACTTTGTGGTCATGTTATGTGTATGACCTGCGTTGAAACACTGATGGAGTAAGTGACTTGATGAAAAACTGTTTTTGTTATGGCACCTCAGTAAAATTTCATCAGGAAGAGATTGTAAATTTTTGTAACTGTCGCCAACGATGAAATAGATTATTATATTATGTGAAGATAATTTCGCCGTTCGTGAAATGACGACCGTGAAGCGTGAAAGTTGAAACGGGTTGACAGAATGCCAGTATGCAATACCACAGGTAGATTTTTACCAAATAATTCCGGCATTCTTTTTCAGGAGTTCAACTCCAAAATTTCCTGAAGATGGTGAGGAGTTAAGTAAAGAGAAAGTAGGTGCTTCTTTTCTAAATTCTAAATTTGGAATTGTAACGTTTTGACTTTCGCGTGAGCTTAATTCAAATGAGAACGTCTTTGTTCTCTTTTCCCAGGCATTTCCTGATGGTTTCACAAAACGTGAACTTAATTCTCTTCAAATACATTGATAGATATTGGAGTTGCGGCAACTGCAACCGCTAAGCTCACACGCTCACCTCACACGCTCACCTCTAGTTTATCGTAGGTAGAACTCCACGTAGCTACATAATTTAGCAATAATTTCGCTGGAGTAGATTAGTTACCTTCATCGAGGCAACTCAGTTGCTCCAGCGAAATTATCGCTAAATTATAATACATGAGAAATTTGCCAAACTGACTTACCAATTAATCTGCCAAGCGCAATTATATTCATTTTATGGTGAAATAGATATAGAATCTTAGCTTTAACTATTCTCGTTGCATACGCCAGTAATTGCATGCATTCACAAGGATTGCAAATCCATGCCTGGAGTGACTTAAAGTGAGCTAAAGATTACAGCAGCTTTCTTTGAGATACGCAACTGGCATGCGACAAAACCAGGGAACGGGTTACGTAGTTTTTGCCTCGAACTCATGATAAGCCAAACTCATTCTCCCTGCAGGAACACGTCGCTACGAGCTGTGAAAGTGCGCCTGTCACAGTGAAAATCACCGAGTTGGAATCGCAGCGAGGACCAAGTGCACAACAACGTATCCCTAGTTGCAATGGCATCTTATTTTGGAAGATTGAAGGATATCAGAGGAAACGTCAGGATGCTATCAATGGAGTGAAGACGGCCTTGTATAGTCCACATTTCTACAGCGCTCCGAACGGGTATAAAATGTGTGCAAATATCTATATGAATGGAAACGGATTTGGAAAAGGATCTCATTTATCATTGTTCTTTGTGGTCATGAAGGGTGAGTTGAACTACGTGAATCGAAATATTTTTCATTCATATCACTGGAAACAGAAAGATTATTACTCTCACATTGAGATCATCACTTCTAACATTTACTAAAACATTGAACGTTTCTTCAAAGGTGATAATGACGCCCTTCAAACCTGGCCATTTCAGAAGAAGATTACAATGATGCTCTTGGATCAAGGTAACGGTGATCACATGGTCCATACGTTTCATTCTGATCCTCAAGGTGTGTCTTTCCAACACCCGAAATTTAACATGAATATAGGCTGTGGTTTGCCATTTTTTATGCCGATTGATCATTTGGATCATCGTCAGTATATCAAAGATGACGCGATCATTATTAAGATCATCGTAGATTAATAAGGCCTCTCTTTACGTGACAGCCTGACAGGCCAGTCATAGAGTTGCCTGTCCTTTTTCACTGTCCCTATTACAAAAAATATATATAATACGATAATCAGGTGTGAACAAATAATACATAATTGTATTTGATACGTAATGTAATTGTAACTGACTAATTGTAATTGTCGACGTAAAAGTATTATTAAAGTATATTATTTTACTATAGATTTTAACTCTGTTTTTACAACTGTAAAACGAACTTATATCGTTCGCTGTTTATGGTATATTTAGATAAACGTAAAAACCGTATTAAACTACTCCCAAATATCATTGATTTATTCTGATAATCGCCAGTCGTCTGTAAATGACATTTGATAATCAATTCTGCTGACAGCCAGTTTCACCAAATGTGGTTTTACCAAGACGTCCAATTGTCGACCTTTTAGTTGCATGGGTGAATGGGACAATAATTGACGACATAAAAATGGAAAATGTCCACGACAAGATGTACATTGTCATAGTGCGTCATCAGTGTTTCCTTAATTTGTATTTCCATAGGTATTTCTAATTAGGCGGTAATTCAAAATAGGCGAAGGGCGCTACACAAATAGCTACACTACATTGCCGCAGATACATGTACGATTAATTTACGTGTACGAATATAATCTTTCAATTTGTTCAATATAATGTTGTTACTCTTTAACTGCGAATGTTCATCATTGAAAAGTAAGGAAAGTAAGGGTAGTAATGAAAACGAAACGGTAACAAATATGTCACTATAATCTGCTTACATGAAGTCTTGCCGCAGCTTTATGTAACAATTCCCCTGTCCGTGATGCGTGTCGGTCGTGGTTCTGGCGAAGTCACTGACAACATGAAAGGAGTTTACTGTAGGAAATTGTGGTGATTATTGTCATGTTTATAACCCTTTTACGTCTCAATTTCTCTGCTTTGTCGCTCCCCTGAAGGGGAAACGTGCCGAAATTGGCCGAATCACGAGTAAACACGCGAAAGTTTCCCAAGAAGCCGCGGAGGAAACTTTCGACAACACCAATAACCCGAAACCACATCTTACCGAAGTTGATAAAACTACTTCAGTAATGAATGGGCCTGTTTCAGAAGACCAAGACGATATGGACTCGAAGGAAGGTAAGCCTTAACTCACGCACAACTCCCGCATTACCCGTTCCTTGCACATATTTTGTATAATATTGTGTTGTGTTTATGTGCGTCAATGAAATTTCTATTGAACAATAATATATGAAGATATTAGTGGTTTGAAATGATCGTTTCAATACAGTGTGTACTCTTATATTGTACATAGCTGTACAGGATTAACTTGCATTCAGGCAATGTATTAGTTCTAAGGTTTCTGCAACATGATACTGAGACTTCCTGCTATTTTCCATTCAATGATACCAGTATTATCAGTTAATATTATAACCCACCAGACCTGGAAGTGTAAGAATTGCAGGGTTGAGATTCCCCAAAGTTACCAGCAGGTTAATAAGTTGTATAAGAATTGGGCAGCTAATATGTCAACTGCATTGATACATGCTTTCCACGCTGGTTAAATTATTTAGCTGCAACAAAAATTGGTATTGAAATCCATCTGGAAACTGCTTTCTGTTTCAATGATATTCTACCAAAGCTTGTCTTCTCCATTTCCAAAGCAATGGAGAGAACAAATGCTTTTGAAAGAAAGAATATAGATGGATTGAGATGGTTACAGGGCTAGTTACAAGAGCTAGGTTTATTTTAGGGGTAACGTTATTTTATTGTGTTTTTCTGGTTTGAAATGGTAATCTTATTTTTAAGTGAACCTTGTGGAAACTGGAGTTTGTTGTTATGTGTTTCCATTTCATGATGTGCACTGAAATATTGGAACTGCAGTATTTAAATTTCCTTTTATTATCAGAACCGATGGATACATCTATAACAGATCCAAATGGGAGGGATTCCTCGAAATCAGAGATGGAATTGGAGGAGGATTCTGCCTGACCGGAAGGTGTTGTTCATTTCGATCCTACAGAGTCGAGGTAGGACTTAAAATGTCTATATAAAGTCAGTTTAGACTGCATGTTACCCCAACTATGCTTCAACTGCCCTCTCTCTAAACCCCCAGTGAAATATAAGCTAGTTTCATTATATGCTTATCACTCCATCTTGCAGGAAGTACCTGTTGAACATCTTAATTTAAGGAACGATGAAGCTCTAATTCCTGTCGCCCATTTCCAAAAGGTATATAACTGAAGGCATGCACAAACTTCCATAGAGAATTGTACCATACAAAGTGCATGTACATTTTGTATTATATTATCATCAATTTCCCTTCATCAACAATCGCTATTTTCCATTAGGCTCTTGAACTATAAACAACCTCTTTCGACTTCACCATAAGCGGTCTTTAGTGCGCTTGAACTTATTATTCACAATGTGAATAATGTATGACAGATATATGAGACAAAATATATGAATGAACAAAATGTTGTCATGCGCCGGAGCTGATAGGCTCCAGACTGGTATGCGAGGTGCTTTTGGCAAGCCTCTGGGAACTGTTGCTCGTGTCAACATTGGTCAAACTATTTTGTCAATTAGAACAAAGCCCCAACACAAAGCAGCATGTATTGAAGCATTCAGACGGTCCCTGGTCGTCAAAAAATATTTGTGTCAAAGAAATGGGGTTTCACAAAATTTGATAAAGAAGAGTACGAGAAAGGTCGTTCGGATGGTTCAATCAATCATTCCTGCTGGTGTTCATGCTCAGTATCATCCGAGCCATGGCCCTCTGGCTGCCTGGAAAAAAAGAGTCGCTGAAAACGACATACGTAACTCACATTAGCAAACCCGTTTAAGAAATATCAGGAAAATCATATAAATGTAATATAAAGGAATGTGGGGGAGGATATTTATGTAAAATAATACATTTAATGTATCGTGTCGACTGTTTTGTTATTATTTTAACAATATCAACAAATATAAACTACAATTATACTGAATACCCTTCAACTGTTCTTCGAGTATCTGATGGTATTCCCAGCTAAAAACTCCAAAACGCGTTATAACAACTAAATGGGGACTAACTTTTGGGCATATCGTCTTGGCAGTGGTCACACAAAGTCAGTGCGTTTACCGCTTCGGTTTTGGTTGATAATCTCGCAAAGTATCCGAGTCGTATTTTAAACACTAATGACTCTATTTACTAAAATAAGGTCACATACAAACGACTGCCTACGTTAACAAAAGCAGCTGGACCAGACGGTATACCAAACCGAGTACTAAGACGGTGAATAAGTCAAAATTAAATAACACTCTTACATTCGGCTCTCTTCACTTGAATGAGTCAACTTGAATATTATACACTGGATATTTAGTTGTATAAACAGTATCTTTGTATTAAGGTTAAAAACATTTACTGAGTTCGCTTCTTGAATAAAACGATAGACTGGCTTTCTATTTTGAACTTAACCACCGTTTAAGCTAACGGGCTTGATAAAGCCAAAGGGAACAAACTTTATGTTTTAGGTTAATTAATGATTCACTTATTTGATATGCTTCGTACACCCATGAAGTATTTGAATTTTAAAAGTGTTAGTTTTTTTTCTGTTTTTCATCCTGTAGTTCTCAACATTCTCTGTATTACCTTTCCTGAATACAAGGAGTGGACGATATTGCTAGATTTCCAATCACAGGAAAGCACCAGTCTGCAACGAGTGATTGAATATTAAACATATCCAGTGAGGATGCAATCTTCGCGGCTGTTTTTATACAACCGGCCCCTGACGTACAAATTTTAGATCATGTTGGACACCAGCTGGCCAGCGAAAAACAGACTGACATAATTTACCTTGACATGAGTAAAGCCTTCGACACTGTTCGACACAACGTATTGTTGCAAAGGCTGCAACACTTTCACAATTGACATTGCTGGTAATTTGCACTCGCGGTTTAAATCATATCTACGTGGACGTCAAAAACGTGTAACAGTTCCTGGTGATGAATCATCATCATACCTTCCTGTTACATCTGATGTTCTGCATGCAAAGGATCTATTCTAGGACCAACACTCTTTCTTATCTATGTGAACGATCTGCGACTGCCGAACTGCCTGTTCATCTCCCATGCATGGCTTTCTTTGCAAACGACACAAAGTCAAAGCAACTGCCCACACGATGGCATTCCTGCTGCAAGATGATGTAAACGTTTGTCTGTGTTGTCTGAGTTGACTTTTCATTAAAACGAAATCCCAATCCATCGCACGTAAGAGATCTCTAGTACAACACCACTACTAGTTGAAAGGCAAATATATCGTCAAAGTCGACGTTGAGCGCGTGATCTAGATATTCAGTGTCGGCGACTCGGTGTCCAAACATCAGCTGCAAACAGGCTACTTGGTTGTGTTCATAACAAATCCATAACAAATCTTCTTGGGCCACACTTATTGCTTAGTTGGCCGTGAATAAGATGAGCGGAAGAAGGCAACTCTGCTTCCTGGCCAATTTCCAATAAGTTTTCTCTAAAAAGTTGATTGCACTATAGTCAGTACTGATTTGTGAGAAAAGATTGATATATAGTTAGAAACTATTTGATCTGTCAACTAGGCTTTGTATAACCTTAGCTATGCCTATGTTGTGAAAATGCAATTTATGTTCCACCGTTAGTTCTGACTGGCAATTTCTGAACACAAGATTCGCAGCAATAATTGATTATGGTACTCGATAAAGGCTTTAAATATCCACAGGTTATGCAAATATCTCCTTACCGTGACGTGTGATACTGAACTCTGATTGGTTCTATCTTGCAGAGGTATATATAAGGCTATTTTTGTCGCCAAAATCATGCAACTGTTACTTTCCTCGTTCATCAGCGCGCAACTTCATTGCACCAGCGGCGAAGGTATTTTGGTTGAAAGTTTTCTCATCTCACAAAGAATTTATGCCAAAGGTAATATAGCAAATTAGATCGTTTATGTATTTAGTTTTTAGTCAGAGTTTAGTATTTTAGATATTAGTGCTAAAAAATCTAAAAATTAAACGACGCTTGATGTCTGCATGTACAGACTATACAAGAAACTATACATGAGCAATGCTATATATAATATTAATTGCAGAAATCCGGCGCTGTTGAAACTTTCATTCAAAGAGTTTCATTCAAATAATTAATAATTTGGTTTAAAGTAAAGTAATATAGTAAAATCTACAGAAAATAACATATGGTTAGGTCTATCAGTCCGTATGTACGGAGCGCAAGTTTCATCGACGTTAGTCGCTAAACCTGCCCTTAAAGAGTAAACGGCATGGCATGGGCACAAACGATATTTTCGAATAATAAAATCGACGTGGTGGTACTATGCTGATATTGGATATAAACAATTTTAATTATACCTGCAAATGTTTCGAATACATTTCTGCTGGAGAGTGTGAAGTATAATCAACCAATCAGTCGAAAATATCAAGTAATTTTATTATATTTATGTGAAAACACGTTTATTTTTTCTCGACTGTCAATTAGAATTTAAATTTTTCACCCATTATATTATTAGTTAGAGCATAGACTATCGAAGGGAAAACTTGTATATTAAGAGTCCATTCCCTTCGATATTTCGATATTTCCTTCGTTGCCACCATCATTTGAATAACGCCAGGTTTTGTCGAGGCGCTTTAGCAGCTCAGATCAGTGAAGGACTATACATCAGTGTTGCCATGACGATTTTCGAACAATATCTTACGAGACGGGAGATTTTCAAATAAGATCTTATTTAATAGATATAGACCTTTAATGACTTATTAAAGTTATTCACTTTGTTAACAAATTCAACCATTTAGTCCACAACACATGATATATAGAAAGTGAGTCGTCATTGAGTCATGAGTCAAATCTTAGATTAACCAGAACGATTAGTTTGAACTTAAAAAGAGTCTACCTAGCTTTAGAGGCCGTGTGGGATAACTCAAAAAGATTTGAAGAGAAATAGAAAAAAAATAACAAACATTGCTCTTGAAATCAAGTTTACATATAAATTCTTGTGCATGTACGCGGAAGCCATCACATGCAGCGACAGCGTTTTTTACTTTAAACATTTGGGTAAATGTTTGCTTGTTTCGTTTATTTCCTGGCTCAGGAATACCGTGTAATAATTGTTGCTAAATACTTTTTCTGAGTAGAATGCCAGGAACGAAAATCACAGAAGGAGACCGAGATGGAATTGACTCGAAGTTCATTTGCTTTATTTGTCATTTGCTATTGTTGGAACCGATGCAAACTCTTTGTGGTCATGTTATGTGTCTGACCTGTATTGAAACACTACTGAGGTAAGGTGACTTGATGAAAAACCTTGTTATGACACCTCAGTAAAATTCCATCAGGAAGAGATTGTAAATTTTAGTAACTGTCGCCAACGAAGAAATAAATTATTATATTATATTGAAGACCATTTCGTCGTTCGTGAAATGACGACGGTGAAGCGTGAAAGTTGAAACGGGTTGACAGACTCAGACTGCCAGTATGCAATACGACATGTTTTTACTAAAGAATTCCGGCATTCTTTTTCAGGAGTTCAACTCCAAGATGTCCTGAAGATGGTGAGGAGTTAAGTAAAGAAAAAGTAGGTGTTGCTTTTCTAAATTCTAAATTTCGAATTGTAACGTTCCGACTTTCGCGTGAGCACAGTTCAAATGAGAACGTCTTTATTCTCTTTTCCTAGCCAGTTCCTGATTCTTTCACAAAACGATTCTCATTGCATACGCGAGTAATTGCGTTCACAAGAATTGCAAATCCATGCCTTAGTCCTTGAGTGACTTAGCTAAAGATTACAGCAGCTTTCTTTGAGATACGCAACTGGCATGAGTCATAAGAAAAAAACCAGGGAATGGGTCATGTAGTTTTTGCCTTGCACTCATGATATGCCAAACTCATCCTCCCCTGCAGGAACACGTCGCTACGAGCTGTGAAGGTGCGCCGGCGACAGTGAAAATCACCGACTTGGAATCGCAGCGAGGACCAAGTGCGCAACGAAGTATCCCTAGTTGCAATGGCATCTTACTCTGGAAGATTGAAGGCTTTCATAAGAAGCGACAGGATGCTATCAATGGAGTGAAGACGGCCTTGTATAGTCCACATTTCTACAGCGCTCTAAACGGATACAAATTGTGTGCAAAGATCTATATGAATGGAAACGGATTTGGAAAAGGATCTCATTTATCATTGTTCTTTGTGGTGATGAAGGGTAAATATGATTCTCTTCAAAGCTGGCCATTTCAGAAGAAGATAACCATGATGCTCTTGGATCAAGGTGAATGTGAATTACGTGATCACATGGTCCAAACGTTTCATTCTGATCCGCAAGGTGTGTCTTTCCAACGCCCGAAATTTAACATGAATATAGGCTGTGGTTTGCCATTTTTTATGCCGATTGGTCATTTGGATCGTCGTCAGTATATCAAAGATGACGCGATCATTATTAGGATCATCGTAGACTAATAAGCCGGCCTCCCTCTTTACGTGAATGTCGTGACAGCCTGACTGGCTAGTCATAGAGTTCACGTCCCTATTACAAAAAATATATATAATACGATAATTAGGTGTGAACAAATAATACATAATTGTATTTGATACGTAATGTAATTGTAACTGACTAATTGTAATAGTCGACGTAAAAGTATTATTAAAGTATATTATTTTACTATAGATTTTAACTCTGTTTTTACAACTGTAAAACGAACTTATATCGTTCGTTGTTTATGGTATATTTAGATAAATGTAAAAACCGTATTAAACTACTCCCAAATATCATTGCTTTATTCTGATAATCGCCAGTCGTCTGTAAATGACATTTGATAATCAATTCTGCTGACAGCCAGTTTCACCAAATGTGGTTTTACCAAGACGTCCAACTGTCGACCTTTTAGTTGCATGGGTGAATGGGACAATAATTGACAACATAAAAATGGAAAATGTCCACGACAAGATGTACATTGTCATAGTGCGTCATCAGTGTTTCCTTAATTTGTATTTCCATAGGTATTTCTAATTAGGCGGTAATTCAAAATAGGCGAAGGGCGCTACACAAATAGCTACACTACATTGCCGCAGATACATGTACGATTAATTTACGTGTACGAATATAATCTTTCAATTTGTTCAATATAATGTTGTTACTCTTTAACTGCGAATGTTCATCATTGAAAAGTAAGGAAAGTAAGGGAAGTAATGAAAACGAAACGGTAACAAAGATGTCACTATAATCTGCTTACATGAAGTCCTTCCGCAGCTTTATGTAACAATCCCCCTGTCCGTGATGCGTGTCGGTCGTGGTTCTGGCGAAGTCACTGACAACATGAAAGGAGTTTACTGTAGGAAATTGTGGTGATTATTGTCATGTTTATAATCCTTTTACGTCTCAATTTCTCTGCTTTGTCGCTCCCCTGAAGGGGAAACGTGCCGAAATTGGCCGAATCACGAGTAAACACGCGAAAGTTTCCCAAGAAGCCGCGGAGGAAACTTTCGACAACACCAATAACCCGAAACCACATCTTACCGAAGTTGATAAAACTACTTCAGTAATGAATGGGCCTGTTTCAGAAGACCAAGACGATATGGACTCGAAGGAAGGTAAGCCTTAACTCACGCACAACTCCAGCATTACCCGTTCCTTGCACATATTTTGTACAATATTGTGTTGTGTTTATGTGTGTCAATGAAATTTCTATTGAACGATAATATATGAAGATATTAAGTGGTTTGAAATGATCGTTTTAATACAGTGTGTACTCTTATATTGTACATAGCTGTACAGGATTAACTTGCATTCAGGCAATGTATTAGTTCTAAGGTTTCTGCAACATGATACTGAGACTTCCTGCTATTTTCCATTCAATGATACCAGTATTATCAGTTAATATTATAACCCACCAGACTTGGAAGTGTAAGAATTGCAGGGTTGAGATTCCCCAAAGTTACCAGCAGGGTAATAAGTTGTATAAGAGTTGGGCAGCTAATATGTCAACTGCATTGATACAAGCTTTCCATGCTGGTTAAATTATTTAGCTGCAACAAAAATTGGTATTTAAATCCATCTGGAAACTGCTTTCTGTTTCAATGATATTCTACCAAAGCTTGTCTTGTCCATTTCCAAAGCAATGGAGAGAACGAATGCTTTTGAAAGAAAGAATATAAATGGATTGAGATAGGTTATAGGGCTAGTTACAAGAGCTAGGATTATTTTAGGGGTAACGTTAATTTATTGTGTTTTTCTGGTTTGAAATGGTAATCTTATTTTAAAGTAAACCTTGTGGAAACTGGAGTTTGTTGTTATGTGTTTCCATTTCATGGTGTGCACTGAAATATTAGAAACTGCAATATTTAGATTTCCTTTTATTATCAGAACCGATGGATACATCTATAACAGATCCAGGTGGGAAGGACTCCTCCAAATCAGAGATGGAATTGGAGGAGGATTCTGCCCGACCGGAAGGTGTTGTTCGTTTCATTGTGAAAGACTTTAGTCGGCTGAAAGAGACAGTGCTCAGTGAACCCGTCTACATAAGAAATTTACCTTGGTAAGATAATGTGATATGGGATGACTATACAAATATCTAGAATTAGTATTTAGTATGTTGATTATCTGTGTGACCATTGAGATCAGAAGCTGAACATTTTGTTGTATTTCCAGGAGACTGATGTGTATTCAGAGAACTGGATCAGGGCATGGTCATGAGAAGCTTAAAACCCTTGCAGTTTTCCTTCAATGTAACCCTGAGACAGAGTCATTGTAAGTCCCTATTGTAGTTTTATCAAATGTTACCATCACTGCATAGCCCAGGACATGTTTTGAAGCCAACTGTCACAACGTCCAGGGATTGTTTCATCGTTCATATCGGTCCACAGCAGGAACAAACAGGCATACAGTATTACCATCCTAAAATGTTGTCATTTTTTAGATCATGGTCCTGTAATGCTACTTCTCAGCTGGTTCTTGTCAATCAAAAATTCCCTGAGAAATCCTTCAAAAAAAGTAAATACACCTGCAAAATATTGAAAACTTTGCCTTTAAACTTTGCTTATTTTGATTATGTGCTTTGTAATTTCATCTAGAAATTCAACATTTATTCTTTGCTAAGGAGAATGACTGGGGTTTCAGTAATTTCAAGGAATGGCATGTATGTATACAATTTCTTGGAAGTTCTTTATGTTGTATATGTGCTCATATACCAGTTAGGCCTCATAATCAGTCTATTTTTGTTTCCAGGAAATCCTGAATACGGATAATGGATTTTTAGTGGATGACACGATCATTGTTGAAGCTCATGTTGTTGCTGAAGCTCCCCATGGAGTAGCGTAAGTTTGCCACTCTATCTCTTCTTATCCATTATTATCCATCACTGTATACCTTCTTATCCTTAAATACTAAGTACTCTATCCCTTCTTTACCATTTACCTCCATTACTTTGTCCCTTAGTGACCATTAGAGATCTATTATTCTATCTCTTGCTGACCATTAGAAATCCATTACTCTATCCTTTATTGACCATTAGAGAACCAATGTTCTATCCCAATACTCTATCCTTTATTGACCATTAGAGAAACATTACTCTATCCTTTATTGACCATTAGAGAACCAATGTTCTATCCCAATATTCTATCCTTTATTGACCATTAGAGAAACATTACTCTATCCTTTATTGACCATTAGAGAACCAATGTTCTATCCCAATACTCTATCCTTTATTGACCATTAGAGAACCATTACTCTATCTGTATCCTTTATTGACCATTAGAGAACCAATACTCTATCTCTTCTTAACCATTAGTATCCATTACATGTACTGGTCAATTATTCAACTTTACCTGCTTGATAAACTTTTTAGCTGGGACTCAAAGAAGCATACAGGTTATGTCGGCCTAAAGAACCAAGGAGCCACCTGTTACATGAATTCACTTTTACAAACATTGTTTTTTACGAATAAGTTAAGAACAGTGAGTCGAGATCTCTGTATTACTTTGTCATTCTAAAGTGTTGTTGCAGTGAAATAGAATTTCAGGATAACCTGATCTAATGTATATTTAATTTAAATCCAGGCTGTCTACCACATGCCAACTGTTCACGATGATCCTCAGAAAAGTGTTGCGTTCAATTTACAGAGAGTGTTTCATGAACTGCAATTTAGGTAAGGTTGGAGGAGGGTATGCTCTTGGGAAAATGAGATGATTTAATGAACAAAAAGTCTGAGAACAGGCCTAGAATGCTTTAATATAACTCCATAGACTATAAGCTGTCAGGTGAACACAAATCATGCTTTAGGTTCATGTATGTAGAGTACCTGCTCCATCCTCTCTTAAGACAAAGAAAAATCAAATCTTTGATTTTGTTGTTTTTAGTGATAAAGCAGTTGGGACTAAAAAGCTGACAAGATCCTTTGGGTAGGTATCCCTGAATTATGCTCTCTGGTAGAAAGTATTTTCACAATTTTCTCTGAATGAAGTACAATGTGCATTGGTACAACTGTCCCTTTATTATTTTCATTGCTAGATGGGAAACGCTGGACAGTTTCATGCAACATGATGTCCAAGAATTGTGTCGAGTGGTGAGAAACAATAGTATTTCTGCTTGACTTTGCACCATAGGGAAGACATCATATTGTTTAGGACAAGATGTGTGCAAATTCTTTCGCCTGTGTTAGCATATCTCGCCAGAATGCTGTTCTTATATCAATTCTTGTTTTCGTTTTAGCTCCTGGACAACATGGAGAGCAAAATGAAAGGAACATGTGTTGAGGTACCTGTGAAAATAAAACTACAATTCTTACTAGTTATATTACATATAGTCATAAATCATCATGATTTTATAAGAGGTGTTTAGCTTCTTCACTAAGCTCTCTGCTGTCTTTGTAGGGAGTTATACCCAAACTTCTGGAGGGGAAAATGTGTGTAAGTGAAAAATTTGCTGAAATCATTTGCCCTTAACACCCACCTACCAAACCATTGTCCAAGGTTGTGTTTAGATATTTGCTCATAAAACACTCCCAAGAATAAGTTGTTTAGAGTATATTCTAGTGTTGAGAGTTATCATTAATCAAGTTTACATATTCATCTGTTGTTTTAGTCGTATATCAAGTGTAAAAATGTGGACTATGTTTCTTCAAGGTAATATCACTCATTTCCCAAGTCATATCTCTTTCCCAAGTCATCATCTTAATCATACAATGTTCATTGACGATCTTTCATTTTCCCCTTCGGTTAGAATTGAATCGTTTTATGACATACAACTAAATGTGAAAGGAAAAAAAGACAGTAAGTACCATACACCAAACAGGAGTATAATTATGATTAATGATGCGTGTTGAAACTGAGCTTTCTTTAACATCTCTGGAGCCGGTTGTATAAAACTCTTTAACTACATTTTGCATAGTTAAATCCAAGTTAACTCAGAAATACACGACTTTTATTGACCAATTCTGTCCTTAACTATAGTTAAAAGTTAACTAGTCTTTTATACAACTAGTCCCAGATGAATTCCAAGTGAAGATTCAGACTTTGTCTTGTTGTTTCAGTTTACGAGTCATTTAAAGAGTACATCGCAGTTGAAACATTAGACGGGGATAATAAGTACGATGCTGGGGATTACGGAATGCAGGTTTGTATAAAAACTAAGCCCAAAACTCTACTTGCATGTGCCTTTAATTACTCTGTACATGTTTGTTGTAGGAAGCGAAGAAAGGCGTGATTTTCCACAGCTTTCCAACCGTCCTGCATCTACAATTGATGCGCTTCCAATACGATCCAGTGACTGATGCAAATGTTAAGATAAACGACAGGTGAATTACGCTACTGAACTGCTTTTATTTTTTCAAAATTTTTCCTCGTATATTTTGGTATTTGGTCGTATATTTTGGTGTTTAGATTGTTTTAAATTCGATTGGATTTCGTTTAAAGCGGCCTTCTACGTTATTTAGATATGAATTCTTGGAGAAAATCGATCTCACTGAGTTCCTGGATGATGCGCATCACACTCAAGCCTCGTACACGCTTCACGCGGTTCTTGTGCACAGCGGTGAGTGTTTGGTTGACCGCCGTGGGAAGAATGCAGATATCTATGAATGAGGATAGTTATCTAGAACTAAAACCCATTTCTGTTGTTGTAAATATTTAGGGGATAATCATGGCGGCCATTATGTTGTCTACATCAATCCTAAAGGCGATGGAAAGGTAAATTGGCTTTAAAAAACACGCTGTATTTAAGCCATTATAATTTGTTCTAAGAGAGTGTGTTTTCTTTTTGCAGTGGTGTAAATTTGATGATGATGTTGTGTCATTGGTAAGTGTTTTCGCTTCACGTTGAACCAATTCATCCACAGTCCAAACAAAGTGTGAGTTCAACTTGAAAATCTTGAACTTGGTTCAATAAATCTGCTCTTAAAAGTATAAAAATATAGTAATAAATAAATACAAATACTAAATAATATAGATAGACTATTAAAGTACTTTCTTAAACCGACATCTCTTTCCTATTAGGCTTCAAAACAGGAAGCAGTTGACCATAATTTTGGAGGATATGATGTATGTTATTCGCTTATCATCGCATTTGCTTTTCCAAGCTTCCCGCTCAAATGATAAATAAATCACTTCGTTTCTCTTTCTCAGGATGATATTTGTGTAAAATATTGTACAAACGCATACATGTTGGTCTACATCAGAGACAGTTGCTTAGGTATGTCTTCTAGTGAAAATATACATCGCCTATATCGCCACAGACTGCGTGCGTGTCGAACGTAGCGATGCAACCATGACACTGCTATGATAGTCGAATGTACATGTGATGGTGTGTCTTTGTGTTATGGTTTTTTTTTATCCTGGGGCTGGTTGTTCAAAGCTAGGTTAGCGCTAACTTGGGTTAAATTTTACTCCGCTGTTTTGGTTTATATGCTTCTGCACCGCTGTTTGTTTCAAGACTTTACAAAATAAGACTTCTATTAATCCACGAAATATTTATGAAAAATCTTCATGTTCATCTTCATAAACAAGCGATTAAAAAATTGATGTGAAAATTTGAGTTAACCCAGGGTTAAGCTAACCGGCTTTTGAACAACCGACCCCTGACCACTTTTGAGATGCTGACCTTTCGCTCCACCTAGATGATGTACTCGACGCAAGCGCGACAGAGATACCCAAAGAACTAGAGGAGAAACTAAGAGAGGAGAAGTGAGGATTACATTAAAAATATTTTGTTTTGGAGACCTCTTGTGTAACGAGACTTTTCTTAAATGACAGACGTATAGAGGCGCAGAAAAGGAAGGAAAGAAGCGAAGCTCATTTGTACATGAACGTTGAGGTATTCCCTAGCGACTTATTTTAATGTACTTTTTACTCGCAATCCTTAGACAATCTTAGAATTCATTTTACTACAATGTCCTCAGGTAATCACTGAAGATCAGTTTTGTGGACATCAAGGTTTTGATCTATTTGACACCAAAAAACAATCCTCCAAGTAAGAATTTCCCCATCTGAAACAAAATGTCATATTGAGTATTTCTTCCTTGGCTTATCTGGTTTTCTTTTGACAGGATTTTCAAAATACTAAAAGAGGACACGATTGAGAAAATGATTGAGCAACTTGCTGATGCTCTGGTATGACATAGCATTTATGTATCTGTCAACGTCCCAACTATCCTATTAGAGAGAACAAAATATGTCTGTTGGATCCATTTATGTCACTGAGACAAAGCTATTGATGTAGGTCCAGTGAATAGTTTTAGATATGATTGATTGTCGGCCCAGCCAGATTCCTTCAGACCCGGTGTAGCCACAAGTTGTCAAGCAAGGAGTATTTTTATTACCCCTGCATTCGTTTAATAGCACTGACATATACTAGAGTATATTACTGTAGGTCTGTGTTTAATATATACGCTTCGTGTGTTCTTTCGTAGGGCTATAAGGCGAATCAAATTCGTCCTTGGCCGTTTCAAAGTCGGAAGAATAACACGTATCGTATCGGAGCCATTGAAATGGAAAATGGTTTAGATAAAAAAGGGTAGGGAAAGGGGATTTGAAAAGCAAAACAATTGGATTTGAAATATGAATCTCTCCTTCGGAACCTACTCAGTCTTTCGTAGTGGTTTTACGTATGTAGCATGCAGGTGTACTAATGCAATCGTTGATCTTTGTTAGGTGATGGAAGCGATCGATACCGACAGTGATTGTTGTTTATTTATTGAGACTACTGATCCCTGTGAGTACTTCAGAAAACATGTAACAAAAGTTGTATTTCTTCTGAATGTTTTCATATTAGAAGACCTCACTTCAAGTGGACCAATGGCGGCCAAAGATTCTCGATTTCAGTAGAAACCATGACCATCTTCCCTTTTAAAATACCAGTATTTTAATACGCAGTGTTTAAGTCAATTTACTTAATTTCCCTTTCCAGGTGACCCAGATTCCAAGCTTCCTAGTTTCGACGTTAAAAGTAAGAATATACCGTTCTGAGCAAATTTTCATTGAGAACTTCCATATTCCATAATTTCAGGCAGGTTTTTGCGACTTGAACTGTTGTTTAATCTCTTCCCACTTTCTTCCACAGCTGATATCCTCCTTTTCTTCAAATATTACGACCCACGAACAGAGACGATGTCCTACTGCGGTCACGTCTTTGTACGTTTGGTAGATAAAGTTTGTAAGTATATCTTGAGCAAGTGTGTAGAGTGTTTTGCAAAAACAGCATGATACATTTCTCGTCGAGAATAACAACTCTCATTTTCACACCATCCAGCTATTTTGCTTCCAGTGTTGTGCGAGAGAGCACATTTACCAAAGGACACGCCTTTAATGCTTTTCGAGGTAAGCCAAAATAGCTTGGCCAAGTACAGACAGTATAACTTCATCACACTACCACTACTGTGTATAATACTGCTCTTTTCTTTCTCGTGTGTCAACGTACTTTACTTGTTTTCATTTCAGGAAGTCAAACCAGGTTTAACAGAGCATTTTAAAGATTTAAATGTCACATTCGAAGTAAGCGCTGGTTTTTTTTATTGCATAATGAGAGTTCGTCTTCACTGTTGTCTAAACTTCACCTGACAATTTGTCCAGAGACTGAAGTATTTATTTTGTTTTTAAAACGAACTTTTCTATCGTAGGACACGGAAGATATAATGGATGGCGATATTTTCTGTTTTCAAAGGTAAAATTTTTATTTTCAACCTCAACACCACAAATATCGATCGAAATTAGTATATTATAACTATACTGATCATAACCATGGTTTTCTTCATCATTAGGAAAGATATTGATTTGGACGAATTCAAATTACGGACGTGCATAGATTACTTTAGGTAAGGGTTGTGATCGCGGAACTTCTGGCCTTTCCAGTTCGGAGGTGGACCGGTAGATCAGGCATTTGGGCTATGGCTAAGGGCCCAAGCAGTCTAGAGGGCCCATTACACGATACACGATCCGTAGAGCCCCAAGTTCCCATCTTCCCCAAGGGCCTGCCCGCACCTGTTCCAGTCTAATGTTCATATATGCTGTGTTGTATTTCAGAGATTATTATCATCGAATCGACATCACGATGTGCGATAAAAACATGTCAAATGATCCTGGTTTTAACATTACTCTCTCTTCAAGAATGACCTACACGCAGGTATGGGAGCTGAACTATTAGAGAAAACTGGATGGTTTTGTACAGAATCAACACTTGTGTATAATATTCTGTGATGTGCATTGTTCGTTTATACGTTTCAGATGGCAGAGAAGGTCGCCTGGTATTTGGATGTCGACCCGAGAAAGATCCAGTTCTTCAAGGCACAACTGTACGTATTTTGGATGGATTTACTAAGGGCGCAGGGGGGATTGTATCCTTCTAGTCTAGGCCAGGGGCGAGGTGCAAGACAAAGACATAGAATATGTGTGTTCTCCCAGGATATAAGAATCGATTTTTTTTGTTTTATTAGATACGGCGGTGGCCTACCTGGAAATCCTATACGATGTACCTACGAGGGAACGATTCGAGATCTGATGATGTACAGTCAAAAAACTCCTAAGAAATTATTTTACCAGCTGGTAAGATGACGAAGATGCACTTTTAGGATACCTGTAAAGTATCCAGCTAGTGATGACCACATCTTGTTGTTAATCGAAATAAAAACTTATTTTATATTATCTTTTTTTTATTATCTTTTTTTTATTTCAGCTGTCGATACCAATAGACGAATTAGAGAATAAGAAACAAGTCAAATGTATTTGGATGAGTAAAGATCTTAGAGAACAGGTAAAGATTAAATTGTCATTGACGAAGGAGGTTTGCAAAGACAGATTCTTCTTTAATCCTGAGTTGAAATTGACCAATCTCTATTTAACATATTCTAGAAAGAACTTGTCCTATTCCCAGACAAGAATGGTACTGTTACAGATATTTTAAGTGAGGCAAAGAAACATGTGAGTTATCATTATGACAAGTATGCTGTGACTGATGACTATTGTTATCAACGACTAGTATTCGCCGTTCACGTGGATTCTTTCAATGTTTTGAAATGAACACATCTTTATTGTTTTAGATCAGTTTAGATGCTGATGGCTCTGGGGAACTAAGGTGTGTAAACATTGATCCACACTCAACTCGCTTACACTCACCCAGTCCACAGTCTATTTCCCTTCTTATCTTCCCACCCACTCTCCCTTGCTACTCTCCCCCTGCCCCAACTCTCCCACCTTCTCTATCCTCCACGCCGCCGTTCACACTCACCCAGTCCACACCACATCCCCCCTTCTAATCTTTTCATTCACTCTTCCTCTCTATTCTCCCCCTCCTTCAATCTCCTCCACCCCCTCCTTTCCTCCTCCACCCTCCAGATCATTACTCTCGTTCACACTCATCAAGATGCATCCCACGCCCTCTTTACCTCCTTAGATTACTCATGATCCTGAGTTCCAAGATCCAGGAAATTTTAGACGTCGACTCAGAATTAGAAACGCACTTCGGTGCCTACGCTACAACCCGATCCTACAGAGTCGAGGTAGGACTTAAAATCTCTATATAAAGTCAGTTTAGACTGCATATTACCCCTACTATATTACTTCAACTGCCCTCTCCCTAATGAACTGCCCTCTCTCTAATGAACTGCCCTCTCTCTAATGAACTGTCCTCACTCAAATGAACTGCCCTCACTCTAATGAACTGCCCTCTCTCTAATGAATTGCCCTCACTCTAATGAATTGCCCTATCTCTAATGAACTGCCCTCTCTCTAATGAACTGCTCTCTCTCTCTAAATCCCCAGTGAAATAAAAGCTGGTTTCATTATATGTTTATCACTTCATTCTGTCTTGCAGGAAGTACCTGTTGAACATCTTAATTTAAGGGACGATGAAGCTCTAATTCCCGTCGCCCATTTCCAAAAGGTATATCACTGAAGGCATGCACAAACTCCAATAGAGAATTGTACCATACAAAGTGCATGTACATTTTGTATTGTATTATCCTCAATTTCCCTTTATCAACAATCGTTACTTTCCATTAAGCACTTGAACTATAAACAACCTCTTTTGACCCAACCATAAGCGGTTTTAGTGCCGTTGAACTTAATATTATTCACGATGTGAATTATGTAAGACAGAAATATGACACAAGCAAGGTGAAACTCGTTGAATGGATTGACTATTTATAAACAATCATAGACCACGAACCAGGATATTATGCATAAAGAGTTAATGAGAACAGCAAAAAAAAAATAACTGGAGTTTTTCATTTCTTTCCAGGACACATATCAGACCTTTGGTTTTCCATTTCTAATAAAAATTCGTGATGTAAGTATTATTTGCTGCTGTTCTGATTTAACTGTACCTACGTTAATCTGTTGAACACGTCCAGCCGTAGGTCTTACAAAACTCCTTTAACTTTCTACACAGAAAGAAGTCTTTTCCGATATTATCGAACGTGTTAAACACAAGTTAGAAATGCCGGAAAAAGAATTTGAAAAGGTAAAAAAAAGTTGTAGAGTTAATTAGTTCAAATACGTCCTATAGAGCTGTCAATGCAAAACTTACTGTGATTAGGGCTGAAAAAAAGGCGTGGTATGGAAAATAAGTTTTTGTTTAAAGTTGTAAGAGTTTTTGTTTCTAACAAACAGTCTTAAAAAAGCTTTTGAAAAGTGTTTTGAAGTGGATATTTCCGTTGGGTTTAGATCAAATTCGCGCTCGTCCGAAGCGGCAGACAGATATACTTAGATGACGGTAAGATATACTTTGTCTTCTACCATGTTTTGAACGAAATCAGGGTGGATGTGATTATGTGAATATCGCTGGCTTGTGTGAAAGGTTTCTTTAAGGGGGGGGAGTTAAGGGGGGGGACAGCACGTTGAATGAATTGGCAAAAATCACTGAGGTCATAGCTAACTGTAAAGTAAATTATAGCGCTCATCGTTATAATCTAGTTTATATCTTCTCTAGAGAGCGACAAATTGATCAATTTAAAAGACTTTACAAGCCCTTCAGGAGGTAAGCGAATAGAACTCCTTTCTGGTTCTCCATTACCATAACAATTCGGATAACATTTCTACCAGAGTGTTCAAAGCTCGTTCAACAAGCAAGCCACCGTAACAGGATTTTTTTCTTGCTTCTAGTTTTAAAGCTTCCCAATAACTCTCTATCTCGACCCTGGCTGGGACTTGATCACGTAGACAAGGCCCCAAAGAAATCGCGATATTCCTATCTGGAGCGATCCATCAAGATCTTGAACTGAGGTCGGACACGCCCTTTTCACCACCACCGCTTCTAAAAGACCGCGCATTTCAAAAAAGAATATTTAAATGTATTTAATATGCGAATTGGTGTGTGTTCTATCACAATTATGTAAAAATAGGGAGAGAGAGAGAAAAAATTGTACGTAAATTTTAGTTTCTCAATTTGCGCTGGTCAGACCAACCATAATTTCACCGATATTCTGCTGTGTCACTTCGGTTTATTATTGCCTCAATCCATTTTGATTGCTGTACAGGACAATTCATATTCCAGTTGTCATTCTGTTTTACATATGTCATGTATTTGTAATGATTTCATAAGAGAACACTTCAGGTTTCAAGTGTCAATTCTTTTCTCAATTTTGCCATATTTTGCAAATTAGGTTGATCTGACTTGGAATTAATAGATTGAAGGTTATTTTGTGTACTTATACACAGCGAAGGTTATATTATGTACATTCAAACTTCACCTGGGAGCTCTTTGCTTGGCTCATTTAGCTTTATTCTCACATAGACATTGATTTTAAACAATGTGTGGCAATGGATAAAAATTCTTGTAGCACTTGTTCTTAATTATGGTGTATTCCTTTTAAGATGCCAAATAATTAAACATTGTCAGGAAGATAATTGTCATCAACCCTTGCCTTGTGGTTTATTGATGCTATTTACTTTTTTGAAGCAATGTGAAGTTTTGTGGCGAAGAAATATTCAAGACAAATATAAGGTATTGACTTCTTTAATAGGTGGACTTATTGCAAAATATATTTCCTAACTACTAATTTGTAATCACTAGTTTTTATACTGTTCATTTCACTTCACTTGCATAGGTTCTCAACTTGGTCAAAACTTGGAAGCTCTTTTCTACAATTTGCCATCCATTTTGAGACATTTTTTGGAAGCTTGCGGTTTGAATTACTCTTGATCAAAGCAACACTGCAATATATGTCAGCTATGGAGATAGCATCACCAGAGAGCCAGTTGTGTTTGCCAAGGTGAGTGTTGAGATTTTGAATAAAGGTTTCCCCATCTTTGGTGGATGTGAATTGAATGGCAGAACTTAGCCAGTCATCAATGGTCGCTATTTGGAGAGGGCTGTGTGCATTGTAGAGATCTGGTAGAAATTGCCGTGCTAGAAAGCGAAGGATGTTGCTTTCACCAAGAATAGGAGATTGATTTGCAATTGATATCATTAGATTTGGTGCAAGAATATCTAAGAAAAGAAACAAAAAGAATACACATATAATGGTTGTGAATACCATAAGACTACATAAAGAATGCATGAAAAAGTTAATAGTTTCTCAGTCACAAAAAGGGGGTCACAAAAAATAAATTTCTCAAATCTCAAGTTTTTAACTCACCACTTCTCCAAATAAATCTCAAGCAGATGTCACTGTTCCTACAACATGAATTATCAAACAACTTTTGTATGTTGTCTGGCACTTGACCAGGCAATGACGAGTGTGTATGAGACATTGTTGAGCAGTCCAGCCCATGCTTCAGGGCCAATTGGTACAGCAGATATACCGAGAAGGGTGGGTCCTTGGGTGAGGTCTTTACAACCATGTTGCAAGAGATTGGCGCTGGTGTTGTGGGAGGTTCCTTGGCACTTGTTGCCTACAAACAATATAACGAAAGATGTCATAATCTGCGTAATCCGACAAGAGAGAAAACCAAGAGAGAAATTTGAAAACCATACCTTGGCTGCTGGTTTAGTTTTGCTGCTCAAGCCAATATCTTCACCAATTTGATCAATTTCTAGTTTAAGCTTTTCAAGTTCTTTTAAGACTGTTTCTTGATGAGAAATAAGCTCCAGAAGTTCGGGATTATCGATAGCCTAGAAACACGGGTAGATCATGAGATATATAGCTCTATAAGCATTTGATACGCGGCGAAAAAAACTGTCTCCAAAATAACAGCGCGCATCTCTCCCGACGACTTGTAAATCATACGATCAAATAGTTAGCGAAGGATATAAGATTTAGCGCGCCGTTTAGTTCAATTCTTTGTAATAAAACGAGTACATGCGCGGTAGCATCTCGTGTATATAAAAGTCGTCTATCCTATAAGATAGGTCTGTTGAGTAAAACAGCTGAACACAACAGCAAATATTTCGCGCCTGTTTGCGCACAGCTCTTACCGTATCATCGGACGAATCTTCGTGAATATTTTTCATTTTGTACATGCAAGTTGGAAGCTCTATTACAAGGTCGGAATTGTCGTAAATCGGTTTTATTTTGTACATTCCACTGGCGGACATTTTGTTTGGGGAGAAACGTGTACTGTGCAAAAAAATATGAGAAATTTTTGATATTTCATTATTGCATTGTGGAAACACTGCTGCCTTCTGTTTCTTAGCAAAAAAACTAAAAAACATCAAATTTTTGATAATTTTTTTAATTTTGCTGCCTAAAATCGCACTTATTTTGCAAATTACGAGTTTTCAGCTGAAATTTAACGTAAAAAAGCTTGAAAACGGGAGTTTTTAAAACAATTGTATTATCTCTAGTAATGTTGATATTTTCATACAACGAACTGTGGGTAACCACGTGACATGTCCTTTCAATCTTTGCTCATGGCCCGCCAAGAAAAAATGGAGGCCGTGACATTTGCGATTTAAAAATAGTAAAAATGAGCTTGAAAAATACAGGAAACGTGCCATCTACGAGCGCCAGGGAGGGAGCGTAGCTCGGAGGGCATTTCTGCTACGAAATTTGCGGAGAATATGGCAAAAGGACGCCGTAAAGGCCGGAGCGAGGCCAAGGGCAAGCGAGGAAAAGCGGCCAAGAGCGGGCAAAATGGCGATGCGACGAATTCTGTCGCGGATACGGCGGGTTCAAGCGCCTCGAGGAATATCAAAACACGCAACCAAGGAAAAGCACAGCCGTATAAATACCAGTGTATGATTCAAAGCTCGTCTGATTCTGAGGGCGATGATTCTGATTATAGTGCTGAATCTGGCTGTAGTCGGAATACAGAGGTGAGCCACATATCTAATGAAAGCTACTACCAGAACTGTCGTGTTAAAACGTTTGATTTTATCGAGCTTCCCGAAGTCAAAGACCTAGCACTGCCTCCATCCTCTGATGACCTTCTAATTCCAAACAAACATGTTATGAACGCTCTTGGAGTTTATGAAGTTTTAAGACATTTTGGAAGAATTCTCAGGCTGTCCCCTTTCAGGTTAGAGGATTTTGCCGCAGCGCTGATTGCAAATGAAAAGTCGGTACTCATGGATCAGATCCACCTTAATCTCATTAGAGCTATAATTACAGAGGATGAATCAAACGCCTACAGTTTTGCGGCACATGATGAGAAAGAAAGTATCAATTTGTTTTTATATTTCCTTGATACATTCACATGGCCTGAGGTTGTGCGGAGTTATGTGAAAGCCAACTCGGAATTTGGAAATACTGGCTTGTGTATTAATGGTGGTGATTACCCATTAGTCTCGGTTGAGAAAAAGCTCGAGGTTTTACGCAAGTTGACCGAACAGTTTCTATCATCAAATGCGGTTAGAGAAGATATCCTCAACGAGGGTATGTTCCAATCTGAGGATCATTGCCGGAACTGCTCTAAGATGGGTGATCTGCTTTGTTGTGAATCATGTCCGGCTGTGTTTCACCTTCATTGTCTTAAACCGCCCTTGGAAGAGGTTCCGCAAGGTGATTGGCTGTGTCCTCTGTGTACGGTTGACCGAGTACAAGGTGTTACGGACTGCGACTTTCCAGGCGATGTGATGAAGAGTTACAGAAATTCACCAATAGGCGTTGATAGAATTGGAAGGAAGTACTGGTTCTTGACTAGAAGGATCTTTGTGTAAGTTTACATAGACTTCATCATTCCTGTAACAATATTGCCCTAAAATATTACTAATAATTTCTATGTGAAATATGTCCACCAGGGTGCCAATTCTTCAATTCTTAGACATGAAATGTTTCACCCACCCCATGAAAAGTTTTTTTTAAAACATTGAAAACAAATGATTTCTTTTACAGAGAGGGGGGAAATGAGACATATTACTACAGCACTCCATCGCAATTGGACGAATTGTTACATTACCTTGAGCGCGATGGTGATGAGAGTAGATTGGTGGCTGGAATTAAAGGTTGGTACGATGAGATCATTCTTCACATGGGAATCACCAAAGAACTTACAGACAACTTCAAAGGTGAGTATTGTAGAGAGTAGCAAATACTACATTAAAAGATTGACAAAAACATTTGGGAGAAGTTTCACAAAATTCCATCTTGTTCTTTTCAGAAGATAAAAAATCTGCTTTAGATGAAGATCTGAGATTTCATGCGAAATCTGAACCCAAGACTGGAACAGTTATATTTGATGAAAAAGGTACATGTGTATAGTTGCAAAGGTGTAGGTAGCTCCACCCCTCTGAATGTGATTCAGTTTTTATCCCTTTTCAACATTTTTCCATTTCAAAATTTAGACATTCTAATCCAGAATTCCACTTTTTCCTATGTTGTTGTTTTGAAGGTATTCCAAAGTTTAACCTGGTGCCAAAATTGAATTTCATATCCGATGATTCGGTGAAAGAGAAGATAATTTCTTGGCAAGAAACGTTGGCAGAAACAACTCCTGCGTTAGCAAAGGATGCCTCGAATACACCTGTGGATGGGGACTCGAAGGATGGCAAGTGTGATGCTGAAAAGAGCTGTGCTGTGGATACTGCTGATAGTGAAAGTGAGTAAGAATGTATAGTAAGGATGTATCACAGTGACCTGCAATCACACATGTAGCCCTACCCCTTGTGAATGTATGTAAGCGTTTCTATATTAGTTATAATACCATGCAATTGTATTTCCAGATTCACAAGGCAAATCTTCCGTGGAAGACATGAAAAAACCAAAAGCAGAAATCAAGAAAACGGCTGCTCCTGAAGTGAACAGCAAAATAGCTGCAAATCCTCGAAAACAGCCTCCAACTCAGAGAAACCTAACGATACTAAAGAACAGGCTCAAGATGTTTCAAACAGTAACTCTGCTAGCTTGCTATCCAAGAGCACTTCAGGTGAAAACGCAACGGATGTTTCGAAAGCTGCTGATTTGTCTGGGGGTAAACAAAGTACAAAAGAGAAGAAGACCACTGGAATTTCTAAGGATGGCCCAGTAGAGGATGCCAGCGAAGCATCCACTAAAACACTTGAGAATCCAGTTAAAACAAACTCTGATAACCTTAAAACGAAAGCGTCAGTCGCATCCTCCGGGCAAACTGTGTCAACTCCTGGTCAAAGTTCAACAGCCTCAAAATCTGAAAACAGTAAAATTGGAACCACATCCGCGAAAACTTCCAAAGTTCAAACAGTCACTTTGGTGGGGTGTACAAAACCTACCACTCCTGTTTCCACGGCGGGCAAAGTTCAAGCCAATTCGGTTTCGAATCAAAGCAACGCATCTGGCACGGTTAAAATTGTCGGGCATAATGGCTTACCAACGGCGACAGGCAGTGCTTCCAGCGTCACGATAGGTATGAACAAATCTGTGGGCATTAAGATCCAAGAAGTTAAGAAAGAACGGCCGCTGTTTAAGCTGGGGATGGAGAAGACCTACGAACAGTACGTTAATCAATTCTCCAGCAACATTCTCGCGAAGAACAAGCAGCAAGCGCAAGAGGAACGAGATCGCAAACGAGGGATATCCACCAAGTTCAATTTAGCTGAATACAACTACACCGGGTCCATCATTGGTGGTCTTGAGAGGATCTTGCTTACCTTAAGATGTTCCATAGTCACGCTGGAGACCTCCATACCTACGGCGTTTATGCATCCGATGTGGCCCGTACAGCGTTCGACCTGGGTCAAAGCCGTTCACATGAGTCGCACAGCTGCCGAGTTCGCGTCCGTTTTGACCTTTTTTGAAAGTTTCATCAAGCCGGTCGTGATGCGGAGTGTTTGCAACGACGCCGTTGGACATCTTGAGTTCTTTAGAAATTTAACGGAGTCGAAAACAGGAGCATTGAAGAAACCGGTGAAAGAAGAGGAGGATGATGTGAAGAAGATAGAAAGTTGATAGGTAAAGAATTTTGTCGTGTCATTTTTCATTCTTCGATCAAATTTTAGTGTGCTAGGGTCTTTCTGATATAGTGACTTCAGCAGTAGCTGATGCTGTTTTAATGCTGACGTTTTCCATGCGATATTTTAAATATCCTAGAATATCATAGAATCAGATTTCATGCATCAGAATGGGCCGGGGATATCGCTAGCTGTGCACGAACCCAAGGCAATCTTTGCTGTCTTGGGTCTCAAAGGTTCAGATCTCCATTACCTTTTGCCTATTTTAACTGCCTTTAGCTGACCAAGTATGTGATGAAGGAATCTGATAGAATTTCCGTCTTTCATTGATTTCCTCATAAGATAGTGTGGTTCTTGTGGAGGAAGTCAAATCCATACTAATCCATATGCTATTTTCTAGCTAGTCATGTGTTCAACCGCATTGAAAACTGTTTCCCTTTTTTCAGCCCATGGTCCCAAGTACTACTCCTGGCTACCGAACCACCAAATTTGGAAACACAGGGGGGAGGAGTATCGAATCTACGGTGGTGGGGGATGGGAGTGGGTCAGTCAAAACCGCAAGCGGAAGCTTCTCGATCCTATTACGAAGGACGAACGAGCTGCAAAAATCGCGAAGTTTGAGAAAACCTTCGACAAGGCTTTGAAACGAAAGCTGGTTAAGAAACATAAAATTGTGTTGGAGGCCAAGAAAGTGAAGTCATCAAAGGCAGGAGATGTGCAGGCAAGCAGCACGAGCCAAACACGTGTCGGCAGCACCGTGAGCACGGCGAAAGCACGTGGTGGCGTCATGGTAAATGCAAATCAGATTGGAGTCAGTGGTAGTAGTGCTCAGCCTGGAAGGACACAGACCACAGCTAGTACTACAGTTGCAACATCAGTTAGTACAGCTGTAACCTCTGGTAGTGTAACGTCTACAGTTGTAACCTCTCCTCCATCTGCTACCAGCGTTTCATCAGCAGGACAGTCACTCAGCAGTGCCCCAACACAAACACAGACTGTGACTGGTATTTCCACTGTAGGGTCGGTCACCAGTTCCAGGTCCCTCTTCCGATCCTTACCAAGTGGACTGAGACACCCAATTACAAAAAAACACACGCCAACGTCGATGTCGTACAGACAACACCCTCACCTACCACGGATATAAAACCCAATGCTGGTCTTCCAGAAAAGTCGATATCTTCTTCCAAGATCCCTGTGGCAACCACAACCATATCAAACAGTATTTCTCAAGGAACCGCAGCTGTAACGAGCACTCCAGTCACATCTGCAACTGCACAGGTGCAATCAAATATGCTCCCACCTGCTACATCCACCCCACCTCCTATTTCAACTACACTGCAGTCCACCTCTTCAGAATCCTCCACAACTGTCAACCCACCAGTCCAAGTCTCAAACCCACCTATACCCAGCACAACTGTATCAGCTACAACAACAAATACCTCAACAGAAAGTTCAAGTAATCCACCTGCAACCATTGATGGTGATGCTCCAGTGTCTACAGCGTCAAGAGATGTCAATCAAACGACAACCCCAACTGATCATTTGGTGCTCTCTAGTCAAGGATCAACCAGTGACCAACTATCTAGAAACCAGCCAACCAGTGACCAGCCAACCAATGACCAGCCAGCCAGTAACCAACCAACCAGTGATCAGCCAACCGATGACCAGCCAGCCAGTAACCAACCAACCAGTGACCAACCAACCAGTGGCCAACCAACCAGTGGCCAACCAACCAGTGGCCAACCAACCAGTGGCCAACCAACCAGTGGCCAACCAACCAGTGACCAACCAACCAGTGACCAACCAACCAGTGACCAACCAACCAGTAGCCAGCCATCCAGTAACCAACCACCCAGTGACCAACCAACCAGTGGCCAACCAACGAGTGGCCAACCAACCAGTGACCAACCTACCAGTGACCAACCAACCAGTAGCCAGCCATCCAGTAATCAACCAACCAGTGACCAACCAACCAGTGGCCAACCAACCAGTAGCCAGCCAGTTAGTGACCAGCCAACCAGTGACCAGCCTACAAGTAACCAACCAGTACTCTCATCAGTCACCAATGTACCGATAGTTTCAAATACAGACACTGTCTCTTCCTCCACAAGAACCTCCCTCAACTCCACTGTATCTTCAACTTACTGTACTCTTCCACCAGTCTCGTCCACACTACCAGCGATGATCTTTGACGAGTCTGTAGAACCAAACAAATCTGCTGTCAATAACAGCAGCAGTGTGACTATGCAGTGTGGGAATACAGAACAAACCGCTGGTAAAATTCTTGGTGATTTAACCAGTAATTGCACCCCCAGTGGTTCCAAAAGTGATGGTTGTTCTGGTCAAATTGATGGTACAGATCCTGGCAGCTCTGCTGGAGAGAAGTCTTTGTCTGGTACAGACAACAATGATGGTAGCGGGAATGAGACAGAAACACCAAATCACATCGAGTCAGAACTGTCGAATACAAAACGCGATCTTCCCATAGGCAATGAAGTGGTTGCCAGTGCAAATGAAAAAATGGACGTAGATGTGATCGACACTGTGGATACTAAAGAAGACTCTTCTAAGATGGAATCTGACGTCAACGTAGTTGAAAACGATTCACAGAAAGAGAAAGAGATTGCTGATCCATGCGATAACAAAGATGAGACCTCGTCGTGTTCCAAGAACGATACGAACTCTGATTCATCACAGGGAACTGCGGGAAAAGACCCTGCAGTTGTGGAGAAGATGGAAGTCGATGATCCCAAGGAACAACTTAATGAAGTAAATAAAGATGCGTCATCAACCAGTGAAAATACAAGTGGTACTAAAGAGGAGGTCCCGATGTCTTTTGCTGATCCCAGAATTGGTAAACAACAGAAAGAAAGCACAGTATCAATGCCATCAAGTGAAGTCGTCAAATCCACTTCAACCACAACTCAAGTCTCTACAACCGTATCGCTGGTATCCGCTACCAAATCTGTAGCCCCCGCATCTCAAAACTCTACCACTAAGACACCCTCGTCACAAGCGGTCGCAACTAAAGCTCCCGCTAACTCATCTCAACCTGCCGCGTCCCAGGCATCCGTAACGCAGATATCCGCAGCTCCGTCGCAAGCTTCCGCATCACAGACAACCACAACCGCGTCTTTACCGAGTTCAGTGAGTACGGTCAGGATTGAGACGTCAGGAATTGGACTAAACAGTCTCACACCGGAGAAGGTCCTGAAATTTATCGCAGATGAGTTGATGAAAGAATCAGACGCGGGTAAAGCTCTTTTGACCGGCGTCGCTGCTTCCATCTCCACCTCCGAAGGAAAGGTGATTATAAAACCAGAACCTGCTACAACCAGTGTGACAGGTATAAAGTCCTCAACAGAACCTGTCAGACCGGTTGCCGTGATGCAAAGTGGGCAGATTTCGTCGCCAGTTCGCCTGATACTACAAACAGTCCCTGGTCATCCAGTCATACCAGGGGTGTTGAAAAACACCCAGGTTGTTCACACCGGGGTAAGCCAAGGGAAGCCCCTCACCCCTATTGCTCCCGCGCAACGGATCGTAATCAGCAACCTTCCAAGCGGAACCGTCCTAGGATCACAAGGTCAGGTCCTAGCCTCGCCCAATCTATCAGGAACAAAGGTAATACGAATGACATTTCCACGCGGAAAGGGATCACCATCTGTAGTAAGTTCATCGAAAGTTACCACCGTTAGTAAAGCTGTACCAGCAAGTACTGTTACCAGTAAAACCGCGGTGACACCCAAGAGTACCACTACTCCTTCTCAAACCACAAGCACTCCAGCCAAGCCTGCCATGGAGAACTTCCCAATGCGACACGCCGTTATTAAGGATCCCAAAGTCCTAATAAACCTAAGCTTGAGGAAATGGAAAAGACGATGTAGTAGAAAAAGTGTGTTTGTTTTGGACAAGAATATGGTTCGAGCCTTGGCTCGGCGTGGCGGCCTTAAAGAAGTCCAAGGTTTTCATTATAGCACGAAGTGGAACAGCCTCAATTATCCCCAGGACTTTCCTCGTCCCTCGCTCATGACCGCGTGGAGATACCGAACGCAGAGCATACGCACCTTAGCAGCAGCGGCTATTCAAACCCGGATACTTAATGCAAGCATGAAGTGGGATGAAATGAATATTCGACCTCCTCGGGGAAGCAGCAATACACTCAAGACAAGCTCAGGTATAATGCGATTTTCGTCTTTTGAGTGATGTGAGGGAGTGAGTAAGTTACGAATGTTCGAATAAGGACATTTATTCCCCAGAGCATTCATAACTATCCGCTCGCTTGCATCTTTCAAAAGAAGAAAATTGGCCTTTTGCTGCCTCATTAAACCCTGATATTTTGATATCTTTGTCTTGAGGTTTATCTTAATCTTATCTCTTAATCCCCTTCTCTAATCCGCGATAATCCCTGGATGGTAATATAAAAGCCTGACTCAGGATTTATTCTTCATTCTTTGAACAATTTTTTCACAGGAACGATAACGACGGAAATCACAGATCGTAAATTCATGAGTAACGATGGTTTACGTGTGCAGTACCGTGTCCGAAAGACGATCAGGACCCTGAGTGCGCCCTCCAGTATTGTGAAACCCCCACCCGCCCCGACCCACACGAAAAGTGGTCGCGAGCTGAGACCTAAAGTACAGTCCTTGTATACGTACGAGACCGAACCAGACGCACCCCTGGTACCCAAAGTCATTGAAGCCTGGTGTGCTGAAGTAGGTATTTAGGGATATGCTGGGGTACTTAGGGATATACTGGGGTAGGGAGGACCCTTCCCTATCATCATCTCCCTTTCCGAGTAAAGCAGTTAGGATGGGAATATTGATTGGCATGCTAAAATTATAGGCAAAATCTGTTAAAATAACAATATGTGTGAGGTTCAATTTTAGTTCAGGATTGTAGTTATCCTCCAGTGCGAATTCTGAGCAAAGTTTTACAAAACGCCATAGGATGAATATCTCGGCATATTACATCAACGTTTCCAAACAAATTCTCATATTTTCTCCAGGAAAAGCTCGAGTTATGGGAAGTGCGACAATACTGCGAGAAAATCGAACGAGAAAGAGCCTTGATTCGCGAGAAACAGCTCCAGGAGGAATACGCGAAGAAACAGTTTGAAATGAAGGCTGATTTAGTGAGAAGAACTCAGCTACAGATACAGCAACAACAGCAGCTCATGCGAGAGAAACGCAAGCTGCAAAAGGCGGGAAAACTTGATGTCAAACCAAGCGTCACAGTGTCCAGTCCTCTTGTGAAGTTCCCGCAACAGGCCACGCAGAGAGTGCTGTTTCCAAGACCTCAGGCCAACCCTCGGGTGACACCAGGAACCAATGAAATTCTGGCCAATCTTCAAAGGACAGAAAACGCGGGAACACCAGGTGCGCATCAAGCTTGCTCGACTATTTCAAACATCCTCGGGCCGGTTGTTCAAAGCTGGGTTAGCGCTAACTCTGGGTTAAATTTTAATCGACTGTTTTGGTTAAGTGCCTTTGAACCACTGTTCGTTTTAAACCTTGTCCGTCCAGAAAATATTTATGGAAAAAGATATTCAACTTTGTAAACAAGCGATTGAAAATATTAATGTAAAGATTTGCTTTACATTTACATTGCTTTGAACAACCGGCCCCAGAAATGCATTTGGATTCCCAAGGTGTACCTTTAAATTATCCATTTGGGCGTATTCAGATTTGGTATGTTTTTCCATTTTTATCATCTCTAGGCGTGAAGAAGTCGATATCAATGAGTCTGATCCCTCAACCCCAGCCGACCAAATCTCTTGCAAGAATGGCAGCCATGAGTCAACGCCTCAAACACACCTCAAGAGATACCGTGAAACAAGCGAAGAAAATGAAAACTGTTCGAAGGAATTATTCCTTACCAATGTATCCCATGGCCTCCAAGTACTTGACTACTGAGAGTCGTGAGGAACTGAGCAGGTGGGACTATGTTTTACTAAACTAACTTTATTTATACTAGATAGCTCTATCAGTTCTAAACTGTTCTTCCTAGAGGTCCAGTAAGGATCATCTCTTATTGATCCAGTGTTACTACAGGAGGAAACCTAAACTAAACTAACTTTATTTATACTGGATAGCTCTATCAGTTCTAAACTGTTCTTCCTAGAGGTCCAGTAAGGATCATCTCTTATTGATGCAGTGTTACTACAGGAGGAAACCTAAACTAAACTAACTTTATTTATACTGGATAGTTCTAGTGTATCAGTTTTAAACTGTTCTTCCTAGAGGTCCAGCAAGGATCATCTCTTATTGATCCAGTGTTACTACAGGAGGAAACCTAAACTAAACTAACTTTATTTATATTGGATAGCTCTATCAGTTCTAAACTGTTCTTCCTGGAGGTCCAGTAAGGATCATCTCTTATTGATCCAGTGTTACTACAGGAGGAAACCTAAACTAAACTAACTTTATTTATACTGGATAGCTCTATCAGTTCTAAACTGTTCTTCCTGGAGGTCCAGTAAGGATCATCTCTTATTGATCCAGTGTTACTACAGGAGGAAACCTAAACTAAACTAACTTTATTTATACTGGATAGCTCTATCAGTTCTAAACTGTTCTTCCTGGAGGTTCTTAATCTCTTATTAATCCAGTGTTACTACTAAACACATTCCTCAATGTTTCCATTTTATTCAGAACGGCGGCGTGTCGACGCACTCTCGATCAAATAATTGAAAAAATCGAAAGAAATGAGAAAAACGAGGAACGCAAAGAGATGCGAAAACGTTTCCGTGAGGAGAACATGGTGTTGAAAATGGCGAGGTTGAACAGCCAGAAACTGGACAGCCTCTTGCAGAAACGCAAAGAATCTTTGAAGAAACAAATCATGAGAAAGCGAGCTTTGTTGGAGAAAGACATGACTCAACAAATTCACGGAGAACTGGCCTTGTTGAGGAAGAGACCCTGTGATAGCAGTGATGGCGAGGAATATCCGTATGTTCCTCGGAAGAGATTGAAGCAAGAGGGACCGTTGTATTGCGTTTGTAAAACACCGTATAATGATACTGAGTACGTTCCGATTATATTCATCCATTTCTTCGATAAGTTTTCTAAAGGTCTGTTCACACGATCCAATTTTGTCGGACGTTCCAATTCACTTCTGATGGATGTTTTATAGTCTGTGGACTTGTATTGTATATGAGCAGCAAATCAACTCACGCCAATGCAGTATGGTTTTATCAATAACAGATTACATTCCATACGTCAGCAGTGAATGGGTCAGACAAAATTGGATTTAAGTGTGAACAGACGAATGAGTGTGTTCGGGCGATAGAAGATATCGGGAAAGTGCATGAAACGGATTATTGGTCTTTATAGCTTTATGCAAGTTGCTGAATGATGAATGATATCTGAACCAGCGAAGAACAGTTTTTAGAAAAGATTGCAAGTATCTACGTGGTTTTGTTTTGAAGATTCTGTTCAATGTTTCAGGTTCTACGTTGGTTGTGATTTGTGTAAGAACTGGTTCCATGGTCGCTGTGTTGGTATCTCCTCGGAAGATGCTGACGCTTTGAACGAATATGTCTGCAACGAATGCATTCAGAAACAAAAAACTGTCGAGGAAGAGGAACTTTACTGCCTCTGTAGACAACCATACGATGAAACCAAGTGAGTATTTCTTTGAGTGATTCGTAAGTCGCCTTGAAGCCGTCGCCTGGCTCTGGTAAACGAGACTCTTACAAATGCATTTCAATAGTCTTAAATCTTACCATCTTTCTCGTTCAGATTCTACGTTGGGTGCGACAGATGTCAAGGATGGTTTCATGGTAGCTGTGTTGGTATAACACAGACCGAGGCTGACAATATTGAAAGTTATATATGTCCAAAATGTAAGAACAATGCCGATAACAAGGACCAGAGGCCGCTGACAGACAAGGACTATGAGTCGTTGAAACGGATAGTTCGTTCATTACAGGTATACGGCAGTAGCACCCCGGGGGAAATTTCACAATATTAGAAGCAGGATTAATGGCGAATGGAGGAGTCCATTCAATGGATAGTTGCAAACATGCAAAGTAGTTTATCTGTAGCAAAACGTATAACACTGCGAATATTTTCATGTTTTAGTGTCACAAAATGGCGTGGCCATTCCTGGAACCAGTTAGACCAGAAGAGGCTCCTGATTATTTCAACATTATCAAAGAACCAATGGGTAAGAAAATTCCATCGTCTATCTTTTATTGAGTTAGGAAAGGGGCAAAATTATTTGAACATTCTACAGCTTTTGGCCACAAACATGTGCGTCCTTTAAGGGTGTGATTTTTCATATGCTGTTGTTTTTTCTTCAGATTTGTCAAAAATCCAGGATAACATGCAGGCGAAGACGTACAAAAGACTTGTATGTTTTGTAGCTGATGTTTCAAAGATTTTCAACAACTGTCGTCTTTATAACCCCAAAGACTCTTCTTTCTATCGCTGCGCTGAAGTTGTGGAGCGATTTTTCGTGCAAAAACTGACTGCCTTCAAAGCTACAAAACGCTGAACATCTAACAAATTTGCCATTCCAACTTAGAATTGTAAAATTTGTAATGTTTTTCATCCACAAAGCTCTTGTGTTGAATTGAGTGGTCAGGAGACTCCGTCAAAAGATGAAGAATTTATGTGAAGATTATTACGTTATCTATTTGAAATTAACATTATCTATGACAAACAGAAAAGCAAAGACTGATAAATAAATGTGACTCGGCTTGGTTATATATACATAATATATATATTTATACTTTGTTTCATTAAAAACTTAAAAAACACTGGCTTTGGTTACCTCCTGACAATTTTAATTGCACTAAAAAGTACAGGAAGTTTCAGGAAGGAAAACTTGGAGGAAAGAAAAACAGCTTTGTTCGAACGGAAGCATCGCTCCAATTTTTTCAAAATTTATAATTAAAGTCTGGGAAAATATTCCAAAATCTTTGTTGACATTTTTTGATATTTTTTGTTTTTAAAACAAATTTAAATACGCTGTACGAAAGGTATAATGCCGTTTACGTCTCTGGTATGTTTTAAGCGGTTTGTTTTTGTGTTAATACTTGAAAATATCGAGTGTAATTCGACCATTTTTGGCCATTGACGAAGGTCATCGTGGAACCGCGACTTTCAAATTTTGCTGGTATGTATTTTCTGTTTCAAACTCTTCTTTGTACTATCACTTTTTACCGAAGCAATTTTCTTCAAATTAAAGTTTCTCCGCGATATTGCCGGTACATTTTTACGATGTATGTTTCATTTTATTGTTTATAACTATTTAAAATTGGAGTTGATAAATACAGAACGTAAGAGACAATTTTAATGTATTAAACAGACATTTCTCTTTTTATTTTTTTAGGTATGATTGTGGTCAGGTTGTGATCAAGTTGTGTTGTGATGTTCTTATAGATAGTGTCTTCAAAAGTTTTTTTTACATTTTCTTTTCCATGCAATGCATCATGCCGGCCATGACTTTTAGTAACCATTCTTGACTTTTTACAATTTATGGTTAATGGTAGAACCATCATCTCAGCTGGTATGAGATTTTTAGGATTCAAACATTTGCAAAAGAACTGTTGCAGGAATACTCTCAAAGGAAACTTGGGGGAAACATCTTGCAGGAATGGCTTGGACAATATTTCAAGCGAAGAAATACCATACAAAGATGGTTTCGCGAACTGTATTGATGTTGTAACATCTGGTAAACACCATGTAACTCTTGGTGATGTTCATGTCTTTATTCCAATGGATAACCTTAGTGGTCATGTCCGCTCAGATTTTAGCCTTGAAATCATAAACAATGATTCATATTCACCTGCAGTTAATTCCACCCAGATGATTTGCAGTCCGATTGTACAAATCAAACCACATGGGGCAAAATTTTACCCTGAAGACCCAGCGATAATTTTCCTGCCAACAACATCCTCGCCAGACAAGAATGCAGCAATTACATGTCTATGTAGCAATACTAGTATTGACGAGGATCCACGATGGGAACAGCTAATTCCAAATCAGTATGAAGTTGTTGGTGGTAATGTTGTTAAACTCAAAACAACTCATTTTAGCTTTTATACTGCGGTTGTGAATGCATGCTACCCTGAGGCATCGAAAATGATTTTTGCAGGGGTGGGAGGAACTCTTGAGATTCCTGAAGTCCCTGGTGTAAAAGTAACCTTCCCTGGGTCGGCCATGAAATACGATATTCATGCGACTGTCAAGGTTATGTACGCTGATGGACCATATGACATTGATCACGATGATCCAACCAGTTGTGCTTTGGCTGCACCTGTTGTTAAACTTGGGCCGACAGGACATGAGTTCAACCCTGATAGCATTGAGCCAGTTGAAGTTCAACTTCCATTGCCACATGGTAAAGAAATCAAAGAAAACTGTGGGCGACCCCATTTGACATTTTGGCAGAGTTCCACTGCGGAGGGCCAGCTGTTAGAGTGGAAACCATTTGCGCCAAATTATAGAATATTCGAATCTCCAGATCATCATTTGTACGTGTCATTCCCGGTCAAACACTTTACATTCTTTAAAGTTTTGTGGAGTGTTCTAGATTCGGCAATACACGAGGCAAAGATAGGAGCTTCGTTCTTTTATCCAAATTTTGAATTCTGTGTCAGTTTTCAGGCATTTATGTCTGAACATAGTGGGGATGAGTCATTTGGACTTTGTTGTCTCTGTTACAAAAAGGATATGGAAGCTGAAAGTATCGGCAATTACCCGGTTTTTGTTGGAAGCAGTGGTCTAAGAATGGTGAAAAGTGGTTTGCTCCAAATCAGGTAATTTACGCAAGGTCATTTCGCAAATTTCCTGAACCTTAATGTGTGCTGTTTGTAATAATTAGTTATTTAGTCCATTCACCTCTTTTATTTTCTAATTTATTTTAGAATTGTTTCAAATTTGTTCGAAGGAAATGCTGATTTTGGTGAAGAGACGTTGACGCAACGAGAATTTTTCACCGGACGTCCATTTAACAAACAATTTGCTTGCAAATTTGTTTGCCCAAGAACTCCTGAGATGAACACGGTTGGAAAAATTTTCATTGAAAGAGTTCTTGATAACAGCGAAGTGGAAATCCTGTTTGATTTTGTGCTGACAAAAGTAAGTTAAGAAGTGTAGTATGTGTGTTTGCTTTAGGATGAATGGTAATATAGTTTTAACTACCAAGTTGATGCATCTAGAATTAGTTTGACCCAACCACTTTCACTGCAATTACTCATCAAATGCATTACTTATCAAATGTTCTTTGAAATGCCACCCAGAATGAATCGATTTCACTGAAGAATTGTTTTGACCCAACTACTTTTACTGCAATTACTTATCAAATGCATCACTTATCAAATGTTCTTTGAAATGCCACCCAGAATGAATCAATTTCACTGTGGAATTAATGAGTAATCGATGGCAAGAACTGTATATTATCATGAATTATAGAGTTCATTTGGTTGAATCCAATTTTCTTCTCATCCATTCAGCCTCCATCAAGTCAAGCAAGAACCCAATCTTCAAACAATGGTCTAAACAGGACACATGCTGTGGTGAACCAGCAAATGAACTGGGAGAGTCAGCTCAGTCAAGAACTGGCAAGTAAGTTTGATTGGCAGTTCAAATATGATGAAATGAAATAGAATTTGAATACCAAAGACCTGAGTATTTTGGTGTTTGGAATAGTGACAGATATAAAGTAATGAAATACACATGTAAAATATATTTATTTCCTAATGTAAATAATCCTAATGTGTTGATGAAAAGTCAATCCTCTAGGTTAGTATGGAGACTGTTTTTCATAAAGCTTTAAAGAACAGCAATTGTGGATCCTGACTTCTATTTCACTAGTGATTTTATAACAAAGATTTATTTATTACCATTAAATGAATATGGATAGTGGAGAATTGCAAAACATTTAAGGTATCTCCTTCCTTTGAACGGACAGCTATCATGCTGTCAGAAATCTCATTGTGAAAATTCTAATTTCTAATAAAACCTTTATCCTTTTGTGTTTAGATATTCTCAGTATAAAATCAGAACAGGACTTGGGTGATGGTGTTTGGGAGGATATTGCTCGTGCCCTGGGCTACACTTCTCTCGAGATTGACATGAAGTTCAAGGATCAGGATGATCCCTTTACCAAATTGCGGGATGACTACAAGAAACGGGGCGGGAATGCCAACGATTTCATCGCCGCAATGTACAGCGTTGGTCGAAGTGCAAATGTCAATAGTTTTGGTAGTGTTGAGCGACGGTTGCTGGATGAGTTACCTTCGTCCAGCCAAAGAAATGTAGAAGATGATATGATCGGATATGCTGGTGAGTTGAGTTGAGAAGAACACTGGATCAATAAGAGATGATCCTTACTGGACCTCTAGGAAGATCAGTTTAGAACTGATAGAGCTATCCAGTATAAATAAAGTTAGTTTAGTTTAGGTTTCCTCCTGTAGTAACACTGGATCAATAAGAGATGATCCTTACTGGACCTCTAGGAAGATCAGTTTAGAACTGATAGAGCTATCCAGTATAAAAAAGTTAGTTTAGTTTAGGTTTCCCTGTAGTAACACTGGATCAATAAGAGATGATCCTTACTGGACCTCTAGGAAGAACAGTTTAGAACTGATAGAGTTATCCAGTATAAATAAAGTTAGTTTAATTTAGGTTTCCTCCTGTAGTAACACTGGATCAATAAGAGATGATCCTTACTGGACCTCTAGGAAGATCAGTTTAGAACTGATAGAGCTATCCAGTATAAATAAAGTTAGTTTAGTTTAGGTTTCCTCCTGTAGTAACACTGGATCAATAAGAGATGATCCTTACTGGACCTCTAGGAAGAACAGTTTAGAACTGATAGAGCATCCAGTATAAATAAAGTTAGTTTTAGTTTAGGTTTCCTCCTGTAGTAACACTGGATCAATAAGAGATGATCCTTACTGGACCTCTAGGAAGAACAGTTTAGAACTGATAGAGCTATCCAGTATAGTCTAGAAAACGGCGAATACGACCATGGTCGAGTTCGCCGGAAAATGACGTATACGACCATGGTCGAATTATCCGGAAAACGGCGAATACGACCATGGTCGAATTAGCCGGAAAATGACGACTTCGACAATGGTCGAATTGGCCGGAAAACGGCGTATTCGACCATGGTCGAGTTCGCCGGAAAACGACTAATTCGACCCATGGTCCGGTTCGCGGAAAACGACTAATTCGACCAGGTCAATTCGCCGGAAAACGACTAATCGACCTCGGAGTTCGCCGGAAAACGACTAATTCGACCATGGTCGAGTTCGCCGGAACGACTAACTCGACCATGTCGAGTTCGCCGGAAAACGACTAATTCGACCATGGTCGAGTTCGCCGGAAAACGACTAACTCGACCATGGTCGAGTTCGCCGGAAAACGACTAACTCGACCATGGTCGAGTTCGCCGGAAAACGACTAATTCGACCATGGACGAGTTCGCCGGAAAACGACTAACTCGATCATGGTCGAGTTCGCCGGAAAACCACTAACTCGACCATGGTCGAGTTCGCCGGAAAACGACTAACTCGACCATGGTCGAGTTCGCCGGAAAACGACTAACTCGACCATGGTCGAGTTCGCCGGAAAATGACGTATACGACCATGGTCGAATTATCCGGAAAACGGCGAATACGACCATGGTCGAATTAGCCGGAAAATGACGACTTCGACAATGGTCGAATTGGCCGGAAAACGGCGTATTCGACCATGGTCGAGTTCGCCGGAAAACGACTAATTCGACCATGGTCGAATTCGCCGGAAAACGACTAATTCGACCAGGGTCGAATTCGCCGGAAAACGACTAATTCGACCATGGTTTAATTCGCCGGAAAACGACTAATTCGACCATGGTCGAGTTCGCCGGAAAACGACTAACTCGACCATGGTCGAGTTCGCCGGAAAACGACTAATTCGACCATGGTCGAGTTCGCCGGAAAACGACTAACTCGACCATGGTCGAGTTCGCCGGAAAACGACTAACTCGACCATGGTCGAGTTCGCCGGAAAACGACTAATTCGACCATGGACGAGTTCGCCGGAAAACGACTAACTCGATCATGGTCGAGTTCGCCGGAAAACCACTAACTCGACCATGGTCGAGTTCGCCGGAAAACGACTAATTCGACCATGGTCGAGTTCGCCGGAAAATGACTAACTCGACCATGGTCGAGTTCGCCGGAAAATGACGTATACGACCATGGTCGAATTATCCGGAAAACGGCGAATACGACCATGGTCGAATTAGCCGGAAAATGACGACTTCGACAATGGTCGAATTGGCCGGAAAACGGCGTATTCGACCATGGTCGAGTTCGCCGGAAAACGACTAATTCGACCATGGTCGAATTCGCCGGAAAACGACTAATTCGACCATGGTTTAATTCGCCGGAAAACGACTAATTCGACCATGGTCGAGTTCGCCGGAAAACGACTAACTCGACCATGGTCGAGTTCGCCGGAAAACGACTAATTCGACCATGGTCGAGTTCGCCGGAAAACGACTAACTCGACCATGGTCGAGTTCGCCGGAAAACGACTAACTCGACCATGGTCGAGTTCGCCGGAAAACGACTAATTCGACCATGGACGAGTTCGCCGGAAAACGACTAACTCGATCATGGTCGAGTTCGCCGGAAAACCACTAACTCGACCATGGTCGAGTTCGCCGGAAAACGACTAATTCGACCATGGTCGAGTTCGCCGGAAAACGACTAACTCGACCATGGTCGAGTTCGCCGGAAAATGACGTATACGACCATGGTCGAATTATCCGAAAAACGGCGAATACGACCATGGTCGAATTAGCCGGAAAATGACGACTTCGACAATGGTCGAATTGGCCGGAAAACGGCGTATTCGACCAATGGTCGAGTTCGCCGGAAAACGACTAATTCGACCATGGTCGAGTTCGCCGGAAAACGACTAACTCGACCATGGTCGAGTTCGCCGGAAAACGACTAACTCGACCATGGTCGAGTTCGCCGGAAAACGACTAACTCGACCATGGTCGAGTTCGCCGGAAAACGACTAACTCGACCATGTCGAGTTCGCCGGAAAACGACTAACTCGACCATGGTCGAGTTCGCCGGAAAACGACTAACTCGACCATGGTCGAGTTCGCCGGAAAACGACTAACTCGACCATGGTCGAGTTCGCCGGAAAACGACTAACTCGACCATGGTCGAGTTCGCCGGAAAACGACTATTTCGACCATGGTCGAGTTTGCCGGAAAACGACTAACTCGACCATGGTCGAGTTCGCCGGAAAACGACTAACTCAACCATGGTCGAGTTCGCCGGAAAACGACTATTTCGACCATGGTCGAGTTCGCCGGAAAACGACTAACTCGACCATGGTCGAGTTCGCCGGAAAAACGACTAACTCAACCATGGTCGAGTTCGCCGGAAAACGACTATTTCGACCATGGTCGAGTTCGCCGGAAAACGACTAATTCGACCATGGTCGAGTTCGCCGGAAAACGACTAATTCGACCATGGTCGAGTTCGCCGAAAAACGACTAATTCGACCATGGTCGATTTGGCCGGAAAACGACTAATTCGACCATGGTCGAGTTCGCCGGAAAACGACTAACTCGACCATGGTCGAGTTCCCCGGAAAACGACTAACTCGACCATGGTCGAGTTCGCCGGATAACGACTAACTCGACTCTAAAGGCGGTTTTCCACTAGGCGGAATTTTTCGATCGAATGAAATTTTTCGTTCAATTTTCTTTTCAATTGTGGTCGGTCAAGCGAATCCGCTTCGGTCGACTTCTCACAATTGAAAAGAAAATTGAGCGAAAAATTTCGTTCGATCGAAAAATTCCGCCTAGTGGAAAACCGCCTTTACTGGACCTCTAGGAAGAACAGTTTAGAACTGACAGAGCTATCCAAGGTAGACAAAGATTATTTTTTTATCATCGTTGATCGTATTTAGGTTCAATTTCTCCAAGTCGTACATCTTCATCGAGTGGCGTCGTTCTGCCGACGTCCCCGTCCAACAATCGGAAACGACGACATACGGATGTTCCCGAGGGCCCGATCCCAAACGCGAAGCTTGACGAAGTGGCTAAACGCGTGCAGGAAAAATGGAAGAAACTGGGTCGAACGCTAGAACTGCGAGAAGACCAGCTCACGGAGATTGAACATGATTTCAAAAACGGTGGAATACAAGAACAGGCTTATCAAATGCTTCGGATATGGCAAGAAAGTTATCCTGACAAGGGATACGAATCGCTGATTCAAGGCCTTGGGAAACTCGGATATAACACAGTAGCCAGAGAGCTATATTCCACCTCATAAAGGTAAGCTCTAGTCCACTGGCTTGTATCTTAAAAAACATAATCCAAGGCTAGGAGGATATGTTTTTATCGTACACCTTGAGTCAGTTCTAAACAGACATGAATTGGTTTAATCCATCGGAACCAAAATAAATAACTTTGATAAACAATAAGTTTGATACCACATGCAAAGGAAGAACTACGTGTCCTGATTTTGGGTCATTTAGTTATTCCTTTGTTTCAGAAAGAGTATATATTTCTGATGAATGTTTTCATTCCATTTAACTTATATTCAAAACGGGAAACTACAGTGCTTAATATCAAACGTGTATTTTCATGTTGTAAAATATTGTATATTTTAGTGTAAGTATATTTTTAGTGTAATATTTTAACTTTATTACATTCTTTTCCTTATTTACGAGTTAATATTTTAGCCATTCCCATCTTCTCACGAGGATCCCACTGCGCCTTTTCGCAGCTGGATTTTAACTAACACTGTTCGTCCAGTTCATCTTTGAAAATATCTTGCAAAGGTTTGAGCAATTTCGGTAAAACTTTAAGGTTTTGAAAGTCTACCTAAAATAAGTAAAAATAACACGATTCAATTGTGCAGGTACGTCTGAGTACATTGCTTGCTAAAGTGGGTTAACAAGAGATCAGCAGTCATCAAGCACGCTGAAAAGTCTTCTAGAATCGAAGCCCAGCATCCAGCGTTAGATGAAAGCTGTGGATGTTAGGCATTGTATGAGAGAACATAGTAGTTGCTTACTTCCATCTGGTCGAATGCAATTCCAACACAGTCGTTGAATTTTTCACTGAAAACAGGAATCTTTGGATAACGTTGACTGAAATGATTCAATATTGTGAACTTCGTTTGCATCTCCTGACCACAGCTTATAGCTTCTGAAGTCGTACTATATAGGACGAAGAGAATCATGAATTAGTTGATTATGAACTTCAGAGAGTTTCAATGCCAACGGGAACAGCAGGTTTGCTATAAGTTGTGATTTGAGAGTCGTAGAACAGAACCAACAACTTGAACAGAGAGAAAACTCTCAGACCGTTTCTCTGACTTATATTTTTTCTGCATGGCAACCAGGATAAACCTACCTGTGTTGTTTAGCCAATGCTTCTGCATGTAAATTGTCTTCTAACGTGGCTTCGTGGATAAGAAGTGTTGCATGTGACCCTTTCTCTATGAGGCCACGACAAGGCCTGGTGTCCCCGGAATACACTAGTTTCCAGCCTTTCTTGTGGGACAGAACAAAACCAAAAGCTCGTGGGCAATGCTTTACTGGCACGATGGATACCTGCGATGGAATGAATGGGAAATGACCACGAGAATGATCGACTAGAATGCTGGTGAATTGTTGATAGATTAGGCAAACTGATGATCATTGAGTAGGAAGCCTCGTACAGAATAATAGGAATATTTCATTAAGAACCTTTGAATCTAATAGCGATGATAGAGTGCTGTTTTCAGCATGTTCGTTAGTTGGAAACTTGCAGGAATCGTAGAATCTGAAGAAAATATGAAGATATGAGTGTGGTATGGTATGGTTATAGTATGGTATGGTTATGGTATGGTATGGTATGGTATGGTATGGTACGGTGTGGTATGGTATGCTATGGTATGCTATGGTATGCTATGGTATGGTATGGTATGGTATGGTATGGTATGGTACGGTGTGGTATGGTATGGTATGGTATGGTATGGTATGGTATGGTATGGTACGGTGTGGTGTGGTATGGTATGGTATGGTATGGTATGGTATGGTATGGTATGGTATGGTATGCTATGGTATGCTATGGTATGGTATGGTATGGTATGGTATGGTATGGTATGGTACGGTGTGGTGTGGTATGGTATGGTATGGTATGGTATGGTACGGTGTGGTATGGTATGGTATGGTATGGTATGGTATGGTATGGTATGGTATGGTATGGACTTCCTTGGTTATCATCAACCACCTCAGGTGTAGAGTTTCACAAAAACTGCCGTAATATTGCAACCATCTCCAAAGTGACGGTGGACCAATTACAACGATAGGGTCCGGTTTCTCTGCGGTCTATAAGATCAAACAATTACACATGGTTTCGAAAGAATTGTGACTACGAAACACAACAAAAAAGACGCATATCACAGAACAATCACCTCTGAGGATTGTGTACAACTTTCCCATGCCCGAAGAATCTTTACAAGACCCTGGTAATAAAGATGATAGATTAGATATGTTTCTTCCTAATACACAAGGTTTCGATCATATGATAAATTATTGTTTTTTTCGTTGTTGTTTTCGCAGGAAAGTCGATTCAATTCCTCTGCTGTTTTTTTTTGGTGATTTAAACAAGAAATAAACCACAAGTTTCCTACCAAATGATGGTCAGCATGAATATGCGATATAAAAACACAGCACAATTTTCGTAGTACATCGTCCAAACGTGGACCATAATGACGATATAGTTGACCGTAGCTTCCTTCTCCACAATCAAGTAAAATCACTTTATCTTTACTAGAACGAAACAAGAAATCTATCGTTAACAAATGGATGGATATTGACCGCAAAGTGAAAGGCTAAAGGCACTTTCTCGATGTAAGATATTAGTTCACAGTGATGTGTTAGTTCAAACTTACCTTAGATTCACAAGCGTGCAGCTAACATTTCTATATTTTGACGGCTGCGAAGCACCCGTTCCCAGAAACACAACACTAAAATCTTTATCCATATCATGAAATTCGTCAATCAACGATGCGTTTGAAGTTTCTACACTACGTTTACTGAGCTCATTCCCTTTCTACAAATCTTTTTCTCTGGGTTGATAAAATCCTTCAAAGCTGCCTCAATTTCATCACTCGTGACGTCTTCAGTTCGTCCCAAACAATGTTGTCTTTTCAATACTTTTTCAACAAGAATGTTCCATTTACTTGAGATATCTGTTCGGCTATAACCTAATTGCGGTGCTGGTCGTAAGTGGTATATCAGAAAAGGTTCACCAACAGTCCAGTTGGCTTTGTCAGTTCCTTGGCTGGGGGTTTCCTGAAGTTGAGTAAAGATTAATACGAGTTCATTTATCAGGGATGGATTAGTTGTGGGTTTTCATAGACCTTCAAGTTTAGCAACTTCTTAGTTGGATTATTTTGAGGTATATGCAGGCATTCCTATATATATATATACTTACTGAGGCATTGGAGGCATTAAATAATCGTGGAAATATTTCAGGGTCCAGCTGATTCAGAGAATACTGAATACCCAGTTGGGAAAACATAGAAATCTTTGGAGGACACATTCCAGAATTGAGGAATAAGTGTTGACAACTATCACCAAATCTACAATGGGTAAGATCTACATGAGGTCAACCAGGTCATGCCAGTCAGTACCAGCATTACTTCTGTAACCCACTAAATGATATCTTTCTGATAACTGTTAAATACACCATATCACTCTTCCCCAGTAGATAATTGAAAGGATTTTGCATGAGTTCCTGTCTACCTGTTTATCCAAGCCTGATAGGCTTCTGTCTGAACAACATGAGCTGGACTGAGATGGATGATGATCACTGGAGTCTCTTTCTTTCTGTCTTCCTCGTGCGAAACAAGTTCCTGGTTGTTTTCCAACTGTTTCAAGTTGTTTTCACTTGGACAGTCGACGATACAAAACACACAACTACCCGAGGACTTTTCCATGATATCCACTGCTTTCACCTGAATTTACAAAGGAGTTGAATAAAACCACATTGATTCAGTTGATAAGTCAATACTTACCACTGAGCCATCTTTCAATGTGACATCCTGACCCTTTTGTAACTTTCCCAAGAGAGGACCTTTTGGAACGCCTAATTCCAAAGCTTTCTTGACATTCATTTTCCCAGGCAGTGCAACCAATTCACATATGTAACTGACAATAGTCCTTGCTTTTACATCAAGCTTTAGACGCTTGGAATGGCATTGTTCTGTATGTACGCAACCATCTAGTTTTGATCTGCTGTCAATTGTTGACTCAAAATTGGGATCACAAATTTTAGTCATTCGGGAATCAAGAAAAAATTTGTCTTTATTTTCTCCTGAAAGAGACAACAGGTATGAAAAATAGGGCCGAGAAAAACAATAGACTTGCAGTAGAGATACACCTGTAATTTGATTCAATTACCTTCAACTGATATTGCTTTCACAAGAATATTTTCATCTTCATAAATCGCTTCATTCTTGTCCCCAAATTCCACACACTTCAGGTCAACATTATACATTGGCATGAAACATTGACTTGCAGTTATGAAGTCTTTTAGACCAAGTGGGCCATGAACAGCCAGCGATTGCTTGCCTGCTTCTCGTAATGTCAGGAGTAACCCAGGCAACCCGCCAAGGCTCTGCCATGATAACTGAGTCAAGAACAGGTTGTTTATCTTACCAAGTCTTAGTTTGTGCTCGTGAAACAGACGCTGTGTCCCTTCGCCACAACTGAAGACATACCTGGAGTACATGAAATAGAAGTATTGGCACTTCAGAGTTGTGCTACACGATCACACATACATGCTGGGCCTAACACATTTATACAAGATAGCCCAGTACTGATGACAAAGTGGTCTAGAACAACTAGAAAGTCTTGCGCCAAGAACAACCTGGATACTACGGTGAGTTAGGTAGTAGGTTACAATGGAGTAGTGAGATAGGTAGTAGGTTCCCATGCAAGCTGGCCTGGTATTAATAAACCTCTTAGATACTTGAAATAGAAGTTCTACCTTTGTGAATCAGCAAACAGATATACAGAAGGACTGGTGTCGCCACCTCCACTTCCAAAAACTTGTAAATAAGCTGTCCCAGTTGGTTTGCCCAAACCTTTCTTTAACTTAACTTTCGGGGTACTTGTATTATCGCCCGGCGTCTTGCATTTTTGTTTGGTTTTCGACATTGCATAGTACTTTCCTGGATTAAGTAGTACTTTCTTGATTTGTTTGACAAAATAAGTTAAATACCTAATATTTTAATCAATATTTTGCCGTGGTTTAAAACTTTAAATAATTAATGCACTTCAGGGGATAGAAAATTAAATGTGAAATAAGTATAGAAGGTTATTATCAACAGATTGAGTTAAACTTCCCTCTCAAACCTTAGTAAACTTTGTTCACTCCTCGGGAGACCTCCATTTTGGTTGCCGAAAAAAATAAGCGCGCAATGAAGACTTCATGTAATTCTAATATTTTGGTGCATTGTGTTAAGGTGGCTTCGTACAGTTTGCATAGTACAGTTGATAAACAATCTATATAGATCAGATGCGAATATGGTGAAACTTTATGTCGCATGAAATATAATGTATCGATTTGATATCCTCTAGCGCATAATCCTTGATCTTTTTTATCAAAAAACATTTTGTTTGTTTGAGGGAAATCTTTGCAGAATATTTTATCTTTTGATTGTTGCTCAGCCTCAAAAAGGATCTGTACCATATAATCTAGATGTTTTGGAGCTAGAAGATGTCCTCGATTCGAGTTAGACTTATTTTTGAGCGGCCTCTCGTGAAAAATCCGGAACAATGTTGGATGCTCGTAGACAGAAATTCGTGCAAGATTGTAAGAGATTTGGAGTATTTGATCGCTAAGAAATTCTTCGTGTCAGGTCACACTATCCTAGATTTATATCTGGATCATTTTCTCCTCCCGTCCCAGGAAAAAATCGACGTTATTAGAGATAATGATGTTATAAGGTAAGTATTATGTATTGCTCGTTTTAGAAGCTGAACAAAAGCTAGTTTTTTGGGGAGAAAGTTATCCCAAGGATCGGGTTACATAGGAAAGTATGTTCTCTTAAGGAGAATGTATTTGCTTGTTGACAACAGAAAACCTAACCTGCACAGCCAGTAACTTACCATTTGTAACTGATGTGTCATGCGAGTTGAAGTTGGTAATACCATAATAGATCTTTCTTTTAACAACATCAAATGCAGAAAGTCTGATGCTACCCAAAGTTTGATTACCATGTTAGTTTTGTGGAAGCAATCAAACTTTGTGTTAAATGGATCATGTTTGACGCCATCAAGGGAAAGGTTTATGAGGTCAGGATTTGAGGTTAAATGGACATGCAGGATTAGAATTAAGGCTTTGTTCTTCTGTATGTAATATACAGTATTGAAACATTGATTTTGCTTCAAGTTGTGCTGGAAAGGATTTATATTATTCAGTCCCATTTTATTAACTTCCACTAGTGTAATTGAGGATAAAAGTCAAATTTCAAACAATGAAATACAAAGAAAAACAAGCATCAAAGAAAAGATAAAAAATTCAAAGTGAGTTCACTATAAAATTTTGCTCTTGTACATAGTAGAGTTCTACTACTTTTAAACAATGAATATCTGCCTTTTAAAATCTATCCTCTTGAAAAACCTTGGGGAAATATAGCTGCATACATGAATAAGTGTTTTGCTCTCTCTTTAAGAAAAAGAAAGTGTGATGATAGTTCTGATTTGAAACGAAAAATTAAAAAGGCCAAACATTCATCTGAAAATAACACTGACAGTGAAAAACTGCTTGACTTACACGTAGTAGCCCAGGCTAAATCAGACTTGCACACAACTAAAGATTCTGTGGTGAATAAAATGGGCAAGAATAAAAGCAAAGAAAATGCTGTAGGAAAAAACTCAATGCTCATGGAAAGTTTACGCATTGAAGCAAAGGGAAAACTGAGAAAATATAAAAAGAAACAGAAGAAGACAACATTAAAAGGGAAAGACAAATCAGTTTCAGAGAGATTGAACAACTTCTGGGAGAAGGTGGCGAGTGGTTGTCAACAATGGAATCCATCATTTGGTGGCAAAAAAACAGCTGAAAAGGAAGCAGCACAAACTGTTAGTAATGGTGGGAAAGATATTGGTGTTATATTGGAAGAGACATCTGATAAGGCAGGGGTGGAAAATGGGACAGCAAGTCAAATACCAGAAAACAATTATGATTTGTTTTCCAAGAGATATGCAACCAAGGAGACAACAAACAAAGCAAAAAATGGTAAATTGTTGCATTAGTTGACCATGGCTGTAGAAGTAGAGAACCATGGAGGGATGCTATAGTAAATTTAATATCTAATGGCTTACTCCAAATCCAAAGTATACACTCCAGTAAATCAAAACTGAGCTACTTTGAATTAGGGAGTTAGTTGTCTTGCTTCATGCGAAGATTGCCAATAATATTGAAAGCCTTTTGTTTCTTTCAGCATTTAGCTGTTGTGATTGGGGTCTAACTTTGTTCGATGAAAAGTTCCCAAAGTATTTTTTTCTCAAATGCATAATGTTTCATTACAAAGCTTTGCACTCTTTTATAGATATTCCTCGGACAAATCAAGGCAGCCACATCAGATTTGACAACGATGAGGATGAGTCCACTGACTTGATGAACAATGCAGTTCAACCCATGATACATCCGCGAGTTTTGACCATACGCGAAGCTGAAATACCCACCTCAAATAACACGCCAAATCTATCTCCCATCGAGCCAGATAATCCTCACCTTAACTTTTCCACCGCGAAACCTGCAAATGCAAAAGATGTCGTAGGAAATAGGACTGGCGGTTCGGGTAAAAAGCCAAAGAGAGGAAAAGGAGATCATAGAAAGGATTCTTACACTAATAAAAGTCTGATTTTGGAAAGCACAAGGGTGTGGAAAGATGGTCAAACTAAGGTGGGTAGCGATGAAGAAGATGGCTATGTGGTGTTTAGGGTGATCAAGCCGTGTGCTGAACACATGGCTCAGCTGTTTCATGGGCAAAGGTTAGCCGGTTTTTGCAGGCGAAAGATCTCTCGCAATTAATTCGGGGAAGAATTGAGAGAACCCGAATAGATTGTCGTGGAACTCGTCCAAGGAAAGAAAGAAGGAATTAAAGACGGCTTACTTATTTTTCGGTTTAATTTTACTAGAATTCCCAACCGGCCACCGTGAACGTTTCAGAAAAAGATTTTTCAAGTTATCCATTGTTGCATGGTCCTCCGAGAGTTGGCGATACCATAGCGTTCAAGGTACAAAATAATGATAATCTTGATGTGTTTGTAGCAAGTAAATATATATTGTTGACCTCACTCGTTTTAGCCCAAAGGCGAGAGTTATCAGGGTATATGTAATCACGTCAAAAAAACTTAATATGCCCGACAAATAAACTAGTCTTTTTCAATTTTTTTTACGTTTCGACAGATGATTGAACTTTCCCAATCGTACACTCCAGAGATATCAAGATATAAGGTAATTGTGTATAATATGCAACAAAGGTGGTGATTTTGTGGTGGGTCAAAGACTTGTATGAATTATGATATAGATTATCAGTGCTTTTAAAACCTAGGGTTTACATTATAATACGCTTAACTTTTCTTCAATTAGGAAGGGAAAGTTTTGTCCTTTGATTCGCCATCCCAAGTTTTAAAACTGAAGCTCACAAAAGAGTCTCTAACAAAAGTAAAAGGTAAGGGATCGTTCGTTTATCAGTTCCTTGCATCCAATGGCCTCGCTTGCATGTGTGTTCTAAAATGTATTCTTTGATGGTCCAGTTTTTCACCGAGCTCAATGCAACCATCAACTAAACATAGCTTTATATAGGATAGCTCTATCAGTTCTAAACTGTTCTTCCTAGAAGTCCAGTAAGGATCATCTCTTATTGATCCAGTGTTACTACAGGAGGAAACCTAAACTAAACTAACTTTATTTATACTGGATAGCTCTATCAGTTCTGAACTGTTTTTCCTAAAGGTCCAGTAAGGATCATCTCTTATTGTTTAATATTGTTTTTTAAGGTGACGGCCATGTTTCATCAAAGTTTGAAATATTTGACAACGACATCGAAGACGAAGAAGTAATGGAGGAAATACAAGATGAGGTGACGTAAAAAATTACTGAAAAATTCCTAACTAAAGCAATGGAATCATGTATAGAAATCTTGTGTTTATATTTTAGGTTGAACTGCAGTGGACGTCCATGATTGAAACGAGACTTGTGGATTGTGATAGGGCAGTATCGTAGTCGTAGAGCTCACTTGTCAATCAGCATCTGGAAGCGAGGTTTAGTCCCTCGTCGTACGAGTTAAATCATTTACAATGCCTTGAGAGACGGACTGGAACCAGTTAAACCAGTTCTACGCGGGAACTCAAACTCATGTATCATTCTTGGACCATTCTTAGACTGACAAAAGCTCTCACGACATGACGAATGGGGGGCGGTTGGGGGTGTGTACTGGCGTTAAATTTAAGCCTCTCTCTGCTCCTGCGAAGAAAGAAATTATCGCTAAATACCCGTTGCTACAAGCCTTTCATTGCGTTTCCTTTGGCTCAGCAGGACTCCACAAGGCTTCTTTTGTCAAACGGAAGGCTTTCGGAAGATTTACGAATAACTCGGAACAAGGAATTGGGTCATAACTTAGTTTACACTCACTCTTTGTTTCATGATTTATTTTACGTTCGTAAAAGCACTAATACAGCTTAGACGAAAAACTAGAATTTACACCTGTTGAGGCTATAGTTTCACTGACACCCTGCTGCTTTCAACGACACTTCGAACAGAGCCATGCAGGTTTCTTGTAACGGGTAATTGAGCACTGCCATCAATCTTTCTGCGTTGAACGTTGTTATTTCATTGAGTCAAGAATATCCTTCTCTCTTAACAATTTTTTGTTTCAATGTTTCTCATGATAAGCCGTTTTTTAGTTGCTTTGAACATTAAAGTTTTGGTAAAACAATAGCAAAACTATATAATTTACTTATCTCAGTATCTAAAACTACTGCTGAAATAAGAAACGTCATTCGTTTTGAAAAAGAGTCACCCCTCCTGAAATTAATCTATTTTGGTTGGACCGCAGGGGGTTGCTAAAGAATTTTCACATATTTACTCTCAATCCAATTATTCATACAAATAACTTTGCATATGAAAGGTATAAATACTTGGTATTCCATGGTCATGATAATTATTTCCTGTTTACATATTCCTGAAGGAAGTTTTACTAATCCTTTGAATAACATGATCATGCACTAAAATTCACAATGGTCAGATTTCTATTCGCATTTAGGCAATCAACCGTATACTGAATTTGTTTGCTTCGATAATGTGGTTGGTTGACCATGACAGTTCAACTTTAAGTGAACCTTGGGTCATTTTTAGTCCGCTTTAATTTAGCGCCACAAATACGTCGTAAAATTTAGACATTTTCCCGGGTCTTCGAAGCTGTGTAAATAGAGGCATTGTCTTTTATTATACATCGTTTTGCCAAGAATTGAACCTACGCTATTCGTTTCCGTTGTGAAATGGAAAACAAGTAGGGAAACAGTAAGTAATTTGAGTGTTTTTTAAGCTCAATTTGCTGAATTTTTTTGCGGGAAATTTGGCAACCTGCTGTGGCAAGTGGCACTGTTCCCAGGGTCCCTCGCGCCGGCGCGCCATGTTCACCGTCAAAACATTATGTCCTCGACAGATTCGCTTACAGGGACTCTTCAAAGTATTACGACTTCTCCTGAAAAAACCACCGTGTATTCCCAAGTCCCGACCGAGAAACCCTTTCACTACACGTAAGTATGCAGTGATTTGTGAATCGTCGCGTTTCCGTGGCTAATTTCGCTTCTGCTTTCGTTTCACTCGCAAGGTACCTGAAAGAGTTCCGAGTCGAACAGTGTCCGCTATTTCTGCAGCACAAATGCACGCAGCACAGGCCGTTTACTTGCTTTCACTGGCATTTTATGAACCAGAGGAGACGACGGCCGAAGAAGAAACGAGATGGAGTCTTCAATTATAATCCAGACGTGTACTGTACACAGTACGACGAGACAACTGGAATGTGTCCGGCATCAGACGAGTAAGTCATTACACAAACTTCACAATGATTTCAACCTCAAAAACAACACTCTTCTTCCTGCACTAGACGGCTACAACGTCTGGAACAGCTTCAGCCGTTCTTCGATGTATCTGAAAAGCTTTTTTTCGTTGTTTAGCTGCCCGTATTTACATCGTGTAGCGGGAGATGTCGAAAGGCGCTACCATCTACGTTATTACAAGACAGCGATTTGTGTTCACGAGACGGACTCTAGAGGGTTCTGTGTTAAAAATGGCCCACATTGTGCCTTTGCACACGGGCCACACGATATAAGACAACCTGTTTACGATATTCGAGAGTTACAGGCAATGGAAAGAGATGAAACACCGACAGAATTAGGTTTACAAGCGCCCGAAAGTAAAGTACAACTGGAAGACCCACGTTGGCAAGGTCTGTAAAATTTTTACAATCCTCGCACCTTTTCGTAAACAAATTAATAAATCACCTCTCTGTGTTATTAAATATTTTGGCGAGTGTTAAGCAAGCTCAAAAAAGCCTGCAGTCTGTCGGCAAATTGCGATGGAACTCTTGTTTTTGTCATTTTTTAGAAGGCCCGTTTATTTGTTTGTTGGAAATTCCTACACAACTGGTACTTTTGGGCAAAATATTTCGCAAAATATCGAAAGATTGCGTTCGCATTTCGGTTATATTTCGCCCGATAATGTTGCCAGCTAAGCGATAATTGTTCAAATAAGAAATTTAAAGGCCCAGTTGGATCGGAAGTGCTAAGCGGATACAGTAATGCGGTGAATTCTGGCACGTATTTTTAATTGGTCTTTCCATGGTGGCAATTTCGACATATAATTCATTTGACAAATCTAACTTTAACTTGTACAATAGGGCACATGTATTTTTAATGAGTTTTTCCCACAATTTTTTTAGCTATATCAGGGCTTTAAGTTCACAATGTATTTTGGGGAACTTCAATGGTTTTCCCACATTTTTAAAGGTGCCCAAAAAAGTTTGGGTTATATCTGTACTGTTGATCCTTATTAATTTTTAGTAGGGTCAGGGTTTAAACGTATTTTGCCTTAGGGGGTTATCTTTCTTAGGCAAATCCCTAGATATTGTCCTAATTAAATAAGTAAACTAGGGAAAAAAACAACTGATTCCCCTAAATTAACTGACTAATAAAGCCACCTGGTTGACTGTCTTGAAAACCAAGTATTTAATCTATGAACTAACTAATTTATCAACCAATTTCAACAAAGAGAATTGTGAAGTAATTAATGATTTTATAAGAAACTCTAATCAACTCTGTAGCATTAAAAACTCTAAAAACCAAAATATCACTGTCTGCACACATGTTTCCTAATCAATATAAGCCTATATAAAAATTGCTTATCAAAAATATTTCATGTTAATCAAGTCTATATGAAGTCTCAGCTAAACACAATGTAACAACAGAGATACCTTACTTGTTAGATATAACCTTAATGATCTAGAAATGTGATATTTAGATGATTTTTCATTGTATTCCACTAGACACAAGCTACGTCTTAGCACATTACAAAACTGAACAGTGCAAGAAGCCTCCGAGATTGTGTCGTCAAGGATATGCCTGTCCGCATTTTCACAATGCAAGAGATTGTCGAAGAAGCCCTAGGAAGTATAGATATAGGTTTGTAAATCACTAATCTGATACGACACAGGCTGAAGATGCTATACCATCTTATACCCTTAAAGGTTAACCAATTGTTATGTTGTTTATTAGTTTTTCAGCCATTGATCAACCTTTTTGAACCTTTCACAAAATATCTAGATCAACTCCTTGTCCCAATGTGAAACATGGTGATGAATGGGGTGAGCCTGCTAACTGTGAAAGTGGCGACAACTGTCCGTATTGCCACACTAGAACCGAACAACAATTCCACCCTGAGGTAAGTCACATGAAGGTGTTTTATTGAAAATATAACTTTGCCTAAGGCATGTGCAGTGTTTCACATATAGAATTTTGTGGTTTTGGCAAAAATAGCAAAGCCTTTTATATATAGACTATTTTATCTTGGCAATTTCTTGTTAACAAGTTTTATTTGTTCACGTGTATGGTACCATAAATGGCAAGTTTTCCATGACAAAGAATCATGGTCACTTTGGCCTTTGCATCTTTAGAAATGCTTTGAGTCTGGCACGGATTGGATTTTAATAAATCTATCCAGCAAGCATCATGAGATCAGGGTAGAGGCAAAACGGAGAACTCTGTTTCACTCACTGAGCTCTGCAGTTGCTATAGCGGTGCACTGTTAGCCCTGACCTCATAATACTCACTGGATAGATCTATCAAAATTCAATTAGAGCAAGACTTAATTGATTGGTGCAAGTCAATTAAGTCCTTACAGTTCTTGAATGTGAAGGAAACAGAATTTTATTTGTATTAAATGCTTGTCTGTATTTTACAAAGACAATGAGCATGATATATGTATACTGGATTTATTCCATGAGGAATAATAATTGTCTAGCTGACCTGTTTCCTTCAGACTTTCTCATTGTTGTCCAAATTTGGGTCATTTTCAATTGCTGCAACTCTATTCCTAGTTGTTGCCTTAATTGTTATCATAATAAACTGCCTAAATTATTTCAGATTTTTCTCAATATCTTACTGAAATTTGTATTTTTTAGATTTACAAATCAACAAAGTGTAATGATATGCAGCAGACTGGTTATTGCCCAAGAGGACCATTTTGTGCCTTTGCACATGTAGAACGTGAGTGTAGCATTGGCTTTGAACTCAGTTGAGTCCACATAGTTCTTGTTAGGGCTGAACACTGGGAATAGGGTGAACAAAAAAAAATAGAAGTTTAGAAACTGTTGAATTGTACCTTTCCTGTGAATAATAAATAGAAGTGTTTAATTGGAATGATTAATGATATCCACGATTTGATATGGTCCAATTTTTCTAAACCTATTTCATTTTTTACATTGTGTACAGAAGAATTTTCAGTATTAGATGAGAACGATTATGGTCAGGTAAGAAACATGCAACGTACTTTGTGTTGTTTTGAAGTACAATAGGTCTCAATCATTATTATGAGAAGGTGTATTACCATTAATACCTAAAATCAAACTTCTTTTTTTAAGATAGCAGGGTAAAGGGTGATATACAGGGTAAAGGCTTTCAAAAGCTAATGATTTTAACGCATAGATTTTTTCTTGCAGTTTAGCACAAGTTTAGCCCAAACCGCTCCAGGAAGTCATGTCCAAACTCAAGCGAGTATTCCTCAATCGAAGACCTCTCGTTCGTTATCAATGTCATCAAGTTATTCTGGCGAAACACCGCTGATCGGAAGTTATCCCAAAGCCCCGGGCTCTGAGCGCTCTGAGTCAAGAAGCAGTTCGAGAGAGGCTGATGAGCTGGTTAGTTCGTATGCCTGAGAACCGTTGTACGAAAACTGGATAGCGCTATTTACCGGAGAGTGATTTTCCAACCGTTGTAACTATAATATTCTTGATTTTTTTAACAATTTAGGTGACGATTAGGAATAGAATTGCCGCGATTGAAAATGACCCGAATTTGGACGATAATGAGAAAGTACGAAGGAAACAGGTCAGACGATGATTATTCCTCATGGGATACATCCAGTATACATATATCATACTCATTGTCTTCGTTTACCTTATTTAGTCATTACTGACGTCAACTCGTGCCACTCTTTCCTCATCATCCTCGACCGGTTCTGTTCCTTCGACACCAGTCACTTCGGTCTCCGTGAGCGCTCTTCCCTTCTATCCTGCGGCAGATACCGTCGAGTCTGTAGTTGAGAAGGCCTTAGATGAACTGCACTTTGATGACTTTGACGTCTCTGACTTGGAAAAGGAACTGAACGGTAGCACAGCACTCCCCGGTATCATTTATAACTTTATTTCGAGCTTTTCAACAGTCTTTGCACCAATAGATCACGATAACCCGGCAGTTTTCTAGATTTCGTTCATATTGTTATCCTCTTGATGATTTGATTTCTAAATTTAATCCAATTCTCAGGTGCTGATGTTTTCACCAGCGCGTATCAGGGCCTTTCTATCAATCCTGTGGGGTGTACCCCTCCGTTGTCTATACCTGGAGCAATGTCAGACCCCTCCCCACAGCAATCCTTCACTCCTCAGTCACCATGTTCGCCCAGGGATCAATTTTCACCTTTTTCAACTTCCAAGGTGGTAAGTTGTTATTTTAGTCAGAGCTATCCAGTGTAAATAAAGTTAAATAGTTTAGTTTAGGTTTCCTCCTGTAGTAACACTGGATCAATAAGAGAAGATCCTTACTGGACCTCCAGGAAGAACAGTTTAGAACTGATAGAGCTATCCAGTGTAAATAAAGTTAGTTTAGTTTAGGTTTCCTCCTGTAGTAACACTGGATCAATAAGAGATGATCCTTACTGGACCGTAAAGAAATTAAATGAAATTATATTTTCAGGGAAGTAATCCTTACCGAAACAGTCCAACGATGAGGACATACCCTGGTGGTTTGCTTGGTGAACCCTTTGGTCCTCCCCTTCCCTCCCCCAAACAGCTCACCTCTCCCCAACTCACTTCCCCACTCAACTTATCCGGAAGTCAAGCAGACATCGACAAGTTGTCCCAAGAGCTCTCAGCCGCGCATGTGAAGTTGGCGTCGTGGGAGCAAGCCTGGGCGAAAGCGAAGCTCGCATGTGAGGCGTGGAAGAAAGAGGCTGATGTCGCCGAAAGCCGTGCAAGAAAAGCTGAACAGGAAAGACTGGAACTGACTCTTAAATTAGAAAAGGTAGTATGACAAAGATTGATCGCATTCTGATAAAGATTGCAGCCTGATTTGACCTCACTTTCCAGGTATCTTCGCCTCAAACCGCCAAGGAAGGCAATGGTGCCACAAGTGGCGAACGCTCTTATCTTGAAATTTTAACGAAATCTAGTGATATTGAAAAGGAGCCTCTTACAGTCCTAAAACAGATACAACAGCAATTAAGAGTGGATAATGAGAGATTAGATAGGGTAAGTGACCTTCCAATTGACCCTGTCAGTCTGATATTGCTTAATATTCCTTCATATCAGTGTGATTATCGCTTGGACTTTAACCAAGAGAATATTCTACGAGTTAATTGATTGTTGCTCCTAAAAGCCCGCTGTTCTGATGTTGAGTACTGATGTCGCCACTAATTCTATCCCGACTAGTCTAGTACTTACTGCTTTGCAATGTTTTATTCATTGTTTCACTTTTAATCATTCTCAATGTCAGTTGATCATTGCAGTGCTGCTAGTCTGACTGAGTGCTGACTGTTGCTTCTAATACAAGCCTGACTAGTCTAGTACTTATTGCTTTGCAATGTTTTATTCAGTGTTTCACTTTCAACCTACCCCCTCGTATTTTTCACGTAAAAAAATTCGCTAACCTTCACCTGGTTGTATTATTACAGAACTAAGCCACAACATCTAACAAACCATATTCAATCTCTCCTCTAGGTTATATATTGTCGTGAATGGTTGCATTGTGTCGTCTGTAGGGTTCAGAGGAGGTGTATGGTAACATGTCCTTGTAATCATTGTATTGTTTGCGAGAACTGTTCGCTGCCTCTTACAGAGTGCCCGCAATGCCATGTCCAAATATCACAAAAAATCCGAATCGATTTAGGTTTATAAAAAGTCATATGATGAGGACTTGTCCTTACCAGCCCCTGGGTGTGGTTTAGAATTTCTGTTAAAAACAGTTGAACGTCACTCTAGGCTAGATCTTTCCGTTATGACTTCATAATTGATCATTGATACAGTCTTAGAAACTGACCTATTTTGGTCAGGCCCTTAGGGTGAATGAAGTTTTTAAAATCTCCACAAAACTTTGAAACGATTTTAATAAGGTTCTTGATGAAGTTTGATGTTTCTAGATCTAAGAATTATCAAATCTTAGCACCTAAGTATAGTGGTCATCAGTAACATTGCTTCTCATTATTGGTACCTAGAAACTAGGCTGGTAATGGCAGGTCCCCATATAAATTAATTTATTTGAGAGGTACGTATAGTTGCTAGAGACAGCAGTCCATTTTATTTGGGCGACTTAATATCGTCACATATAATTAGTGTCTAATAATTTTAGTTTATATTCAGGTATTAGCTCGTTGTTGTTATTATGTGCCCAGTATGTTGGGTGCTAGGGTGTATTTTACTGGCATGGTTTGACGCGAAGAGATCTCAGGGCAGTTCCCTAGAAACGTAGAGCTGCACCACCCCCCCTCCTCCGCCTTGCGGAGGTTGCACAGCAACAGGATGGCGTCAAATCTAACCATTAAAATACCACTTGAAATTTTGTTGGGACGTTGAGAGGCTTAAGTCTTTTGCATTCCTCTAATACGAGTTTTTTTAAGTACGTTTCACCATAGTAACTGGTTTTGCACAATAATATATCAGCTTTCTTGATTAAGAAGTAAATTATCCTTAAAAAAAAAAAAGATTAAAGCCGTCTCACACCATTATACTAGTTAGGGTGTTCTTTAAAGTAGAGACTATTTAACTTGTTTTCCAAATGTCCGTCGTAATAATTTCGCAGTATATAATTTTAAATGTCTTAACGGCACTAAGTTCTTTAGATGAAGCCTTGTTGTTGCTCGAGTGGTTGGTTTCAACCAGCACAAACCATACGGAATACTGCATCACAGAGGTGATGCAGCAAGACCTAAGGTGGCATCATATAGATCAGCTAACGAGAAAGAAGCATAATTGAAAAGGTATTCGACTCAGAACTGTGTTAACCCAGGGTTAAACTGAACAGCTGTATTTGAACAACAAACTCTATTTGAACAACAAACTTTAGATCGTCCCAATGCCACCTTAATTTGGTCTTCAATATGGTTAAATGTTGGATGTTTGGTTGACTGTTTAAAAGAAATAAGACGTTAAGAACTCTAGTTATCTTCTTGCTCTACAATAATATATATATATATATATTTTATAGTAAATATTTCATAAAGTAGGTTATTTCTAAATTTGATCCGATATATAGATGCAAAGAATGAAGGGCGTAAAGATGTCACCAACTTGAGTGGTTTCGTCTGCCTAGACATTTAAATCCCTTTTCGCTTCGATCTATTTTATGCCCTTCATTCTTCCCAATTAAATATAACAAAAAATATAACCAACTTAACTTCTTGCATGGATGTACCGTTCGTTTAGGGTAAATACTATAGGTCCTTTTACTAAAAGCATTGTGTTTTCATAGCTACCATTTTATGGGGCGATTCTTTCATATCTGAACAACCCAAACGTTTTGGAACTTTGGTAAATTCTATCAGTTTTCTTGGCGGCACAATTTGAAATAAATTTGACACTATTTTTTGTCGGTTGTTTTCCGAGTTGTGGCAAACATGTTTTCCTTTGAATTGTGTACGAAAATTTCGCATCAAATCCGCCTTCAGATTTTGGGTAAGATACCGAATTTGGGTCGTTCAAATTTTGAGAATTGTCCATTTTTTTAATTTGCACTTGGTTGATTGCTTTAGTTGTCGTGGCTACTACTGCTGGGTTTCTTAAATATCTAAGGATTCAAGTCGTTTTTGTAGATAGTTTATTTATTGTAAAATGCGTTGTTTATTGTTTACATGTAAACAATGCTTTGTAGTGTACAATTATTATTATTAGAGAGATTTATTTCATTGGACAATGTTCTATAGGTTGTATCAATTCAAAATATATTTCTTTAAAAAGGTATTGCGCGTATTTGTGCAAGTTAGGAGCAGTGCGCGTATATAGTGTACAATATAAGTGACCTGGTTGTGAGTATGGCTTAAAATCACCGTGTTTTATGTTGTATTTAATAAACTCTCCAATGCTTACGCGTGTATACAGAGAAATGAGAGAATTATGAACTTACGGTACCTAAAAAATTCTTAACTAAAATCACACTAAAACTTTTCGAAATCAGAATATTTTGCGAGGCAATAAACACTACTACGGTCCCCCCCTGTAAAGGGAATCAGCCAATCACATCGATGAAACGGAATCTGCAAGAAAAAACAAAATGGTGAAAACCGCGAAATTAAGACCGGAATGTCAATAAAGTTATATGAGCTTTTTAACTAGAAAAGAAGGCAAAAAAGTAAGCATATGGAGTAGGAAATATCCATAATTAATCTAAAGAATCTTTTCAGTTCTTTATTTTCCTTTTAAAAACTTAAATGATAGTGCTTTTTTATTTTTATAGCATCACTTTTAGAAAAATTGTCAAGACTCGTATGGCTTTTAGATCTTGTAAACGTTTCCAAATAGTTACTAGTAAGTATTGTAATTATTATTCCTCGTTATAATTGTACGTCTATTTTACCCACCTGAAGTGAAATATTCATAATTTCTGAACAACTTTATACAAAAATACACAATTTTTATCCATCTTCCCCCCCCTGGATGAAACCACTATGAAAAATATCTCAAATAACATCATTCAACATTTCTCTTTTGATATCTGACTCCAAATGATTTTGAAATTCTTGTTTGAGATTTCAAAAGTTTATACATACACACTTCATCTGGAGTTAGATAAAGTAGAATAACATTAACTCAAAATTCTTTTGGGTTCACCTCGCTAGCAGTGGATTAGTTATGGATGTTGAGAAAAGGCTCTTGGCATTAAAGCATTAATAGCTATTTGCTTGTTAGTGTTATGTTCAAATGGGATTGGATGGATTTTGGACTGCAGTGCTTAAAATTCTCCCTTTTCCCTGGGGTGAATACATATAGAACAGGCCAATTTTTGTCCAATTTTTTATAAATGTGCATACCTGAACCATTTAAGCATAGACACAGCTCCAAATACATCCGGTTCATCCTGCAACAAACTCAATGAGACTTCTCACTTTTTGACCCTCAAAAATTTTGTAAACTTCTTTATTTAGCTTTGGTAAGAGTCATGTCTTCAGCTCCCCCTGAACCCCCACCTCCCGAGCTGTGCTGTATGAGTGGCTGTGCCGAATGTGTCTGGATTGAATATGCCAAAGAACTAAAGGAGTTCTCAAATACTGGACAATCGAATGAGGTTATTTCGATGAAGCTTTGGAGAAAATTGAAGACCCAAGTTTTGGAACTTTTATTAAAATGGAAATTGATGAGATCTTGTCCAAGCCAAAGAAATAATTGCAGGAATTAACAGTTTGGATGTGCATAATTGATGATTTAATTTGATATTTTTTATGGTAAGTTTTACATCATCTTTTATTTATTTCAATCTTTAAATATCTTTAACAACATACCACTTTGTTATTAACAAAACTATTAAAAATCTATGTTATTCAATAATAATAAGTGTCTAATAATGTGACTAACTAATTCTAGGATTTTAAATAGAATATTTCTAGATTAGGTATTTAAAAATGTGTGGCCAATGTGGCCTTCTAGAATAGAAAATTATGTCAAAGCTAAGTTTGATATATAACACTGCTATACCTGTTTGGTGAGACAAATATAACATGTGAAAAGACTAGGTTCTCCCCATATCAAAGTGAAAATCAATTGAGTTTTCCTCATTAAAGATAATAATCATCATCGACCTTTGCTAATTTATAGATTTGTAGCATGCAATACCAATGCAAATTTGCCTATTTGTAAGTGTCTAGTTTGCGAAAGAATTCTACTTTCACCCTATTATTTCACCCTAAGTATCGTCTACGACTTTCATGTATAACTTTCTTTCAGTTTATCAGTTGTTTCAACACTATTCTATACAATTGTGCGTCATCCGATAGTGACCTGCCACCCAGATTGTCCAAAACACATAGCAAAATACAGCTTTTCAACTTCATTGATTAAAGTCCAATCCAATGTGACTTCTTTTTCATCAACACCTACAGACACTCTAAGTTTCTTTCCAGAGACCTTATGCGCTTCAAATGAAACTTGTGTGCCTCGCTTAAACGGAGGTAACCTTGTCGTCATATTAGTTCCGTTCACATGTATTATCCCTTTTGAGTTCACCCCAACACATTCAGGTCCAGTGACTCCAGTCAAAACTTGGTTGTTGTCTATGATGCAGTATTGGGTGATCATTCCGATGACGTCGCTAGCCGATGGCTCTCCAGTTTCTTCCACAGTAAACGTAAGAGTATTGCCAATGATATAACTCATCGAACGAGACCGTAAAACTCTAGAGCTTTCCGGGAAGACTTTCGTTGCTGTACGTCTGTCGTTGCTCAGCTGGTAAATGGCAATTCCCTTCTTGTTTTTGCAGTCTTTCTGGGACCATTCTGATGTAAGATATATATGGTTGTATTAACTACTAAGATATTGTGGATCTGAGGAAGATTTAAACAGGAAATTCGGTGGCCATACATTTGGAAATACGTCATGTACCTACCATGCGGCTCAAGTGATGTAACACCATTCTTGCATGCGCTCCAAGGACCCCATTTCTCTTTGTTTCCTGATCTCCCACAAACACGGAAAGTGTATGTAATGTGAGGCTCAATGTCGGTCACAAGATAAGACATTTGTTCCCCTTGGTATATGGTATTGAACACATCATCCGAACTGACTTTGTTATCCGCCTGACAATATTGCAACATGTATTCCTGCGTTCCCATACTGCCTTCGGTGAACGACTCGCTCTCGACTAATGTCTAAATTAATCAGGACGAAGATGAATGCTCAAGTGGAACAATTAAAAAAAGCTTGCATTCACAATTCACCATACCTCATCCCATTGTACCAAGATCCCCCCAGCTTGTTCAACCAGTTCTACAATCTGTAGTGAACCCAACATCTGCACATCACCCAGGCTTTGAATGGATTCAATGATATTGCCAACCTCAGAGTCCTCAATGCTCACTGAAAGATTTTGAGCCGCACACGGCATGTCTGGATAACTGAGACAAAATAATATAGGTGATGAATTCCCCCTACCTTGGTTATAACACTGTTGTTTTTGAAGGTGTATTCCTTGCATACCTATGTGTATACCTATGCATAGAGAATGATAGTCTTGAAATTGAAGTTCCTGGAAATTACCTCTTTTGTAATGGTTGCAGTTTTTTCTTTATTTCTTTTTCATTTTTCATAACTAAATCATCTTCCTGCTCTAGTACAGAATGACCTAAGCGATATAAATACAGCTACATACATGAACATTCTCAACATGTACAACATTTATATAAAATTAGAATTGTAGCATGTGTGCTTGGTCCAGGTGCTGCTACCTTCTGTAATTTGGTTTTTCATTAATGCCAGATCGCTATCAAGCAGTTGCTTTAGATTTGTCAAAGGTTCCAAATCTTGTGTTTCGATTTCTTTGATGGTTGTCAAGAGAAACGCCTTGCGTGTCTCCAGTGCTGTGAGGATCTCCTTTCTGGCAGATTCAAAATGATTTTCAACAACTCTTGTGGCATTCATACTGCTTGTCTTCACACTACCAATTGCACTTGTTACATTCTGGATTTGAGAACTGTTAAAATGATACAATGAATAAATGCCCCATTATACCAGAACTGTTAATCTTTGGCCTAATCCAAGTTCTGATCTAAATCTAATCCATAATCCAGCTTTACAAAAGCCTTACTCTCATATACTACCTTAAGTGGAGAACACCATCTTCCAATTTTTTGATGGAATCTTTGACGCTTTGTCTAAAGACAGTTGAAGCATCTGAGCCATCCATCTTGGCTTCTTATATTATGCTAGACAAAACAAAATCAAAGAAAATATGTAAACCGATACTCTTGAAACAATAATTCTACTTTTCAAAGAAAATTATATGGTGTTATATCTGAGGTTGATGGATTAAAGCCTACATTATTGTTCAACTGTAAAATAATTAAATTAAGTACTTTTCATTGTTGATGTAGCATAGCAGTTTAATATTTGAAAGAGACAGGCCATATTCGCGTGATATTGATTTTGCCTGCACAGTTTATTGTAAATAGCTCTGAAATCCCCCACAAAATGCTGTTCATAAGCGTGTTATGATTAAAATTAATTGTTATGGTATACGGGTAACGTTGCCTTAATTAAATTTAATTATTGATGCCATTAGAATCTTGCATGATTGTAAGATCAATTCAAAATATTGTCCTTCAAAATATAATCCCAAAACCACCAGCGTTTGAAATTATAATAATTGAAAGTGTCAATGATACAAAGTGTATATTATATTCAAATCAGGCACTTCTTCGGCGAGGCTGTACAACTTTACATAAACGCCAACTGTGATGCAAAGACCAGATGTGTTTATTGTAAGACAACTTTTTAAATGGGCGTCATTACGGCGATTCTGCATGATATAGTTGGACGTATTACCAGCGTAGAAACAACGCCCAAATTAAGCGAGAATACCCATAAGGCGAAACGCAAGCAATCTATTACTTACCTCCAAGTTCGATGAAGAAAAAGTACAGGAAATCGCTATGAAATCGAGCCAAATAAGTTAAAAAACATTTCAAACATTTTACGCGAGATTTGTTTGTTTCTTTCAGAACCGGAAGTCGGGATCACCGATGAGAGACCGCGCTGACGTCTGGTCAGTGGTACACTCTCGTAGTTAAGGTGGCTCTACTTCGTAGAACTTGAACGTCGACTGCACGCGTCAGCGAACACTTCGGCATACGGACGTGACTTGTACTGCGAACGTGATGTAAGCACATATTTCTGGAACAGGCATAGAGGAACAGGTTAGTTGTCACTGATCTAAAAATATCGTTGCCCTACTGTAGTATGCAATTGTTCATATATTATAATATCATGTACCACGTTATATGGGTCCAAGGTATTGTATTTATGCGATTCCGCGAAGCCGTATCATTTCCTGTTATGAAGCGAAAACAATATAGCGATCTCTCGCTTGTCAAAACATTTGCTTTACTATCACAAAATACATTCATATCATCAAATCTGTAGTGAAACCCAAAACAAACGAGTGTAATATCTGAATATCAAATAAATGTAATGCGCATATTTCCGTTAAGACATGTCACATGTTGATGAATGAAGGGAAAAAAACTTGACAAAAACAATATCACAGAAATAACTTTCATAGTGAAATTCGTCGAATAGCTTGTAATGAATTGGTTGGCTCACTTGGTTCTACATCCGTACGATGAATGTATAAGATGAATGTATATTGTCATTCACTTCGTTCAAAATGTGTTTATCGACTTTATTACGATAATGTAATCAGTTATCTAACTTTCCATTCCTGCCTGTACACGCTGTGTCAGAGCACGTTTTCCTTGGAAAAGGTTGATTAAATAAATTCTATTTCAATCAAACGCGGAAATGAACTCGTGTGTCATCGTACTGACAAATTGAAAATTCGTGGGTTTTGCGCGTTCAGACTGAAACAGCGCGTTACGAAAGTCTGAAGGAAGTCAAACATATCAGGCGTGTAGAACACCTTTGTGGATGATTCAAAAGCTTTTGTCAAAGGGCAATACGGGGGGGTATAAAAGCGTATTTCACTATACTTTCACTTTCCCTATTTACCCATTTGGGGAGTTACTACTTCACTTGGTTGGTACGCAGTCCTGTTTTACTTGGGCCTATTTGAAGTCCTTGCATGGCACATTTATTGTATCCGTCAAAACATATTGCCTAATCGACGTCATGAGAACACGGCGGGCGTATCACTTTATGTATTTTCGATTATGAATAATTTTCATGAATATCGAATGCGAATGAAATTATACCCAACAATTCAAGGAATCTTATAGCATCAATACAGCATGCGCCGAAATCGCTTTTGGTCCTTGCGTTGAAATGAAGATATATTTGCTGACGTGTCAATTTGTATACATACGTCCTCCAGCCTGGGAAGACGCGCACGCCCTCTATTCTTGTGTAGTTCATGCGACAGCGAATGTTGTGGCAATTCGATGCTTACATTGCAGTCTCGTAGCGATTCGATCACCCCGCAAAATGTCACTTCGCTTTGAGAAAAACAATAACATAAGAGCAGGTTTTTGCATACATTGAAATGCTAATATGCCATTCTCATACTTCATGTTGTGTCGGAAAAACACGTGATTCCTCGAGACGAAATTGCAATGAGTTGGCCGTGTTAACCCAGGGGGCGACTACCAGAGCCAATTATATTTCCCTGTAGTGGACGGTAATACAATATACCTGAGTTTTTTTGTGCATCTCGCTTCCGCTTGGAGTCTCAAGAGATTATTTTGCACATTAAAGGACAGCCCTGTCGGTAACGACGGGTTTCGGTTGATGTACAAGTGTTGTACAACGGAACACAATGGTCTCCACTGATTCGACGTTATGGAAAAAATATCGAGCACTAGGACGCCTACAAGTGCACAGAATGCAAGCGATTTTGGCACAAGAAAACAGCCTGGTTTAGAGCCACCGAGTCGTATTTCAAACGAAGCGGAGCGCAGTAAGTCGGAATTACAATGTATTTCGAGTAAATCAGACAAGACAGCCGACACGAACACCCAAGCAAATCAACAAAGGAATTTTGCGGATTTGATGAAATTTAGAGCCGTGTTTGCCCCAGTTCCGTCGCAGTATTTCGATCAGTTTTCAGGTATGTGAGTTGTAGACGTGTACTTGAAAGCCCACCCTTCACATACAATACACATGGCCGTTCACGATTCTTGCGGTCGTATTCTGTATTTATCTGCGCCAAAATCCTCTTCAATTATTGAGCAGAAGCGCCCCGCTTTTAAAACGCGTACAATGTTTCGCGCATGGAACACAATGGTCGAGTTTTAAGTGGAAAACCTAATGTGGTTTGACTTTATCAGCAGATGTCGGCTCGCGGAAATGGCGGACGTCGCCCATAGACTGGCGCGTTTGAAAACTTCTCCGAGCCTGGTATCTCGTTAACATCCTACAATTTTCACATCGTTCGATAGCCAATAAACTGCTCTATACGGGAAAATTATTCACAAGAACGCTGTGCTCATTACGTTCGCGTGAGCGCGCTTTAAATGCGTTGCCTTCGTGTATCTTTCACTATTAAAACGTGTTCGAAACTTCGTTTCCCGTGTGGTTGAAATTCCTTATCCTCGCAAACATACTCGGCGCACTTTTTTGCTTGCTAGCGATTTTATTATATAACAAGTCCCATTTTTCACACATTTGAAGATTTTGAGACATAAAGCGTTTGGCCTTATAAGCATACACAATATAATGTGAAACTAAAAATTCCGTGTAATTGAATAGGCGGTCGAAAACAATCCCATGTATCGAATATGCTTGCTCCTTACGCCATGAGAGAAGCTTAGCGATAGCCAGAAAGCATTGCTTGGTGATGTCTAACAGTCGCTTTTAAGAGTTCAGACGTTTTTCACGAAGTTTTGCGAGGAAAAAAATAGCATGGCAACCGTATGATTTTAATAGAAGTGTCGTCATAGTGTAACCTGCCACTTCATATGTGCCCAACCATATATCTGTTTACGCTTCGAAAATATGCTCATATTATGCCTAAAACGTACATCAAAACCGCAAGTAACCGAGGAAAATATGAGTTCTCGGGTTAGATTTGAGCGCGAGTTGTGAATGAGCTTCTCAGAGAGCGATTGCAAAATTTTGCAAGGAATTCAAAATTGCGTAGGCTGAGGCTCTCATAATAAGGTATGTCGATTAATTTTCGTTGTATTTTCCTTGAATATTCTCGTAAACAGCGTTCACAGAGTTCCTCCGGATTCATTGTATTTTCTTTAGCCTCGCTGTGAATAATGCTACAATTTGGGCACTCTGATTAATAAACGCAAAACTAATAAATATACAACAGAATACACTATGACAGGAAATGCATACGCAGTCTACTAATTGTTGACGCATTATAATATTGTAAGATTGCCATGGGGCATAATCATTGAAGCCCATAAGGCTGGCCCTTGAGAGAAACCTTTGTATGTCAAAAATGGTGTCTCAATAATACATACTCGCTAAAACAACAAGCTGGTTGATTTTCATGAAACGTCGTGGAACACCGATGTCCATATCTTAAAAATACATTTTGAGTGTGCTGACGAAGGTTAGTAATAATAGTGTTGAACACGCGAATCCCTAAATGAATGTTGTTTTTAAAACATACCTGTGAAAGCATATATTAGACGTAAAGCACTTTGAAGTCCTCTAGTTTTACCATTAAAGCTTTCAATTGCTTTTAAAAAAGGAACGTCGATACCCGTAACCTTTTCACAGGTTTTAAAATTTGCTTTACAAAATATGTACGCGAATCAGACAGGCATTATTCAACGCCATATTAGGGCTGAAGCTTTTCGCGATTTTTTAAGTGTAATCGTTCGCACAGGCAAACGGCTATAATTTTTGCGTGTAGATAAAGTACCCTTTTAACGATTACCGTTTCATTGGAGCCTTTACTGTCCGTAGTTTTCATTTTAGAACCATTTTCGTGCGAGTGACTCGCGTATAAGCGTATAGGTCTGCGCGCGTAGGCGTTCTCTGTGGGGTTTGCTGAAACTTATAATTATTTTTCCTAAGATCAACATAATTGTTTTTATTTAAAAGCCAACCTCGTTTTTCGTCAAGATTTTGTGTAATACATGCATTCTAGGGTATTCCTTTTGGGAAAAAGTATAAAAAACGCTTTCTATATGCTGTCATGTAGAGATTATCTTAGACGAGGAATCTCAAGGCATGTTTGTGGTTTATTGTCACACAGCACATTCATCATAAGAATTAAGCCGAGTATTAAATTGTATGGCGACGCGAAATGTGTTATTGAATATCGTAAAACAATAGGCTTGTACGTTTGATTCGTTAGTTTCGGCTATGCTTCGTTGAATATAGTATAACAACCATTCATCTAGTGTATTTTTGCCTCGACCAACCACCAGCACAGAGTCGCTATTAATCTGCCTACACTATAGTGTTGAGAGAAATCAGTTGCCCCGCGCTTTGTCATGCAGAATTCATTGTGATCGCGTCTATTCCGCGTAGTATATGGCATTGAAAACAATACACAATGCCTTTCTCACAGCAAGAAACACTTTCAACATTCATTTTAATTCTGGTTCTTGTTATTTTCACTTCTCGAAAGCTTCAAAATTTTTTCAACGCCTAATGACAGCCGAAATGAGTATTTATTCAGGCTGTTTGTATTGCTTACGTCGTCAAGATACGAGTTATATTTCTGTCAGGAAATTGGCGATCATTTTTCTAAGATGTGTGACTGTTCGTTCTGCTCTCGGGGCTAAAATTCACAGCCTTTTACGGTATCAGATTTCTGTACTTCGCTCCAAAACAGCGTCTGTCGAGGCTGACACGCTCGTGATCCGTTTATCTCACATGCTATTCTAATTATCTACGTGTTGTAGAAATATACATGTCACAGTTGGAGCCCAGCGCGCCACCGACCACAGATGTCTGCTGTTATTAGATTTAAATATCGTAATGTGTTGCAACTACAGCCTACAATGACACGTTTTGTGGTGTAGAAGCAAAAACCTCCTATCCATTTCGAAAGTAGATACACTCGAAGCAAAAAGCCAAAAACCTATTTCCTTCAAAGGCAAAGCGTCTCTTGCGATTTCAAATGCAATTCTTTGTTATATTGAGACTTTCTTTTACCGTCTACACCGTATGCGTCACATGTTTTGTGGTTTTTTAGTTGACATAATATTTACTATCTTATACGTACTCAAAAAAAAAGAAACGGCAATATCATATCATATACCATAATATCTCGTATGTAGGAAACTTGAACAACTATTCGCAAAAGACATTTTACTATTGCTAGGTATATACATATGATTATCAATTTCGTTTCTCCATTACGTAAACCTGAACTTTGTAAACTTCTTAGTATATTTTAGCCAAATCGCACCTCGCTCGCTGCTTAGAGCGACCCTGAGCTGTCTTTCGGATCGAGTTCTGGCAATGATTTTACAATGAATTCACAAACGACGTAAAATTTTAGCGTGGGCCGATGTTTAAACACTTGTATAGGCTGACAAGCATTCGTTTTAATTTGCCTTTTGGCGTTATTGGAATGGCTACGGTATTCGTGACTGAAGAATTAATACTGTTACTTCGGTCTAATATTTTGTCTCAATTGAGTATATCGTCTCTAATGACGTCCATATATATAACCTTTCTATTTTTCGTAAGAAATAATAACTTAATTCAGTGTACGTTGACAAGTAATTACAAAGGAAGGATATATGAAAGCTAAATACTGCGAGCTTATTTCGTTTCTCGTTTCTTATCATTCCTTGTTCCTCCTAATTTAAAAGGGATTTTCACCCGACAATTTATAAACAGTTTCATCTTTACTATAGCAAATCGTTTCCTAAGTCGCGTGGTCGTGTTTCATTTGCATGTCTCAATTTTAATTGCATGAGTCATGACTCGTGATAGCAGTCTTACGTGAACGACAGCAAGCATTAAGCCTTGTTAAGGGTTTGCCTTTATTTTACGGATCGATACAGCTGTAGTCACGTCCTCCGCAATGCTATATGCATGTCAATGAAGTTTCTAAGCAGTGGCTATATAGTGTTTCTATATTATGATCTCAGCTTGTGTATGCGGAAATCTACCTACGAGGAAACTCATATACACATGCACTTCGAAATATTTCCGTCGTGTATCGAAGACAGATAATGCGTGTATCTATAGAATATGATTTTCGCAATTATCATTACGCTGCATTTCTCACCAGACATAATGTTCTAAATATACCGAGAATATTTTAACTAAAGCATGATTCATCTAACTTTATCACCACATTGAAGATAGGAATATCGTTTGTGTGTATTTTATTTGTTCATTTACATATTATTATAAACTATGTTATAACAGAATCGTTACAGAAAACATTGGCAATCCGCAGTTTATAAGCTATACTGAATGTGCCTAAGTTTCAATTTTACTTTGATTTGTAACCATTTTACGATAAAATGCAGTATTTACTATTAGGCTTTGAGCATGTTGTTAAAGTTAAATAATGTTAATCTCACTTTAGTCGTTTTCTTAAGATCAACGCAAAGCTTTTTGTTTAGCTAATATTACCCTTGACGTCAGGCCAGTCATGTTAAAAATTTCTTAATAAATCAAGTGGATTTACTCAGTTCAAGACATTGTATGCCACTGAAAATTCTTTCAAGATCCGAAAGTTTTATGAATAGCCATTAAACTGTGTAGACTGCATGCATGCAGTTGTACTAATATCATCATTTCCCAGGATTTCACTCGCGTTTAAACTTGTTTTCCTTTACAAAGTATAGACAATTTAGGCACTTTATAATGGTCAAACGTTTTGACGGTGTCGCATTGGATATACGAGGAAGCATTTTCAAACTATTGTATGCATATTTGATGTGCGTTTTGGCAAATGGCCAGGGATATGCGTTTTCCCCTCAGACTTCTCTGTTTATTTTTCTTCCAGGATGTTTAATCACATGTGGTATCACATGTGATTTGATTAGTAAAGTAGGGTCTGTTGTTTGTCTCTTTACCATGGAGACTTCTTCATCATTTCAGGTTAATCTAGAATATCACAATTCACAACGAACTATGCATGCTTCGACTCTTTCCTTATCCGTAGCGAGAAATTGCACTTTGCGCAAAAATTTCTCAGAAGAGGTTTAGAGAAATGTCTATTCTGCTTTGACGTGAAGAAACACGTATATGGTGTTATAGTTCCTTACAGCCACTTCGGTTGACCTGTACAGGTGGGTGTCTCAGCACGAATATAGCACCACTTTATCTCTCTATTGCATCTAAACATGGAGATTTCAGCAAGTGACATCACGTCTTTCAGCGCAAATGCGCGAAATATCTTTGCGAAATTCATGTGAATGTTTCGAAGGTGGGCAGTTGTATATATTCTCTCCAACTCCACCAACGTAAGAACTTTCCCAGGGCAATTCGTTAACAGCTGTGCTCTTATTTTGAGGTTTAAATATAGCCGTCATTATCATATATTTAAATGCATCGTCTTTGTTACGCGATCATGTTTGCCTTAAATTGTGATTGCGACATAACCGCATTTGAAAATTTCTTTAATTAAATTTAATCTTATTTTCTAATGCCCTTGTCACATCAAAAGTGCTGTGCAGTATATATAGGGGTCCAGCTTAGGTATAGTCTTCTACGATAAGCTGTCGTGGTTTGTGTCTGAACTACCTGAGAAAGATATCTCAAACGTGGTGGTCTAGTGTAGGTAGTATACTACAATAAGCTGTCGTGGTTTGTGTCTGATCGTGTTCTGGGTTATGCCCTAGCAAGATTGCGAATATATTCACAAATCAATTAGGGACTCCTTGCTATAGCTTGCTGGACGTTCAGAAGGAAAAAAGGTTGATCTTTGTGCATGAGTATAGATGTTATATAGATTGTGGATTCTGTTTTGACAGCAAGTTCATCTTTATTCTGACCTTTTCATTATAACACGTGTTTTTCTATCGTTTAACCATGTTAGGCGTTCAAGAATGTTAATTCCATTCATTTGAGTCCATGCACATATCTTCCTCGTGACCTTGTTCCTCGTATTACGCTTTGCCGTAGGTGTTCGCGACTGGGCAGATATCTTACATGCGATTGTTTGAATTCTCTTGTTAGACTTTACCGTCGTCGTATGCGTTTTGGGCAGCTGTGAATTGCGAGGTATTGACGTGAATTATGACGCCGCAAAACGCGCTTGCTGAAAGAGATTCTGCTGGCCAGAATGTAGGGATCCAAAAGCTTAAAAACAAGTATAATCCTTCGCTGTTTGTTCTAGCGTGCGTCACTGCTCATATTTCCTCCCCAGATGTATGTGTGTCGCTTTCATCATAAACGAATTAGATTAGCTTCAATAGTGGCCAGTCCCGTCATGATCTATCTCATCGTCTTTACTACTGTTCCTTAGAATTCATATAAAATCGTCCTTTGTCCCAAATGTTATATTTCAGTTCTAGTTTTTTTAATTGATCACGTAGAAGTGTCTGCTGAATGTGCTGTATTCATATCTAGAATGTTTCAATCAGTTTTGCACAATTGTCTCCATGATTTAAAGGAAAGCCTCCTAGCAACCTTTCTGACCCTTTCTCATAGACATATACTGAAGTTTATGATAGAATTGTGTTTTGTTATATGAATATATCTCTTACAAACTTTTCATTAAAACATTCTGGGCATTGTCGTTATCTGCTCTCTACATTTCTCAAATACCACATGAAATTTGTCAAATTCTCGTCCATGGCATATGGCGTTGAAAGTTTCGTGATGTTTATAACTTGTAATAAGACTATATGTTACTGTATAATAATCAATATTGCTTAGTCAGCATTTCTTGTGCCAACCCCAACTCGAAGATATTGGCCCGTGCATTTTTAATACATATATATATCCGCCTTGTCGAAAGAACTCTTTGAAAGAATAAGTTTTTCATCAACCGTCCAACTCCGGTTGGAAATAACTTACGTGTTATGTAATCGACATCTCCGGAGGTTCTAGTCGGAAAGTCGTCTTCTTAAATGGATCAGTTTACGTTTATATCAATGGCTTGCATTAATTGAATCATTTTAATATTTCAATCTATATATTTCAACCTATATATAATCGTGATTGATATTGAAAAAAAATAATTATAGCAAACTCATTTACGCAGATGTATTCGAGCAGTTAGTATACTATTATAGTTCTTTATATATATATACTCTCATTAGGTTGGGGAGTTCGGGCGAATACTCGCGAAATATTAAATATTCATTTGCATATATATCTGATCAGGTTTTACAGTTTTTTCAACGGCTTTTCTAACAGGTATTGCCTCAATTCCCTAGCTTGTGACGTGACTCATAGTACATATTTCAGTGATGCCATTGAAGAGATATTCTGTTTATAGCTACCTTACATAACCTCGCGACGTTTGACAGAACTCATTATTAGTCCGGCCTAAGTGGACCCTGAACCCATTCCCCCCGTATTCATGCTGCTATATATTCGAGCTCTAAACCTTGCCCTTTAGTTTTCTTATATATTTTTATGTCCTCATCAATTTGAAGCTGGACAAAGCTGGCCTTCGAATATTCTCTCGTGAGCAATAATTGTGTTAATGTCGATATGACGTTCATCAAGGACATGAAACAGGACTTTAATTGATCCGAAATCGCTGATAAAGTGCCTTATCGTAAAATGTCAAAAACGTATACCAGGTTATCTAACAGTAGATCTTACTCTATTTTCATAAAACTTCACGCGAAATACAAAAACGTCTGGCTTGCTGTTTTGCCAAAACTGTGATCCACTGTGTTTAAGTCTCAAGATATCACTTATTATTCAGCACTTGTCTGATTCCTTTCGTTATACAAATAGAGTTTGCAATTTTGAATAATGGTAAATTTTCTCTCAAGAGAAGCGCAATTGTGCAAACTCAGCTTCTCTGGGTGCGTTACTAAGTACAAAATATGGCTTTTGAGTTTTTCTTTTTTCTCTCTGTCCTATACCTCAGTCTAACCAATTGGTTTTTTCCTCTCTGCAATCAAATATAGTACTGAATACAATCATTTTTTATCATGACGTCAGTGTTTGAGCACGTAAACACTTGCTAATCGTAGCATTGTAAAATAAATAATGTTTATATTTCAGTTGAATCTGTTAAGGCTTAATGTTCTTCTCCGCTTTCAGCTTGAGTGCACGGAAGACATTTTCTATTGTAGATTGCCTGTCATTTTTTAATCTTAAAAAAATGCTAATGTACAGCATGTTGTGCTTAATTTCCTAATTTTCTTCAGCTTGTTAATGGAGGCTTGCCAATGATTTACACAATTTTTTTAAAGATGCATTATATTCTTTCGTTGTGTGTGCATAAAGACTCGTTTAGACTTGCGATTTTCCTCTTTTGACAGATGTGAATGAATGAGTAATTAGTTACGAATGTTCTGAATAATAAGCGCTCTTTATAATATTTGAACATCAGTAACTAATTCACTCGTTCACATCTATCAAAGGAAGAAAATCGCAGAAAAAATTGCAAGTGTAAACAAGGAGCCTTAACGTTGCTGTTCTTTTAATGATTTCCCAATAATTTCGTGTATTTCTTACACAAATCGACGTTCTGCATGATCGCAAAATTGTTTGTTGGTAAAATTTTATTTCTCGGGTAGTTTGCTTTGAGTGAAAAATTATTTACGACTTCCTTTCCTTTTGGAACATGGTGTTGATGATGTTTTTTGAGAGTCAAAAATACATTATTCCCAAGGCAAATATACAAATTACCTCTGCCAGGAAAGGCCAGAGGGTTGTTGTATAAAAAACTCTTTAACTACATCATCAGCCGCTTGTGTCGTTATTAATTGTTCTGATTGGCCAATTCTGCCACTAACTGTAGAGTTAAAGGGCTAGAGATATTCACATGCATGTCAAGTATTGTTCAAAATTAGCGGAAGACTTCTGTCTATGAAGTTGTCACAATTGTTGAGAAAGGTGTTGTTTTGAATCCACAAAGTATACTAAGTATTTTCGTTTCATTTTTTAGGTATTTCGATGCAACATCCGTTATATGGAGGGGCGATGTTCCCTCCCATCGCTTTACCACCAGAAGCACAATTCTATTATCCCTATGTGTACCCGCCTCATCATTTAGCCCTTGGAAATCCACATATGTATCCCGAGGCGATAACTGCTCAAGGAAAAAGAGAGCGGACTGGTGTCGACACCGCTCGCAAGGAGTATAGGGATGCGGAATCCGAAAATCGCGACCGAAATGAAAGGTACATAAGTAAACTTGAACTAACTAAACTCTTCGCCGGGTAGCTCTTGATCTAGTGTTACTACAGGAGGAAACCTAAACTAAATTACCTTTATTTATACTGGGTAGCTCTATCAGTTCTAAACTGTTCTTCCTAGAGGTTCAGTAAGGATCATCTCTTATTGATCCAGTGTTACTACAGGAGGAAACCTAAACTAAACTAACTGTATTAATTTTGGTAACTAGTGTTCAGGAAATGTGTAATGGATATTTCTTTCATCTTCAGTTCATCAAAGAAGGATGGTAGTCCAAAAACATGGCGAACAGAACCGGACGCCGTGCGTAAAGAGAGTGTTATAAAAAGTGTTGTGAAAGAAACTTACGAGAATGCAAAACCCTCGAACGAAGGGAGGGCAAACAGGGACACAAGGGACACACGAACTAATGTTGAACCAAGGTCAGTTAAACTGGACTACCAAATAAAGGACGAAGAAACGTTTGCTAGAGCTGAAGGAAAATCTCCCCCGGTTTTTTCACGTGGTCACGACGTGACTAGTCGTGCTTCTGACCCTCAATACTTTGTTACATCCTCGTCATTGCGTGGTAAAGGTGTTGATAACCCACATTATACCAACGGTATACCCAGTTACCCCAATTTATCATCTCGACGAGTTGATGATCCCACGAGTTCCCACCGTAAAGATTTGAGAGTGCATGATATTGAGAAGCGTGGATATTTGGATACGCCTAAGGATCATGGTCGGATAATTATGGATAAAGGCAGGATAAATGGGGTCAAAGATTCGCCGGAAAAAGCGAGAGATGTTGGGGATAGTAAATCAAGGGATGCGAATGATCACGAGGATCCTTATATGAAGTACTTAAAACGAGGTGATAGGTTTTATGAGGAAAAGGGTGACAGACGAAGATACAGCGAAGAGTTGCTTTACCGGCAAAGAATGAGGAATGAGGAGGCGTTAAAACGTCACATACGAAGGGAGGAGATGGAAAGAGACCGCTCCTCCCCTACTGCGGGCTCGGTACACGAGTCTCCCGAAAGGCTAAAGTCCAATTTCCCGGTCTCGACGGCACACAGCGTCGAGACGATCATGAATGGTCGGGCAAACACAAGTCCTGGCAGGTCACGAGAAGAAGTGAGATCAAGGCACGAGTGGGACACGAGGAGGAACCCCACTGCTGGCGATCATCGCGTTGTGGAAATACCCGAACCAAAACTGATCGAAAGTGCGAGCGATATGTCACGTGAACAGAGGATGATGCCACGTGGACAACAGTCACGTGACGACGATTCACGAGGACAACGATCGCGCGAAGATCACGAGAATAACGTAATGCGCGAACAACGTTTACGTAAGGACGACGGAGCACGTGCACCACAATTGCGGGAAAGTGGGCCACGTGGACAACGATCGCGTGAGGCTGACGAACGACCACGTGTTCAGAATTTACTTTCACGTGATCCAGAACCTCGTTCACGAGATCAAAGTTTCGAAAAAGATGATGCCAGAATGGCGGAAATAGAGCGGCTACGATACGAGGCTGGAAACGAACACATGCGAACAGCCAGGCCGCCGTTTTTTGATCCTCGGGTCATGAATCCCGGAATGATGGATCACCGGGGAATTGATTCTAGGCTGTACGCCTCAAATAACGATCCCCGATATTCGGGTTTTGACCCCAGGAAGTACGAATCGCCTACCCGAGAGGGAACGGATATCAAAACAAAACGAACTTCGGATGAGCAAAATGACGAGAAACGCCACTCAGAAGAACGGGCTGCTCGTCGGAATGATGATCGAGTATTGTCGGAACATATTCGGTCGTTGCAAAACAATGACGGACGGCCACGAAGCGCACCACAGTGTAGTACTCGGAGCATGTCGCCTCGTGTGAATGGTAATACGGGGAAACAAGGTCGAACTGAAAGAGAAACGAAATCTCGGGGGGTTGATGGTTCTTCGGACGCAAATGAGACGAAGAAAAACGACACGGGCGATAATCCAAATGGAAACTGGGTGACGTCAAAACGCTCCCCGTACAAGGATGAGCCTGCTGATGACGTTATCGTCTCCCAGGGCAACGAATCCAGTCGCGCGTCCTTTGCCCCAAGGCCTGGGCCTGAGCCATCAGCGAGTAATCCAATGAGAACGGGAGTTGGTAACCTCGTTATGCCCTCGCCTGCAACAGGGTACCCTAACATGCCTATGTTTAATTCAGACGCGTACTTTCAACAGTTGCTTCTGGCCCAAAACGAGGGGAGGGTACCACCATTTCTGTACTCCCTACCCAATGGTGTGTTCCCCCACGCCATACCGGACCCTAACCACGCTGCGATGCTCTCCAGCGAGTATATGATGAAGGCTTGGAATGAAATTTTACGAGGTACGTAATTCGTATAACGATTTGTGGTACATATTGAAGTAAAGATTCCTTGTATAAGATAGAACATACTCTTCAGTATGTGCAACATCTTCTAAACCCAATATTTGAGTTTTATAAACAAGACATTTTTACACTGATATTTTGACTGAACGTGAAAATTTTTCCCATCCATTTCAGATCCAACGTTGCAATATCAGCTTTTCAACCAAAGGCTAGCGCAGGAGAAGGCCTTGCTTGCTGGGAAAGATTTCATGAGCTATCCACCGCAGTTGATGACCCCTGAACGACAGAGAGAACTTCTCAAAAACTTTCCTCCCGAGCAATTGCTTGAGCTTCAAAAGCGACAACAAAGCCAACAACAACAACAGAAACAGCAGCAGGAGAAAATGGAGTCACGACGGACGAACGAAGGAGAACCAGAGCAAAAAGCGAAGTCCGAGTAAGTTTACCCTGTTGAAGAAGGCGTTGAATGGTTTTGACGTGTTTTTGTTGCGATTTCTCTTAAAAAAATACGGTTGTTTCTTAGGGAAACCGAAGCAAAGCAGTTGCAGGAGAAACGTGAACAAGAGAACGATGCTAAACGAAGAAGGGACGAGGAAGAGAAACAAGCGAAGTCCGTTTTGTTTTTGAAGCAGTTTCAAGAACAACAAAGACAACAACAACAACAGCAGCAGCAGCAACTCCGCCGAGTTAACGAGCAACAAATACCGAAGACTGTGAAACCCGAAGCGCCAAAGCAAACGCAGAATGAAGAACCGAAGATCGAGCCTTTCGTTCAACAGCAAAACCAGATGCTGGCGCAACCGACGTTGAAGCCGTGGAAACAACAGGAACACGATATGCTACAGAAACAAGAACAGCAAAGGCAAGACGCTCAGTTCGCGGCACCAACGTCCATGCAACAACAGAAAGAAAATTTCCTGAAACAGTTGCAACAGCGTAAGTCACAACAGAAAGACGACGAGGAACGCTCGCTGTGGCAGAAAAGACAAAGCGAAATGCAAATGAAGTTTATGGAGCAACAACAACAACAACAACACCAGCGTAATTTGATACAACAATTGCAACAGTTACAACATTTTAAGCAACAACAGCAACAACAACAGCAACAACAACAACAACAACAGCAAAAAACAACCAACAAAACACAACAACAACAGCAGCAACAACAACAACAACAACAAACTAAACCAGAAGTGTTTCAACAGCAAACAGGTAAACTCGAACAGCAGCAAGTTCAACCGCAAAAAAGTGCGGCAGATAAACTAGCCTCGTACGAAATCTCCAAGTTAAGAACTATTGATCCTGTCAAGCAACAAACTGTAAAAGAAGAAATCTCAAACACGCCAACAGAAGTTCAAAATGTAAGCGCTCCTCTAACAGGACCTTTGGTTAAGGAAGAGAGAAATAGATTTCAATTCCCAGAGGTAAGGCGAATGCATTTCTATCGCCCTTGTTATTATAAAAGTTTCGCGTAGGTATAATGGTGTTGTGTGATTTCATTTAAGTTAACTTACTGTCGTTTTTTAGCCAAGGCTCGTTCAAGATCTTCAATTACGAAGGGCAAGTATATCGCCACCGGTCGGTGCCGAATGTGTTCCGGCGATTTCCGATATCGAGCCGACGACAAGAAGCAATGCAGCCGATACTGGTGGACTGTCTCCGAGCTCTGTGTCTGCCGCTGAGGTCCTCTCGCGATTCCGAAGTTCTGCTGGACAGTTGAGATTTTTTGAAAGTGAAGTGAAGGAAGAAGAAGTGGAAGAGAGGGAGCCAGGTACGGGGGGAGTGAACAGAAGAATCACTCTGCTTTGAATATGCTTCTGACAATCTCGGGTTTATTTGCAAGGGAGAAATGTGGCCAAAAACTACTACATCAATTTCCTCTATCATCTAAACTGATTTTAGGAGGTTCACAGATTAATTTAGTTCAGTGCAGTTTAGTTCTGCAGTTAAATTACTCGATAACAGGACACCCGTCATGTTTAACCGAACGAATTTTCTATTTCTGCCTAGAATCATCGCCTCAGGAAATGGATTTCTCAGCCTCATCAACGCCCCAAGGAGATGAAACTCGATTCCTGTTCTACGAAAATCCCGATGAAAGTGAACATTTAGAAAACTCGAGTGAAAAGTTGAGTCTGAAGATGACTGGCGACCAGAAACCAATGAGGTGTCGAGGGGATCTTAGTGAACTTGTGCGAGCAGTGATGAGCAATGAGGAACAGTTTGGGATAAAGAATGAATCGGAGGATGAAAATCCGGAGGGTGACTTCCCGCCTGAATTGTATATAGAACCGCAGGAAAGTCTACTGAGTGATGGCTGTGATGCAGAGGAACTCTCCCCCCTGTCAGACAATGACTGCTGGTGGTGGATAAGCAGGTCCCCATGTGTCCCCTCAGCAAGGCGGATACCCCAGTATCTGGAGGACAAGGAAAATATATTCGCTGAAATTAAAAGAAACGAAATAAATCGTCAGAGCATATGCGATAACATTAACAGGCTCCGTAAAGAGGCGAAGCGGGGGTTGACGAAAGCGACCAAAGAACGCTACGCCACTCTGGCCAATCACAAGCCATTACCGGACGCCGAAAGCGTTTTGAATTCTGCGTGTACGAACATCAAGGCCGCTACGGAAATTGATGGATTGCAGGAGGCATTGAGGGATCAACTGTTGAGCATACAGAGGACATACAGGGAACGAAATAAGGAACTGGCCCGACTCACGCCCAAGAGTAAAGACAAGTAAGTTCATTGGTTTCCACCCTAAACCCATTATCCCTTGATATACACCGATATACCCATACAGTCCTCGCTAAATCATCAACAACCCCCCATGGATTGCCATTGTAGCTACATGTGTACATAACTACTTTTTCCACTTGTAGTTGGTCAATTCTGTTCATTTGCCCTCGAATACACAACTACTTTGTATAATAATGAAAATAAGTGTCTTTGCACTTTGGTCATTTTGACCACCCAATTTCCTCTCAATTGTACTCTTGCACGACGCACTTATCGTCAGGCTGGTCAAATGAAAACATTTAAATTCTTTGCACTTTGGTCATTTTGATTACCCATTTTGATTTCCTCTCAATTGTACTCTTGCACGACGCACTTGTCGTCAGGCTTGTCAAATGAAAACATTTAAATTCTTTTCTTTCCTTATTAGAAACGAGGACAGTCCAGTAAAACGCGGTCCAGGGAGGCCTCGGAAGCGAAAGAACTGTAGCAATTCAAAATCGACCATGAACAATGACCGCGATGCCTCACCTGATAATTCGCTATCCGCTGATCAGATCGAGACTAGATCACCGTCTCCTGAAGCGACTCCAGCCGAGGATCTTGTCGAGGAGGCTGAGGAGGAGAAATGCGAGCCGAAGACCGCTGAGATTTGTGAGGATAAAGGCGAGGAAAAGGGTACAGAAATGGTCACTGAGGGAGAACTAGAGGTACGGTTTTCCTGCGATATCAAACCGCATTATTATGTCTGTAATCTGATCTCGCTATAATTCTTTTTTTAGGAGGATGAAAAGCCCGATCTCTCGGCTGCAAACATTTGGCCGGACGTTCCCGAACCAACGTACGAAGCTGAAACCGAAGACGTCCCGGAGGATAGCGAAATTGTCACGAAGAAAAAGTTGAAGAAACGGAAGCGTGTCATATCGGACTCTGATCCAGAAATCTCGCCGCAAACAAATGAAAATAATGAAAAACCCAAGAAAACAAAGAAAACGAAGAAAACAAGTAAATCAAAGACGAGCGATAGCGTTGGAGAGGGAAAGAAGAGAGTTAAACCAAAACAAATTGACGATGATGTATTCACTCCTGAGAATGGAGATCACGGGTTGGTACTGTTGGCAAAATACTCCATTGAGATAAGTAATACGCCTGAGGATGGAAAGATTTCACCTAAGAAAAGAAAACGTTCCGTGGCCTCAGATGAGACAGGTAAACTGAGAATAATCTTGTAGTTGAATCCGGTTCTAAATTGTTCTTCCTAGAGGTCTAGTAAGGATCATCTCTTATTGATCCAGTGTTACTACAAGAAGAAACCTAAACTAAACTAACTTTATTTATACTGGATAAAGCTCTATCAGTTCTAAACTGTTCTTCCTAGAGGTCTAGTAAGGATCATCTCTTATTGATCCAGTGTTACTACAGGAAGAAACCTAAACTAAACTAACTTTATTTATTCTGGATAACTCTGTCAGTTCTAAACTGTTCTTCCTAGAGGGTCCAGTAAGGATTCATCTTTTATTGATCCAGTGTTACTACAGGAAGAAACCTAAACTAAACTAACTTTATTTATTCTGGATAACTCTGTCAGTTCTAAACTGTTCTTCCTAGAGGTCCAGTAAGGATCATCTCTTATTGATCCAGTGTTACTACAGGAGGAAACCTAAACTAAACTAACTTTATTTATACTGGATAGCTCTATCAGTTCTAAACTGTTCTTCCTATAGGTCCAGTAAGGATCATCTCTTATTGATCCAGTGTTACTACAGGAGGAAACCTAAACTAAACTAACTTTATTTATACTGGATAACTCTATCAGTTCTAAACTGTTCTTCCTAGAGGTCCAGTAAGGATCATCTCTTATTGATCCAGTGTTACTACAGGAGGAAACCTAAACTAAACTAACTTTATTTATACTGGATAACTCTATCAGTTCTAAACTGTTCTTCCTAGAGGTCCAGTAAGGATCATCTCTTATTAATCCAGTGTTACTACAGGAGGAAACCTAAACTAAACTAACTTTATTTATACTGGATAACTCTATCAGTTCTAAACTGTTCTTCCTAGAGGTCCAGTAAGGATCATCTCTTATTAATCCAGTGTTACTACAGGAGGAAACCTAAACTAAACTAACTCAATTTCAGTTATAAACTGTTCCTCCTAGAGGGCTGTTATGGCTACTTAATCATTTGTACCATTTTTTTTTCATAGCAGTTAAACAACGAACAAAGAAGCCATCAAAGGTGAATAATATTTATTTAAAATCATGCTTTCATTACTCGTCTTTACATCAAACGATCGAATTTTGAACAAGGTCAAATGCATCTTTCGTTTTAGCTGAACTTAAAAAGCCCGCCGAAAGATTCAAATGAGCCGACTATTGTCGAAACACCGACGAAATTAGTGGAACAGCAGACGAAGGAACCCGAACATGTCCCGAAGAAGGGACCGATTGAATATAATGATAACTTAGAAAAAACAGTCAAGAGCAAAGCGAGTAGTCTTTGTCTTCCCACGAACGATTTTCCACGACGAAGCGAGAGGATATTTCTCAGCAGTAGCTCAAGTCTAAACAGTCCCACAACATTCGGAGGTTTTGACATACCAACTGTCAATAAAAAGAAAGCAAAGACTGTGTCAGGGAAGCTTGTGAGGAAAAAGGTTAGAAAATAAGTCTTTCCCGTGTATATTTCTTCACGAAGTTCTGAATAAGTTGTGTTCGCGAAAGGTTTGGCGAAGCCGACTGTAACTGCGATTTTCATTCAGGAGCAAGATTATCAGGATCAGGAGACATCCATCGAGGAAAGCAATGAGACGGAACTTGGCAGCGAAACAGCAAAAAAGAAGAAAAAGGTGAAGATCAAGGACAAACAGGATGACAAAAAGAAAAGAAAGTTGAAGGTGAAACGAAAAGGATCTTTGTGCGAAGGCACGGACGAAGAATACGATGATCAAACCTTTGTCGAGGAAATCAAACAACTTCCAAAACGAAACAGACACGCGCCTCGACGAGCCACGGACGAAGAATACGATGACCAAACCTTTGTCGAGGAAATCAAGCAACTACCAAAGCGAAACAGACACGCGCCTCGTCGATATGTAAGTATTTACACTTGCAATTTTTTGCGCCGATTTTGGAAGCGATTTTGGAGCCATTTTCTTCCTTTAGTTGATGTGAAGGAGTGGACAAGTTACATATGTTTGTTTAGTTGAAGACATTTATACATCGAAGCGTTACTGTTTCCTCGTTTGCATCTTTCAAAAGATGAAAATAGCAGGCCTCAAAGATTAAACTGAAAGGCGTTTTTGGAATCGAGGATATTGTATTTTGACTTTGAGATATATTTTTTCAGATCGAGTACGATTCTAACGAAGAGAAAGTGTACGATGATACATCTGTGAATGAAAGAGATGAGAATGACGTATCGGAGAGCGAGAAGAATGGTGCTGAGTGTGACGCCATTTCCGAGTCCAATGACATGGAACCCTCGGAACATGAACCCTCGGAGATTGAGAGCGAGACCGCAGACACCGTGGACAGCGCAGCGCAGGAGGAGGAAGAAGAGAAGAGGCTGGGAGCGAGTGTGGAAAAAGAGAAACACGAAAGTTCAGATAAGAAAAAGAATGACGTTAATCTTGAAGAGAAGAAGACTTTTTGTGAGGATGAGATGGAACATGAGGATAATTTGGATGATAAGAGGACGGTAGAGGATAAGAAAGAGGGAAGCAAAGAACATGACAAAGATAAACCTCTGTATCCCTGGATGTTCTCAATGTCTGAGTTGTGTAAAGGTCAGAAGATGCTGTTACCTGTTGAGGGAGTCTATTATCCCGGAAGAATTGATGCCATCCATGTCCCAGACTTGTAAGTATCTCTTGACTTGAAATTGATTCTCTCTGTCTTGTCCGTTGTATATACTTGTTCATTACCCCTAATTTATACGTAGTTACATATTATTCATTGTGTATTCAGGTACGCGATCATTTTGGAAGGTGAACGAGGCAGGAGACCACATTTTCGCTCGTCTGAACAGCTTTTAACAGAAGCGGTAAGATTTCATCGTATAGAAGAAATACAACGTAATTTCTAGCGTAATAATATGAGTTATAGATCTAGGAGTGGTAGTGTAACCTGGAAAAAAAATATACGAATACGTTTTCAGGTCAGAGATATTCAACCTGCTTCTCTTGATGATATTCCCATTGGTACGCGTGTTTGTGCGTATTGGAGCCAGCATTATCAATGGTTTTATCCTGGTCTTGTTTCAGAAGGTGAATTGATTATGCTTTGTCTAGAGATAAGACTTGTTGTGATAACACCGTATGTAGACTTACTAGGAAACGAATTGGCAAAGCCATTTCTATAATTTTCTGAGCTCGATTTATTTTGGAATGATTTAGTACCAGAAGACGAGAAACTCGGTCGTAATAGCTGTTGGGTCGAGTTTGACGACGGCGATAGTGGGGAGTTTCCTTTGCCTGATGTCAGAATGATTCCACCTGATTTCCCACAGGAAGGAACAGGTATGTTGATCTACGATGAATTGTTAAATTCCAGGGACTAGCTGTAAAAATACAAGGCTTCAACAAGTTAATGGCGATAGAAAGAATTACAGAAATTTTCCAAAAGAATAACTAACGTGTACCATTACTTTTGACCCCTATAGCCAGGGTTGTGGCCCCAATTGTGCAAGCTCGGACTTTCGATTGGGTTTTGGGTGGCTAATGTTAACTGAGTTAACTGCCCATCGTTAACTGCCTAACTACAACTGGTCTAAGGTCTCACTAACTTTCTCCCATTTCATTAGATTGCGAATCCAATTCAGGGTTACCAGAACCCAGAGCGAAGAAATCCGAACAAAGGACTGGGGATGGAGGTCTTGATGATGACTTGGGCTCAGACTCCGGTGATAGCACGGTCGAAAACGGACACGACCGAACCCGCGACAAAAGTCGGCGTGAAAAGAAAGAACACTCGAAGACCCGTGACGACGAGTGTGAGCGATCAAAAACGACGAAGTACCGAACGTTTTCCGAAGATTCGAAAACTTCGAGATGTGAACGAAGTAATTCGAAGAGGAAAGTTAAGCCCGATTTGGGCAAGGACTATACGAGAGAGGAGGGGAACACGAGGGACGATGAGGGTGAAATGGAGTGGAGCGCTGATGCATTTAGTGATGAGGGACCTTTAAGGAGAAAACGATTCTCAGTAAGATTTATCATAATTTGCGGGTGAACTTGCTGACTTTATAACTTGGTGATTTTGTGGGGATTTTTACCTTTGAGATAGCTCCATTCAATATGTAGACATGACGCTGTTTTATCTTTTCAGAAGTACAATCCTGCTGACGTGAGCGGTGGCGAAGAACCAGAAGGTAGGAAACATGCACTTACATGAAGTATTGATGGTGGATAATATGTCATAACATTGCCTGCTTCGCTCCCGAAGTGGTTGAAGTGATGTTTAATGTGAGGTTTCTCTTCATAGTGCTTGTGTATCCTCCTGATCGGATCTGGCGCTGGGCTGGTAAACCTTGTCCTAACAGACGAAAGCGTGGGGGACGGAAAGTGTTTTACAAGTCTATCTATAGAGGAGACGAACATATCTCGGTGGGTGCTTTCAAATGTACCAGGCTCAGGGGTAGCGACATTAGATCAATTAATACGAGATGATCCTTACTGGACCTCTAGGAAGAACAGTTTAGAACTGATAGAGCTATCCAGTATAAATAAAGTTAGTTTAGTTTAGGTTTCCTCCTGTAGTAACACTGGATCAATAAGAGATGATTCTTACTGGACCTCTAGGAAGAACAGTTTAGAACTGATAGAGCTATCCAGTATAAATAAAGTTAGTTTAGTTTAGGTTTCCTCCTGTAGTAACACTGGATCAATAAGAGATGATCCTTACTAGACCTCTAGGAAGAACAGTTAGAACTGATAGAGTTATTCGTAGAGAAACAGTCTCCCAATTAATCTTACAAAAATTTATCTCCCTCAGGTTGGTGAGTGTGCAGTGTTTCTTTCAAGTCCATCAAAAAACCCAAATTTGCCGTACGTTGGAAAGATCATTAAAATGTGGGAAAGATTTAATGGAAGTAAAGTTGTAAGAGTCAAGTGGTTTTATCATCCCGAGGAGACGAAGGCAGGACGACGGCCTTCCGATGGCAAGGTAAGCGATGCTATTTAACAAATTCGTTGGAATCTCTCATAACTCTGTTTCCTTTCGACTTAGAATGGTTTGTATCTTTCATCTCACGTCGACGAAAACGACGTGCAGACAATCGCTCATAAATGCGATGTCCTGCAACTGAACGACTCGAGAAACAATCGGAATGCAAAGTCGTCGAACGATTCCGACAGTGACGTCACAAACAATAATATATTCTGGTGCTTAGGCACCTACAATCCTCTCACGGAAACCTTTCCTTCGGACAACGACTAGGAGTTGCGATATAATAGTTTGGCAGACTAGGCACGATGATGGCGTGAATATGGGGTCCCACAATCTCCGTTGGTTGATGCGCATGCGTAGAACCATTACCCAGCTGACCTCTTATATAGTCAGCGACATCATACATTCGCAAAAAAACCTAAACTTCTTCATCTTGTGTAAAACCAACGAACGGAAACCACAGCGAGATGATATATCATGAAGCAGTATAAACGAAACCAATAGTAACCTTGATATAACGTCTGATTGAAATTTTGGGTGTTTACGGAAGTTCCACAAAGTGGACAACAGTTTGCATGCATGAATCTGCCTGTTTTCTCTAGCACTGAAGAAAAGAGTATAATTGACTGCCAATCCCTAAATTTATTGTTGCGTTCATGTTGCAAATATGCACGAAGTGTCCTGGGATGGCAGCCTGTGTATGTATTTGTTCACTCAAGGACGTCATACACTAGTGAAATATTCTCAGTGTTTCAGAATGCCATGCAGAAATGTTTGTGTTGTTGTAAAAAGACTTGTTTAGTGTAGATACCTATGTAGCAAAGTTATTTTATGAATGTAACATAGACGAAAAAATGATCCTCAACACAAAAAATAAACAATATTTTTATACAAAAATTAAAAGGCATTTGTAACATATTGTATCGTAAACAGACCATGCACTATAAGGTTGCAAGAATATGTAAGATTCACAAAGTTGTATTCCAAGTTCCTTTTACCTACGCATAGCATATTTGAGGTCATGGCTGGAAACCTGGAACATTGTTTCCTGGTAATGACAATATTTATCAGTGATGGAAAAGCAATGAATGTCTTTCCAGTTTCCATGACAAGTTGCCTGAAGGTCGTTGGTGCAGACTGGAAATTCAGGAGACATAGTGGAAGAGAAAGTTAACAAAATTTGCGAATGCAAAATCAAAAAACAACTTGGTTAATTATTAATTAAAGAAGTTCTCTTTAGGAGAAAATTTCAACAACTAATAGAAGTTTGTATACAGTGTGGAAGCATCAGTGAACTTTGGTTTGTGGTCCATCTTTGGAGAGACTTCACCCCTTCATCCACAAAGAAAAGGTTTGTTATATTGAGATTATTTCCTTCTATATTGTTCTTCAAATCGTGTGTTTTAATATGCATTGCATGCGACAATACACTATTAATGCGTATGCTAGAAAAAGCGTTGAAAATCGATCATTGTCAAAGTCCAAACACCGGCGGATGCGTTTAATAATATACAAGCAGTGATTTAAATGCCAACAATTGCAGTGGTACTCGCCTTGGTACTAAATATGGCATGTGCTGCTTTGCAACAGGTAAAAGAGCAATAAATAAGGTAAATTAAACGTAGTTTTGTTTCCCATTTTGCAGTTTTTACTCGAAGAACTAATAATATGGGAGTTGATTAAAATCTTGCGCAATTCACAAACAATCGCAAATTATTTGCAGGTTTAATTAAAACGCCCGTCTGCGTCACAGCGACCAATTCGTGTCAGTTACAAAGGGTACATTGAAGCAAAAATATCGCATTTTAATGCTAGGATATTCGAAATAAACACAACATTTTTAGATATTTTGAAAGCTACTGAAGCAATGTTGTGTATAACAGTGCTAGGTCAGTGCATCCTTGGCATGCAAAACATACCAGATGTCACATACAAAGGTCATGTATGGTATAAGGATCACATATTCACCATGGCTAGTTTCCACACTGTTGTAATTGTGTTGTACCATTTTGTGAAGGTGTGGAAATGTTGCAGGGCTAACCTACTCCATCTCCAAAAAAGACCTTTGCATTATAAGTGTCAGTAAGAATCTTCAATGCTTTTTTTCAGTAAAACCCAATGGCAGAACCTACACAAATTCCTATAATTGACTTCTCTTTCATCAATCAGTCCAGGGATAAGGTTTCGAAGGAAATTGTTGATGCACTTGAAAGCGTTGGCTTTCTTTTCCTGGATAATGTTGGTTTTGATCGAAAAGCCATTGAACAGGCATGCAAATGGTTTCATAGTTTACCAGAAAGCAACAAGTTTGCTCTGGCGACCAAAAGTTTCAACCCTAAGAACAAGAACATCTATCGTGGTTACTTTCCGGCAGATGCAACAAATTCAAGTTTCAAGGAAGGTTTTGAGGTGAGTGAAGAACTAAGTCAAGAGGAGTGTGTCAGTATTGGATTCCCCTTGTACGAACCCAATCGATGGCCATCTGCAACGGAAGAAGAGACAGCGTGGTTTAAAAAGACCCTTTGTGACCATTACAAATTGATGCACAATACTGGGACTGAGGTCTGCCGTTTGATTGCTCGTGGTCTTGGTGCAAATGAAGACTGGTTTGACCATATGTTCTCACCTTATCCATTGTCAACCCTTCGTCTCATCAATTACCCCATCCGTCCCAAACCGATCCCCGATTGCGCTCGTGATGGTGATTATATTCTCCACTGCGGGAGCCACACAGACACCCCGTTTATAACCTTGCTCGCAACATTTGACTATCCTGGCTTGCAGATCCAGGACAAGAATGATCTTTGGGTGGATGTGCCAGTCCGGAGTGATTCTTTAGTCCTCAATATTGGGGACGTCTTGTCGAAGGTGACAGGAAAACGATTAAGGGCAACGAGACATCGGGTCGTGGACATGGGAAGCACACGTCAGTCTGTACCGTATTTTCTTGAGCCACGTTTTGATGCAAACATCAACAGAACTATTGTCAACACTGGAGCCACGACTGAAGAAGAGGAATTGGGTTATGGCCCTTTCCTGATCCGAGAAATGAAAGCGAAAGGATACGTGGAATATGAAGATTTGTTAAAATGACTCTAGGGCTTGCATCAGCGCCGTGATTTTGAATTTGGGGGATAGATTGGTGGTTCACATGGTAAATACGGGGGTGTAGCGTGTGAGGGGTTTGGAGCGGGGCTGCTACACCCTGCGTTTTGGATATATTAACATTCAGACAAATGCCAATTGTTGTAATGAAATTTATATATATAATTGTATACAAAATAAATAGGGAAATAGGTAGGAAACCCACAAATATATGCTTTTAAATTGTTTTCAAAGGTTTCATATAAACGCTTGGTGTAGAAAGGAATTGCTAGTGGTGTATCATTCGTAAACTTTGGTGAACTGTGTTTGGTGAAGTAAAGTTTTACCGATGGCATATCAGAAGTATTGCATATTCAAAATTAACTCTCGTTATAGAAAAATATATATTTTTTCAGTATTGGAATTACAAAAACTAAATTTTAATTATCTACACAACAATTACTATTTAATATAACTAAAGTATGTTGATCAAATGGTTTGTCAATTTACTATCTACAATTGGAAGTATGGTTTAAAAAAAACTATTTTACAAAATTCTGTGACACTTCGATGACTGTGCTATTTCATTTGTCGTAATTCTGTTTCCATAATGTCTAGAACAATGCAGATATGATGTCTTGTGCAGATCAGCGAAGGTCGGAACCTAACTGAGTTATATCCACATCCCGCGGTTATCAAACCTAGAAAGCGTTTGAGAATAGAGCAATGAGAGTGTTTGCAATGGTATAGATATTTGCTTCCTGTCCTCACCTCTTCTATCCCCTTTTTCCCCTCTTCTCAACACCACCTAACCCCACACGCCCCACTATATCCAACATCTATTTGAAGGTGAAAATTCAAAGTCCCACCGTGATGGCCTTGAGTACACGAAAGTCCTTACCACGATTTTTCAGTCGTGCGATAAACAGGTCCCGTAGTTCTGGGTTGGGTAAATCGATCGCACAAAACAATCCTTGTCCTCTAGCTGTGCTCAAATACTGCGGGAATTTATCCTTAAAACAAACGAAAATCATTTCAAGAACAAAATTAAAGCACAGTTGAGGTCTTCCTTGATCCCTTTACCTCAAAAAACATACATTTGCTTCACGCGGCCCAATTTAAAATGTCCCAGTGATACCTTAGTTTCCACAAATCAAGATTTCTTACTTGTAATTGTTTCAAGCCATTCAGAAACACTTTTCCCGCGTCCCTGACGTTTTCAACTAAATTCTCGTTGTCGATTACTTTTAATATTTCCTTTAGCGTCAAGAGTTTGGCTGGATCGCCGTTCCAGGTGCTTTGAATACGATTTTTCTATAGAGTAAACCCAGGTCAGTGTTTATGCAGAGTTTGTCTACATTCAGTCATTTTGTAAGCAGTTTCGTCAATTCAAAACTTGTCCAGAAACATGTGTTAGAGTTACAAACACAATACGACCTATTTACCTCGTTTGGTTTGTATCCGTCGTTGTAATAAAAGCCTCCAATTTGCATTTTCTTTGCAAACGTCACGTAATCTGGGGGTTGATCCAACTCCCAGCTCTGGTGCGCCCTGAGAAAAATGATATAAACATGTACTCAATGTTTTCACCTTCAAGCTCGTTCAGAATTCCATTAAACTTACCAAAAGTTTCCTGTTGTGGCAACGCCGGTTTGAACTTCGTCGACAATGAAGAAAGCATTATTCTGTTGTAAAGAGAAAAAAGCATGTCAGAATGCTAAGCGAAGTTTTTAAAACTGTTCTTGCTTTTAAGAGATGACTTCGCGAAGTTGCTGACTTGGATAATTTGTTTTCAAAAGTTCGCAAACTTTCTATAGCGCTTACCTTGGCAACGATGTTTCGTAGTTTGTTGAAAAAATCCGGAGAGGCGTGGCGATCACCTTTAAAATTGAGGAGATAATGTTTTTACCATGAATCTATCCCTGTAGGAGTATCAGGGGGGGTACAAGGAGGTGCACATCAAAATTTAGTAGGGGGTGTACCGAGATACACAATACCTACCCCCCTCTGCTTGCACTGGTTCGATTATAGCAGCCGCTATTGGTTTCTGTTTCTTCTGTTTGTGAAATATTTCTTCCACCTATAAAATTAAGAATATATTACTCAAAGCAGACCTGTTTCCACGGGATCTTTCGTTATATGATGGGTTAACAAGGGACACTGACGGATAGCTTTGTTGAAAGATCATCTGGAGTCCCCTTAAATATGTTTTTGCTCATTGAAATCCGAGGCACTCACCATAGCAAGACATTTGCTTTCCTCAACTTCGTTTTCCCGCCGATATTCATTCAAAGGATATTTCAATCTGGGGAATCGCGCTTTTGGCCAATCAAACGTCGGGATATCCAACTTCTGTATTGGATGCGAGTACGTCACCGAAAGTGAACCTGTGTGAAAATGTGTACACAATATATTGACGTTTACACAGGACTTTTACAAACGGAAAGTTCTTGAAGTTTTCAACAATCTTCTTCCCGTTTATCTTTGAGTTCCACACTGAACTATTAACCTATAGGACTGTTCGGACTAGCAAACTAAATAAGACTGTTTATTATACCATATAGTCGTCCATGAAAGCCTCCTTCAAATGATAGAATTGATATTTCAGGTGCTCCTGGTGCCTATGATAACATTTACATACATAGAATTATTGCATGGATGATATTGGGTACTTAAGTTTATCTTTTTGTTTATTTTACCAGGAATAAATCACGACTGGTTGCTATACTCACGTGTCCAAGAAGAGCAGATGAGAGTTCCTTTACCGTTGGCGCTCGACCTGCCCTCTCTCTTGTCTACAATTGATGAGAACGTCGGGTTAGGACTAGATCTTGTGAGCCATGTACGTTGTAATAGTTCGTGCACACTTTCAGATTGAACATAGCGAAGTTTCGACCGTTCGTGGTAAACCATTCTTTTGTAATCTTATTATCAAAGCATGCATGCATGTGATATTATTAAATAGCAATAACCTGGTATGTTATCATCGCGCTCTTCATCGCATTTTCGTTTGAACATGTTCCACAGCCCATCGGAGTGACTTTGTTTAAGCCTTTAGGTGCAACCTGGGAATATAGATACAACTAAATTTAAGATTCCTGGCTTGAAATGGCCTTTGTACAATTCGATTTGAGCGAAGGCATACACTCAGGCTTACTCCAGACACTCTGTCTTCTGCTATTCATAAGAACACGTACACTTTATTAGTATGCTTAAAGTTTGCATTACTATACTGGGTTAATTTTAACTTACAGCCATCAACGTGGACTTGAGCAGTGCGGAAAAGTTCATCGGTGGGAAGAACATAAGAGCAGGTCTATTCATCAATATTGGCTAGAAGAGATATTAAAAGGTATTTTAATACAGTTTATGCTTGAAGAGCCGGGATGGGACAGTTGTGTGGAGCTCTTGACCACAATTCAACCATGCATCGGCTGAGCGGTAGTTAAATTGTGATGAAATCACCTAAAATTGGTCAACTTTCGTTTTTAAAGTTAAACTTTACGATAAACAAGCTGTCCCTGTCCCTCTACGTATATCGTGGCATTTTGTCTGCTAGGAGCCTTTTCAGTGTAAATATTATTGCTTCGAATGCGTATATCTTTGCATGTTTTAATGCTTTTCAACACAGACCATTATTTATCAACTTTACCAGCGCTAAAATTACCCGATTTATCACAACGATACGACTGAGACGGTCAGAAAACTATCCAGCTCTAGAAGTATAAAAACTTTGTTGGTTCTTTTCAAAAAATTAGCTTCACGCCATTCGATGTTTGGTACTTACGTGGTTTTCAGGTCGTATCAAAACTTCCTTCAAAGCCGGGTGATTGTATCCTAGATAAATTAAGATGTTCAGAGCTGCGTTCAGTGTTTTCGCGAAAAGTGAGACGAGAATGCAGGAATGACTTAATAAAGCCGACCTACCTAATGGAAGCGCTGCTATATGCTGAAAAATATCCAAAAGGACATTCCCGTCCGCGTCAACAGCATAATTTCCTCGACTTTTTTCATAATTCAAAAAGAAATGAGCTGAACTGTTCGTCTACGAATGCAAAGATGAGAATAAATATAGTGTAAATTAAACCTGGCGTTAAAGTTGTTAGGCGATGTTTCTTAGCTATATGTTTCGAGGACACCAGCTAGGGAATATATAAGGAGTTAATTATTTTTCTTTCGTATATCACCCCTGCATGGCTAGACCTCTAAAGGTAAAATTTTACCTGCATCTCACTAAGTTCTGTCATCAATTTCTAAAGAGAACAATTTATCGTGTATTTTAGAAATTCATATAGTCAAACCATGCAGTGATGATCAAAATCTCGAGAAGGTCAATCATGAACGCGAATCCGGAGCAATCGAAGAGGTAAATAAGTTGATAACAGAATTACCTGTGACATAGGACCGGGAACACTTGTCTGAACTGATGGACGGGTGTAAATTTCATGGTTTAAATTCACAAACATTTGCGGTTCTGCTAACTCTTGCACAGGCTGCGCAAAACCTGGTAAAATATTCGGGACTAACTTATTTATACTGCGTGGATAACTCTATCAGTTCTAAACTGTTCTTCCTAGAGGTCCAGTAAGGATCATCTCTTATTGATCCAGTGTTACTACAGGAGGAAACATAAACTAAACTAACTTTATTTATACTGGATAGCTTTATCAGTTCTAAACTGTTCTTCCTAGAGGTCCAGTAAGGATCATCTCTTATTGATCTAGTGTTACTACAGGAGGAAACATACACTAAACTAACTTTATTTATACTGGATAGCTCTATCAGTTCTAAACTGTTCTTCCTAGAGGTCCAGTAAGGATCATCTCTAATTGATCCAGTGTTACTACAGGAAGAAACCTAAACTAAACTAACTTTATTTATAATGGATAGCTCTATCAGTTCTAAAATGTTCTTCCTACAGGTCCAGTAAGGATCATCTCTTATTGATCCAGTGTTACTACAGGAGGAAACCTAAACTAAACTAACTTTATTTATACTGGATAGCTCTATCAGTTCTAAACTGTTCTTCCTAGAGGTCCAGTAAGGATCATTTCTTATTGATCCAGTGTTACTACAGGAGGAAACCTAAACTAAACTGACTTTATTTATACTGCAATTCCATAATTACATACAAAATCCTCTTTTTGCTCGTAGAGTCAAAGAACGCAGTGGAGCTAAACTTGTCATCTTGTGGTAAAACATTTTGATAGTTCAAGCTGTAAAAATATGCGAAATATGTTTTATATATAGCGGTCCTTTTTTAATATTCGACATGGTATTGATCAACAACTTGTTTTGACCTGTTTTGACATGCTTCGCGCCCTCTTAGTATAGTTGGCTTTGTCTCTCAAAACAATACTGTAAAATTCCTTTACATAGCCTTCTTAAAGTATGTTTTTATACCATTTTGACCTTGCCACTTCTGAAATAATTGGAAACTGAATGCTCGAAACTATAATTGCCATTAAACTAATCTATTTGGAATATTTAGTGTAAACTGCATATCACAAGGTGACAACGAACTCATTTTGAGCTCCTAGTATGGTTCACTGCGTTGCAAATATTTATAAATATCTGAAACACAGGGTGTTGGCCGTTGGGGTCGTAAAAAAGACATTTATACTGCGAAAGTTTGTCCGCAATGCGAATGCGTGACGAACACTTGAACAATTCTTTTTGGACATGTCATATAATGATCAACGATGTGAATTTAATACTAAAATTAATCTCGAAAACAAATATGCGGAGAAATCTTTGCCAATCGCTATAACGCTTACGGCACACGAGAGTGAGCCAACAAGCTGCGTTGAGAATGCTGTAGCAATGATAGCCGTTTACCTCAATGAGGTTTGATTTTTTGAGAAATTTATGAAATGATTTATGTTTTCATTTATGAGGATAGTGTGAGGCAGTTTTCAAGTTTAATCACTTGCCTCTTGCAGTGGCGTAGCCAGCCTGACGATTGCAAATTTTTAATTATTATCATTATTCATTTCTTCAGAAATTCATTGTTTTCACAGTCAATGAACACCAAAAATGTTAGCATAGCATGACTAAATTATCGGGCTGACTACGCCACTGGCCTCTCTCGAGGTAACCTTAGCCAAAATTCTCGATGGAACTTGCTTTTGCGTAGGGTTACGTTTATTCAAGGTCACGCCGGTTTGTCCGCGATTTCTATTGAGCTCAGTTCTCAGTTTATTAACTGTGGTTCTTGGTAACCGTGCCTCGAATAGGCCTGAAGACTGACGCGGATTAAGGTGGAGGTGTGGATAAGGGGTGGGTGATGAAGCATGAAATATTTTCATTCAAACGGATGCATTGCCGATGTATAGTACTACAGTGTATAGTATCCGTGGTAAAGAAAGAAACTATTCCCGATGCTGTAGCTTGATTTGCAACATGTAAACAAAAGTTAAAATCATTTGCTATTACTTGACGCAAGCCAGTGTAAAAATTAAACATTGTTTTTGAGGTTAGAACTATCGTTGACCTTTTAGAATTCAAATGCAACATATAGATGAACCTTACTTTGGCGGGCGAAAGCTTAAACCAGATGGCTGTATAGGCCACAGGCGCTTAAGTCCTGCCACAAAATAGCGTATAACTGTAGTTATCTAGCGAAATCGTTCGCCGTTAAAATATTGTATTTAATACGGCTGGACTAAGAAATTTATCATAATATTCGATGCGATGACTGTTTTACCACCCTCGTAGAGCAAAGCTTACACCGTAACTATGTAACAACAACTTAAAAAAGCTTGATAACATTTTAAAACATACATGTCGTTGTACTTACCCAGATATTTGAGAGATACAAGTCGCACCTTCGAAGCGGAATGAGTATTATCGTGGCGAGAAAGCAAGCTTTGTTTATATACAAAAGTGCACGAAAAACCAGATTGACTGGATTTTAAGCTATTGCGTTATAAGAATGTCCTTCGTTGTCTAATTGTCGAGCTTTTCGCTGGGGCGCAACGACTTTTTTCAAGGCGAACATATTCGAGTTTAACTACAAAGAATTGTAGGCCATTTTAGCGTTTTATATGTATTTTATAAGGTTTTATTGGGGTTTTTTAAAACCAGTTTTAATACTTGAACTCCCCGAACTCGCAGAGTTCCCCGGGAAAAGGCATTGTCGCATCAGTTACTTCGCCCTAAATAAGTTTTATATTACAGCAAGTTTGCGAATATAATAAAGCCTGCTTTGTTGAAAACTAGTCTGATAGCGAAATATTTCGACTAATGGTTTAATGTTTAGCTCTAACGTGACGAGCGGCTTGCTCAAAACCGTTATTTGCCCTCGATCTTCTCTCTCCTAAATTGAAGAGGAAGATTTGATCCAAGCGAACTTCGTCAATACAATATAATCAATTTATACTAAGACTACGAAGAAAGAAACACTACGTTTAAAGGTATTTTCACGATGTATTTACTTTGTGGGGAAAAACGTATTGAAAGTTACCGCTTCGAAGTTAAAAACTCTTAACTTTCATTTCAATTTATTTCATTTCTTCTCGATTTTAAACTCTATTACTCTTCCCACTGAATCAAATTGCGTAGTTGTAAGGTTCCATGTTTACGACATTATGCAAACATCGCGGAGTCCAGTGGTGAAGGCCGGAATAACATTCGTCCAGTCTTTTTTCTGCAACGGAACTTTATATATTTTGGAACGCGGAATCATTTTAGATCCATTAAATAATCGTTATAAATCAAGGTGGAGATTGGAGTGCCTCGCTCACGAAAGTCTAGTGTCTCTTCAATGCAAGGAATTTAATGTTAGTTGTGACCGCTAGATTTTATCACAGATTTTATCTAAGATTGTTGTTGGACCAGTGGAAACTGGAGCGTGTAGATTTAGACCTGGACAGTGGACACTACAAATAGTTATAACAAAGCATTGATATAATTACGGCATTTCTGTCATAACCTTTCAGCGGGATGCTTGTTGATCAATGCGACACGGACACGCCGCGATATTTTCTACATATTTTCCAACCATTTCCAACGCCCTAAAGCATAAATAGTGGTCAATGTATTAGACTGTCGCAGCTTCGAATAACTGACGCGTTTTCCTTGAAACGAATCAACGTAGAATCTGTAATACGCTCGCTAATACGACTGTTATTATGTTTTAACAAACTCATACCGCTAACAGCCGGATCTCTTGTCAATATCACCATTGTGCGAAATAGCGATCTATGATTTAGGGAAAGTTCAAAGAAGAATTAGTGGAAATTATAGTTGTAAAATATTCATGTCACAGTCGGCTGTCGTGAATGTGTTTTCACATGTTACTGAATGAGTACTGACTTTCCCAGCAGTTAATAGTTCCCCTGTACATGTAAATGTTCATTCTACACAAATTGTCAGTTTGAGACGTATCTTTTTATTAGCCATCAGTTCAAGCAGGCCCTATACAACGACGTCTAAAATATCAAGCATCATAGGGAGACCTATCATTAAGCCTGGTTTCCATATGACGCCGACCTGTCGCCGACTCATTGTCTGTAATCATCCAAGGAGAAAATGATTTCAGAAAGACAAAAGATTTCACTCATCAGTAATCACCGACAATAATACTTTACCGACGTCGGCGTCATATGGAAACCAGGCTTTACCACCTTAATTACTATACGCAGTCATTACAATATATAGTCACGCTAAAATAGGCCCCCTTAGAGTTTGTGTGATGAATTCTTTGTGACTGGGTTTCCGGGAGTTTTTTTAACTCTGGCTTCGTTGCTAAGCTGGGTATTGAACCCAAGTATTTATTAATCATCTTTGACGTAAAGAAATGACGTAAGTTTGCGAACTGAATATACATCTACATAAAACTGACATAAAATGACCAAACAAAATACTAAAAGCAATCACTTACAAGTAGCTTTATCGGAATATAGCGTAAATTCCCGTTATATGGTCGGAATAGGCCGTACATATTGGAACCCAGTCTTTTTCCCTTTTCTTGTTGAGATCTCCAGAAAAGTGAAAAATATCAACTAAAAAGAAGAGAAAGTCTGGTTTTCTATCGTGTTTTAACTCAATATTTCAAGTGATGCCTAAAGTAAAAAGAAGTAGGAAACCGCCACCAGAAGGCTGGGAACTTATTGAGCCGACTCTAGATGAACTGGATCAAAAAATGAGAGAAGGTTTGCTGTCTTTATAAAACTATAAATTCACATATAAAATGACCGTATCAAGACGATATGCAAAACTCACGTCTTTTGACTGGTTGTAAGCCCTGTTGTAAGTGATTATTTCTTATCTTCACCAGCTGAACAAGATCCACACGAGGGTAAAAGAAAAGTTGAAGCATTGTGGCCAATTTTCAGGTAACTTCACTTTGATTTCATTCATTTCAGACTAATCTTTATATTTGCTTGATATGTAAGTATAAAAATTTGCTAAAATTATTATTGTATGCTTTGTAGGATACACCATCAGCGATCAAGATATATTTATGATTTATTTTATAAAAGGAAAGCCATCACTAGAGGTCAGTACCTAATCCTGAAGACACTTTGGGTGATGTCATGATATTTTATTGAAATCAGGTTGTATTTCATGTAAACTATCTTGAGATATTAGGATTCCAAAGATCTTTGGGACGTGCAGCTATGTACTGGGAGGGGGGCTTGTTATTTTGACGAAGTGGGGGGGGGAAACACAATGAAATCTGATATTACACATAGTTTAATTGCTCTGACATAGTCTAATGAGCGATCGAATCACACTCTATGAAACATCTGGGCTTCAACGCTTTGTCACTATAAGAAAGGTCTATTACTGTAGGAAACCAAAGTTTTCTAGTAAAAAAATTATGACCAGCACACTGTGTGCAAGATTTAAAAAATACTGAAAATCTCTGTGCCATCGCTGTGGAGAATACCTCACTGTATTAACACTCTAGTTTTCAATGTTGAACTGACGTTTTAGAACTCTACGAGTATTGTTTAAAAGAAGGGATAGCTGACAAAAATTTGATTGCAAAATGGAAAAAGTCTGGCTATGAAAATCTCTGTTGTTTGCGTTGTATTCAAACTCGTGACACAAACTTTTGCACAAACTGTATTTGTCGAGTTCCCAAAAGCAAACTTGAAGAGGTATGTGATGTAAAAACATATGCACAACCACAATTTTGTTGAGTGACAAATTTTCCTAACATTTATTGCATGTTTAGGGCAAAGTTGTGGAATGTGTCATCTGTGGTTGTCGTGGCTGTTCAGGATAGGTTCAAGCTTAATGGATAACAGCACAAAGTGATCTTTAAATTCCTATTTCCTGCACGAAAAATTGTGGATCAATGGTGCATTTTAAAATTATTTTGTGTGCAAATGTCTGTTGTATGTAGAAATCTTTAACAAGGACACACACATTTTGTATACAAAGGAATAATATTGTTAACATAACAAGACGACTAAGCAGGCTGTCAGAAACTACCCTCTCTTGTAAGATATGATGTGAACATACCAAGATAGGAACATACATTTGTACATAACTGTATTATTTACATTTGTCATTCTATTTCAATTTAATAGAGCTTAGTCAGTGCTGTAACACCAAAGATCCTTTTCACAGACACTTGTGTGATATACTATAAGGTTATCTGTGAGCATCTATCATTGATCATTTCAATTGTTTGTGGTTGCTGCATTCTTCAACTTTCTTTCTTCAATTGTACTTTTTCGACATTTGTTTCATGAACAAACCTATAATGATTTTAATAATTTTTACAAAAGATTACTTTAGTTAATATTTGTGTTGTTATGTTATGGGCTAACCAGGCTAGCACAGACCCCAGGAACTAATTTCAACAACATTTCATTCATGAGAAATGCTACCTTTTAGATTTCATTATGAAGTAGGGAAATCCAATATGTGTGATGAATGTGTTCCAGCATGTCAAAAATACAGTACTAGCAGGAAGTAATGCAAGGAATTCTCATAATACTTCAATGAGATCTTACCAGTTGATTGATAAAACCAATGCCAAAGCTAAAATAGTCAAGACTAAGACGTGTATGGAAAAGTTTATGAAGCTCATGATTATAACTCCTGTTAAAATCACAGCAAAAAAGATCACATTCACAGCAACTAGAAGCCTCGTATTTACCCCAGGTTCAAGAATCGATTTAGCGATTGCATCAAGCATTTTAATTAAGTATCTACGTTGATAAAAATAATCAGATATAAGAAACACGTGAGATTGCTCAAGACTGCTTATACTCCTTAGGTACTTTTACCGTAGTATGTATTCCTAAGTAGGGTTTTTATTCCTATATCGAAGTGAATATCTCAATAAAAATGTGGAACGAATTATGTCTCAAAACCTGATCTTTCTTTGTGAGTAACAGAGTAAGGTGTTTTTATAAACTGGAACAAAATGCATGTTTTTTTCGTTGCAAAGGATGGATGGGGGGATGAACAAATGCTCTCTCATGTGGGTCTCTTGCTCGTAGGGTGTTGAGAAACAAACTCCGTGGGGTACATATTTCGTATGTATATATTTGATCGCAGCTTAAACGTGCGATTTGTCAAGACAAGTTTTCTTAGCAAAACACTTCCGGATTCCTCACGGAGGTGGCACTTTTTCTCTTGTCTGAGAGTAAATGGTCCCAAACACGACTTCTTTGTGGCGTAGCTAGTTACCGTCATGGACGATCGAATAGAAAACAGCGATATTATTCACGGCATAACACAGGACGTGTTTCAGGTAAATATTGAAGAATATTCCCCCTTTGATAGAGACTAAACCGGGAATAAACTCGCTCTAACTTTTGTTCCAAATTGTTTCAGCGGGTAATAGATTTGGGGCCGCAACTTCGTGAGTTCGTAGCGTCAGCAAAACAATATCATAAAGCTTTGCTTAGTAAGTTGAAGAATATACAAACATTTTTTGTGAGTTGATGAAAATATCGTGTGCCTGTGAATGACCAACAATATCTATATTCGTGTCATTTCCTTCTTTCAGACGCTTCTGTCGCTGCCAATTCTTTCTATCAAGGCTTCACTAAAATTGCCCGTTTGGCGTCAGAAACCAAAGGATCAAATAAACTATTAGGTTTGTGTCATTTATCTTGTATAACAACCCTAAATCTGACATCCTTTCTCTTTAATCGTGAGAATTCGCCTTTTATTTGCGTTGCGTTTAAGTGTACAAAGGTATGCGCTAATGTACATAAATCGATGAATTTTTTTAAAACGTCGCAGTTTAAAAGAACCTTAGTTCTTTAGGTTACCAGAATATTTATGCTGAGTATCCTAAAATTGTTCTTCTTTAAAATCATTTAAGCATGGCCGTTGCTAAGCGAAGGTAGCTTTACTCTCCTGGCATTTGTGTAAATTATTTCGCGTTTTCCGCTCTGCAACACAAAAGAGTGTTGCCACAGTACCTTTTCTTGCAAATTACACTTGATTAAAACATCTTTACAGTAGTATTTAGCTATGCAAATGTTCAGAAAGTAGCAAGTCTTTTTCGCCGAATATTTTTGTTATCAATTTCGATGCGAGGTTCGAGCCAATATTTACATTTCATTTTAATTTTTTTTTATACGCAAGCAACATGACACTGTTCATATAGTTCAAATTACGGCTGTTTAAGCAAATTTTTCGAGCCATGTTTAGACCTGTCTTAAAACATAACTACATGATAAACCTACGCAAATAGTTTCTAGAAGTGGTTTTTGTCTTCGCCCCGAAATTTAGGTTATATATTTAATTGGAACCGAATTTAGGAATGTTTACATTATAAAGGCGATTTTTTCATATTTTTTAATGCGATTTGACATGTGTTCTTTTGTGTTTTCGATTTCTAATAGGCTGAATATCGCAAATTGCATGTTTGTTTGTATGCCTTTTCATTAAAACGTGAAAATTGTGTCTTATAAACCAATCCATTTACTTGTGTGAACATAAACTAGTTTGTTTTCAACGTATGTAAATTAAAAAGAATGTCAAAAAAAAGTATCAAATTATTGAAATTAACCGTTGAAGTAGGTTCATGTTTATAATGATATTGTTAACAATAGGACTCTTGAATACATTATATTTAGACATCTAGGGCTTCTCTGACCCTTTGGTCGAAGGCGTGTCTTAAACCACCTACTTTAGTATTTTATGCCAGAGTACTTTACCATGAGTTTGGCCAGTTTCAAGGCAAGGTTGGTCCTATGTGTAATCTCTTTTTGGATTACAGTTGAGTGGCCAGAGTAGGCCACAGATGTAACAGCTGTGTTTATCTTCATGTATATAGTTGCCTTCGAATATGTCCACCTCCTTTCAGTTCTTTGTACAAACACTTAGTTTACACTCAGACTTTCTCTTAATATGGAACCAAAACAATACCTCCCCTCCAGATAATATATTAATTTTAATAATATTTTTTAGGGAAAGGAATCTGTGATATCATAGCAGTTCACAAACAGATTGAAAACCAAGCTAGCCATGTTGTAAGTGTGACATTAAGTTTGCTTTGCAAAAGATAATATATGTTCCAACATTTATGTCTAAGAGGCAATCACTTTACCTTGTTTACTAACCATGAGATATTAATGCCTTTAACTTCTGTGTTTAGTTCAAAGCTATCAGTCAGGATTTTGTTATTCCCCTTGAAGATTGGATTGAAAATAACATTGGTCAAACTAAGGTGCAGCGTGGCAGCGTCTTCAAACAACTTAGCATCAAATGTGGTATAACAACTGCCTAAATAGACAAAACACTTCTCAATGTTTCGACTAACTCTCCTGACTAAGGCCCTCAGGTCGAAACGTCGAGAAGTGTTTTGTCTATATAGGCAGTTGTTAATTATACCACATTTGATGCTAAGGTATAAGACTATAAACATTTTGTTTATTATAGCACAATAGACATTTAGTGTATTTAATACAGAACATTTCATTTTATAGGTCAAACAAAAAAATTATTTGCAAGAAAGCAAAACCGCTTTAGAGGTAAATTACAATGAAAGTTGTTGAAAATATGACTGGTTTGGGAAGCAAGGGGAAAAGGGAAGGTGCCAGTTTGGCAATAGAATATCAGTCTTTCCTCTCAAATGTTCAATGCTTTCGATTTCTTTTTTATAGCTTGTTGAAAAGTCAAAATCAGATCTCACTAAAGTGAGGAAAAAAAGTCAGAGGAGCAAGACAAGCGACAAATATGACATGAAAGAAAAACAGGTAGTTATATGAGAGCTACCAAGAAACTAATTTATCAGGACTGTTAATTATAAATGATCAAGTGTAGAATATGGTGGTGCAGATATTTTCAGACATCTGGGACACTGAGTGCAGTATTTTCTGGCCCACCAGCACACAAGGCTGTATGAATTATAATATTTCTGCATGTGTATAGGAAGGGGGTGGGGGATCGAGAGGGTTTATAGAGAGTATAGGTATGCCTTGTTGTTATATATTAATATAATTGTGAATTTGTAATCTTTTGATCCAGATCATGACTGCTTTTGAACAATATGAGACAAAATTGGATGAGTTAAGAGTATCAGGCTGTCATGAGGTAATTGTACAGTCACAAGTCATGTTTTAATTAATCTGAAGATTTCTTTATGAATTATAGCCTTTTCTTTGTAGGCGATAAGAGCTGAACGAAATGCATTTTCATTTATTATTGAAAAAATGTCTTCTGTTTCCAAGATGGATCTTGCTCATCATGAAAAGGTAATTCTCAATGAAAGACCATCAATGCATGCTCTTGCTGAATATACCTTGAATAGGTATTTCAAAATATCTGAAAGTGGTAAAGATATTTCTAAATTTATTTGAAATTATGACCAGGGTATCCAGATGTCTAGTTTTCCCTGGTTGCTGTGAATGGGTGAACAAACTCTGAATTTTTATCATGTTATTCCAGGCAAATAACCTCTTGAGTTCTCGCTTACCTATCTGGGAAAATCTATTGAGAAGACCATTATCTTTGGATCTCGATGTGACGTCACTAGCGAAGGTACAATCTGCACAAATCTACCTCTTGTATTTCCATTTCATCTCATCAGGTTGTTACTACATCTTGTAACTACAAGAAGCTAGCTCAACGATGAAACAACTCACTCATTTAATTACTTTTAATTCAGCAACTCACGAAGAATTCTATCTATGATAAAAGTCTGGATGAGCATTTATCAGGAGACGATGTACCCCAAGCACCAAGCCAACCTCCAGTTGACCAGAGCAAATTATTGGACAAAAGATTATCACATCAGTTCACTGTTGGATCCAGCCCCTTGAAACAAAATGGAATGACCAAAGATAATGATAAAGCTAAAGAAAGAATCAATGGGTATTTTGACTTACTTGTTTAGAACTTTTTTATATAAATAAAGTTAGTTTAGTTTAGGTTTCTGCAGTAACACTGGATCAATAAGAGATGATCCTTACTGAACCTCTAGGAAGAACAGTTTAGAACTGATAGAGTTCTCCATTGCTAGTTTTAACTATTACATCCTCCTAGGCCCAAAGTGCAAGCCATGTACGCACACGAGGCTGCAGATTCCACCCAATTAACTTTCGAGGAGGTATGTATGTGTTGAATTATAATAAATTATTTCTGAAAATGGTTCATAATCCTGGCCATGTTACTCTCCCCAGGGTGATGTGATAAAAACGTTAACAATTGTGACAGCAGGATGGCAGTATGGAAATAATGCAAGGACAGGAGAGTAGGTGTTCAGTTTATCTTCTCAAATATTGTGGCTCCTTCAACTTCCTTGGTTAACTCCCAAGTGCTCTCGTGATTACTGAATTAATAACTCCTTTTTCTCTCAGGTCAGGCTGGTTTCCTGTTGCATTCACAGAAAATTACTCTGGATCAGTTGTGGCAAGGTAATATAGAGATGAACGAATCCCAGACTGAAAAAATTGTGCAAACAATCTGGCCTAAAATGTACTTAAATGCATGTGCAAAAGAAACGATTCAAGTTCTTAAAAATCCTCTGAAATCCAATCATCAATATAAATCCTCAATAAACAAATTTAATTCTTCAGATTAGATTAGGAATAAGGTCAGGATTAGATCTTAGATAAGGTTTACAATTGATTAGGGTTAACCCTAATCTTTAATCCAACCTTAATCCTGACCTAATCCAAAGGATTAAATCCGTGTATCTAGGATTTACTAGACATGGAACTATTCTCTGAATTTGTTGTTTATTTTAGCAACACCAATCCAAGTCACACGCTACCAACGTCGGGTCCAGTTCACTCACGGCCGACTGTGCTTCCCAAAGTCAATGGAAATGTCCCAAAATCTGAACCACAAGATGAGCTGATTATTCCTGCTAGGGATTACGGAGTGCCACTGAACGATGGTGGAAAACAAGGTATGGTTTTATAAATTCTTTCTCAGCCTGTTGATCAGTTTTACTATGCACTAAGTGTTTTGAATCGAGGGCAGTAAAAGTGAACAAGTTCATTTGTACTGTCAGTATTTAAAGGAAATATGCAAATATTTCGCTAGCGAACTGTTCTTCTGCAAGTGGAAAACAAGCCTAGGCAATGACATTCTCTTTTCTTCAGTCAACAAAAATCATTCTGTGTTAAACCGCGAGGACTCAGGCTCGTCAGGAGTCCAATCAATGAACAACTCCTCGTCATCTCTTGATACGTCATCACAAGATGAACCATATTTCCCCCCACCTCCCCCTCCCCCACCACTTCCGACCTTGGAAGAAGACGTGCTGGCCGCATTCCCACCACCACCCCCTCCTCCCTTGCCACCTATTTCAGGAAGTTTTGACCAGTAAGTGGACGTTGAAAATTGCATTCTGATAAGGTTCTGACGACCAGAATAATTTCGCTACTGCCATTGTACCAAGAATATTTTCTGTGTGCATTCCCCCGTTTACAATTGCATTTTCTACGATTGTACAAGCAAGTTTCTTCTTCTTTTGACAGATGTGAACTAGTGGATAAGTTATGGATGTTCATACAAATGGACTTCAAGTCATAAGCATTCATAACTATCCGCTCGTTCTCATTTATCAAAGGATGTAAAAGAAAGGGCCCTAACACGGCCTAACACACGAATGACACGATCTCTTAATATGCATTATAGAGCTTTGTGAACTATGGTCAGACCAAACTAACCAGCAGAGATATGACGTCGTCGCGTATATGACGTCACGAAAGCCCCGTGATGTTGAGAACACCCGGATGTAGCATTATGACGAATGGTAATGTACTCATGCACTGTGACTGCATGTGAGAGAAACATAAATGTACTGTATATAATTATTTGTTATTTATCAATCATGGAATATGATTTCATATTGTTCATCAACCTAAGGAATTATTGAGATTTGAATAGTTTATTATAAAAGACTAATATTTTCACACATATATATGTATATATATAGTATAATTAAGATGGGCATATTGGGAAGAGATTCTATGTCAAACTTTCAAATTGACAATTCTCGCATTTTTTGTATCAGAACAATGCACTTCACAGCACGAAGTTTTCTAATAAACTTGAATATGAATCACTAAGAGATACTACTATATGTATATTGTTAAAATATGGCAAGTTCGCAAATAGACAACCTCGTTATGAGCTTTGAATTTCAGAGAATGAGAGATACCTTTGAGAGATAATATCTTGCAGTTGCATGGCCTATTCTCGCAAACAGGATTTGAAAACTTTACAAAAGCACATCTAGTTTCCTTTATTGTACTTGCTGAAATCTGCCTTTTACTCTGAACTGGTATGACTGAAGTAAATCAAGTAATATAAAATTCGTATTCCTCTGGTATTTTGTTAGAAATCTGTGAAAATTTTGGGGCCGTTTTGTCGTACTTACAGTATGTGTAAAATGTGAATTTTGAATGTTTGAAATCCAAGTATATATTTATCATAGAAATATGCGTTTGATTTTACTCATGAAACCAAAGAATGAAGATTGCAGTAAGTTGACCCCACGCCAACGATGATGCTACGAACATTATGTTATTCTCCTTTTAGTTGAAGACACAAATGTTCACATTAAAACTTTATTAAACAAAATTTCAATAAACAACTTTGCTACATGCGGATAACATGCAAATCAAATACTATAGTTCATATCATAATAGATCTTCAAGATGAGGTAAGGCTTCGCTCTCTCCCATCACGGCCAGGCTAGCCCTCTTGGCAAAGATCTGTTTCGCAGCCTAGGAGGAAGATACACAGTAAATGAGGACTCGCTAGTGGCTATGAGTTGTTTGAGTTTGACCAGAGCATTTATTCACGTTGGTGGATAATTCATGTTCATTCACTTACATTCACAACATCTTCGGATGTGATTTTGTCCAACGACTGTGAACACGCGTCAGGAGAGGTGTAGGATCCACTTTGTAAAACCTGAAACGAAATGTCATGAAATTAATCACTTTTCAAGAGTATTGATCATGGGATGACTTTTGTAAGTATAGTACAATATATGAGCAATATATTCTAACCTGTGTGCCAATATCTTCGAGTCTGTCAGCATAGCTTTCGTTTGCCATTTGTATGCTAGACTTCAGTTGATTTCTGGCAAATAAATAATGATTGTTAATTGTATTTGAACAACCAGTCATTGGGACAAGCATAACATTGCTTTACTCAAAGAATTCAAAACAAAGTTCTCTGCATTTGAGAAGTGACTGAACTTACTTAGCCCTCTCAATTTCTTCTTTTGAGACATCTCCTTTGGAGATTTTCGAAAACTGATCCACGATTGCTCGAGTTACCTGGAATGATAGGTTGAGAATGATTGGGTGTATTCACATAGAGGTGATGTAATTTGTAACATTAACCCACCTTGGTTGCATCCTTAGGACTGGCTGCCGCATAGAAACCGAACAGACCAGAATCAGAATAGTTTATGTTGATTGTTGAGCCCTGGAATTGTGTATGTGGAATAATTAGAATACACACAACAGGGTGCTCTGAAATGCAAAGTAAGTTTCATACTAATGAAAACTGCATTTGGTCAGGATGAAACTTACCATGAATGGACCATCGGTGACCCCCTGTACAGCCTTATTTATCCTTAAAGAAAAAAGGAAAAGTTACATGATGTACCAGTTTAATTTCATTGCTTCCAATATCAATATTCCTTCTGCACTTAGGTCAATATTTTCATACCTAGATGAGGTTGTATTGGTTCCCCACTTGATAAATGGTGTCACACCAAGAACACGCTGTAAGAAGAAGTATTGGGTGAATGAAAATGAAATTTAAAAATCTGGTCATGAATTGGTCCAGTGAATGCATCCTTACTTGTAAAACACCAAATGCAAGGTAATTCTTGTCAGCAATACTAAATGTTCAGAAATAGAGTTGAAGTTGAAGTGTCAAAACCATTTCCAAAGATATAAATAGCCTCAAATCAAACTGCTTAATTATTAAAGTCACATTTACCCACAAGAATCCCCACAGATTCTGACAGGCCAGTGGAAAGCAGCAAATATAAAAGGATGAAAAATGAATGACTACCAACCTTGCTCCTTCACAAGCGAGAGCAACATGAACCAGATTTTGTGGTTGTTCACAGTGAACCTCACCTGAATGAAATATTGACTGGTTAGCATTCATTGTTTTACTGCAAGTGTGAGGTATTGCAGTTCACTGACCTCCAGAATAAATTGGCTTCTCAGCAATTGCAGAATTTCCTGCAGGAATTCCTGAGAGATATGACTTGCATAAACCAACCAAACTGTCATGGTTGACTCCTAGAGAAAAAGGTAATTTGAGAAAGTTTTTATTCACTTGTGTAACTACATAGATTTATCTTGGACAAGAATATAACCCTTACCGACACCAACTAAAGCCATTTGGTTACCAACGAATGAGTCTTTTGTGAACTTTAGGAGCTGTAAAGATCATTATAAACTTGCAAAAATGACCCTGTATAAAATATCAGGTACATTTACTTCCAAAAGCGAATGATCACTTACCATTTCTGTTGTAAACTTATTGGTTTTGCTTGGTTTGCAATAGATTGAATTTCGTAGGCCATTTCTTAACAAAAAGGGAAATATTCAATGTATATTGTAACCAAAAATCCAGTACATATATTGGACCTGCAGTTTATAGATTGCTGAACCTCACCTATAGGCAACTCTGTGTAGCTCTTCAATTAATCCTGTAAGGAAAACTCTGATCAGGGCTGTTTTAATACATTTGTTATCCTATATTATTCTATATACTCTCCTACACTTTGACATTATCAGGTTCTCTCATTCATCTGAAGAGATCAAACTATGAATTAAGATCTAAGAATAAACCTAGATTGTCATGATATGGTCCTACTGTACCTATTTGTGGATTAGTTTTGGCCATAGCCAAGTCCAATTCAATATTTTCTACAATATCTTCAAGCTAAAAGAATGAAATGTGGTGGTTTTGGCTGACAGAGGAACACAAGAAGCAGAGAGTTTCAATGCACATGTTCTTGCAGCACATGAAATGAAGCAATTTTGCAACAAACCTCCCACTGTCGGAATTCCGGGGCTGCAACAACGTTTGAAAGGTACGGGATAAGAAGACCCCTAATAATTGGAATAATTCAAGTAATTAATTAACCGCGATGTGATAATGAACTCTCAGTCAACTTACTAAATGGACCAACACTCACACGTCATCTTTCAAGCATTGAGCTGAATAAACAAGCTGTTCTCTGGTAGAAGATGCTCTGGGATATGATAAAAACACAATTAATTTAAAAAGGCAGGTGACTTTGAGCGTAGATTTCAAACCAATCAAATAAAAACATTTTGTTTACTCTAAATTAATGCCATTTTCTTCCATTGTTCTGGAGATGTGAAATCCTGTGTGATCTGAAGTGGTCTAAAATACAGAATGTGTTTTCATTATTCACACATTTATCTGATTTGAGTTATTCATTACTTTGCAGCAGCCTTCTACAAGCTCAAAGCAAAATTGTGACCCACTTACCAGGAAAGCACCAACCCGTAACACATGTGATATACCACTTTCTTGAAAGCTTTCATATCGACTGCCGGATTTAAAGAATAATCCAATCCTTGCTGTGGGTCCAGCACAGTCAACTGAAGCCACTTTCAGTCCATTACTTAATGTGGTCACCTAGTGGCAGAGAAATAGTACAAACAGTGTGTCACCGCAAGGCTTAGTTCTTGTATATACCAGCGACATCTGCGATGGTGATCAACTGCTGAAGTTCTATACTGTACCTGGACATCAGATGAATATGGGACTGGTGTGGGTTTGTCGACTTCAAGGTCATCTAATGGTTCACTCAGTGGTGTCACACATACAGCGAGGCGTCGAACCTTGTGGAAATTAATTGCCAAATTTATTATCAAGCCAACTGAAGCTGGTTTTCGTCAAACATTTAATAAAGTTGGTATCAGATTTTAAATCGATAAACCCATTATGAGCATGTGAAGGGAAGTTAACGTTGAAAATTTGTTTTGTTATCAAATGTAGTTCAGGTTTAATCATATTTAATATATGCTTTGCAAATAGCTCAAATGGTTAAGCATTCTTCATGCATTTACTGTCGTAGGTTCAAGCCCTACACGCGCTGAACATTGTTTTAGATTTAATTTTTCTTTTTCCTTCGTTTTGTGCAATTAAAGGGCGGTATTTATGTATAAGAAATAACATATTGCTTGAGATATGTACTTTTAAATTTTTTGCTGGGAAAAATACGCTATTTTTTTACCTGAATTCGTGATAATTCGAGACGTGGACTTCTTGAAATCGGGCTTACAAGTCGTAGAAAATTGTGCATTTTCCTTCAAACTATTTTATTCACAAAAAACATTAAATAATTTGAAAAAAAATTATAAAATAGTTCGTCTCTGTTTTGTACTTTGATTGATCACAGAGAAGACTAGTTTGCCGAACTTTTTCACTTTGACGGCGACTGACAGCCGCGAAAAAAGACATTCAAGTTAGTCCAGCACTTATCAGATCAGTGCCAAAGTTTATCTTACTCCAGTTGCATACGTGATTAAAGTTGGCCAATTTAGTCAAGTAAAAATATCTGACATAAAAAAAAGATATAAAACGAGCACATTATGGTGATTGAAAGGTGTTTAGTGCTTTTTAATACCAGTAAAGTATGAAAGCTATTCAAAACATTTCAAGAAAAAAACAAAATATTTCCCTTTTCCTTGTATACAGATCAGTGGTGGGGTCAAAAGTTACTCGCCTCAGTTCTTTTAGGGATGACGCGGATGTTCGAAAGACTTCGAGAAAGGAGAAAAACAATGTGAAGGCACTTTGGGCGAACTTAGGTCGCCAATTTTCATTTTAAAATGGCTTTAGAGGTGGGCCAGGAGGCAGAACTTGATGAAAGCGGTGGGGAAGAAGACGAAGGTGAAATAATTGACTGGCAGCTGCCATTATGCTTCATGAAAAAGCGTCATCGAGAGCGTATCGAAGGTGGTCAGCCTCTAGCGCAGTCTTGGCGTATGAAAGAACGGGTATGAATGATGTGCGGTTTTCTACTTTTCTTTTACTTTCGGTTTGATTTTGTAAGATTTGAACTCGCATGTAGAAACACTGTTGTTATAAAACTAGGGTTGTTGTATCGCGTGAGATGATGTTGAAGATCTCTCGGTATAATAGGATGACATTTTACTTCAGAAATACAACAAGTTTGAATGGTTGTCTGGAAGTTTTTGGTTTCAATTTCATTAAACAACCCTTCATATATCTCCAATTTTTTCCTCACACAACAGCCGTAATCATTGTACTAAAAACGCATTTGCAAAGCATAAAGATGAGACTGAAAAGGAATGTCACCCCCTGTAGCTGTGTGTCATGATCAGAAACCTATATTTAAAATAGACAAAGATATATTTCCACATCATTGACAGAGTTGTAAATGATCCATCTTCATGACAGTAAACCTTATCAAACTAATTCGCAAATTTATAAAACAACCACCAAGCTCTCAACGAAAATTTTCTCATTTGCAAAAGTTGGACGAGTTCCTAGAAAAATATTAGAAGAAAAATGTTTGGTCGAATGCACTTGATATACTCAAACATATCGTATTTCTGCATGGCAACAAACATTTATAAAACCTCTATGATGGACGATTGTAAAATTTTGGTTTTCTATAGATGAAAACCGTCAGCGTTGCCCTTGCTTTGTGTTTAAATATTGGAATTGATCCCCCTGATGTTGTGAAGACCTCACCTTGTGCTCGTATGGAATGCTGGATGGGTAGGTGTTGGCAAATTGTTGTGTAATAGTCTCAAATATCATACAATTTTCTGAAAGTACTATTCTATACCTATTTCAGATCCAATGGTATTAACACCTCAAAAAGCCCTGGATGAAATTGGTAGTCGGTTACAAAAACAGTACGAAAGATGGCAACCCAGGGTAATGATAATTTTTATTTGTTATCCCTTACCTTATATAACTCCTTCACTGATAGATTTAGTTGTGAGACATTTCGGTAAATCCAGGAGTGTGTAGTCTAACCTAGTTTAACAAGGATTACAGCATATTTGTAGAATATCTTTGTAAGTAATATCAGATTTTTTGGTGTGAATTGTAAGGCAAGGTACAAGTTGAACTTGGATCCAACAGTTGATGATATCAAGAAATTGTGCACAAGTCTAAGACGAAATGCCAAGGTAACGTATGTGTTAAATTTTGCTCATTTTTTGCTCACATTTTTATCTCATTTTTATTGGATAGTATTGTCAACTAAATTTGTTTGTTCTTTCAGGAGGAGAGAGTTCTTTTCCATTACAATGGTCATGGCGTACCACGTCCAACTGCAAATGGCGAAGTTTGGGTTTTTAATAAGGTAGAGTAATAACAGTATTATTGATGCCTTCTGTGAGTGTATTTGACCAGTCAGTTCAGTGTGATTTAATGAGGGTTTTATCATTTCCATCTAGAGTTATACTCAGTATATTCCATTGTCCGTTTATGACTTGCAAACATGGATGGGAAGTCCGTCAATATTTGTGTATGATTGTTCCAGCGCAGGTACAGTGTTTCACTGCTTCAGAGCATGTATTCATATGCTTTCTATTGGTTAATGAGTTGGCAAATCCTGTCTCAGTCAAAAGATTAATGGATAATCTATAATATTTTGCTTCAGGTATAATCTTGGAGAATTTTAACCAATTCTCAAAACAGAGGGAAAAGGAATACGAGGTACTGTACTGTACATATGCAAATTATTCAAGATATAAAAAAAGACTTATGTATGAATGGTTTTCAAAATTTTTCAGAGATGCAATGCTCAAGGAACCAGTGCAGCAATGCCTTCATTCAAAAATTGTATCCAAATTGCAGCCTGCCAACCTCATGAGCTTTTGCCAATGCAGCCTGACTTGCCAGCAGATATATTCACAGCATGCTTGACCACACCAATTAAGATCGCTCTCAACTGGTAAGCAGTTGTGACATGATGTATCAGCACATGTGACATAACCAGAAATAAAAAATATGCAATTTTTCATTTCAGGTTTTGTCAGCAAAACAGCGGGAAGTTGCTTGCAGGAATTAATATTGATTTGATAGAAAAGTAAGTTGATTTAATTCATAAGCACTTCTGTTATTAAGATAGCACACATTAAAATATCACAAATTCGATCGTGGATTGCACATTCAATTTGGTACCTTTTCATTTACATTTTGGTAATTTATTTGAGGAAATCTTTTTCAGGATTCCAGGAAGATTGAATGACCGTAGAACACCACTGGGCGAGTTGAACTGGATCTTCACAGCAGTCACAGACACAATTGCTTGGAATGTCTTACCAAGAGGTTTGCTAGCCACATAACAAATTTCAAGGTTCCATCGGACCATCATTAATTAACTTTAGTTTGTTTTTCTCAGAGTTGTTTCAAAAGCTTTTCCGTCAAGATCTCCTGGTTGCCAGCCTTTTCCGAAACTTCCTTCTTGCCGAGCGTATCATGAGATCTTATAATTGTATGCCGATGTCTTGTCCCCAGCTCCCCCCAACCTACCAGCATCCAATGTGGTGAGTTGCCCCTATTCTTAGAGCAAAGTTTGTATGGGAATTAAAAATCCTTCCTGAAGATCTTAGATTGAAAGTCATATCATCCCAATTCTGATTTCAGGCATGCCTGGGACTTGGCTGTAGATACATGTTTATCCCAACTTCATGCTGTTGTTGAAGATGGAAAACCATTTCAGGTGGGAACTTTGGCTGAATCCAAAACCTTAGTAGAATAATTTGAAGTCCTTCCATAGCATTGCTCTGGTACACCTGCAAGATTCTTAAATCAAGTAGTTTCATCCTGTTTTCAAACTTGACCAGCATCATGTCTAAGGTCTATGGATATAAGAATGGAATACACATTTTTGGTTGCAAAATTTGATATGTTTTTCCCCATTTCTAAACAGAATAGTTTGTTTTTCTCACAACAACTGACCGCATTTCAAGTGTGGCTGGCTATGGGGAGAAAAGAAAGAAATCCACCAGAGCAACTTCCTATTGTGCTCCAGGTAAATATGCGTTCAATATGAATAGTAAGAAAATGCAATATTCCTCTATTTCACTACTGCAATCCTGCTATATCCGTCCGAGTCATACATGCCACTGATTTATGAATTGTTTGTCTCGCCTGAAACCAGGTTCTTCTCAGTCAAGTTCATCGATTACGAGCTCTGGATCTCCTGGGACGGTTCTTGGATCTTGGTCCGTGGGCTGTCCACTTAGTAAGTAAACAAATAAATGCTGACAGTGCATTTTTAGGCATTAGCATAATATACGCATCAAGATGATTTACTCAGGTGGCCTCATTAAACCATTTTCCCAGGATGCAACATGCATAGATCATTTATACAAACGATTAGCATAAATTGCGCACAATTTTACCCAACATAATCTATTATTACTCATTTCCAGGCCCTTTCTGTGGGGATATTTCCTTATGTCCTGAAGCTACTACAAAGCTCGGCGAGGGAATTGCGTCCATTACTGGTTTTTATTTGGGCGAAAATTTTGGCGGTAGACAATGTAAGTCGTAAGATATGATATTATTTCATGGGGATTTCTAGTTTTGTTTCTGTACTATACTCTATTCATATTAATACATACAAATGAATGAAGTCTGATGGTAATTTAATTATTTTTAGTCGTGCCAAGCAGATTTAGTCAAAGATAATGGTCACCGATATTTCCTGTCAGTTCTAGCTGATCTCTATATGCCGGTATGATTGCCAAGACTTTGTTTGAACTGCTGTCAGGCTACTGTCTTTAGTCGTATCAAACAGCGGTTTATTTTTCTTTTTACAGCCAGAGCATAGGACAATGGCTGCCTTCATTTTGACAACGATAGTCAAAGATTACCCAGAAGGACAGGTAGGTTCAAAATCTATTTCCTCAGCTCAATAAAGCAAATATTCCCATTCATATTATTGAGTATTCACGGAAAACCTCGTCTCCCTTATAGGAGGCATGTTTGCAAGGCAATCTGATCGCAATATGTCTGGAGCAGTTGGGTGACCCTCATCCTCTATTACGTCAATGGCTTGCTTTGTGTTTGGCGCGAGTTTGGACGAACTACAGCCGTGCCAAGTGGTGCGGAGTCAGAGACTCTGCTCATGAAAAACTTCAACTTTTGAGCAACGATCCGCTTCCTGAGGTATGGTATTTTGATGTGGCCGAAAGGTGTAGTTTCGTGTATCAGGTTGAACGAACGAGGGCTGCCTTTAGATGTCTTTAAGATCGAATCTCACGGGATTGGTTTTAACTTCGTTTCTAGGTTCGTGCAGCGGCCGTGTTTGCTTTGGGTCAATTCGTTGGTAACACAGCGGAAAGAACCGACTTGGCAAATCAAGTTGATTTTGGCGTGTGCATGGTGCTTACCAATTTTGCTTACGACGGTAGTCCCATTGTCAGAGAGGTAAGAATGTCAAATCACAGTCAACCAACGTCAACTTGATCGTATAATCGCTCACCGGCCTATATATCCATTTTGCCCATGAACTGAACAAGTGTATTTATAAGGAATAGCTTTGTCATTGACAAATCGAAGTAATAATTTATGTTCAGTAACTTCTAAATACACGAATGTGATTAGGTCAGGATTAGATTTAAGATTAGATTAGGATTAGGGTTGATTGGAGATTTATTACCCAAATCTATTTCCTCGAGTCAATCTATCGTATTACCAGAAAAGTGGTTGAGAAAGTTTTGTTCCCTTCTCATTCACCGCTGTAGGGGTTCTGTCATGTGTTGAGTTGTAAATTTTCCCCGAATCCTTATTTAGGAGGTTGTAAGAGCTCTCTATGGCCTGGTCTCGCAGTTCGAAGGGAATTTTGGAGTCGTTGCTCTGCAATTTGTCGAGGAAGAAGTCCGTCTACGGGAAACACAGCCACAGCCTGCCGTGACATCATCTGGATGGATCGTTCTGACCAATGGCGTGCTCGTTCCTCCTAATATGGCGCTCGTCTCTCCGCAGATTAAGGGATCGAAGCGGATCAAGTCTCGTGGATCATCTCCTAATCTCGCCGCGACAGCCAGTCCAGCAAACGCAACACCACGTAAGGAAATATTGGAATTATATTTTAAAATTGTTTGTGAAAGATCTTCATTTTGTGACGAACAGAAACATAATTTTACAATACAATCATGAATCATCTGAATTATGATAATGATTTCATATCTACGAATTTAATCCACGAATATAATCCTTGATTCTAATCCTTTGGTATAAGTATTTGGGTAAGGATTAGGGTCAGGTTTAAGATTAAAAGTTAGGATTATATTCGTAGATTCTGGACTTCAAATTATAACCTGAATTATCATCCAACAGGTTACGACCACACTGAACTCTCTATACATTGTACTGATACTGGATAGCTAAATTTTTTTTTGCATTCAGCTATTGCGTCATCGCCGGTATTGAGCGGGAGCGTTGGATCCAAATCCGATCAACAGGGGGGAGCGAAACGAGGTGGACCACATACACAATTCACGTCACCACAGTCTAATGTATACTCCACCGTATGGAGGGTATGTCACCATCACTCATCTTCATGCATTGATTTTATTCTTCAATAGGCAAAGTTCGTTTGTTTTTGAATACAAATATTAGGAAATCCTGTTTTAAAGATATAAATGTAGCTCTCTTTTTTTTCCTGGGTTAATGTTTACACCAAAATCTTCTTCGTCCTAAGTCACACAGGAGTTGATTTTTTTTTGTGAATATTTCTAGACACTTCTCATTTTGTCATGCGACCCAGCTCCTGCCGTTGCGAATCTGGCAGACAAGATAACAAATGATATAACATTGAAGGTGAGTCTGAGAAAGTTGTTTATTTACAAGCAATGCCGTAGAAATAGTTGTCAAATTCCATTTATATACGTGTGTATTTAAACAGTCATGTTTTCGTTTAATTTTCTTGCTTAACAGTAAACCCTTCAGCAATTCATCACCACCATTTAATGGTCCCATTCGATGAAAACCATCAATTTTCCACTTGCAACACGGCTTTCATGCATGTAAACTAAACAAAATTAAACAAAAATCTGTAATTCTATACATGTTGTTTTCTTCTTAATTCCAGGCCTCCGTGAATCGTCGTCCGCGTCGTTTCAGTTCGCCCGCAGCGGAATCTTTGTTAAGTCCAAGCGAATATCAACTAAAATCCGAGTAAGTCGTTTCTCCTGAACATTCTTTCACATTTTGTATGTAGAAGATCTTTTAGTCTCTTCTAAAATACTCGAATCGGCGTGAAAAGGTTCAGCTTCATAGGAAAGCTTAGTGGTATGATTAAAGTTTTGAGAGAGTCCCAGTCAGTTCTTCACTTACGATTTCAGTAATACAATGTTTGTCTCTGTAAACAAGGTATCAATGTTTACATTTTCTTCCCAGACCCTTCGCTGTCAGTTCTGGCCAAGACGGCCCAAATTTGGGAGCGACTAAACCCCTGGAAAAACCCCCCGTACCAGCCGTGGCGTCGCAAAAGCCAAGTGCAACAGGCCTTCCACACTACCCACATTCCTACGCGTTCGGGGCAAAGCGACGAATATTTGACAAAGGACCAGACGTATGTTCAAATACCAACGAGGTTTTTGTAGAGGTCCAGTAAGGTCGTTTCTAGTAACTATTTTGTATTTATTTCTGTAGTTGCCAGAGGGTAGTGATGATCAATCCGACGACAGCGAGGAAGATAGCATCCACACTCCAGCCGCTTTTGCTGAGACGAAATTTTGTGATTGGTGTTGTAGCTATTTTGCCCAATCAGTCACGAAAGTAAGTAATGATCTGATTAGATCGATGATTGGTTCATTAACGAGGTAATTTATCCTTCGAATCGCTAATTTATTAATTAATTTGACACATTCTAGCCGCCTGATGAACACGATCCACACAGTGAGGTGCATCTCGAACGAGAAAACAGGTTCACGAGAAATGCTCGAGTCAGATTTGAAGCGGAAAAACAACAGAAAGGTACAAAATATCTGCACTGTTCTATTCTTCCCTGTATAAATTCATATACAGTGTAATTTTACCACAAAGCTTCCCAATGTTGTCCCTTTAGACTTTAATCGGCTTGATGATCAGATATTTATCAACCGGAATCCCTCACCTCCCGGTGTACTCCGATTTAACCCTTACGAACCCCACCTCGCTGTCGCCGATAGATCTGGTGTAAAGTAAGTAAATAAGTAACTATGATGATTCTCTGACTTATATTGTCAAATCTGGAGTGGTGTATTTTAAAAGATGGCTAAATAAGCTTCATTTTTCTTGCTTGTCGCTTTTAGCATTTGGAATTTCGAGACTGGTACACGGCTCAATCATTTTGAGAATGGCAATCCGAAGCCAACACATATTACCGCAATGGAATTGTTAAACTCTCATGATCTGCCTTTGTTGCTGACTGGCTCAAGTATGTCTGAAGACAGTTTAAACTAAATTACATCGATACGAAGTGACTGCTTATATATACTCCGAAGCATGGACCTTCTTATATCGTAGGTTTTAACGCTGACCAGAATGATCTCCACAAACTAACTGGCAGTTGTTGTGAGGAACAAATTGACATAAAATTAATTCAATATTTCTCACGATTGTTCGTTTCATAACGGTTTATTCTGTGAAGACACGGTGGCGGGATCAGTTCCTAAATTGGCCATTAAACTGCCTCGTTCATTTATTTTCATTTTCCACCGTAGATGACGGAGCAGTGCGTATTTGGAGGAATTACACAGAAGGCAACCCTGAACTGGTCACAGCCTGGCCAGCTCTCTCGAGTCTTCTGCCCTCGACACAAGGTCTATTGAGTTGTTTTTTAAAGTACACAAACTGTACACCTAATTCTGAAATACTTTTCAGCGTGTGGTTTGAGGTGATTTGGACACCAGGTTATCAAAATATACTTTATTTTACAGGCAGCGGTTCAGGAATGGTTGTAAACTGGGAACAACAAACAGGATGGCTGATGGCCTCGGGAGATGTAAGACATATTCGAGTCTGGGACACACAAAGGGAGATTACACTACAGGTACTGTGAAGACCGTTTTTGGGTTTAAGAGCTTAAGTTCAGCGCTAAAATTGTCTGAGTGGAAACAGGAACCGATGTGACAAGCGTGAGATGCTATTTCTACGAATTCTTGCCAATGAAGTTTTGTTTATTTTTCAGGATATTCCAACGGGAGCGGAGAGTTGTGTGACGAGTCTTGTGTCAGACTATGTCGGTCGTTCATTGCTGGTGGCGGGATGTGGTGATGGATCTGTTCGTCTGTTTGACAGAAGATTACCACCAAACGATAGTAGGGTTATGACAATGAGGGAACACGAGTGTTGGGTGGTCAACGTTGTGCTTGAGAAAAGCACATCGGATAGCATTATATCTGCAAGGTAATCATGTTTACCCATTTGACTTGTGAAGTGAACTAAATTCAGAGTTGTAAAAGGAGTTACTGAAAGTAAACCTTCCTCACGGGTGGTGCCCGTCACAACTCTGACTAAATTAGGCGGGGTATGGGACGGGGGGGGGACTTTACAGTAGGGATCGTGCAGACACAGATTCGATCAGGTTTAGTTTCCCTTCAGATCCGTGAGTGAAAGATGGGCAGGATAGGAATGATTGAACTGGACTAAGATAAATGACCAACACATCTCGATTAGATCACGAGAAATATTGTGCCTGACCTACAGACAGACGAGATTTTTAAAATTTTCCTTTTCTTTTCAGTGTTGATGGAAAGGTGAAATTCTGGGATCCGCGTTTCAGTGAATCTGTTCGTAATCTGGAAATGCTTGGCGGTCAGATGACCTCATTTGAAGTCCACAATTCAGCCAGGGTTTTAGCATGGTGAGTGCGTGGAATTTGATGCAGAACTTGGAAGTTCTTCGTATGAAATATCTGCCGAGATTTTATAGACTCTCGTGTGCCGTGATTTTCTTATAATTTTTATTATCCGTTTAGTGGCTTTGCAAGTCAAAGCGTCAAAGTGACCAAAGTAAGGCAAAAAGACTCAGATTGCATCAGCACTATTCGACATTATGATGGGTTTATGGGTCAGAGAATTGGACGGGTGAACTCAATGAGTTTTCATCCACATAGGGTGAGTATGGGGTAAAGAGTGTGATAAGTTTTCATCCACATAGGGTGAGTATGGGATAAAGGGTGTGATAAGTTTTCATCCACATAGGGTGAGTATGGGATAAAGGGTGTGATAAGTTTTCATCCACATAGGGTGAGTATGGGGTAAAGAGTGTGATAAGTTTTCATCCACATAGGGTGAGTATGGGAGAAAGGGTGTGATAAGTTTCCATCCACATAGGGTGAGTATGGGATAAAGGGGGGCTGTGTTTTCATTTACTTACCCTACAGTCGGGTAGCTATGGGATAAAGATTCATTGGTAAAGATAATTGGTATGGAATATGGATATGGAAGGTATATCCAGCTCATCTTAGCTATTTTTTATCCCTAGGTCCATTTGGCAGTTGGCTGTGCCGACTCATTCATTTCCATTTACTCTACCGAGAAGAAAAGATGACTTCTTCACTTCTTCAACGTGTCCTTGTGGACTGAAGTACAATTAATAGTAGTTGTAGTTGCATACGGTGCCAAATTTTTGTGGTGAAGTACTATTGTCATTATATATATATATATAGGCTTCATTGAAGTATATTGCATCATGGTTTAAAACAAAACAATTTCGCCGCGGTAAACTTATACTTTGTATTTTTCGTATGAGAAGATAATCATGTTTTTAACTAGAATTTTTTTTAAGTAGCTGGGTCCTGGGATTGTTTCACATACGGAAAGTAGTTTGGGTGTAAGTTGTTTCAAAATTTTAACCTATTTGTAAATGATTTTTAAACGAAGTTTGTATTTTATAATGGATGTAAATCAGTCAATGTGAACTGAAGGCACCTAAAACTGGTGGTACCCATTATTCATTAATGCCATCAAACCTGACCAAATTATTTAACTAAATGACAAATGATTTATTTAATCACAAGTTTATATATTCTTTCTGTAAATATATCAATTCAAATTCATACACAAAAGTATAGTAAGAGAAAATTATATTTTGTTCTCCATATTTTTTTGTAATTTACTGAACTTGATTATTATAAGATGAAGTATCCCGCTGAAAATCTATCTCACTGATCTCCAATCACTAATGGATGGTTAAACCTATTTAATCGATACAAGACAAAGTACCGCGAACTAAATCCAGCTGTTCAATTATTTGCGGTCTCAAACACGTTCTTTCTCTTTGAGTTGAGTTTCATCGAAGAAAGATGGTAAGATTTGTAGCGAAAGAAATCTCTAAAATTTCGCATCAAATAGTGTACATCCGTGTTTTTACTTGTCATAATTTAAAAAATTAACTATATCTTGACTAGCTATCGAAAATTGGTTCGTGTTTTGTGAGTTCGTGAGCTGAAAAAATCCGAACTAAAATACTTGTAATAATTGCTTGAAAATCATGGTCATTGAAGTCAATGGCGTTGCATTCATGATTTGCCGATAAACTATGCAACACACCTAAAAAAAAATTTTAATATCAATAGTGTTTCATTCAGCATCTTATTTAGTTTGGTCGCACACTTGGTATATATTCTAAAGTGACTTTTTTACAAGATATAATCATTGTAATAAGTGCAATATACCTGTAAAAATATTGAAACAACATTTCCTTATTTTTAGTCTCATAGAAAATTCTCAGCTCCCCGCCATGGTTCGAAAGGTTTCTTGCCTCGTAAAAGGTGCAAGAGGCATCGTGGGAAGGTTAAATCTTTTCCCAAAGACGATAAGACAGTTCCACCTCATCTGACTGCCTTCATGGGTTTCAAGGCAGGAATGACTCACATTCTCCGGGAAGTTAACCGACCTGGCTCCAGTAAGTGAGAGTAGTTTGTAAGAAAATTCCCAGCTTTGGTGTTGTTTTTCAAATTAAGTTATTATTAATTACCATTTTAAATTACCATTAATCAAACCTCTTTAGAAATTAACAAGAAGGAAGTTGTCGAAGCTGTCACAATTATTGAGACCCCACCCATGATGATTGTTGGTATTGTGGGATATATTGAGACACCTCATGGCCTTCGTCCTTTGACCACAGTCTGGGCTGAACATCTTAGTGAGGAATGCCGAAGACGCTTTTATAAAAATTGGTGAGACTAAATGTAGTCATAAGCTATACTTTGCTCTTGAAAATATGTATTCAACGCTAACGAGAAATGTCTTTGAAGCATTGGATCTCCTCTCAGTTTTATTGCTGATGAGGTCCAAGCATGTTTTGATTAACAGAATTGGTTCTAAACTCCTAAGGTGTTGTTCAAAGAAGAAGGCGTTCACCAAAGCTTGCCGTAAGTGGGGCGACAATGAAGGAAAAGAAAGCATTGAAAGTGATCTTGCACGAATGAAAAAATATTGCAAAGTGATTCGTGTCATTGCCCATACTCAGGTTGGTGTTTGCTTTTATTCATCACCTGGATGTTTTCAATCTTCAACTTCTTAAATCTACCATGATTATTGCTATTGTTTACCAACATAATTTTACCTTTTTAGCAAAAACTGGTCAGGTTGAGTCAAAAGAAGGCTCACATTATGGAAATCCAAGTGAATGGAGGTGATATTGCCGAGAAAGTTGACTGGGCAAAAAAGCGCCTGGAAAACCCTGCTCCTGTCAGTAAAGTTTTCGGAAAAGATGAAATGATTGATGTGATTGGGGTGACCAAAGGAAAAGGATTCAGGGGTGGGTATTTTTGAGAATTTATAGGATGTTAAAACATGACCACTTAACTTACAAGAATTATGCTTATTTTTCCAGGTGTGACGTTCCGTTGGGGAACAAAGAAGTTGCCACGTAAAACCCACAAAGGTTTACGTAAGGTTGCTTGCATTGGTGCATGGCATCCAGCCAGAGTTTCCTTTGCTGTTGCCCGTGCTGGTCAGTGTGGCTACCATCACAGAACTGAGATGAACAAGAAGATCTACCGCATTGGCACAGGCATTCACACCAAGGATGGCAAAGTGATCAAGAATAATGCATCCACAGAGTATGATATCTCTGATAAGAGCATCACACCCTTGGTAAGTTTTTCAAAAAACAAATCTTTGGTATAGTTGATCATGTGAACAGCCCTTTTAACTATGTTCTTTGATCTTAAGGGTGGATTTCCTCATTATGGTGAAGTCAATGAAGATTATGTTATGGTGAAAGGCTGTGTTGTTGGACCAAAGAAACGTGTCTTGACGCTAAGAAAGGTTATTGAATTTTAAGACCACCATTCTGTTAAATGTGAATTTTTATTATTCAAGATTTTCTTTAACTCACTGCCGACAGATCGGATGACATTTCGAAGTGGTTTGCTGATTATAACTTGCGATTCCTGTTCGAATACTTGACCGATTTTAACAAAAATAGGCACACTTTAAAGAAGAAATTGTCCTCAGTAGATACATGTTTTTTTTATATCAATATGTTGTCAATTCGCTAAGATATTCACTTTAAAGTGCATGTGCTTTTTATATTATTCAATATTGCACATCAAAGCGGCCTAATCCTTAAAATATTGCCCAAAATGCAAACGAACACGGGTTGCAGTGGTTTAGTTCACATATTCAGGATTATTTTGATATCTTTAGCGTCAAAATCGAGCCATTAGAAGATTTTTGCCGTTTTTTTATATAAACATACATTGATGATATGAATTTCGCGTCACCGGCGATAATATTTCACAATAATAAAAATATCGAAAAAAAATTCGGGCAAAAAAACCCGAAAAACTGCCCCCTAGGTCCAATTTTACGTCAGAAATCGATTTCCGGGGTCAAATTTACCCTAGGGGGAAGGCATTAGGGAGTTTTGTCACATTTTCCAACCGCATGACAACATTCCGAGCATGCGGTAAGAATGCGCTTAGCAACAATTATCGCTTAGAATTTATAAAATGCTATTTTCTCCGCTTCTTTTGCACATCCTACCCTAACAATTACTCAGAACTATAACAGAATGATATTATGTGAAATTCAGACATTTTAAAGAACACAGAGCACAAAAAAAAGCGAGAAAATACTGAATTTCTAAAGTAATATGGTTGCTATGGGGAGTAATTTGAGATAACAAAACAACATATTATTTGATTCATGTTTTGACTTATAATACAAATGCAGTTTATTACTATATGCAGGTTTTAAAATACTATTTAAATCGTCTTTTCAAGCTCTATCGTTTGGTGGTATTCCAGGGTCTTTAGTCCAAATACTTGCTGAGATATTTAATGTTTTGCTTTTCCCGACAATATTGTCGGGTTGAATATCCACTTGTCGACAATGAGTTAATGAACCATTGATGGTTTCCCATATTTTTTTATCATTTGCAAGAGAGGAACACCTGTGCCAATATTTTTAGTTCTTTTCCAATAGTCCCTGCTTGTCCAGACCAGTCGTAAAGCAACGGAGGTAATTAATTTGAAGTTGATTGATACATCATCCAAGTTTGGTCATGGTCGCTTCCAGACTGAAGAGGAAAAGAAGTCATTCATGGGGTTGTTGAAAAAAGACAAGGAGCGTGAAGAAGCTGGCGAAGCTTGATACAAATAATGTTGTAACTCAACCTGTCTGAAGAATGAAATAAATGCAAAAATAAATTGTGTGTATCCTAATTGTTCTTGTTATTTTATGGTATAAATGCAGTCCCAAACTTTGGAAGAGTGATGATTACATCGCTTAAAGTTATTCAATACATAACATGAAAAATTCAACTTATAACATGCAATTTTATACTTCTAACATGAAAAATTCCAATTTGCATTCGACCATGGTGGAGTATACCATTTTTCAGTATGTTCAGCCATGGTCGGGTATACCGTTTTTCGTATACCGTTTTTCGGTATATTTCGACCATGATCGAGTTTACCGTTTTTCGCCATATTCGACCATGGTCGAGTATACCATTTTTCGGTAAATCATTTCAATATATAAATCATTTGTCATTTGGGCTGCTCCAGAGTTCTAGCATACGTCATCTCGCCTTTAATGGACCTGGAGAGGACTTTGATTTTGGCGGGAAATGGCGCCATCTTGTTCCAGAAGTAACAACAAAGATAAAAAAGACTAAAAATGTACGAGTGTTTTATTTATATGATATAATTACAACATTGCTATGGTCTTTAACTAAAATCTAACATGGAGGATGATTGGGAAGCTCTTACCTATGACGATGATTATGAAAGTCGCTATGCTGACGACCTGGAAGTCTTGCGTGAGATGGAAGGTATAAATAAAGAATTTATATTATATAAAATACACTTAAAATATTGCATTATGAATCCTTACTTCTAGCGTACTGTCTGGCAAATTTGTCTTCGTAGCATCTGCGTCGTCACTTTTTTATTATACCCTATATTAAAGGTCAGAATAATATTTGTAATAATTTTTCATCTTGTATACGTAGATGATGAAAGATTTGAACGTGATCCTCAAAAGAAGGATGGACCTCGAAAGAGCCTGGTCTTTCCCACACCAGACAAGGTTGAAAACGTTCATAAGCAACCCCCTGAACAGCCAGGGTATAAAAAAGTGGTTGCACAAGGTTTTAAACGTCAGATTGATGAAATGTATGCACTTCTGTCAGACGGTGAAGAAAGTGAAGACAATTTACTAGATGATCTTCACACTACGAATGCTGCTCAACCAAGCCAGGCTAAAAGAGCGAGAATCAGCAATAGTCCAGAAACAAATATAAATCATTCAATGAACTCAAGAAGTACCAGGCAACCGGTTGTTGGTTCATCTCAAAATATTACAAGGACTTGTAAGGTGCTAACTAGACCTCCTATTGGCAAAGAGTGTATATCACTGTCTGGTTGCGATGGTGGAAGAAGGGTATATCTTCATATAACAAAGGATGAATCACTGGAAGCCAATAAGGTTAATAAATCTTATACTAAATCATGAATTTGGTTGGTTATACTAATAAATCATGAAATGGGTTTCTTCCCCGGACAAACTTTGACAAGGAAAGTTTGTGTCATAGTCCATTTGTATTAGCACAAGTACACTTGGGAATCATCTGTTGAATGGACAAAAACTGCCCAAGTTTTTTCAGACAGAGAAATAAAACACATTCTTCCGATTGTGACAGTGATATGATGATTTTTTCCAGATTGGTAAAAAGAAATCCTTCGGTACCAAAAGGCCAGCTCATCTTCTCGGAGTACCTTTTTCTGTGATAAAAGAAACCATATACGAACAAGTAATGTGATTATTGATGTGGTATTATTAGATTCAAAAGGCAATTGATTTGTGGTAGTAAAATAAATCTCAGACCTGTACGTGAACTACTTTTTCAGAGACGGATGAAGCTTCTTGAAGAATCTAAACGGCTTACAGATTCACTGAACAGGTATATATTTATTATTATTAAATGAAATTGCACAGAATGCTTCTTTATCAAGAGTATATGTGTATATCTTGCAATGTTTTTTTTATGTATTCATGTACATAGTGCTTTAGCAGACGATTTGGTGGAAGATAATATCGATGACATGACAGAAACCGAGGCCGCTCAAGAAGCAAGTGTAAAAGAGAAATCACTCTGGGTTGATAAGTATTCTCCAAGATCTTACATGGAACTGTTGAGCGATGATGTAAGTGCCTACAGAGGCTACATGCAGTACTATATATGACTGCTGGACGGACATACTGGCAATAAGTTACCAATGTACATCACTATATATTATCATTCACTTTATAGTATTCTCAATTTTGATTGGTTAATTTACCTGCAGTTAACTGCGTGCAAATAATACTCAGCTGCAAATAATACTCTGAGCATGCGCATTAATGTCAATTTTATAAACAATGGTGACTCGCTTTGCCGAACTGTCCGATAAAACGAACTCAAAATTGAAAATTGAGTGGTGAATGATAAAACAATTATTGAACTCGGTTTTCGCAAAATATCGTGATTTGTCGGTGGCTCGCAGATCAATTATTTGCCTCTGACTTTGGCATCAGCAAATAATTGATCTGCTCGCCACCGACAAATCACGATATTTTGCTCGATAATTTGTCCAATGATTGATCAATATTCCCATGTGATTCTGTGTGTTGAAAGGGTATAAACAGAAATTTGCTGTCGTGGTTGAAGTTGTGGGATGGTGTTGTATTTGGCAAGGAGAAGGCGAAAAAGAAGAAAAATACGGATGAAAAGCTGGCAAATCAAAAAGAGAAGAAATTTAGTTTTAAAGAAGAGAACACAGATTGGATGGTGAGGTTTATATCAAGACTTGTCAAACTAAGCTCCCTCATTTATACTTCTGATAAATTTATTTATTTTCAGGAACTAGATGCAACAGGAAGACCTCCAAACAAGGTGAGTTATGCATATAGTCATTGTGTAGTTATCAGTAATCCTCTCTCCTCTGACACTACCTGGAGCCAATGATATATTTACAATGTATCATAAAAGTCATAATTTTATTAAAACATTGTTCATTATCCAAAGGTAGCCTTGTTGTGTGGTCCACCTGGTCTTGGTAAAACTACCCTGGCCCATATTGTTGCCCAACATGCTGGTTATAGTGTTGTTGAGATGAATGCAAGGTAATGGACATGTAGAAGATTGATGACCGTAGTAGTCTCTGGGAAAAACTGTTTAGAAACAATTGAGCTGGTCAGTGTGAACAGAGTTTCATTATTTCTTTCTCTCTCCACAGCGATGATCGCTCAGTGGAGGTTTTCAGAAACAAAATTGAATCAACAACTCAGATGCAGTCTGTACTGGACTCTGGGAAGAAACCAAACTGTTTAATAATTGATGAAATTGACGGAGCACCAACAGTGAGTAGTTTGTTAGTTGATTTACAAATAATTAAGGCCTATATCTACACAATTAGTTGTACAGTATATGATTCTTATCCTGACATATGAAAACAATTGCTGACATCACTCTTTCTGTTCATATCTGTTTATAATGAAGTTTAAAATGTAACATGTACCAGAGTAGGTTTACTAATTTACAGTAATTCTTTATCTTTTAGCCAGCAATAAATGTTCTTCTCTCTGTGATAAAGACTAAGAAAGACTCTGGTAAAAGCACCCTTCAGGCTTTTATTTATATTTGTAGTTTATATCAGATATTAGTTTTCCCAAGTAATAACTTACATGTATGTGCCTTCATATTTTTTTCTTCAGAACCTGCTGGTCCACAAAAGAAGAAAAAAAGCAAGAAACAGGGAATTCTCTCTCGACCGATCATATGTATCTGTAATGATCCGTAAGTATCACCCCTGGAACATGCCTTTCAGAGACCCATGACTGGTCTTAGAATTGACTTGAGTGATGCTCAGAAGAGTAGCAAATGAAATTAAGGAGAGGCATTGTATTGTGAGAGCCTTTCTAGAGTATCTGACAGCTGGGTGCATGTCCACTAAACCTCTGAATGAACTTGTAACTATAAATAATTGTTGCTCAAAGTGTTCAAATTTTGTGGGGGTGGTGAAGTTTTTCTGGTTGCCTCCCTTCCTTATCCACCTTCCACTGGTCTGTGGTTTAGGTTCATTATAATTTTTCCCTGAACAGATATGTTCCTGCCCTGAGGCTGCTACGTCAACAAGCATTTGTGCTTACTTTTCCTCACACCATCCCGGGAAGACTAGCTCAAAGACTTATGGAGGTAATTGTCCACTCTCTCTAACCTGAAGACTACAATTGCAAACAAATGAGTTTATGCAAGATTATGAGTGGCTCTGAAATTATTTAAATTACAAGTTATTGCTAAAAGTATTCCATGATTTTTTCATCAACTTTTGTACATTGTATCTGGAGAGTGTATTCCATCATCTTACATAATTATATACTGTCTTTTACAAAGGTTTCAAGGAAAGAGTTGTTCAAAACAGACATGACCACTCTTCTGGCATTATGTGAGAAAACAGAGAATGATATTAGGTCTTGCCTCAATACTCTACAGGTAAAATATATTGACCAGTAAGGATAATTTCTAACAGGATAGCTATCAGTACTGTTCTTCCTAGAGATCCAGTAAGGATCATCTCTTATTGATCCAGTGTTACTACAGGACGAAACCTAAACTAAACTCACTTTATTTATACTGGATACAGTAACTCTATCAGTTCTGTTCTTCCTAGAGGTCCAGTAAGGATCATCTCTTATTGATCCAGTGTTACTACAGGACGAAACCTAAACTAAACTCACTTTATATTTATACTAGATAACTCTATCAGCTCTAAACTGTTCTTCGATCCTAGAGGTCCAGTAAGGATCATCTCTTATTGATCCAGTGTTACTACAGGAGGAAACCTAAACCAAACTAACTTTCTTTATATTAGTTAGCTCTATCAGTTCTTTATATACAGGTCTCCAAAAATTTATTGCTAACTATTTACAATTTTAGTTTCTTAGACAGAAGCGACAGAACCTGACCATCGACTATATCCAATCTGCGAACATTGGTCAAAAAGACACACAGAAAAGTCTGTTTTCTCTTTGGCAAGCTATATTTCAGTTGCCTCGACCGAAGAAGAAACGCTTTTCTTCACTGGCGAGACCGCTTGAAGAACCAGCTCCCGTCTTACCTGAGTTCAAGCTCGATGATCCGTCAAATCCAGAACTAACCAGTTCTGCAGCAAGATTTTATAACATGCTTCACATGGCTTCTTCAAATGGCCAATACAACAAGTTGGAGAATGGTAAGTGTCATTGATGAAATATGTATATGGATTGCTTTCAAATAGTTTTCCAGAACCGAACATTACAGTATCTAGCAAGGAATGATGAATAGTTTCATTAATTAAGTATAATTGCATTGCTAGAGTAATTATACTTTAGATTATGATGAAATTTTGCCATTCTTTAGGAATCTTTGAAAACTATTTGAACATGAAGTTCAAAGATGCCTACTTAAATCAGGTAAATAATTTTCCACAATCAATCAATATTGTTTCCCTTCAACAATCCTTTTCTCCACACATCATGCTATGAACAATTTCTTGTTGTAATGGCTTGCAATGGAATATTTTTCTAAAGTCTTCTCCTGTGGTAAAGCGCAATTAAGAGCTAGCTTAATGGTTTTGTATATTTGTTGTTAGGTTGTTTCAGGAACAGAGTGGCTTCAGTTTACGGACCTGGTATCACAAAGTCTTTTACAACAACAGAATTTCATCCTCATGAGATATCAGCCATTTCTCTCAGTTGCATTCCACATGCTTTTTGCTGCGCCCTCCCAACGTAAGCTGAGTTACCCAAGTGTTGGCTACGAGGTACGCTAGCCACTGAAGAGTTGTCTTAGCATGTATTATTGCATTACAAGAATACCCCTTTACCTCCCACCCTTGTCCCACCGTTCCCTTCACCCTCATTAACCTTTACCCTCCTCTACCAACCAGTTCTGCTGCTCGCTTTGCAGTGCTAATTTAATGTGTCACGTTGAGCAAAGCTCGACTTAGATCAATTTCATGTGTTTTTTTGCTAGAACACTCTGAAGGAAACTAAGAATCGTAACGTCGTTTCATCAATGTTAAGTGAGGTCTCTCCACAGCTACGAGGGAACTTGGATCTTCGAACAATCACGGCAGAACTTCTACCTCTTCTGCTTCACATCATCACCCCGACCCTCCGACCAGTAAGTGAATATAAAAGCAATCTCGCTGGGGTTTTTCATTGTCAGATATAATTGACACAATTCTTGTATTTCTAGGTCAACATGCAGCTCTTTAGTCCTAGCGAGAAGCAACAATTGACAGACCTTATCAAAACTATGATATCCTACAATCTCACATATCACCAGGAGAGAAATATTGAGGGGCAATACAGCTATGCTTTAGATCCGTACGTAATCTTTACATTATGTCAGATTTAGTCAGAAACTGCCTATGCTTTGCACGCCTAGTTGAAGGATTATATCATTCTATATATAGCTATCCCATTTTTTTAAAAGTTCCATTAAAAAACAAGTTATTTGTGGAAGAAAATCATTGAAGATGGAACATGTCTGTTTCATGTTTTGACTGCTAATGATGAATTCAAGCCTTTCACCAATAATTTTCAGTAAAATTGAAGATGTGGTAAAGTTTCCTGGATTACCTCAACACAAGCAGTTGACATATGCTACAAAACAAGTACTTGCAAGAGAGGTTTGTTATGATTTCATTTTAATTGCTGTCAACTACTAGTGAGAGCTAATGTGTGCAGTATTTTATCATTCCTTTTTTTGTGGAGTATTTTATCATCTGTGTGATTCTATTGTCTGTTTAGATCAATTTGGAAAAAATGCGAATGATTGAGAGAGCAGTATTGAGAAATTCCTCGTGAGTTATTGTGAAGCAAATTTTGCTCGTGTTCAATTGCATGATTTTCTACATTCTTGATTTAATCCTATTTGTTTGTGACCTGAATATAGAAGCAAAAACGAAGAATCTAGTAAAACTGAAGAGGAGGAAACGAAGGCCGTACAAACAGCTGGTTCATCAAGTCCTGTTGTTTTGCACCTCAAACCAAAACAAGTGAAAACTGCATCAGAAAAACTACCGGTATGGTGAATGGATGTTTCTTTTGTACCCAAGGCAATATAAATTTATTGCCACAAGTAATAATAAATTGTTCCTTAAAAATTGCCATTTATTTGTAAAAGATTTCCAGGCATATTACTGCAGTTACAGTTCACCTTGGGGTGTGAAGCTGGCTTTAAGTTCTGGCTTTAGCAACTCCATTTTTAAACAGGCTCTGTGGTCCCTAATACTTTAGTACTTGAGTACCCAAGTACTTTATACAAAGACTGATGTATTTTAATCATGATTGTGCTTCAATTTTAGCAAGCGAAGGACTTTTTCGGACGCCCTATTGTTACCCAAGAAAATGGTATGTTGTACTCCAGTGTATTTATAGGTCTTTTAGTTTTTTACTCAGGCAAAAAAAACTTTGAAGTAACAGGAATGCCTTTCCCATATTTTAGTCAACATTTCCAAGAATACAAATCACCAACATTCCCCATTCTGGTTTAAGTTTCAAGAAGGATTCTCTAATGCTGTCCGGAGGACAATCAAAATACAAGATCTTCTGTGAGGAAAATGTAATATCATTTATATTATTTATAAGGTGGGGTTCACGTAAGTCAATTTATAGCAGTTGTTGAGATTAAATTATTCAATGTTCAAAGATGATTATCATCTTTGCTTGGTGCCAATGAGACACTGGACCATAGTCCACAAAATTTCTGAATAATATCAAGATTTAGAAAATAAATTAATATGATGTCATACTCAATTTATTTACCATGTTAATTCTAAATCCTTGAGAGTCTGTAAGCCTAAAGTACAATGTTTTTGCACTTCCGTAATAACTTCACTCCAGCAATAGAAAACGTATTTGCATCAAGGTACAATGTGCTTACTCTAAAGGGGGGCTCCAGCAGTTTTAAAAGATCTGCTATTGATGCATCTTTGAGATAGTTGTTTCTCAAACTAAGAACCAACAATGTCCCACAACAGTTTCGTAGAAACGCAAAAAAATCTGGTCCAATTTCACCGAAATAACTTCCCAATTCAAAGCGTTCCAATCTCTGCACGCAACTGAATTGCATCATTTTATGAAAGTCAAAATATGGAGGAAAATTTCTTCGGGACTGAATACCATTTAACAGCAAATGTTTTAAAGGACTTTCTAAATGTTTTAGAATCCTGCATATTGTATGAAGTCCAAGAGCTGTGTATGATAAATCAAGATATTGCAGATTTGAAAAGTTCCAGAGAGATCTGTCTTGTTTGATGTCTAACAAACGATTCATCTGTAAGTCTAACCCAAGTACAGATTCAGCCTAAATGTGAACATTTTGAAGTTAGCTTATTATTTAGCATAATACCGTAACAACTGATGAGTGAAATCATCTGGCATTTGAACACTAGAAGGTGTGTTTAAAATTGACTGACAGTTCTCTTGCACCTGCAGAGAAGTAGATTTGACAAACAAACTCTACTGCCTGGATCCACGGACCTTTTTGAGAGCGGACTAGCTTTCAACTAACCTGAACCGTATGTAGTTTCGTCAATATACGTCTGATGCCGTTTTGACCAAGGCCAATGCCATAAAAATAAGATACAATGAAATTATGTCTACCATAACCTTCCAAAACATCCAAAAACTCTGAATAGTTCCTCCTTGAGATATAACAATCTGTTTTAATGGTCAGTCTAGGTTGTGGTAAGTGCATGGTTGTGTCTTCCTTGGAGCAATACTTGCTAACATCAGGAAGAGCTTGTCCTAATACCAGCGTTAATATGAAAGTTGTACCATAAATACCTAAATGAGACCCACATTATTGTCCAAAGGAAAGATAGTACCTTACTGTGTGTGGTGGACCTTTATACACCACTGTTTCATAAGATAAGCAAATCTGCCAAATTATTATTATGGTAAATCTTGTGGATAATAATTATTTTTTAACTTTACCTATGTTGCATCCTGTTAGATCAACTACACGTAAGTTTTTGCATGTAGAATAAAGGCTGTAGGCCAGGATTACCGCATGCTCCTCTTTGAAATCATCACAATTGACCAAGCTCAGTTCTCTGAAAGGCCATGACAGCAATATGTGCCGTGTTGACAACAAACGGTTCGTTTTTAAAGATGCTTTAAGTAAAGAGTCGTAAAGCGTTACAGGAATATACTCGGAGTAAGTCTTCAGTGTCTTTACGTATCTAACAAAGACATTTGTCGCAAGATCAAATAACGATGCTATAAATTGCATATTGTCCGCCATCTTGAATTTGACCGAGTGAAAATAACTGGAGTTATAACGAGTAAATATCGTTTAAAATATGGAAAGTCCATTTCATTTCTTTATTTTTTATTCCCGTTTATCATTGTTTACAAATGTTTTGTAAAATAATATTGGGCTAGAGACCAACTATAAAGTATAAACCTATACATGATTTAGCTTTTTTTCCCTTTTTCATTGTAAAAGAATATTAGATAAAACAACAAATATTGAGATTCCTTCAAAGAAAAGATTGATCGCAGTTCATGCCGTTATCGAGCTCGAAGTATTTAGATAAAATTTGCGGGTATTAAAAAAAATTAGTCAAAATCAAGATTGTGCCTGAAAATTATTACATATAGTTCAGTGGTCAGGGGCCCAGCGACAATTTAGGGATTTTTGGGGGTTTATTTGAATATAATTAGGAAGTTACTAGTTAGGCGTAATAATAAATAATTCCATGTTCAGTATACACCAATAGACATGCGACACCCTTTTTTAAACATCTATTGTATCATATCATATCATTTAGCATCATACTATATCACACCGCATCATATAGCATCAGTCGTCAAAAAGTCGTCAAAATTGTCCAAAATGGTAAGGGGTGGTTGCAAGGCTAACGCCATCCAGAATATGGAGTCCTAATCATTTTGTTCTATTATTGCTAGCCAAGGAACTGCTAACGATGTCATTTATTGTTATCAGTTAACTGGACTTTGAGAGTTTTCTTGCAAAATGTTTGCCAAGGTAATTATTATAACAGATCATAAAGGCCTTTTAATGTTTCTCATGGTATACTGATCTTTGTTGTTTTGAATGTTTTCTGTGATTAAGTGATGTTTTTCTTCATGTGGTTTATCACTGAAGCTAAAGAATTGAGATACAACAATCTTTGACTGACTTTAGGTGTAAGACGTTCGCCCAGGTATTGTAGACCGCATGGAATCGATTCAAGTCCTTTAAAAAATTGTGAATCAAGATGAGAATGAACTTACGGTGAATCTGTAATTGCTGCTATATGTTTTGGCTAAAAAATAAAAAAAACTGTTGTATGTCTCCAAAACAAAGAAGCTTATATTTATGATACCAAAAAGTACAGGATTGTTTGACATCAGAAAGACAAAGAATTCGGCACACAGCGACAATTCACCTTTTAAAACGAAACCAAAAAACTAGAAGCAAAAAACAAATTGTGCTTCAAAACAAAACTAGAATGCACTGCTTTTAAAAGGTTGAAATATAGGAAAGGACAACTTTTTTCTAGGCGTTTAGTGATTCGTTTCTATATAGTAACATCGCTCACGATGATGTTCGGAGTTGATCGGCATGTTGTCGTACATTATCATACCACGTGAACTGCTATGATCACATGGTAATTATTACCTATAAAACTAATCTCAACGTTAAAAAAAAATTTCTTTAGATTGGTGGCGATCGAAGGTGGACAGCAAGATCGAAGCTCAGCAAGATTGAAGATTGTTCGAGGAAGAAGGAGTTCGCCGTTGACTAAAAGGTGGGTTCCGGCGATTATATGCGTAATCTGCGGTTGCTTGTCCGGACCCCAGTAGGGGGACCGTTTGCCTGGAGCGTTTTGGTCCCCCGCACGCTGCTAGTCTGCTAGTTCCCACTTGTAGGCCTTTACACTAATCTACGGGAAGGCCGTAGGCCTTCCTTAAGGAGTACAGTGTAGCTGAGCCGACCCTTTTTTTTCGTTGTATATAGGTTTATCTGAACAGCTATTTTTCAAGATGAACGTGAAGAGAAAAAAGATGAGAATAGAAGATGGCGATGCCAAATTCAAAATGGCGATGCCAAAGAAAACCATCCACGTGGACCGTTCGCGGACCTTTCTGAGCAAGATTGTTGTGCTGTCTGGTCAAAGTTAAGTATTTTACTTTGATGTTTGTGTGCCTTCGGCTAATTGTTGGCCAGAAATGACAAAAAGCCATATACAATATGAAATATTCTGCGTACAAGGTTATCTAAAGTTTCGAGCTTAATTCTGCCTGCAATGATGATAATTTTTTACTGAAAATTTATGTCATAAGCATTTTCCGCACCCATAGACTGAAGCAGAACTGAACATTTTGTCATTAACGTTTATCTCAACAGCCAGTTATCAAGACGAACGTCAAGAGAACAGTTGAAATAGAAATCAGTTCAAGACTCGCCCGGCCGAATTCAAAATGGCGATGCCGAAGAAACTATCCACGTGGACCGTTCGCGGACCTTTCTGAGCAAGATTGTTGTGCTGTCTGGTCAAAGTTAAGTATTTTACTTTGATGTTTGTGTGCCTTCTGCTAATTGTTGGCCAGAAATAACAAAAAAACGATATACAATATGAAGTATTCTGCGTACAAGGTTATCTAAAGTTTCGAGCTTAATTCTGCCTGCAATGATGATAATTTTTTACTGAAAATTTATGTCATGAGCAATTTCCGCACCCATAGACTGAAGCAGAACTGAACATTTTGTCATTAACGTTTATCTCAACTGCCAGTTATCAAGACGAACGTCAAGAGAACAGTTGAAATAGAAAATAGAAATCAGTTCAAGACTCGCCCGGCCGCCGAATTCAAAATGGCGATCCCATCCACGTGGACCGTTCGCGGACATTTCTGAGCAAGATTGTTGTGCTGTCTGGTCAAAGTTAAGTATTTTACTTTACTGTTTATGTGCCTTCTGCTAAAACTAGACAATAATTAAGATAGTTGAAAATGCAATTTTATATTAATAATGTCTTCTTATATTCAAGATTTTCCTTGGTCAAGAGTGCAACATGAACTGTGGATATGAACTTTACTGTCAGATGAACATTGGAAGTGACAAGATTTCTGCACAGAGGTAATTCGATTGTTCCTTCAAAAGTTATATCAGCCTTGCAGCTGAAATTCTTGTAGTGACCTTGTAATACATATCAACTGCCCGGGTATATATTTTGTTATTTAGTATAAGGGGGAATTTGCTGCAACTAAGATCTTTTTTTGGAAAATCGTCAGGCAGTCACAAATTTTGTTAAGATTACTAAGTTAACATTGCTTCTATGCACACTATGTGTCACCAGTAATAAATTCCTGTGGTGGTCTTTAAATAAATATACCAACCATAGTTATATGTAGAGGGATGAAGTATAACCATAGAGTACCTGACCAAAAACTAGACAATAATTAAGATAGTTGAAAATGCAATTTTATATTAATCATGTCTTCTTATATTTAAGATTTTCCTTGGTCAAGAGTGCAATTTGAGCTGTGGATATGAACTTTACTGTCAGATGAACATTGGAAGTGAACAAGATTTCTGCGCAAAGGTAATTAGATTGTTTCTTCAAAATTTATATTAGCCTTGCAGCTGAAATTCTTGTAGTGACCTTGTAATACATATCAACTGCCCGGTATATATTTTGTTATTTAGTATAAGGGGGAATTTGCTGCAACTAGGATTTTTTTTTGAAAAATTGTCAGGCAGTCACAAATTTTGTTAAGATTACTAAGTTAACATTGCTTCCATGCTCACTATGTGTCACCAGTAATAAATTCCTGTGGTGGTCTTTAAATAAATATAGCAACCATAGTTATATATAGAGGGATGAAGTATAACCATAGAATACCTGACCAAAAACTAGACAATAATTAAGATAGTTGAAAATGGAATTTTATATTAATCATGTCTTATTTATAAATCTATATTCAAGATTTTTCTTGGTCAAGAGTGCAACATGAGTTGTGGATATGAACTTTACTGTCAGATGAACATTGGAAGTGACAAGATTTCTTCACAGAGGTAATTTGATTTTGTCATGGATGGTCAGCATTTGATTTTAAAAAGCCACGACATTGTTGAGATGACAACTATGAAATTGAAATTTGCTTCTATGGTCACCATGTGTGAAACCAATGATGAAACTTAATGCTATAACAGCTGAACCAGTCTGGCTGATTACTAAAATTCCTGTGGTGGTCTTACAATAAATATCCACGAAAAAGTGGGAGAACTTGGGAGAAATTTTTCTGATTTCCCTGTTATTTATATTCTGTATTCAAATTAAATAGTGACATATGTCTGGGTTGAATATATGCATGTGACACATTCTTTTTATTGAAAATGGCAAAAATATAATTGGCATAAAACAGATGACTAAAGTTAGATAATGAGTAATATCTTTTAATAATGATGTCAGGTTGAAAATACAAACTTTGCTACCACTTTTTGCCTAAAAGGATTGATGAAATGCTTTTTCTCTTTAGAATGAATGAAGTTGAAGAAAGTTGAAAGACACCCCTGAAGAACCTGAATTATTTCAGCCCTATCCTAGATTCATTAATTAATATAATTTAGTGCGTGATAACATGTGTGAAATGTGATCAATTATGTGACAATTTTCAAAACTTAGATTTATAAAGAGAAATTATTCTTTGTAAAGTTTAAGAAGTAAACCTTTTTTGTCTGGTGGTGTTAGTGTTTTGATTTTGCATGTTTTTCCTTGTGCTTTCACAATTGAAAAGATTTTGACAGTTGCTTTAGGCCCTTGGCTTTTTCTTATACTTCTTTTCTCTTTAATTTCTATCTTAGTATCAGTTTTTGTTCTAAATATATTTTCTCTTATTTTTTTGATGAAATTCTTTTTTTTACTTTTGTGTTGAAGATAGTTGAAAGGCACCCAGATTCATTAATTCATATATTTTAGTGTGAAATTTGATGACTTATGTGACAATTTTCAAAACTTGGATTTATAAAGATAACTTTTTTCTTTGTAAAGTTTAAGAAGTAAACCTTTTTTGTCTGGCGGTGTTGGTGTTTTGATTTTGCATGTTTTTCCCTGTGCTTTCACAATTGGAAATATTTTGGCAGTTGCTTTTGGCTTTTTCTCATACTTCTTTTCTCTTTAATTTCTTCTTAGTATTAGTATTTTCTCTAAATATATTTTCTCATATTATTTTTTTGATGAAATTCTTTTTTTCTTTGGTGTTGAAGAAAGTTGAAAGGCACCCAGATTCATTAATTAATGTTTTTTAGTGTGAAATGTGATGAATTATGTGACAATTTTTAAAACTTAGATTTATAAATCTTTTTTCTTTGTAAAGTTTAAGAAATAAACCTTTTTCGTCTGATGGTGTTGTGTTTTTATTTTGCAAGTTCTTCTGTGTGACTTGACAATTCTAAATTAAACCTCTTAGTGTTTTTTTAGTATTTTTTCTAAGTTAAACCTGTTAGTATTTTCTTCCATTTCTCTAGTTTTTTCTTCTATTTCTCTATTTTTTCTTTTATTTCTCTAGTTTTTTTCTCTTGTCTTTTATTCTCTAGTTTTTTTTTCAGTTTTTCTAGTTAGTTTTCTTTTCTCTGGTTTTTTCTTCTATTTCTTGAGTTTTTTTCTATTTAGTTTTTTTCTCTAGTTTTTTCTTAATGTTTTTCTCTTGTTTTTTCTCTAGTTTTTCTAGTTAGTTTTTTTCTATGGTTTTTTCTTCTATTTCTCTAGTTTTTTTCTATTTTTCTACTTATTTTTTTTCTCTAGTTTTTTCTTAATGTTTTTCTCTTGTTTTTTTCTTTAGTTTTTCTACTTAGTTTTTTTCTCTAGTTTTTCTTAGTTTTTTCTCTAGTTTTTTTTTCTCTAGTTTTTTCTTCTATTTCTCTATTTTTCCTTCTATTTCTCTAGTTTTTTTCTCTTGTCTTTTATTCTCTAGTTTTTCTCTAGTTTTTCTAGTTAGTTTTCTTTTAGTTAGTTTTTTTCTC